ACTCTCTTCATGACTCAGCCATGTAAGTCATTATGCCCACCCCAAGCCCCCTTTGGCACAAGTGTGCGCCCTTCAACAACAGACTTTAACGAAACTTGTTCCCCCTGCTTGGTGGATCTCTCTTTTTAGATCGGAAGAGCGTCGCGTAGGGAAAGAGAGATCGGAAGGGCGTCGGGTAGATCGGAAGATCGGCCCCCCCCCCCCCCCCCCCCCCCCCCAAGCACATGACACTCGGTTCTTTTTGGGAAAAAATAAATCTCGGAACTTGACTGCCGGAAAAAAAAAAAAAAGAAAAGGACCCAAAATTGTTTTTGATTGATTGTTTTACTACCATTATATGGGGGCAATAAAGGACAAAAGAGAGAGAGATGCCGGCACCCGCCGCTAATAGGGACGATTTCGTTATGCATACTATTTTTTTCTTATCCTGGTAATGCCTGTATAGGTACTAGTAATGCTATGGACTTATGCGTGTAATACTTGACATACCTGTACGTCCAGATATAAAAATATGTACAGTAAGAGACAATAGTAGGCGGTAGTGGTATAATACCGGGCAGGGCATCCTGACGAGAGATCCTCCTTTATTACAGGTGACAGGCCGCCATGATCATCCTCACCCTGGCCCCTGGTCCCTACACGGTAGGTAGCCAAGATGCCTCCTTCGCACAATTCTTCCTCTCATAGACCACCAGCGCAAAAAAGCCCATGTACATAGAATGACAATAATGATAAACATATAGAGCGTGTATATAGTATGTATATCTATCCTTGTTCGTCGTATATCACTAGTTAGCCCAGCGTTACGCGCATGCAGCTAGTAATCCCTTCATCCCCAGCTTGCTCTTCCCCTTAGTCCCACCTTGCTTCCCCCTTCCTTTCCCTTTCTCATTTTCGGCTCAAAAGTGGTAACTGTTCTTTTCCCTCTTGGGGAAAAGAAACAGTAAAGTGATATGCGCGCGGTTGTATGTTCTGCATGCATAGCACAGTGGTATCTCCTCCTCCAAATCCAAATCCAAGAGCTGTGAAATAGTCGTGTATAAAAACAATGAAGTCGGGTAAATAAAGTATTAGGTTTCCGACGGCGCCAGTTCCTAAACAAACGTGTTCGGTACATAAGTATATGAATATGAAGCAACAGTAATACGTTCTCAAGTAATAGCTTCTAGGTTGTTTCAGTTTAAAAAGAAACGGAAAATGCAGAAGATAATAAACAAGGCGATCTGAAGACCATGCAATACGGTCTGTGCCTTTGCGCGTAAGTGATATCCAAAGTTGGTACGAGTCAAAATCGCAGTACGATGCAATCGCTGTGCCGCCAACCATGATTTCGGCATATTGCCCCATTCATTCAAACATCCTTGTATTGCCCATCAAATTGCTTTCCCGGCTCAGGTTCACGTAAATAGGTAATTGAAATAGACAAATATCGCGATCCCAAAACATTTCGCAGTAGTCAGAGGCGTGCCAGTTGCAATAAGCAACGTAGCAAAGCCACTGCCAACTTGCCAAGAATGATAAAAAACTTCGGAATAAAAAATCCAGATAACCGACCAAAAGAAACAGAAAAAGTAGACGCTAAGAATAGAGCTCTTCTTCTAGCTCCTAAGACATTCCGAGATGGGGCATATGTGCCAGAGGTGACTGTTGTGCTCGAGGTGGCTGTAGTGGCTGTTGGTGAGGCGACTGCTGATGATGAGGCGAATGGTGCGGTGGTGGCGGCAAGGGTGGTTGGATGCTAGCATCGCCGCCAAGAGGCGGTGCCGACATGGGAAGCTTGGGAGTATGGTGGCCGGTATTGCTAGAAAAGCTCGAGGGCATTCTTCCATCCAAAGGAAACAGATCGCGCTGGAGACCCTCCAAGATGTGCATGTCGATCCTCAGAGAGCTCGTGTGCGTCGCGGACTGTCGGAGGAATGCAATCGTCTTGTGAAACAGCTCGCGCAATAGGTCTTTGGGTACAAACTCGCGCAAGACATTATCCTTGTAGGCGGCAGCTAGGACGAGGAGATTGCCCCATTGACTAATAGTTATGTTAGTTACACGCCCCCTTCTACACCTGTTGTTATCATCTCGTAAACTTACGCATGAGCCGTGCCAAAAACGTTGGTGATAATGGGCCGCTTCTCCCCGAGTCCGTGAAATGATCGTGTGCTTTCGATAAGCGCATAAATACCCTTTCGAGCCAACTCAATGAGGGCACGATCAAGGTCGTTTGCCTTCTTAACATTCGGAGGGATGAATGGGGCGATGACCCCATCGCGATACTCTGACAGGACGCCAGCATGTGGGCTTTCGGGGTGGCGTTTCAACTCGTAGGACCACTGCAGGATCTGACGGACAAACGGACGGTAGGTAATCATCTGCGCTCCCCAGTACTTGGCTCTCAGGCGCGCCGAAAGGATATCATTGGCAGGGGGGTCGTTCTCATTGAAACGGAAGCTAGGCGGAACCCATGACATGCCAGACACGCCATCTGCCACTAGTCTCACATTCTTCAATTTCTCAGGCTTGCTGGAATCATCAGGAGAGTAAAACATGCGATGGATGCTGTTCAAATGCGTCCGGAGATAGAGCTGCGCGGGGTAGCTGTCTACTACTCTCTGGTCGAATCCCTGGAGAAGGCTCATGTTGGGTTGAGGCATGTCGTTTTCATACTGCAAAAGGCCAGAGGGCGGGAGTGGAAGCTCGGCAATCAAGTCACTATAGCAGATTAGTACTCAATTAATCAAGAGACTGCCATGGCTCTCCTGGCTAGGTAATTCGTATCCTTACCTCTCTAGTTGCAGACACGTCCAAAACGCGAGTGCCAGCTGGTTGTATTTGCCCTCTTGGATGAATTCCATGTTGGTCTTGATCTTCTTTAATTTGTCCAAACTCCTGTTGTAAATGTAAGCCTTTATTCAACTGCTCGCTTGTAGTATTTTCAGACGGGGAAAAAGACTTACGGTCTCATAAGAACTTGCAACTTGTGGCTCGCTTTGTGAATAAAGGCAAAACTCTCCAACGGTCGCGCGAGCTGGCCGTGATACAGCCCAGCAAAAATGTTGGCGTAGACGTTCTTCATGTTATTGTACGCACCGAGGTGGTTTCCAAGAATGTCTGTTGCCAGTGCGAAATATTCCAAGCCGGGAATCACCTCATAATTCTTCTTCAAGCTGTATCCTGCGCGAACGGCGCCGGTCCCGGAGGCACTGGAAGCGCCATGGATAGATGATCTCCTGCTCTGGTAGCCGCGTTCTTGGTCTCTGGGTGAAGGGAAGCCAGAAGAGTGAGATTGATTTGAGAAGGACGGGGGCGAGCCCTGGATTGGCGATGGAGGAACCCCGTTGCGGCTAACTGGGCTCCCGTGAGGGATTGGGTCGACCGGGAAAATCACATCAGGAACTTCGTCTTGATACAAGCAGATTTTACCAAGGGCCAAGACGATGAGAATGAGTGCGCTGTGAATAGAACGACTAGGCTTGCCAAGACGCTGGGAGGACGGCGTTACAGGTACAGTTGGATCGGGACTTCGCTTTCTCTTGGCGCCAGTCATCTCCTGAGGCTGAGGCACAGCGAATGTCGTTGTCAGAGGTTGAGCCTTTACCTTTGGATTCGCAGTGGGGAGCTCGTTGATGAACTGGTGGACCCATTCGTCGAGAACCTGCGGGTGAATAATGGGATGCATGTTTAAGATGTTGTTCTTGAAGCTTTCCACATAGGCCGCAACCTTGTGTTCGCTGAAATCTGGATTTCCGTCGGGGCCAAGCACGCCGCCCCGGTACTCAATCTGATCGCCAGGACTCAGACCCCCTCCAAGCTGACCCCAGTCCGCAGCGGGCGAGGAAGCTACAATGTCTGACATGTTATCATCGCCAATTTCTGCGTTTCCGTGATCGGCAGTCGCCTCTCTAGAAAGTCGCTGGTGAGAGTCTTCGCCTCGCCCGTACACCTTGAGAATTCCGCGGCTCTGCTCTAGACTGATAGGATACTCGCTGACAAATTTGATGCCCTCGCGCTCCAGGTGGTGCCGTGTCAGCTCCTTGATCGGATCCCAATCCAAGAGAAGCCCAGCCAAAGTCGTATGGTTAATAGGGATGGCAGGCTCTCCTGGGGGTACGGGAGGGCCGGGTTCCGCTTCTATGTCGTCCTCGGTGCCAAAGGCCATGGCCACGGCATCAGTAGACATTGCTTCAGGCACCGATTCAGTAGACTTCACCGGCTGGTCCCGAGACATATCAGTTACGGAAGAGTGGCTGATCGGTGGCTCTTCTAGCGGCATATGAGGTGGTGGTGGCGGTGGCGGGCTTGGGTGGGAGAGTGGTGCAGCTTCAATCTCCTTCTTGGGAATGGCCCTTGGCGTAAATTCCTCGAAAAACTGTGGTATTCTTGAAAAGGCGGACTCTATCTTGGTCAGTCTATCGTCAATGTTCTCAAAACGTTCTGACATGAACTGAAGCGTAGATTGCATGCTGTTGATGCCGTCCAAAATATCTGACTGCGCTTTGTCGGTTCTATATTGGGAAACTCATGTTAGTCAACTCACACTGCGCGCGCGGAAAATGAAAGCCGCAAATTTGGTATGAAGACTCACGCTTTTGGCACTGGATCGCGGTATCGGCATTCTGTACCCTTATCTCTGCATGTTTTACATGGTTTCAGCTCGTCGCATTTAGCTTTAAGCTGCCGACACTGGTCACATGCCTATTAGATAGAAGAAAGGTCAGTTTTCTGAGTTCTCGGTATATAAAATTTGGTTATAGAATAAATTGCCAAGTCACACCTGTGAAGCCCTTGTGTTCTTCTTCTTCGCCGCGGTTGAGTAGACGCTGTAAAACGGCTCTTGGGACTGGAAATTAGGGTTTTGTTCGTAAGGCTGTTGTTGCGCAACCGGTGTAGGAGGCCCAGGAGGAAAGCTCGGGGCGCGATAGGCTCCAGGAGTCGGGGGCATTGACGGCTGATTCTCGTAATTCATGTGTCGTGGAGGTGGCGGGTTATCCTGGAAAGCAGGAGGTGGAGGAGGAGGAGGAGGGTGTTGCTGCTGCTGCTGCTGCGGCGTCGGCGGCTGCTGTTGGGGGTGCTGCTGAGGGTGCTGCTGAGGGTGCTGCTGAGGGTGCTGCTGAGGGTGCTGCTGAGGATGTTGTTGCATGTGTTGGGGAGGATATTGCTGCGGTTGCGGCGGTTGCTGCTGATGCTGGGGATGTGACTGAGGATGCTGCTGCGGCGGAGGAAGCTGAGGCGGAAGGGAATGAGGCGTCGATATGACCTGGGGTGTCGGTGGATGAGCGTCTGGCGCATGTCCCGTCGAGTTTGGTCTTCGGAGGTCGTCACCAGGCTCTCGCTTTACTATGGCGTCTCGTCCGGGATACTGATATTGCGCATGCGCTGGAGACATAGGGTGCTGAGATCCCGGATGCTGGAGCCCCGGGTGGTGCTGCGGCGGCGGCGGCGGCGGTTGACGGTACGGATCCTGCATGGGCGCGAGAGTCTCTTGATCCGAGTGTCGACGGTCAATCTCTGGGTGCTGTTGGGCATGCCCGTGGAGTGACACCGGCGTTGGCGCAGGCAGAGGCAGCTCCGAGGCTCGAGGCGGGTATTGATACGGGCTGGCGCTGGCCGAGTGGTGATGATAGTGGTGGTTGGGGCCTTGGGGAGGCGGCTGCGGCGGCGGCAGCTGGTTCGACGAAGCATGCGGCGCGTGAGAGGGAGGAGGAAGGGGATGATGGGACGACGGAGGAAGAGGTTGAGTATTAGGATGCGGCCGCGTAGCACCAGACGGCTCCCAGAAGCGCATGCGCTTGGTGTCGGGAGGTCCTGGATCCATGCTGCTGGCTTGATGTATAAACAGTACAAGTACAGGCTAGGACACACGGACACATAATCAGGAACGAGGCAAGAGGTGAAGCAAGGACCACAGAGGGGTGTTGGCCATGGGCTGGAGGCGAAACTCCAGACGCCGGGGGAGTGAAGGCTCGGAAGGTTTGAAGAAAGGTGCTTGGTTATTGGATCTTTGGCAGCGGGAGACCGGGAGCCAGGGAGGACATGGGGTGGGTGAGCCTCGCACGATTAGGGCGGCTATGATGACATCTGAGTTGCCGCCGTCGAGGAGGAGAAAAGGCCACAGCCAGAGCCGGCGGCGCGGTACTTGCGAGGCAGAGGGTGAGGGTACGAGCGGTGCAGGTATCCGGGCAGCGAGACGACGTTCGGACGACTCTGATAGACGAGGCGAGCGGCGGGCTATCGACGGCTCGACCTAGGCCCAACCCAGTAACGCGAACGCGGCAAAGGGGGGCGATCAACCAGGACGCTGTCGTTGGGCAGGATGAAGGAGAGAGGGCGACGACGAGGAGAGGAAGAGAGAGCGAGAGAGAGAGCGCGTGCTAAGCAGAGTGAGCAGAGTGAGCAGAGCACAGCAGAGCAGAAGCACCCCAAGCTTCACCACGCAGCTCTAGGCCGCTCCGGTAGCCGGCAGGTTGTGGGGACGGCGAGATACGATGAGAAAAGGACAAGACTCCAGCCAAAGTTCCCGGTACCCAGAACCCTGCAGCCCCAATCCTGCCCGACGGGGACTCAATCGTCAAGGCGGCTTAGCGAACGACGAAGCAAAACGGGCAGAGAGGAGGAGGGGGTGTCAACGCGGGAGCTCTGCCAGAGGGTGTTGATAGCAAAGCAGTGTCATCTGAAAGAAAGAAGGAAAGATTTTGATGAGATGGAAGCGTGGAAATAGCAAAACAGGCTCCTCAGTGTCCCAAGTCAGGTAGGTCCAGGCCACGGTAAGACGAGACGAGACGAGAGATAGCAGACTGCTGCTGATGTTCAGCACGAGAGTCGCATCCTGGCATGTACCCCGACTCAGCAACGAGCTAATCAGGCGTCAGGCACCCTTTTTTGCCGTGTCGGCGGCCACGCTGAGCGCCGTATTTTTGGCACTCCGGGGGGGGGGGGGGCGCGCGCATAATGGACATAATGGGCCGCTGACGCCACCTGCGAAAGGCCGCTCCCAGGCACTGCAGAGACACGCTAGACGGGAGCAATTAGTAGTGCCCTCATTAGCTGTGGTACTGGGTACCTCTAACGGGCGTGCGGTGGGGCTCGCGCAGGGTTTGCTTTCATTGCAGGGTTCGCTCTTGGGACTGCGCGAGGAGCTGTGGGATGGGATGATGTCGGCCGTTCAGGGCAAGGGGGGCCTGTAGATGTACTGTGGTCTACCGTTTTTTTTTTTTTTTTTTTTTTTCTTGTCTTGCCTTGTCTTGACTTGTCTCTGCTGGGTAATACATTATGGTGGTATATAAGCCAACCCACGGTACGTTGCCAGGGCCGGGGGGGCCTTCGTTGTCGGCACCCAATGGAACAGTTGCCCAGGAACTCGGAGGCGACCAGGGAGGGCATGGCCGTGGAAGCGATCACAAACTGGAGATGCACGGATGCGGGCAGGCTGAGACAACATGAAGCCGTGAAAACATGCATGTACGAGTATGTATCCGTACCTTGGCATATCAGGAAAAGCAAAGAAGAGACAAGAAAGACGCGGCACGGGATGGAGCCTGGGTTGGAGGGGGACCTGCAATGAGTGAGTCGCGTGGACCGTGACCGCCTGCCATTGGCTGCCAAAACGCTGCCGAGACTCCAACTACCCGAAGAGACAAGATGGTGATACAGCAGCTCCAAATTTCACAGCTCCGCACGCACGCAGGCTAGTGGCTCGACCGACAAGCTCGGTATACTTGGACAAGGCACTGGAGAGTCCAAGACATTGCTCCAATCGGTATTCGGTACATGTAGTGCTGGAGGCACATTTGGCAGAATGATGAGGCACGGAGCTTTGTGCACGTCCGGGCCACTCTCCGGGAGTCTTGAAGCCGTGTACTTTGTACCGTAAATTTCAGTTATTTTTTTTTTCTTTCCAAAAGAAGCACCTCTCGCCTTTTTTCCCTCTCTTGGATGCATCTCGCTACTTGGCTACGTCACATCGTTAGGCTTTTGCAGGACAGTACTGGCAATTTGGTCTGACTAATGTCCGTCTGGAAATGAGCTGCTGGGGGGCAGCCCTCGCGTTGATGCTGCTTTTTTTTGTCTTCTTCTTTCCAGTAGCACCGTGGAGCCAGATCATGTAGCACACCGACGGACCTGGCAGGCAAGCAAGCAAGCAAGCAAGCAAGCAAGCAATCAGGCAGGCAATAGCGCACCGCTAGCATCACGCTTCTTCGTAGGGAACTCCGGAGATCAAGCCTGCGTCGAGCTACGGCAGAGGCTCCGTCGCAGCCATGTGTGCACGAGTAATATCCGGGCGCCGGAAAGATTCCCTAGGCCAAGGCGGGCTTGCTTTAGAAGCCTCGCCATCTCGTCACCGCCATCTAGCTCCGTGCAACTACTGTACTGTAGTCTGTAGGGCCCATCTACTAAAATAAAAAAAGAGGGAAAGGAGAGTCAGCTCCTCCCAGCTGAGGGAGACCCAGGCCCGCGAGTGGACCGTTCCGAGAGCGAAGTCAAAAAGCAGCTGCTTGCTTCGTGATGGTGGCGTGGGGCGAGAACTGGAAGCTCTGCTTGCTGGATGAGAGTCAACCCATTTTTGCGAATAGCGCGGCCAATGCAACCACCATGTTCGCACAGAGAAGCATCATTGAACCTAAGCACGGCGGGTCGGCGCACTAGGCCGCTGAGAAGAAAATTCTTGGGTCCTTCCATGGTAGACATTTTGGCATTGATGGAGATCAACACTAGGTACATGTAGTATAGTATCAGGAGCCCGTCTCCATCGGCTTTTCTGCCCAAGCGGGGGATCGAAAATCCGAAACAATGTACAAAGGGGAATAAGTGCACACAATGGACAATGAGAGCATCCGTCACAGAGGCTGAGACTGTGCTGGTATACGCGTATAATTCTATGGATGTGTGCTCAAATCCTGCGCACTTGGTCCTCCGCCAGCTGCACTCTTTAGCAACGTTGTGGCGTCCCCCGAGCTCTGGCGGTGCCTCTTCCCATTCACTGGTAAAACGACGCCTTCGCGTTTTGGCTTTAGCCACTCCCGCCAGGCTTGTTTTTAGCCCGTGGAAAACGGTCTCTGTGGTTCTAGCGCGGCAGATAGTTCTAGGCAAGGGGGATTCCACGTGAGACGGATATGTCGGGCTTTTTAGGTTCTTGGAGCGTTAGGCACTCATTTCCGCTATATACCAGACTGCTTTGAGGTACTCGTAACCGCTTGGCAAAGTGCGTATCGCGCAATGTCGTCGTGATGCACCATTACATTACAGTACCTGTTATTTGAGTACAGCAGATGATACAAGTACGTAGGGCCGTAAGCCGGATTGTGGGTTTAATATCTCCGACTCAAGAGCTCACACGGACCACACGTTGGCTGGAGTCACTGAGGGGCTCGTTTTCTTTTTCTTTTTCTTTTTTTCCAGGTCTGGCAGGTATGTCTCTCTTTTCCAAGCGTCTCTCAGCTACCCGCTGGTGGTTCTCGACGATGTTGGGTACATGTACATGTAGCTTCTCAGCCAACCGCCACACCGCGTCTACTGCTGTTGTACAGCAAGGGGTTATTTTTTGCCCCTCTACAATTTCTATTCCTTTCCTAGCGCAGTGCAGCGCATTTTGTCGCGTTCATGCAGTTGAGCTCTTTGAAACGGCCCGCAGAGGGCACTATTAGCTGTAAGTAGGGGGACGGCAAAAAAAGGTCCAGCCAGCTGTGAATATCAGCCAACCAAACTAAACCACAAATGAGAATAATCCGAGAAAAAGAAAGAAAAAAAGAAAAAGAAATATTGAATATTGAATATTGAAATATTGAAATATTGAAATATATGCACGAGTAGTATGGTAAGGCATTGCTTTTTCGAAAAGAAAATTGTTTTTTTTTTGTCGCCTCCCACTCTGCGCACCCACTCTGAAACCTTTGCCTGCCAGCCTAGAGCGACGTTTAATTTGACGGCGCTGCTTCTGCGGCTGACTTGCGCTGTACAGATGACGATGAGCGATTTCAACCCCCCTTGTCAAGCTGGCTTCGCAGCCTAGTAATGGCAAAAAACCCAGGTTGGAATGTGTCTGCCGGGCTGTCCGTGCTAGCCGATGCGGCTCGGTTCCCAGCTACCTGGTTTTGTCTGGAGACGCTGAACCAGGTAGCTGAGATGGCCGTGCTGGCAAATCTGCTGGCAAATCTGCTGGCAAATCTTTGCTGAAGCCGACACAGCCACCACCCATGAGCTGTATCAGGCCCTGTTACTCGTCAATGCGAAATGGCCATCTGTTGATATTCCCAGGGCAAACCATCTCACACACCCTGCTCTCTTACTTGATTGGCTGAAAAAAAAAATAGAGCCAAAATAACCCCAGCCACTTTTCACGGTGACATTTGTTTTCTCAAATTTCATCCCTCCCTTCAAGTACCAACTAACACCAGTAATTCATCATTTTGTCCAGGGTAAGCTTGGTGCGGCAACCGAAGCCAAATAAGAATGAAAAAAGACCAATCGGCATTGTTCACGACCCTACACACCAGCTGTGAGGGCGCCAATGAAATGCCGGCACACCAAAAGTAGCCACCACAAAAGAGCCCCTACTACTAATTCTCACACGACAACGATCGCTCTACGATGGCACCGATATATCCATGTTCACAACAGAGAGAGAGGTTGTGACTATTTTTTTTCCCCGCGGCGGACTTTGCTCGCGCCCCCGGCCAAGTCCAGTAAAAAGGTTTCGGGGCTTCCTGCATCCCTGCGACGAAATCCTCCGGGGGTGGCCGTGATAGAGCTACATCGTGCAATAAACAAATGCTGCCTGTGTGTGTGTGTGTGTGTACTGTACTACGTGCTTGTACATACATGCCCGGCTGTGCCAGACGCAACTATTTTCTCGCCTTTGCAACCTCCAGAGGCAAAGCCACGCAAAGCATACGCCCCCTAATTGCCCACAGAGAGCTTTCCAGGATGAGGTCACCAGAAAGCCTCTACTGGCCGACCAGTTCCTTAAGGGTACCATTGCACCGGTACCCTCCATTAGTGAATACGGGCCGAAACCTGCTTCGTAGAGGCGCAGACAAGGAACTGCCCTGATGCGAAGGGACATTCATGCAGCGGCCAGTTGGACAAATGAATCTCCTCGTTGAGGCGAAAGGCCGCTTAGTTGGCATGTCTACTCGGCCATATGCCAAGCGCGGCCGCCGTCATATTCAAACGGGTGTGCGCTAACACGAAATTTGGGTGTTCCACGACGCCTGAGTCAAGTCAGTGATACTCGGCCTCTTTGTTTACAACAGCAGGAATGACTTTGTGTCACACCAGACCTGTCTCTTGACTGTTCCCTGAGATGCCGTATTACATACTGTAAGTGCTGGGAGGCGGTGTCACCTATCATATTGGCCTTGCCAACAGGACCAACAGCTCACACCGAATTGTGGATATTCAACACCGGCAAGTGCCAAGGGCATGAAGCAGCCTATGGCGACTTCGTGCCGAGTTGATCCTTGCCATTCTCTTCTTGTGGTGAGGAAAGGGTCTAGTCAGTCTGTCTACCTAGGTAGGCATCTACTGTGAGTGTTGACTTCCGCCTGGCCGTGTTCCCAGGTGATACTGTAACGCATGGATGCTACCAGTCTCCCAACCAGTACCGTGCAAATTACATGTAGTAGTCAGCCAGTAGCAGTGGTACGTAACTTTGAGAAGGCGGCAAACGGATGAGCACTGGCAGCTGAGAGATTGTCTACTGACGGCACACTAAGGAAGAGAACGGCGGTTTTGGCGTCCTGTCATGACATATGCAGCCGACAATCGCAGACCGCCAGATCAGCTGTCCTGACATACTGCAGACAAGCATGATGTGAACGGATGTCAATAGCAGGCACTATGTACTAGTTGACATTAGCTCCATAATAAATAATGACGATAGAATAAGAGAGAAAATTTTCTCTGCTCTGCTCTCCTCCCCTCTTCTGGGCCCGCCAGATGGATTATGGCCAATTTTGTCTATCCTTCAGCTGGAAGAGCTTACCACCCAGCCACCCAAGGCAAGGGTAATTACAGGCCATGACGGTTGTTTCCCACTGCTGCTCTAGTCATATAGTAGATAGTTTTACTGTACATGTTCGTCACTGGGCTTGGCGGCTGCTACAGATAGAAAGATCAACACTTTCAACTGATGCACTTACAACATACTGCCCAACAGTACTGCCCATGACCTGGCAGAACTTGATGGGCTAATTATGTTCTTTTGTACCACAGTGATAAAAGTCCTACGAGTCAATGAAGCAGGGGCGTGTAACCAGTACCTGCTTGTGCCAGCTCGGAGAGTGCCAGGTTCATCATTGGATTCGCTTGTCTCAAAGCTAGACGTGTGCTAGCAAACGAGTTGGTGAAAAGCTGAGGGTCCTAGACCCAACGAAGAAGACGGTGGCTGACAGAGCTGCAACAGCTCCGGCCATTTGACGGCATACGGTACATACAGTATGGCGGTCATATCTCTTCCTTTGGATTGAACTTGAACAGATCCGTCCATGTGTTGGTCCTTCATCTTCACAACAGGGCACGCATCCTCCCGCAACGTTTCCCGAAATTGCCGAGGTGCTGGCGTGCGACTTTTTGCCTCTTTGATGCGTCTACTGGGGATACGTCCAAGATAGCCTGGGAAATAAAGGGACTCTGCATGTCCAACGCCTCCTCGCTTCCATTGCTTGGGTTTTCTCTTTCAAGGTTTCTCTTTTTTTCCCGAAATACTTTAGTGTTCCGTATACCCGTAAACAGGTACGGTAGTACTGGGTACCTTGTACCTAGCGCCGCCCAATTTTTTTTTTCTTTTTGGTTATTCGTACTATTATTGCTACCACGAATGGTAAGGTAGGAAGTGGTGATTGCTGGTCACTCACTTTCACTCACCGCATCATTTCCCCGAGCATGGATACCAAGCTGGCCCCATCTCAAGCCCCAAGTGCGCCGACCCCCCTGGCCAAGAAAGAGGCAAAAGAAAATTTATCGACGATCTATCGCAATCTCGCGCAGAGAAGGTTGCTCATGTGAGGAGAATTGACTTTTCTGAGTGTCTTTTTTCGAAGCTATTTCCGACGACGCACATGTCACCTACTTGTACACACTCACTACTCGCGTTTGCAAGGAGAGACTCTCCCTGCTTGTAGAGAATTTTTCTGCCAACGAACGAATGAATAGACAAATCAAGACATGACTAGGTAGGGATTGAAAAAAGAAAAGAAAGATTGGACAAAAGTAACGTGTCACTTCGTGTGTCTCATGCAGGGCGGAAATTTGGTGTTTCCCTTTGCTTTCCTTTTTCTTTCAAGAGCGGGAGAATTTCCTTAGGTGTTATAATGTCTCCTCTCTGTGCGACACGGGCCGTTGTCTCACCCAGCTGGGCGGTTCGGGAAAGAGAGAAAAAGTACCTACTGCGTGGATTATTTGTCCAGATTTTGGCGACCAGTCCCTTCGGATAATTTGTTTGGCAGTCTTTTAGAGCCCTGCCTGCTTGCTGAGGTATGCAGCATCATCGACTATTTTGCGAGCAGCAATGCGGTGGCAGTAAACGTCAAAATCTGAGTCGTCTCTACTGCCGACAATCAATTTGAAGTATCGGGTACCTGCCCCTCTGCTGGCCAATACGATACCGTACCTTATCGCCTGTCAAAGCAGTACTTGTAAAACCACCAGTGCTCGTACGCTCACAAAGACGCCTTCCAGGTCCCTGCATAGCGCCACCCTCGACGTGTGGCCAGCCGGTCAGCGGTTGTCTTCCCCACGGGCGCAGTGCGAATGCCGTAACTGGCTGGTCTCAGCTTTCACCTGATTAGCCGGTGCTACCCCAAAGAGACGTGAGTGTTTTGTAATCATGCATACGACATGTCTGTGTCCTTGATGGCCTCCGGCTAAAGTGACAGAGCTGCTGCTTTCCTACGGCTGTGCGCCTGTAACGTTAAAGCGCCATCCGCACCACGGCAGCCGCGGCGTGCCGGGCCCGATCCCCATATTGCCGTGCCCATCAGATCAAAAGGGATCCAATGGCCGCCGTAGAGGCATCAGACATGCTGGAGCCAGCGCTAAGAAACACGAGGCTCGTGCCGTGCCTTTTGTGCTGACTACACGGTCCAGCTGCTAAAAAAAATTAGCAGAGCCACATCGTGCAAGTCTGCAGGTACCTCTGATTGAATGAGAGAGCAAGGCTGTGCTGTATGGAGTGCCTGTAGTGCTTTGATTGAAAACCTAGGCGCCTTCCTTCCCTTCTTTTTGTGGAGGCGGCAGGTTTCATGGCAAGAGCCGTGGCACCAGCACCAGCGCTAGAAACGTCATCAGTACTTCAATGCTTGTATCTTTGCATTTTGATAACATCCATACCTTAGGACAAAGGAACAGCCAGCCTCCTGTTGGCTCCTACTTCCCTCCATCCCCTGACCACAGCAATAGACCATCTATGCGCCAATGCTCGAAACAAGTGCAACGCAGCCGGGACCAGTACGAAGATACTACTGTAATACGACGTACGAGCAGATCCAGGTTCTCGGGATAAGCAGATGGGCTATCTAGCCTTAATCCCTCATCCGTTCCAACTCCACTGGCGAGTTTCTTTTTGCAAGCGCTGCCAGTCCCTGGCATCTGCCGTTTTGTCACCTCTACAGTAAGAGAGCCAAGCGAGAGAACAGGAGGAGCAACTCCAACTGGCGAGGGGCTGCGTCGCCCAATGGCTCGTGGGGGCTAAAAGGTAAACGACCCGGCTTAGCACCATCGCCAAAGAGAGTCACGCTGCACCGAGGACACGGGCTTGGGCCGGCAGAATCCTTCCTGGGGCTTGGGGCTATCACCACATTGCATCCGAGCTGCCCAGCTACCGGTCCTCGTGACGGGAGGCCCTTTTTTTCCCTCAGTTTTCCTCGCCTTGTGCTGTACGGCAACAAGTCACCCCATAGCTAGTGCTTTGCCGGGGAATATGCCAGGATCTTGAGATTAGGGGAATGTGACATGTCAGCTGTCGTTCGAGCTATCAGCGCAAAAAGACTCAGTTTTAAAATTTGCATCTCGACAAGAGCACGGCTGGTCACATTAGCGGCATCCCGAGTTTTCTTTGGCGTATCCGCCGCTGCTGGCACCCAAGTTCCGTCTCACACTTGCAAGAGTGTCAAACTTAGACGGGTAAAGTCTGTTTGTGATATTTGACAGCTGACACCAAGATTCTTCTGCCGTGGGGAAAGGGAAAAGATAACAATGGCAAGGCGTACAGCCCCCACGATGTCCAATCTGTCTTTCTTTTCCCTCTTTGCATTGGAGTCCTACAGCAGCAGTGGTAGTAGTGCCTTGTTTCTGCTCCTTGTGTGGGGGCTAGCTCTTCCGCTGAGGACCGTAACGAGACGTCTAGCTTGAGAGTCTGTGACTGCTTTATGGATAGCCGCTACGGCCGCGTACACGAGATTGCTGGACCTCGCTTCGAAGGCCATATAGCACTATTGCCAGAGCGGTGACATTTGGCGCGCTGATTTCGTTGTCTCGTTAGATATAGAGTTTGTCCAAGTGGATTTGAGTAGCAGTAGTTGGAACGAGCTCTCACATTGGCTCGGCACACACGCCAGTCTCGGAAATGTACGTGGGATGTTACAACGCGTTGACCGGCATGACGCCCAATGGAAATGGAGCTACGCGCTACGAACACGCTCACGTAACGCCCGGGGGAGAAGATCTGGCGACGGGAAGCGCGCGGAAGCTCGGCGCACAGCCATGTTAGCCGACCGGTGTGAACCGCATCCCTTCGCGACGAGCTTTCTCCTTGGGCGTAAGAGGTACTCCGTCCCATGAACCAGCGTGGTAGCCTTATCCTGGTTACTAGCCGTGAAAGTTGCTCCCTCTTCTCCACTTCTGGACAATGCTCAATCGATTTGGGTGGATAGGTTGGAATAATTTAAAAAGTGCATCTTCTGAACACCAACAATGAGACGCTGCAGATCTAAGTCTACGAGACGACGCGTGCCAGGTTTCGAGATACAGGCCCCTAGAGGCATTTGATAACGGGCTTGTTCCAGTCCCTGTTGATGGCCGCGTCATGTAATCCAATAGCGGCCAAAGAGTCGGAGTTTATGATAAAAAAAAAAAAAAAACGCCTGCGGTTGTAACTGCCGTAGGGAGCTTGGATGCCATGGGCCTGTTTTGCCTACCGAAGGGGTGTCACGTATGATGAGATGGAATCAATCTTACCGCAAGGAACGAATAATTACGCTGACATCTCATGCATATGGGTGATCTGCGAGTGTGAGAATGACCCGACTCTCCCCGTAGAGCATGGATTTCCTAAAAGAAGGACGGTATGTTGGGAAATGCCAAAAATGCCTATATGCATGTTTACGGGACTGAGGTGAATACTTTGGTTCTAGACCATTAGCTGAGCCAGGGTGATTTTCAAGAAGGTGAGAGCTTGCCAATCAATACCTCTTGATTAGTAGATGGCTGGTGATGACGCGCACAGACTATTGAGCATTGTACAGAACACAGGGAGTGCAACTTGTAAGTACGAGGCATACAAACACTGGCAATTCTCTAATACAAGCTTTCAGTGTTGGCAACCAAAGGAGAAGAAAAAAAGAAAAGAGATGACTATAGATGCAAAGTACGTTACATGGCATTTCATTCGTCCAAGCTGTCTGAACCCTCCTTCTCTTTCTTTTGCCCTAGGCATCGAGGAACTTTTGCGATTGAAACCGGATAAGAACTTGTTTGTTCTTCTTTACTGTACGGAGTGCCGAGCAACATTCAAGGGACATCCTGGACAATGTGTTGGTTGTGCTAGGAATGCCCGAACATGGTAAGTCAAGCCGTATACGTGCAGAAGCGAGTCAAGGAGTCTACAGAAATGAAGGTGACATATTCTAGTTGGCATGGGTCTGCAGAATACTACTTGGTGTTACTAGTTGTATGTTTGAGTCTCCTATCATCTATCATCTATCGTTTTTCACTTTTGGGGGCTTTCGGCAACACCTTCTACGTACAAGTAAGGGCCTTGAGCTGGTTTGAATGGGATTGCGACACAACTGAAACTATTTTCCCTTGGAAGCAGAGATAACAGGCCCAAACCCTAGACGAAAGAAATCAGAAGGATTTCTTGCTCTTCCAAGTTCCTGGCTATTAAATGGGCAAAAAAGAGAGAAAAAAAAGGGAAGACGCGAAATTGCTGTCAACTGTCAGGTGGAGAACGTCAAGAGAGAGCTACCAGGTGTTCGTGCTAGACAGGGCTGGTGCCGGCTTGGAAGGACTTTGCATGCATTCCTTTGGGCTATAGGCAAGGTAAGGTACCCTAGCAGATGCATGTTGGTAGTATCAGGCCCTGAGAAGAAAAGAAAAGACAGATAGAAAGGGACACGAAATGAGCATGGCAGGGTATATTCTGAAGACACTATAAAAAAAAGAAAAAAAGAGAGGACAAGGGCGGGTTATTGTCACAAAAAACGCCACTTATAGGCTTTATATATACTGGTTACTCCATGAAGCAAGCAGCACGAGCGTGTATAACTTTTCTCTTTTTTTTTTTTTCCTTTTGAGAGAGTGGCTTAGAGGAGCTATACTGAAAAGGAAACGAGACACCCCCCAGTCCGGGTGTACCCTTGGGCTGCCACACCTTGGGAAAAAGTTGGCCGATAGTAAACGGAGAGGTAAAGAAAGATATTGAGTTTGAGAAAAAATGGAGGGGTTGGTTGAACTTGGGAAAAGCCTCAATCTTGTCTTCAGTTGGTGGTGTGTTTTGCGCGTCTTTATTCCTTTTTCTAGGTGGCTACATTGGCGTTGAGGCTTGGCTGGGTGACAGACATGTGAAGAGGTGAGATTCTGTGAGATGCCCGCTATGCGCGACATTTTTCCTCGACAAAAATTGCTATCGTTGTACGTAGTTTTCGGTAAGAGATGGATAGACTTTTAAGACGAAAGAGGCTGTTCTATTGCTGATGCGTTCTGTCTGGATGCCTACCTTATAGGCTAGAGAGAGAAAAGGATCTGCTAGTAGGCGCGCCAATAGCGAGACAAAGACTATTTGACAGTGTTTTGAAAGAGATGTTGAGGTTTTATTTTACTACTTGCGAGAGTAATATTACTAACATTTTCGATGCAGAGGATTCGCGCTATTCAAGCTTTTTGCGCTGGGACTTCTCATCTCTTACAGGTATTAGCAGATAGGCAAGAATAGCCAACAAGTCTGTTCATAACGCGACGAGCTGGCAAAGCGTATAAGTAGGGCAAACTACAAAGTACAAACTGTGTATGCGTACCTCATGCATGCGTTACCTGCTACGAAAGGGACAAAAAGGGCCATGTTCCCTGACTAGCCTTGCTATCGTGCATTCGGTGTGCATGCAGGTATCATCACTAGTGCGCTATATCGCGTCGTTTCTTCCCGGCATGTGTCTCTTGTGATTGCCACCAGTATTGTACTGTACAGGACGCCTGTGTGACGGCGGAGGCTTGGAAAGCATTGGCCCAAGGCTGCCTGATCTACATGATTGGGCTGCAATGATTTCCCCTCCCATTCTCTAGGTTGCTGTTTGGAGTAACAAGGAACTTGTTTTGGGGGCTGTGAGTCGCGCGCCGATCCTTTTTTTGACCTTGATGCCGTCTTGTTAAATTGGATGGCGTTTTTACTGTCACTCAGCCTCACGGAAAACGGGTTGCTAGATTGATGCAGGGATGGGGCACTTCATTTACTTTGAACAGTATATCTTGACAATTAGCGTGACTATGAACACCAAGATACAACGGGGTGTCGTTTTCAGTAGTAGTGGAAATGCTATACGGATACTCCCACTGTACGAGTATTTGTTTCCTTGAACACCTATTCCGCTGCGGTGGTAACCCAAGGTCAGCCCACCACTCGATGCATTAGCGATCCAACGGTATGATTGCTATTACTACGGAGTTTACTAGTAGCAGCAATACTCTGTAGATACCTCTCTCCGCCCTCATGGGGCGAATGCTACCCAAAACTAAGATTTGAGTTGATTAAAAATAGGTAGGCACGAGTACAATACTAACCCTACAACTCCGGCAGAGGAAATTACATGAGCACGTGAAATGGATCACAAAGTATTGTGTACTTGTCAGCCCTCTCAATTTAACAACGAAATTTCGCGTGACCTCATTTCGAATTGCGCTTTGGGGGAAGGTATTTCTTGCGTACACGCCATACGGGCCACCATAGTACGGCTTCGAGAGTTCCACTTGCGATGAAACATCATTTACGCATTCCCGTGATAGACCAACGGCAGCACTGATGGGCGTTTCAACATCCGGCCGTTGTTACTGGACAGGACGAGAGGATGTGAAAATGCAACCCGATTGGATTGGCGAGTGGGAAGAAGAAGGGAAATACTTTGCGCGCTGATCACTGTATAAGGTAGGTATACAGTGTTCAGTAGGCCTGTTAAAACACAGCAAGGTAGTGAAAAGCTCTTTTATGATTGGTACTGCCTTAGTACTTAGGTGTTACTGGTACTTGATTTCCTGGATGTACTTTAGCACGATACAGGAGTGTTGTTTATTGCTGTGGTATTCTTAGAAGCCCCTCCACGCAGCGCAGAGCTAAGCCATCAGTAACGCTACAGGTATATTGGCCTTGCAACTGGCATCAATAGTTCTGAATCGGCCTCCTTAGCAAGCGAACCTTTTGTTTTTCCATCTATCCGCATAAAGATGTAATTTGAGATAATCGATGAGTAGATAACTTGTCACTTTATTCCTTGCCCATTGGCGCCCAACAACCCGTTCCTTGGTTCGATAGGGCAGCGAGCCGTTGTGCAACCTGGAAATGATTGGCGTCCTCGTTGGCTGATGAACGGCGTGACCAACATAAATATATTCAACACCAAGGAACAGCCTTATTTCCGTAGGTATATAACAATAATCCAGGGGTAAGTAGGTACGAAATCCGCAAAAAAACTTTGTATAGCGTAGATTTCGCTCTATCCAACACCGAGTCAACGCTACCGTCACTCGTCATCTGATGTCGTAAGTTTTCTTCGCTTCCGTGCCGCCTGAGAGGGTTCAGCTTCACTGTGCCCAACCACGGACTCGCCACCGGATTCCTGTGCCGTACTGCCTTCAGGCCAGTCCTGGCCCACGCCGTTGTCGTCATTACCGTCATGGGTGGCTTCAGTGAAGACGAGATGACCCCGTCGACCGAGAACTTCGCGCCCCGCCTCCTCCAAGAGAATGCCAAAGGCCAACAGTGCCGTCTCATCCATGCTGCCCTCATCCAAGTTGCGCCCACTTTCCGAGGCTCCCTGATGGCGGTTCAGAGCCCCGTAATACTCGGATGAGTACTCGTGAATGGCCTTTAGGAGATCACTCTGAGGGAGAATGCCGCGTCCGCCGTTGGGCAGGTCCCACTCATGCGCGCGGTAGATGTCGTGCTCTGCATACCGCTCTGGTGCGTCTTTGCGGCGAAACAAGACGTCGTCTGGGGCGAGCTTATAGCTATCTCGCTGGTCGACGACCCTGGGCTGGACAATCCTGTCGCCCTGGGCCTCATCTCGCAGCACTCTGTCATATGTGACCCTTCCTTGCATACAGTTAACTTCACGTGACGGTTTTTAATTCCCAGATTCCTGGGAGAGGCTCATTTCGGATCCCCTTAGCTCACCTGCGACGGCGTCGTATACGGTAGCGAGCGTCCGCTGGCCCTGGCGTCGGTTACCGCTAGATGGCTGTGGCAAATGTGACCGGTTACCGAGGTCAGCATCGCCCATGTACTCGTCTGCAGCATCCATGGCTTTCCCGTTGTCTCCTTTGTTTTCTCTTTTGGGGTGTGTCTTTCGATTCCCGGCGCTCTCGTAGAGAATCCGCAGCCCTTGCCCGCCCTCACGGGTTCCAAAGTGATACAACAAGAAGACTAGTCCGCATCAAGCAAAACATGGCAGCTACAAGAGACCGTCCAGGTGAATGAGAAGAAAATAAAGCCCCTGGCTGGCCTCGGAAATGCGCCTGGAATCCAGCCTCAGAGAATAGGAAAAAAAAAGCACGAATCGTCGAAACAAAGTTTTGGCGCCAGAGCGTGGTAGCGGTAGCTGGCACTAATTGTGGGGTGCATTAGCCGTTGATTGACCGCCTTCGGTGACATCACGCGGGGCCTGCCGTCACCCAGCTTCTGACTTCACTCACAACAGCTTCATTCACGCATGAGATGAGCGCAGGCAAACGCCGCTGCGACTGGATAAAGCCACAGATACTCCCTGATATCTCCGTTTGACTTGATTGCAACCTCATTCTCTTGCTCTGCCGAGAGTGCCTCCTAGATGAATGCAGTCTCGCCTCCTCGCCCGTGAAGTCGGCGACCTACCTTGTCGCGACCTCTCGCAGATCACTGCATCTCAGCTGCTGCGCTCCTTCGGCCCAGCTCCCCAGCACCGCTTCAATGGCGAGGTGAAATTGCCGCAAAATGATCAGCAGACCGCGCCGGACGAGGACCGGCCGCACAGGCTGCGCGCTCACGGAGCAGGGGTGAGCAGCCTTGCCCTGGAGAAGTTTGATGGGCGCCTCCTCGTCTCTGGCGGCGCCGACGGATCAATCAAGCTCTGGGACCTGGAGAGCTGCCCGGGCCCCTACGAGACGCACACCTTTCTCCCCGTAAGCTCCATCAGCCGGTCGACTGGCGGTCCCAGGAGCGGCGGCCACAGCCATGGCATCACCCACCTGGCCTTTTATCCCTTCGACCCGGATGCCTTCCTCTCCAGCTCCTACGACAAGACGCTCAAGCTGTGGGCCACGGCAAGGTCAGCCTTGTCTGCCGAGTTTGATCTCAATGCCACTGTCTACTCGCACGCCTCCAGCCCAATAGCATCCCACCTGCTCATCTCGTGCGCCACCCAACACTCCAACGTCCGGCTCGTAGACCTCAAGTCGGGATCTGCCGTCCAGGCGCTCGTTGCCCATGGCGGGCCCGTCCTCAGCACGGCGTGGAGCCCTCGCCATGAGCACATCCTCGTTAGTGGCCATGCAGACGGCAAGGCCCGCATATGGGACATTCGCCGTGCTGGTGGCGTTATTGCGCAGCTCGACCAGGAGGACTCGCTGGGCATCGTGCACCGCTTCAAGCACGCCACGGCGTCTGGGTCTGATTGGGGCAGCATGCCGCATTTTCGTGCCTCAGCCCAGGCCCACGACGAGGCCGTCAACGGGCTGCAATGGACCGACGATGGCAGGTACATTGTGTCGGCTGGGCTTGACCGCCGCATCAGAGTGTGGGATACTGATACGGGAGCTAATACGCTTGCCAGCTTTGGATCCATCGTGCAGAACCAGCACGCTAAGACTGCAAGTTTCCTGGTAACCCCCTCAGGTCTCTCAACCGGTCATCAGCTTCTTGTCTGGCCCAATGACCAGGAAATCCTCCTACTGGATCTCCACGACGGGACCGTTGTTGGACGCCTGCGGAGCCCAGGCTCGACGCACTCCACGGGTGCCCGTGGTTCGGAAATGGGACGCAACCGCATCACAAACATCGCGTGGCGTAGTGCAGGGGGTGGCATTGGCCAGGCTGGACCCGTCATGGGCGGTGGCAACTCAATAGGAGCCATTTATAGCTCTCATCTGGACGGGCAAATACGAGCCTGGATGCCGCAGCTCCCTGGGCCGGAAGATGCGGACGAGGACGAGGTGCTTGGCGTGGACGAAGAGGTAAAGCAGAGAAAGAGGAAAGCCATCGAAAACGCATATAGAAGCCTCATGGGCAAGGAGATTACGTTTACTTGATCTTCTTATTCGATGTGTAAAAGCATTAGACCATAGGCTATATATAGAGACTCTAGTAAGGAATATAATAGGTGGTCAAATTCGGTCTTGTCTATATTAAAAGAAAGAAGAAAAATTAATACCTGAGTCGCCAGCCCTTCATCCTAGACGCCTTGCCCGTCATAATTAACCCTCATGTAGCGCTGCGTGCAGCTAGCAGCAAGCTCAATTTCCCATTTTTCATACAACCACGACAAAGCAAAGCCAACCATCGGGATAGGCAGCCTCTCTCATCATTTCCCCCAAGGGGGCATTAAACGGAGCGGGTACCCCGTGAAGCACCACGCTCGCCAGCACAGGGTCCCGACTGCTGGGAAACAGCATGGGCATCAGGTCCTTGAGAGCCTGTCCCAGCAGCTTTGGCTTTCGGTCCGGAGTGACGACAGGGACCAAGGACTGGACGACCTTGAACGATCCAGCTTCACCGGCTGCAAGAGCAGGAGGAGAGCTGCCGCTTCCTGCATTAGGGGGAGGTGTCGAGGGGATGTAGATACGTATGGGCACATGCTTGAGGGTGGCTGGGGCGTTGAGTAGGCGGGTGTGGATTTTGGAAAATGCAACGTAGTCGTTGTCAATGACGGCGTTCCAGAGCTGGGTGGTGTGGTCCTTTGACATTTTCATGATTTGGTTGGCGTTGCCGTAGCGAACGAAGTCGGCCTGGCTTGTGGCGTGAGTATGGTTTCATGTATGGAACTTCACTAGTTGTGTACTGTGCATGAATAGAAATCAAAGTAACCAAATTAATGGTAACAAACAAGAATGGAGATGAAATGAGGCGAAAAGAAGAGGAGAATGATTTACTCACCTCTTTGACGCTGTTTAGAAAGGTATCTCCGATATCCCAGGCAATCCCATCGTCCACAACCAGCCGCCATGGCAGACTCGGCGCATACAGGTCGGCCAGCAGCCCCACGGCCAGGTTCCTCAGCTGCACATCCTCAAAATGGAAGCTGGAGCACGGAGCATCAAAAAAGGCGGAGAGGCGTGGCAGCAGCAGCGACAGGTAGCTGAAGCGGGGGACGCTGGTGATGAAGGGCGTGGTGGGCGAGGACCGGTGAGTAATGTGCAGGGGGATCTGCGTGGCCCAGAGCGTCTGGGAGATGGAGGATGGCGCGGACATGGTATACTTTGCTTTGTTTGATAGGCTCGGCGGAGGTTATGGCGGAACCATGGCGAGGAAAAAGCAAAGGCACTTTGTTGCTGTTGTGTGTGGCACGGAGCAGGGCAGAGCACAAGAGTAGCAATGCCCTCGCGTCTACCCACGATACAGTTAGAGTAGCAGTTGGCCGAGAGATGTAAAGGACACAGTGAATGATGCCACAACCAGTCCTTGGCTGGGAGGTGAAAGAGATGACGAGCGTGAGGCCAATATCCAGCAGCCGGAGCCTTATTGCGGCGGGTGGGGCTGGTGTTGAGATGCAGGCACCAAGACGGCAGGTGGGGGTTGCCGTGGCGCTTGTCTTGTTTGCTCCGCACTACTGAATGTACCGTATACCTGTGCCTGTGCCTACCTCCATCACGAGACGCGGACTTCAACTTCGCATCTTCCTCTTATCTGGTGATACTACAACATACATCTACCTATTGACAGGATGCTTTTCAAAAATCCCTCATCTCTGCGTGTTTCATCCGACCACCTGGTTTTTCACACCCTCTCAAGCCACCCATTCAAGTGAAATCAATACTCTTGCCCCTCCAAAAGATTGCCTAAACTATCGTTTTCAGCTCCTCACCGGCTGCAAGGCTCTGCTGCACGAACCTTGCTTAAATGCTACCCCAGCCTGCTAGCCGCACGGCGTGGCTGACCGATAGATGATAAGTCTTTGTTTGCTTCAGCCGCTACTGGCTCCTCCTCGTGGGATTGGCGGCTAATCATCTGCTCAGCCTGATTGTACGACGTGCCAGGTGTAAGGTGGCATCTGTGCGTCTGTGTGTGTGCTTGCAGCACTTCACTCAGAGCACAGATTGTATTATTGAGCTGGCATTCCTATGCGGAGCAATAGTCACAGTACGAAAGTCGAACAGCCTCGAGCGAGCTGGGCATCCACCCCGGTGACTACGACCATGAGACTCATGCAATTCGGCAGCCATAGTTGTCACGCGATACATATCGGATATCGCATACAGCTGAGAAGCCGTGATGAAGTCGATTCGACTCGTGGCAGCAGCCTCTATCGAATAATGGATCAATGGATCAGTGAGCAAAGAGCGAAAATATGACTTTCGGCTCAAGCCAAACGTTTACAGTCTTGTCAATTTCCCAATATAGGTACCTACATAAACTTTACAATTTCAGCTATGAACAAATGTTAACCCAGCCGTTCTCTGCCTCTCATCCATCTTCTTCTCGAGATTCTGACACAACCCCTTTAAAAACAAGACTCTTCTACGCCCACACCCGACGGAACTTGGTATCAAACTCGTCTCTCAAAATGATGAATGCCTGGAGCACTTTAAGAAGACTGCCTTTTTGATATGCTCCAGCTGTTGCATAGTCATCTTCATCCTGGCTAAACAGAGTGGCAGAGGACGGTGGCGTCTCAGTACTGCTGCCCTCTCCATTAGGATCAGAGATGGTGCCGTCATCCATAGAGACCATTTCTGCTTCACTCTCAAAGTCTTCAAAGTCTTCTTCTGAAACCATCTCATTGGCATCCATCAAAATGGTAAGACTGCTAATAATTGTAGACAGGGTGCGAGAAAATTCTTTGAGGTGAAACCACACGTCTCCTCGTCGAATACCGTTATCTCTCACCAGGACAGCCATGCTACCATGCTTGTAAAAGTCGTACAAGTAAGCGTTGAATTCCACGTCTGTATCGTGTGGCCAGATGGGGATCGATGGGATGGCTGATTCTTCCAAAAATACGTCTCCACGAACTGTCTGGCACAAATCATGAATTGTCTTGAAGTTGTCTGCATTTCCAGACAAGGCAATGAAGGGGGATCTGACCATTCTGGAAGCCTCAGAGTCGGCAGAAACCCAGTGGATTGGCTCTTCTTGGCCTACTGCTGTCTGAGTGAACGGCAACATTCGATCCCTCTTGCCTTTCAGGCTATGGCTGACGTATGACTGCACGTATCTCTTGAATATAGAGAGAGTTTCTTCATTATGTTGTAAGAGCAGACTTTCAGCGTTCTGCGGCAGTGGCGGGAGAAATATGACAGATGATGATCTTTTCGCAACCTTGACCATTCTTTTGGTGCGCTTGGCTGGTACTCGAACGAATAAATGCGACAACACTAACATCATTTCCAAAAGCACTCTGTCGCGGTTTACATGTATGTCCGAACAAAGCGCATGGAAATAACCACCAATCAAGACTGAGTGAAATGCAAATACCGCATTCTCCATAAAGTATAAGTGGCCTATTATACTGGCGAAGTTGATGGGGACGCCAGTAGCCGAAAGCAGATTCTGTCTCCGAAGGTATTCGATGGAAAACCGGACATGATGTTTGATCGACATCTCCGACTCTGGTCCGCCCAGGTATAGACGTGTCTGAGATAGCAATGATTTGACCATGTTCACTGCGAAATCGCAGTTGTCAGACCCGTGAAGTAATGAAAACAGTCGGAGAATAAGCGTTGTAGACATGGGAAACTGTCCATTGAGGCCCGGGAGCCGCGCCGACATGATTTCATATACGCGTTCTCGTGAGATTCTGCTGAACACGACATTGCCAAGAAGATCGAAGCCTCTGCGACCGGCTCGACCTGAAGCCTGCCTGAAGTTTTGAGCTGTGAGGAATACGGAATCGCCATGAAAGATGACTGTCTTGCAAGGCATGTTGATACCAAGAGCAAGCGTGCCAGTTGCAGCAACCAACCTCAAGTACCCTTTACGAAACATGACTTCGACCCTAGTACAAAATTATTAGCAGGTTGCCTTTAATATCAGTATATATTAACTCACGTTTGGCGATACTGTCGGTTCAGACTGGAATGATGTACACCGAGGCCGCGTCGGAGAGCCTCCAGCAACCAAGGTTCGACTTGGCCTCTCAGGGCCGAGATCATCTCAACCACCTCCGACATTTGCATCTTCTTCGTGTCTGCAAAATTGAACTGCTCCAACGGATCATTTGGCTTGAAGCTTTTCCAAGGACTAATGTCAGCGTTTGCCTCCTCGCGCAACTGCTCTAATTTGGAAATCCTAGAGCCGTCAATGGCGTCGCCTTTGTTTCGCTGGACCGGCTTCTTCTTCTGTTGAAGGCTTTCGGATTTTTGCCATGCCTCAAAATCTTTTAATTTCTGAGCCCACGCAGGCGATTTTTTCTTCCACTCCTTTTCGGCCTCGACTAGCCTCATGAGCATCAGCTTCATGATGAGCTCGCATCCATGGGTATCATAGTGGAATATGAGAGCGGGCAGAGCACCTTGGCTGTACAGATCGATGGCCAAGTTAAACAGGCTTTCCAAATCGTCAACGCGCTTAACGCCAACATCGGAAGGCAAAGCCTTTTCTTTAGTCCAACATGGCTCGAGTGAGCTTCTTATGTCCTGAAATGCTGAGCCTGGCCTCTCTATGATGCGCCGAAGTGCTTGTTTGAGCTCTGTCTCCCACTGAAGGACGTCCGACTTGGTTATCGTCTCGGGGAGAATGGTGGAGGGATCAGGAACCCCAAGCTTGACGATGTCTTCATCTGAAAGCACTTTCTTTATAGTCTTCCATAGATGGAGACAGTCTCTCGCCTCTAGAGAAAGGTCTTCAAGTGCTGTACGAGCCCTAAGTAAAAAAAAAAAAAAAAAAAAAAAAAATTAATAACTCCAATCTGTCCGAGTAATTCTCCATGATACATACCTCTCAGTCAAAGCTGCTACAGGATGGATAAACCTGAGACTGGTACAACAGTCTTCACCTTCGTCTAGTCCGGGAACAGGGAGCGATTGATTGCGATGCAGTCCTTGAAACGGCTCGCGCTCTTGGGGTATGTGACAAAATTTCCGGAGATCTGAATATCGCGCTGTATGCACTATAAAGTCTAGCTTCAGGCCCTTACTTCGCTGTACTTGCGACAGCCATTCTCGGAAAGGGCCAGGATTTCCGATTGTTGCCGAGAGGGCAATCACTGGACATGGAGCCGCCAGAAGCAGCTGTTCCCATACCACGCCATCGGCATCCTGGCCGATACAGTGAACTTCATCAAAGATGATTCTCTTGATACGTCTGGACCAGGCATTGGGCCCTTTGGCATTTGTTGGTGCCAATAACAATATCTGGAGCATATGCGGGACAGTCACCAATATTTGACATCCTGTTGGGTTTTGGATTCGGTAATCACGAGTGTATATGGCCCAAACGGATTTGCCTTCTTGTTTGCGGTAAGACTTGGTGAAGCGTGCTCCAACTTCGGCGGCAATCTGATTCACGAGGGCTTTGGTCGGTGCAACGTATACCAGAACCCCCTCGTCGCTCTCTTCAAGTATTTTCTTCATTGCATAGAAAGATATGAATGTTTTGCCCGCAGATGTCGGTGCAATAACAAGGAGACTGTTATCGGCATCAATTGAATCAAGGACTTTGCGCTGCCAGCCATCGGGCTCAAACGGCACCCTTTTCTTTTCGTCTGGCTGAGAGTCAAATCTTCGATCCATGTAGGGAGCCGCGTATTCGAGCTGCATCTCGCGATAGTTTGGCATGGTCTTCTTCATGCTCTTGAAAACGTCATAATTAATAATGAAAGACAGCTCTTGCGTCTGATTGCCGACTTCGAGAGCAAGAAATGGTATCGCAAGATGGTTGGTCAACTTCTGCACTGCTTGATTCACTGTCTTGGAGACTTTGGCGGTCTGTATCTCTTGAAGCCATCTCCAGATAAGCGCAACCAAGTAGGACTCTGTGTTTTCATGGGTTAGCGTGGTATCTCATGGGTTGAAATGTCTTGTTCATGCTTACTCTCTGATCTTGCATCTGGTCGGGCCTTTGCCCACAACCGCGCGAGGATATGGCAGAGATAAAGGTGCACTTCGTATCCCAATGCTGTGTTGTCGTCTTTGGTTCGATCTGTCAGGAATACCAGAGCTTTGAGATAGCGAGCAGGCAGACTGTGCTCCTTTTCAAGCTCTCGGCATGTCTTTTTCCAAAGAGCGGTGGTGTTGCCTCGCTTGGTGGAATCTTTCTGCAATCGAAGCTCCTCCGCGGCTCTCAACGCACTCTCCTTACCACCCGGCTTGTTTCCCTGCCGCCCTGGCTTCTTGAATTGAGACTTCTTATTCTCCTTGTCTTTATTCGCTTTTACAGTATTCGCAATCGCCTTTTTGTTTTTGGCATCACTTGCTGTGTCTTTCTTCACGACGATAATCTCTGGGTCAATAAGCTTTCCCCTTGCGTTTGTTAGGCTCGCAGAATATGCCACAATGCTGGCCAAAAGCGTTTGTCTTTTCTTCATAGCGAAAAAGCCAAGTCGTTCGATTCTTCTCGTTGGCAGAAGCGGCTTTGTGTTGTGCCAATGGTGGAGATCTTCAAAGACAGCTTTAAAAGATTTGTCTTGCATGCCTTGACTTTCCTTCAACTGGATATCTTGAAGGAAGTCATTGAGTACGGGATGGCTAAAGGGCAAAGCCGAGACCTGTACACCGTCCGAGTCCCTCAGAAACGGCTCTTCCTTAGAATGCATAAGGTCGGGCAGATACTCTGAGAAACTTGCACCGGCTCCTGAGCGGAAAATTGACCAAAGGTGCCGCCAAGTCTCAATGATCGGATCTGGAAGCCACTTTGCAGTCCGCAGAGTCTCAAGAATGAAGTAGAATAAGGAGCCGTCAATGGCGTCAAACAGGTCCCAGTTCTCGTCAACCACATTCAACTCGGTCATCCATTCGTCCTTTTCTAGCAATGCCCATGAAATTTGGATGACCTGGCGCAGGAATTCGGAGTCTTCAGGGTGTGAATGGCATCGCTGTGAGCCAACCCAATGCTGACGCTCAAGCAATGTACAGTGTTTGAGTACAGCAAGATGAAGGAGGAATGCCTGAACTTTCTCTTGCATGTCAAGATGTTTTCCATCTATCAAGCCATCCTTTTGCATACGAAGCAGAGAAAGGCAAGCGACTATGCCCAGACGTTCTCGAACGGTTAGATCTTGATGCTCAGTGACCAAAGTATGGACACGATCATCTTTTGGGTCAAACAATGGAGTGAATGGCGAATCCAGCTCCTTTTTGATAGGAAATGGCCTCAGTGGCGTGGGTGATCTGCTCAGTAAGGGTGCGTATGCCTGGAAAAGATGTACATTAGTACCTCAAATTCTCACTAAAAGGAAGAAAAATCTTACCTTTGAGCTCTTCCACTCTAGAGCGTTGATTATGGCTACATTCTTGCCACGCGAGATCAAGCGGCGTATAGTATACCGCAAAGCGACTGTATCCTTGACGTCGTCTGATTCGATGCCGTCATGGCACAAGACGAAATGAATAGGCAAGCCTTGAAGATACTCTTCAAACTCTGCACTGGACAACGAATCAAACTCCAAAACAGATGCCCTGGCGCCATTATCTGCGCATTTTCGCGCGTGTCTCTGAAGATGCTTGACGATGACTGTTCTCGCCAGCTGATATTTATACTCGAAGCCCGATTGGTAAGGGACGCAAAGATCTCTCAGATCTCGGAAAAAGACAACATCAAAGTCGCACCCTCTCTTCTGGAAGTTACTGAGAAATCTCTCGACAAGGTATACGGCATGTAGCAGCTGGAATCCATCTATTTGGGCAAATTGTCAGCCGCTTAAAACTCCTCTGGGGACTTGCTTCACCTCCCTTACTCACCCTGAAAATTAGCCGGCGATTCTTCAAGACAGTGCCGAATGAGCGATTCTCCATGGATGATGAATGGCTCTTTGCCGGCGATATCACCGATCAGATCAACTTTGGGGGCCCAGAGGTGGGTGTACCAGATGCGCAAGGCGTTTTCTGGGGTTTCTGGAGGATCCATGGCAGGTTGATGCAAATGATGATAGTACTGATCTCTTGATAGAAGTAGAGAAAAAGAAAAGAGAGGGCCGATATCAGAAATAGGCAAAATGTATCAGCACACTTGGATGCCTTATTCTCTAGAAGCGAATGAAGCTGGCGTAGTAGACTTTGTAGTCTTGGGTCAAGAGAAAAGCATGGAAAAAGAATGAACGAGTAAACATAGAGGTGGGGAAACAAACGAAGATAAACAAAATTTCTCTCAAGATTTCCTGAGAAATGACAGATGAGATTGAATCGAGGGGTATTGCCAGGTGGGAGGCCTACAACAACAGCTGCCTGTCTGCTGGCCGCCCACAGCAACGCCATATTATGCACGCACACGCGTTTCAGCCTCGAGGCCCAATCTCGACACTGCGACGGTATTGGCTGGATATATTTGGATTTTCTTCTTTTTTTTTCTCCGGGAGGATTTGACTATAAATTACTGCAACGTAAGCTTGGCTTTAGACCTCCTGTTTCTTCTACCACCGCCGAGGTAGCAATGCTCAAATACCTACAGGGCGTCTTAGTTGTAAAGACGCATGTACAACCTGCCATATCTACTAGCTGCTTGTAAATAAAAAGGTATAGCTCCGATCATGTGTTCATCCATATATGCTATCTATCCGCCAGAAAATCAATCAGCTAGATCAGATAAAAGCTATTTCCCAGCCTTTAATGCTCTACAATCGCTTCTTGGTCAAATGTAGAAAAGACTTGACCTCTTTACTTGCTCAATATCTTCACATTGCATTAACGTATCTATAAGCTCGATAGAACAAAATAATACAACCAAAAAAGTCCCAAATTTTGATATATACGAACAGTCACTCTTTTAACCTTTTGAGAATGATGCCGCCCAAAAAACGCCAGACAATTACCAAAAATGCTTCCAACCGCCTCTCGTCCCTCCTCGCCTCACACAAGTTCTTATGTTCATACCGCACTCATCATTAAGCTCTCCAACATGCCTCCACTCTGACAAGCTATCTGCGCCCTCTCAACTTCGAGCTTGACTCTCTTATGCAGAGTCCTAAAGCCCTGATGCAGCTCCGCTGACGCACCAACGTACTCGGCATACAGATCCAGCAGCTGAACACCGACTTCCACGCAGATGCTCACGTAGCGAGGGTCGCAAATGTGTCCGCATACCCATTTCAACACTGGCTCTACGCTCTGCTCGTCGCGGTTCTCCAGCGCATCTCGAATGGCGCTGCGATGACGAAGCGCAAGCAGCAGTGTTAGGACGTTGAGGGGAGAGTACTCGGGTGATGAACGGTCAATGACCTGGTCGAGGGCCTTGGAATAGCGGGCGTGGCGAAGGTCAGCTTGCCACGGTCTCTCCTTCTTCTTAGTAGGACGGCCCTGGTTGGCAATGACAACGTCGGCGCTCTCGCCGAGCAGGTCGAGACGCTTGGTGGCTTCGACACGGCGTTTGCGCTTCTGCTTTTGCGCATCGAGGGAGTCGATTGTGCCGGCAACGAGCGCCTGCATTTCCTTCTCGCGCTCACGCTGGCGGGTGGCCTCGGTACCAGTAAGTCGTGTGCGAACGCTGAGCACGCCGGACTGCATGCCGACTGCGAGATGGCGATCGTCGTCTGAGGAATCGTTGGAGGGGATGACGCAGACTGACAGAATGGGGGCTTGGTACTTCATGCTATTCACAACGTTCCATCCTGTCGTTTCAAACATCTTGACATGGCCTTCTAAACTACCGGTGACGAGACGGCGGCCACCAGAGGCAAGGCTCATGGAAGTAACTGTCTTTTGGTGATTTGTGATGAGATGTAGTGGTCGTGCAGCGACCAGATCGAGGACGCTAACAGCGTTGCCAGCGGCCGCCAAGACGGTCGTTCCAGTCGGCAGAGGAAGCACACTCTCGACGGGGGCAGCGTGCTTGAACGTCATAACGGCAGAGTTGTTGCCCGTTCGCGGATCCCACAGCTTGACCGTGGAGTCGTAACTTCCAGACACCACCATGTTCGCCATCGTGCCCGGCATAAAGCTTCCAGTCCGCACGTAATCCGAATGGCCCACAAACGTGCTCGTCGGCTCGCTGCTGGGCAAATCCCACAGCCTAACCGTCTTGTCGTCGCTCGTACTCAACAGAGTGGTCAGTTCCACGGGCGAGAACTTGGTCGTCCACACGGGCTGCTTGTGATCCAGCCACGTCCTCAGGATAGCCCGCGATCCCACGTCAAACACCTGTATCCTGCCCGTATCGTCTCCCGCCACCAGGACGCGGCCGTCCCGGCGAATCTCTCCGCTTCGTGCCACATCACTAAACCGAGTGATTGTCTTGAGCAGCTTCCGGCTGCGGGTCGAGTAGATCTGCACACGGGTGCCCGTCGTCACGGCAAAAGAATCGCTGTTGCTTGACACGTGCGTGATGGGGAAATTGGTCGGCGAAGGAATCAAAAGAGGATTCTTAAACGATTTCCAGTAACGCTGCTCTGCCGTCATGGGCGCGGGGCCAGACACGAGCTTGACCCTCGGCAGGGGCGCCACTTGGGAGGCCATTGTGATTTATCTCTTCGACCGACCGAGATTTTACCGCAGACGCTTTGAAATGATGATGTTTTATGGTTGCAAAGTTGCTGTTTTGTTGGTTGATCACGATCCTTTGTCCCTCCGAAACTCGATTGACAGACGGTCGAAATAGCAGTGCAGTGAGGTTGGCAGCTAGGCTCGATTTTTTTTTTCTGCCAGCGATAAGCAAGCATTAGGCGATTAGATAAGATTCAATGGCGGAAAAGATACCGCGGGGCGAGTGAAGTCATGCCTAATAAGGACTAGCTCAAGTCTATAGGCTCCAAATGATAAGTACATACCTACTACCTCAGCAACGGCATACAGCATCTCTTATATGAAGATGTCTTTAAACCCAGGAAACGTTGCAATATTTTAGCCATCAATTGTATTCATTTCCTAAGTACCCATGCCAACACATGACTTCATACATAAACCCATCTCATCAGAACACATGAAAGAAAAGGAAATGAGAGGAAAGAAAGAAAGAAAACCAAATGTCATCCTATATCGCAGATAATTGCAAAAACGCCATTCCTAAATTTCTCCCAATACCGATTGATATGATTTCGATTCCATCCAATACTCATACAAAACAGTTAATAGATCAAAATGGTTAGTATCCACCTCGGCGTCTTGAACGCCCCGTGCCAATGTCAATCGACTGCATTTCCTGAATCAGAGCCATATCTTCTGCTCCTCCGTTGGCGCCACTCATGATGGGGAGTGGCACCTTGGCTGGAATAGGGGGTCCTTGATTGCCGCCGTTGTATTTGGGCGCATAATTGTCGTTTGGATAATCCCACGCGCCAGCACGTGATCGAGATGAACCGTATTGATTTGGTCCAACCTGAAAGTTATCTGGCGCAATAGATGCGAGGGGGTTCGGCGCCGACGTTGTTGGCCCCATTGAGTGGCGCATAGCTTTCTTTTGCAGTCGCTGTCGTCCACCTTGCGCCGGGGGAGGAGCACGAGACCCCTCTGTAAATCCGTAGGCGTTAGATGGTACTACCGCCTGCGAAGTTCTCGCCATGCTAATTCGTAGAGGTCGTCGGCCGCTAGGAGGCATTGGCTGCGCTCCGGAGAGAGCTGGTCTTGCTCGCACGGGCTCTTGAGAAGAAGGCTTTGGCTCGGGCTCAGGAGCCCAAGATTCTACTGGTAGATGATCTGATGGATCGATTTCTCGACCATCAGGGGTCACAATTTTGGAGGGAGGGTCCGACGCATCAACTCCTGGGGATCCATCTCTTGAAGATGCCCCTGGGTTGAATGCATCGTAGGAGTCAGGGCCAAAAGGAATGTCAGAATGTCTCCTATGGTCAGAACGAAGGGGGGCAGGGCTGACCGACTTGCGTCGGATCCTGTGTTGGGGATTAGGGGAAGGATCTCGATATCCCTGAGCCTGCGCCTGCGCCTGCGGATCCGGCCCACCGGAATAGTTACCCGATCTTCGCCTGTCGTATGATTCATACGCCTGCGGTGACGTACCATATGGCGGTTCATGTGAGGGCGGCGGCGGCTCACTTCCATGGCGACTTCGAATAGAAGCGTGTACCATTTGATTGTTGTTGTATTGGCCATCGTGGCGTCTTTCTTCATATGCTCTGTTGGACATCTCCTGAGCCATGGTAGGGTCTACCCCAGGAGCCAACGAGGGTGGCAAAGCAGGCAGCCCGTAGCTTGGAGAGCTCTGGATATAGGTAGTCTCGTACTCGCGCTGTTGACTAGGGCTAGGTCGTTGGCTTTGACTGCTATAATTATACTGAGAAATCTGTCCAGGGCTCTCGGTATAGTCTCTAGTCGACATGGGAGATACCGAATCTTGATTCCGGGGTTGCTCTTGATACATTGGATAGGCCCCAGGAGATTGGCCCATATAACCAGGAGATCCTCCCGGAGAGTGGCTGAGCTTCGTGGATGCGGGGATCGGGGCGTTGTTGAAAACCTCGTCCAGCGGGACGATTCTCGAACTGTTGCGGCGATCCCTATTCCGCATGGAACCGGTTGGTGATTCTGGGACGTCCTCTACAGTGGGTTGCATGGAGCGATATTGAGCGTCGTAGGCATCGTAGGAGTTAAGTGGCTCGTATGTAATAGCTCTTTGGATAGGCGGCTGTGCCACCATGGTCGGGTCGTAAGCTCGGAACTGTGGGCGGCCAGGATAACTTGGGGTAGAGTTTCTATGAGCCTCGTTCTTCAAAACATCAGATCTCATGGATACGGGTGGAACGCCCCTCTGCGGCGATTCATCCCCTCTCCGCTGCATGCGTTCTTGGCTGTTGCTATGCCGTGACCGGTGAGCCGGTGGCGGAGGAGCTGCTTGGCGGGGTTCGCCAAGAGGAGAGAATGGTGCGGCATCATCTGATGGAGTCATATCATAAGGCTCACTCGAAAGCGAGTAGCCGCTACCGCGGGGATCTTGCTGTTGATATGGTGAGACGGGTATCTTTTGGCTGTAGCCTTCTCTCTCTCTCGTGTATGAGTCCTGCCGTGTCGGGCGAGGCTGGCGAGGCCCCTCAACACGGCCTGAGCCAGAATGACTGGGTGAATGAGAAAAATGGTCTGCATGACGGGATCGAGTGCTCCCGTGCGGAGTACCGTACTCGGCAGTTTCGTGAAGAGAGGTTGTAGAACCGTATGGTGAGTGTGAGCTAATCTTGCCAGGAGAACGGTGAGGAGACTGATAGTCTGATGGAGATGGAACATTGGCGGTAACTTCGCCAGTGACAGGATCGGTCGGCAGAGGACGCCTTTTCACAGGCTCCTTGCGCTTAGGTGGTGAGCCCTCATGCTCGGCACCCATAGACTGCCTTGCTCTGGCAGCAGGCTTGTCGGGTTTGGGGCGAGAGTCGTAGAACGTGATCTCGAGTCGGATTTCCCCCGCATACTTGCCGCGGCATGTCAAAGTCTGCCATACGTCGTTCTGGCCTCCTCCAGCAATAATGATGCCCTTGAGATCGATCCAAGCCTCTCCAATGAGATCCGTCTTCTTGTCGTCAGTGAAGACGGAGACCTTGAGCTGGTAGTAGTCGGCCGAATCATGCACTGTAAATCGCAGCTCTTGGTCCCTACGGAAACAAAGTCAGCGAGCGCTCCTTGGCCCAGAGAGCACCGGATAGGCTAGGAAAGCTTACCATTTGGGAGTCTGTCCGCCTCTGACATCCGTCGCCGTCTTCTTGGCCTCTTTGCCGAGTCTTGCGGCGCAGTAGGGATCCTGCTTGCCTATGGTCTTGCGGTTGGGTAGGTTCTTTGCGCGGTCGACAACGGCGACGAGGGTGCCAATGATAGGCCCGTCAACACTCATGTCGGCGAAGAGTCCTGCCGTGTGCGGGCCATTCACGGCAAACTGTTTGGAGGCGGCAGACATGACTATGGTAGGTTGAAGCAGGCTCGCAAGAGCGCTGCCGCGAGTGCTTCTTGAGTGCAGGTTGGAGACATCCATGTTATTTGTTTACATCGGCTGAAAGGCAGGTATGCTAGCGTATGGCGATCAGCGACGCTCGGGATTGGGCGCCACCATTAAACTTTTGCGAGAGGCTGGGTCAGACGATGACGACAGCAAAGACGATGCAACGGGACAGAATCAGCCGTCAATAGGGAAAACGTCAGAATAGACAAAAAAAAAGAGAGAGAGAGAGAGAAAGAGGCGAAGAGAAGAGAGAAAATAGCCGCATGCTAGTCTATGCCATGGCAATGCAGAAGTTTAAAAGAAGAGGCTTGTGCCGCAGTCGGAAAGTTATTCTAAGGTACCTAACACCTGTGCTACTAAACTAGCGACCGCCAAGGGAGCTGCACAGCGCTCAGCTTTGTTGATGCAGCGGGCCTGCCAGGGCCTGCAGCGGTGCTTTGCGTGCGCCCGTGGTTGGGGGCAGGAAATAAAGGAAAAAAGGGATGCCGTACGCAAGTGGTGCTTGGCGCCACAGCTGCACGTCGTGGGTTTCAGGGCTGCGAGAGGCTCCGAAAAGAGGCTGCGTCCACCCTTTGATTTCAGGATGAGTGATCCCTTTGATGACGATGGAGGCTCGCTGGGTGGCTGGATGCTATCAAAATCGAGGTGGCTGGAGCGGCTACTGCAAGGGCACTAGACGCGCTGAAGACCTCACTGGCTTAAAGCTTGTTTGGCGCTGTGGGCTAGTGGCCCGGGTGCTGTGTCTCAGCCCCGCCCAGCGTCTCATTAGCAGCGTGGACTGGAGGCGGTGCCCTGTCAACGGAGGCTCCTTGTGCTCTGGCTGAGACCAGTAACCAGAGATGACGATCGATCGGCAAGATCAAAGGGCCTCTGGCCGCCCTGCATTGCCGGATGCACATGGCATTGAAGGTCTGGTCTCACCAGACGAGCTTTGTTTTGTGTTGCAGCTTCAGCTAGTGCAGCTCTCCAGCCTGAGCCTTCTGCAGCACTGCAGGCGCCGCGCACAGTGCACACGTACCTACAACCTACATGTAATCACCACTTTCACTCTCGCTCGCATCCTCTTGCTCTACAGGTACGCACCGAATATCTCTCTTCTCCAAAACCCAGCCCAGCAGCTGACGTCGCCCTGCCATCCAGGCCAAGCCGCCAAAAATATCCCGTCTTGCACACAAACGCGATCAAATCAGGCAACTCTTCTCCGTAACGGCCGCCGAGAGTGGACTTGGGGCACCGCATCTCCCTCGCTGCGCATCTCAGGAGGCGTCAGCAGCGGGTACGGGCAGCGTCTTTGTTCTTGATTTTCGGCCCCCACATCCTTGTCACGTATCCGTGCTAGCATCCGTTTCCTCAGATTGCGGATCGGGATATATTTTTCTAGACCTAAACGCAGTCCCTCCCTGTTGATAGACGGTGTACATAGTCCGACCGTACCACTGATATATAAGGGGAGACGCCAGACTAGCGGTCACAGTTTCGCTTGCTTTGGGTAAGGGGACTCGTGCTTCGAGAATTATATTCTCCAGGACGGTAGGTACTAGTGCTATGCAACAGTACAACTACCAGGGTCTGTATTCATGTAGCTTGTAAGAGCATTGGCAAATGGCAAGTAGGATGCTGACTAGCAGATCCTCATCGCCAATCGTGTCGATTTACCTACGGTAGATACGAGGTAGCACGTCACGCAACCAAGAGTCTTTCCGATGCAATGAGACTCGATCGTGGCTGAGTAGGCTCTTCTCACGCAAACAGCGATTCATCGATGTCCGAATGCACGTAATGCTAAGGGAGCACAACTTTTGAAGACTTTCTTTATACGTAACGTCTACCAATCACATCCCTTGGCCAGAAGCTCCGCAAGCTGCTCCAGGTTCTTCTTGTCCGTCTCGTCAAATCCATTCAGGACGGCGCAGTCAACGTCAATGATTGCGACGACTCTATCGCCCGATACGATGGGAACCACAATCTCGCTCTTGCTCTCGCTGTCACACGCAATGTGGCCGGGGAACTTCTCCACATCCTCGACTAGTTGCGTGGTCTTGGTGGCGGCAGCAGCACCGCATACGCCTCGTCCAAAGGGGATCGTCTGGCAGGCAACTTTGCCCTGGAATGGTCCCAGAATGAGCTGGTCCTGTTTCGTGGGATCCAGCACATAGAATCCTAGAATGAAGCAATAAACAAGAAGTCCTGGGATACACAGATAAAGCGTATCAACGTCACTTACCTGCCCAGTTTACTTCATTGCTTGGGGCGCCAAGCGACTTGTAGGCATGCCATAGTAGTGAGGCTGCGTTGGACAGGTTACTAGTAGAAGCCGCCTCGTGTCAATACGATGAGGGCCATGTATGAGATGCTCTACTCCTTTGATGTGATGCCGATCACCTACCAGACCTGTTACCATCTGTTAGTCGTCGTCGACGCGGTGAAGAGGAGAATTAAGGAGATTGACGAACCCAGTTGCGTTGACCGTAAAAGAGCCCTTCGGCCTGCAACAGCACCTGCTCATAGGCATCATCCTTGGTGACGCCCTCGGCAAAGTTGGACGCATCGGCGTGGACCTGCGGCATTCAGGTGAGCATAACCAACCTCCCTTTCTCCATCTTGCTGCTCGCTAGCACCGGGACCCTCAACGAACCATGGCTCCTTTTATTCCCTTGTGTTTCTCTTTAATCCCTGGCGACAATAAGAACCTTTTTCGTCCTTGGCGTCTGTCAAATCTCCTATTCAATCTCACAGATCGGTAACTGCTGGCCGGTTTTCTCGAAGGGATGTGGAAAAAGCGATGAGTGAGTTGACTGATTAGTCACCGAAAACTTCGAGATGGGAACCCACTCAGCAAGACTCGGCACAGCGAGTCAGTGGATGGCAATTGACGCCATCGGAACTACCCGGTGGAGACTTTGTGTCTTAAGAATCGCATTTTTGGCGCGGATAGCGAAAGGAGAGTTTCGGCTTTATAACATAAAGGGCAAAACTGCTACATTCTATGGTCGATATCGAGTTCGTTGCTATGAAAAGAGGCCACTTTCTTATCCGATGGGCTACATGTACATAACTTGTACGCTAGACCAATCCACGAACCACTCGAAACAGCGCCGCCGCTCTTTCTAACTTACTGCCGAATCATCTTTCTGACACGTCGCTATTCTAGAAATATGTATGGAGCCCAAAAGGGATGTCAACGGTGATCAACTCTCAGTTTCTTGCGAGACGAATGCGGTGAGCAAGCGCCCACTTCAAACTGGAGAAGCAAGCCGCATCGCTTAGCAGGAAAGCCCGGAACATGATTCCCCGGGCCTCCATCGGTATAAATCTGGATTCGGCGCTTAGAAGTCGATCCCGAGGTGGACGTATATTGTTCTCGGAGCTCTGAATAGCCACGACAAGTGTATAGGCATGCCTACTACCATCCCAATGACACAATCTCAATATCAACTCTAGACGCTTATATACATAGGTATTTTTTTCCCTGTATACAATCAGTACTATCAATCTACTATAGGCTTCTGCATACTGTACACATATCTACCAGCATGAGAAGAATTACTGAGTGGCCTCTGTAAGTCTAGGTCGAGATACAAAGTGCCAGACATCTATACGTCATACATCACTCTACCTCTGTAAGCTGCAAATAAACTTAGAGAAAATGCTCGTAGGGTACTAAGATATAGCGGTTGCTATTCATTTTCTACATACTAGTATTTGAGCAGTTGGCTTCGACGTATTACAGCACCTTGAAGAGGGCAGTGTGCCAGATTCGTGCCTGAACAGGCAACTAGATTTTAGCAGCTGGTAAAACACCGGCATCAATCTATGACACGACAATCTATGACACGAGCCTTCTTCTAGTCCATCTGCGTCCTGCAACGCAATTCTCATTCAATCAGACGTTTACAGACATGATAGCGGATCCTCATAAATTCTTTTCAATTTGTTCGTGATTTGACGGTGTCGGTGGCAGGCCAGTTGGTGCGATGAGTTATCGAGTCACGCAGCGATGCGGCTTAACAGCGCAAAAAACATGGCTCTTCAGCCCTCAGCTCCTCGCCGCGCAGGCGCGAGCCCTGCACACCAGCCCAGCTGCATATCAAACAAAAGCTGCTGCCCCTACAAGAGCTGTCACCCCTACTGTTAACAAGGGCTTTCGTCCCACTTCCAAGCCGCAGAAGCCTATAAACGCGGCTGTTAACCCTCCTGCTTCAACTCGTCCTCCGCCGCTGGAAACCGTTGAACCCCAGTCATCAAAGATCAAGTACTACTTCAAGCTGGGCAAAGCCTATGTCATCTTTTTCAAGGATGGCGTGAAAGCCATCATGGCGAACCGCAGGCTGGTCAACGAAAAAGTCAAGGCCTTGCCAAACGAGGAGCGGCCATCAATGTTCAAGCCGCACCATATTCCCAGCACATTCTCACGCGCAGACTGGGTGCTGTTATGGCGAACGAGACACGATCTGATACGACTGCCCCTCTTCGCCCTGTTCTTTCTCATTGCTGAGGATCTAACACCTATTTTGGTCATCTTCTTGCCCGGAATCTTGCCTTATACATGCCGATTTCCGAGACTTCTAAGCATCACACGAGAAAAAGCTGAGCAGCGACGTAAAGCTGCTTTCAACGAGCTGGAGAGCCGGCACCCTCATGGTGCGCCGAGTCCCGGACTCACAAAGGGCGTGGCACATCGACACCTCCTCAAGTCTTTGGATCTCTCAGGGAGGATGTGGGATCGCCTAGGATTCACTCCCCCAGGCATGTGGGCTATCAAGGGCAGACTGCGCATGATATTCCTGGAAATCGACGACCAGCGGCTACTCCAAGATGGAGGTCCCTTGGGCCTTGAAATTGAGGAGCTACGACTGGCCTGTTCTGACCGTGGCATCAATATTCTGGGCAAGAGTGAGACGGAGCTCAAGACGAAACTTGGCGACTGGCTACGGTTGACGGCGGCCGAGGACTTGGGAGAGCGGAGGCGACGCATGGCGACGTTGCTGCTAACGAGGTATGTACTACTGTACTCCCCTTTTTCTTTTGCCCAAAAAATTATGCTCAAGCGTGGAATATCCTACTAACATATTGTAGACCTGAGAATTGGCCTCAGCAACGCGATTTCGCTGTCCCCGAGTGGGAGCTATAAATGTGATACTACCATCTTTGCCAGAGACACTGGATCCTGGGAAAGACTCGGTAAAGGCCCGGTCTTGCACGCATGTCCTGCTACAGCGCGTATGACGACCCTCTCAGCTGCTATGCTCATCACTCTTCCATTTGAACTGTGTATATATAGAGTCTTCTTATTGCATCTGTTGATCGCGGTTCTGAGGTTGTATATATTGAATGTATTTTTACGGCGATTGGAGTTGGATCTTAGATGGCGCATCGATCTCACCTCAACATCCGCGGTTCGCAGCACACCTACGCTTCTCCTCTCAGCCCAGTCCTTCAGTCACATGAAGTGTAAAATGAACAAAAGATTCAATTGATCGTCCTAATGCGCTCGGCTATGCTGTTTCTGAATTACTACCACGTGCAAGATCCGGGGCCCCGAGCATGCGCCACCCGGGGTAAGCCCCCCACGTAAGATGAAGAGATGCCCAGAATGCAGCAATTGGAAAGGGTCGTGTAAACTCGAGCAGACGATGAGCTTCAGAGGGGAACTCCAGATTGCTTCGTCCACGTAGATCCCCTTCTTTTAGACTTCTTCGATCTAGGGCCAGCAGCTAGCCACTTTATCGGTTCATCTCTTACAAACATGTGCTGTCGAGAGGACCAAGTACAAGGACTAAGTCCCAACAAAGCAATTGAGCGCCGGAAATGATGATGTCAGCAAATTCGGCCGAGGCTCGCATCACATGTCCGCTCCATCAGACGCATCCATCCATTCCGGCTAATACTGAGCCAACTACCTGTCACATATTAAACCAAATCTCTTTCCTCTTTCTTCCTTGAACTTATTCAAAAATCGCAACTCGTATACCCTCCCTCCAGCTCCCTCTTTGCCTCTCAATAGCTTCTCGCCCACCATGTCTCTCAAGAACGGTAAGCCCATTCATTCCCAGCCAATAGCTCAAAAGACTAATCTGTTGCGCGCGCGCGCTGCCACAGACGCTTTCCCTTCCTCCGAGGCCTTCGAGGCCATCAACGCCGCTCTTAGCAGCGACGAAGCCGGCCGCAAGGACGCCATCAAGAACGGCAAGGCTGTCTTTGCCTTCACCCTCAAGAACAAGGCGGGCGAGACGGCCAGCTGGCACATTGACCTCAAGGACAAGGGCACCGTTGAGGCTGGCCTTCCCGAGAACGCCAACGGTATGGGCTTCCTCCGACATGACATTTGCAACATCCGTTTCTTTATTGGACACCCGCATGCTAACTTTGGCTCTCTCTAGTCACTCTGTCCCTCTCCGACGAGGATTTCGGCAAGCTCGTTACCGGCAAGGCCAATGCCCAGCGTCTCTTCATGTCTGGCAAGCTAAAGGTCAAGGGCGACGTCATGAAGGCCACCAAGATGGAGCCCATCCTGAAGAAGGCTCAGACCAAGGCCAAGTTGTAAAGGCTGCGATATACGAAAACAGAAAGAAAGAAACAAACAAAAACAAACAACATACTAAACGGCATTGATTTTGTTTTATTAATGTATCATACCATCATTGTTTAAAGCTGCAGCCACAGCTATCACTGATACGCTGTTTGTTTGCTACTTGCCCGCTGCATGAGCTAGGAGGAGGAAATTGATTTTACTATATATATATATACATATATATATATAGGTGGTGCCTTATGAATGTCGGCATAGACGAGAATACCATACTCGGCTGGATGCGCTTCCAGCTAGAAATTTAAAACCCTTTTGAGCCACTCTTTTGCAAAGTGATTGACTTTTATTCAAACATACTGCTCGCTCATGCGTCTAGAAACGAGCTGCAACCTTGCGAATAGCCTCCTTGGCTTCCTCACGTACCTCACGTACAATCTCACCCGCAGGCTGCACCTTAGTCACCAGTCCAATACCGGCACCTCTATAAGACATATCAAAACTCATCAGCTACAGTATCTCTTCAAATGCCACAATTCTGACAACCGGGAAAGAGGGAAAATAAAACTTACGCCCAAGTATTAATCATCTTCTCGCTCACTCCAGGAGGATAGTCATCCTTCAAGCTCTTACGACAGTCTTCAAACGACGCCCCGGCGAGATACTTTTCGTGGATGGGACCAACGACGGCTCTCCCGTCGTAAAGCGAGCCCCAGAGATCAGAATCGGCAATCTTGTCGTTGAAGGTGGACTTGAGCGTCGAGAGGGCGCCGTCAACGGCATCGAGGACGATCTTCTTGCGGAATTCGGGGAGGATGCTTTCTTTAGCAACGATGAACTATAGAGCATTCTGTTAGCTTACAGCGTGTCTGGCATCGACGAGGTTTTTGGCTGTCTCTTGTTCCTCTTTCGAAAAGCGTATGTCGCAAGGGGGTTACAGACTCTTGTACCAATAACAACACCATCCGCTTCTATAATTTGCGTTAGCACATCGCATCTCATCGTATATATAATTTGAGAGAAAGTCAACTCACCGAGCGTCAGCATAGCCGCCACACCCTTTCCATTCGTAATCCCCCCCGTCGCAAAAACTGCAACATCATACCCCCCCTCATCCACCAACTTCCTCGTCTCAGCCAGCAGCGGCACCACGCCCATCCCTCTCACGTACTGATGCCCTCCCGCGTCCGTCCCCTGCGCAACCACCACATCCGCGCCATCATCAATAGCCTCCTTCGCGGCCGTCACATTGCCCACCTGGATAAACACCCGCGGCGGCGTCTCAAGCTCCTTTAGCAACCGGACAATCTCCCTCTGCGGCCTGATGCTCTCGTGCGGCGCAAAGAGCCACACCGCGGCGGGCTTGTGCTTCTGGATGATGGGCAGGGTCGAGAACTCGAAGTCGACGACGGACTTGTGGCAGGTGAGGAAGCCGGCGCCGATGCGGAGGTGGCCGGAGGGCGTCGTGGCGTCGTCGCCGAGGAGCTGGCGGATCTTGATGAACTCGGCGTCGAGCCGGACGACTTGGGATGAGTTTTCGCTGAGATCTGCGATGCAGCCCAAGAAGCCTATCAAGTTGGATGTTAGTATTTATCTTGAAAGTTCATTTTCCTTGTCCGTCTTTTCAATTTCTTTTTTTTTTTTTTTTTTTTTTTTTTTTTCCATTTTCTTTTGTTCTCATCTTGTGTTGTGACGTCGTTGCCGAGCTTGACGCATGTAAGGATATCATCGGATACCTACCTAAACCACCAGCCTTGGTCACTTCAGCAGCGAGTTCTGGACTAACAGGGCCCGCCATGGGCGCACTCGCAATTACGGGAGTCTGCAGCCATGGAAACCATTCCAAAACTTGTGAGGTAGACATATCTGTAGCTGCATATACTTCTACCTATACTTCTGCCTCATAGGTACGCAAATAGACAAAATATGAGTTTATTGTTGACTTTGGTTGTAAAGAGCAGACAGTTTCAAACAACTCAGTTATGAGATGGGGGGAAACACGTATATTTATAATATATAAGCTCAAGCACCGGAGATGCTCAATCTGTTGATTAGATTGATTGTGGCTTCCTAAGGTTCGAATTGATTCCTAGGGCTTATTAGTCAACGCAAAGGAGTTGGCGTGCAGCATAACATAAGGTGCCACCATATACCAGTCTTGGCAAGACGCCAATATGAGAGGCTGTGTTGAGATGTACTCCAAATTATCCATAACTCATTATATTGCTTGGTTTTTTGCCATCTTTTAGTAAAACAAATAATCAGACTACTTATACTTTTATTTAATTCCTCTTTCTACTCTCTGTCATTCAGCTGAGGCGGCTTGTTGCCCAAGATGTCGTCAATCTCGGCTAAAATTTCCGGCGTCAACTTGTCCACAACCTCCAACGCCTTGATGTTCTCATACACCTGCTCGGGGCTGCTGGCGCCAGTAATGGCAGAGCTCACATTGTCGTTCTTGAGCACCCAGGCCAGCGCCACAGCAGCCTGCTTGACGCCCAGCCGCTCGGCAATGGGCTCCAGCTTGTTGACGCGGTTGATAATCTCCTGCCAGGCCTCCTTGCCGGTGCGCTTCCAGTAGCCGGCGATGAAGGGCACCTCGGTCTGGGCGAAGCGCGAGTCGTCGGGAATGCCGTTCTTGTACTTGCCGGACAGGATGCCCTGGTACAGCGGCGAGAAGACGGTCAGGCCCAGGCCGTGCTGGCGGTACAGGAACTGGTAGTCGCCCTCGACCTTTGTGCGGTTGAGCATGTTGTAGGCGGGCTGCTCCATCAGCGGTCCGATCAGGCCCAGCCGGTCGGCCACGCGCCACGCCTCCGCGATCTCGACGCCGGTCCACTCCGAGGTGCCCCAGTAGAAGGCCTTGCCGGAGTCGATGATGTGGTTGAAGGCGCGGACGGTCTCCTCCATGGGCGTCTTGCGGTCGGGACGGTGGGCGTAGATGAGGTCGACGTACTCGAGGTCCAGGCGCTTCAGGGAGGCGTTGACGCCCTCGACAATGTGCTTTCGGGAGAGGCCCAGGTTGTTGACGGGGTTCTTGCCAAATGCACCACCCCAGTAGATCTTTATTGGACAATTAGTAACAGATTCTCCCGGACGTGAACTTCCCCTCGACTTCTTCAAGTACCTTTGTGGAAATGACCAAGTCATTGCGGTTCCAGCCGTACTTCTTGATGGCCTCGCCCATGACAATCTCGGACTCGCCGCCGGCATAGGCTTCGGCGCAGTCAAAGAAGTTGACGCCAGAGTCGTATGCAGCCTTCATGCATGCATATGTGCCCTCTGTTAACGCACAGTTAGTAAGTCTCCGTCACTTTTCTCCCTTTCTCTCATTCCTTTCTTCTCCCAGGTTTTCTTCTACGCACCTCGATCAACATGGCCACCGTAAGTGAGCCATCCTCCCAGTGAAATGGCCGAGACCTGGAGACCTGAGCGTCCCAGGAATCGGTATGTCATAGCGGGGAGTCCGTCGGGCTTGGCCATTGTGTCTGATTTTTTGGGAGATTATCTTGTGAGATGCTGAGAAAGAAAATCAATGAGCTTTGAAAGCACAATTCGCAGGCGACACGTCCTTGTTTAAATACCCCGATGTACAGTCCATCCTAGCTTCCCCTCCCCCTCCTCAAGAGCTCCTGAGGGGCACTTTTGACTCTACAAATCATGAGTGGGGGGAAACACAAGAAGGAGGGAATTCGGAGTTGGAGATACACACAAGTTGGTGAACAATACACACACAGGACGGGATTCATTCTTCGCGGAAGCTACTCCCATTGTGGCGTATATGTGTGTGTATTATCAATTTGCGATCCCCGCCATGATGCGCTCTTGTCGTCAAACAGGCGGGGCAACTTTGTCCCATCAAAGACCGCAGAGGCCCCATGTTTTACGACGAGGTGTATGCTTGCGCCCTTGCAAATAGCCGCGGCCGTTAGCCGTTGACGTGCTCGAGTTAAGCGGCCGCGAATAGCATTGATATGTCCGGATTTCTAAGCTGGAGTAGCGCCGCGCTGGGGTCTGAAGACGGAGAGACTTGCAACGATTTCAATGGCTGTGGATCAGCCTAGTTGGCCTAAATGCAAGAGGTTGTCAGCTAATATCTACATTTTTGGTATCGGCGCATCGCTATATCGTCATTGCGTAGGTGTCGCTGCGTAGGACACCTTGATAGGCAAATTGCACGTATCGATACAGAGGTAGCTTAACATACAAAAAGTTTAGCTTGTTCGTGGCTGTTCAAACAAAAATTGAAATGAGCGTTATTTTCTTTCATTAATAGTGTATTACTATACTCATCCATCATTAATGCAAAGCCAAGAGCCAAAGATATCAAATTTCGATTATAGCATTGTTATAGGGTAGCCAGACACAGATATGGCAGCCAAGCCACCCACGCAGGGCTCAACTCCAAGTCGCTAATGTGTTTAATTGAACGGACGATTTTTCGGAGTGGTTGATCGGAAACTATCGATCGATCCAATTGCAGTAGCCCATCTATCGGCTAATGCATATGCTATCTGGACTTATTGACTCACACGCCGAGCAGATTGCATCGTGTCGCTATGTGTAATACGCGGAGATGCCATTCGTATGCATTGCGAATACGTTTATACTGATGGTGAGCATTTTACGATATTTCTGTGCCTGGCAGCCTTGTTCAACCTTTTCTTTTCTGCTCTACGTTGCACTTTTACGTCGCATGTGGCATAGAAAAGGATTTTGAGACTCAGGCGTTGCCCGGTAGCTGGAGGCTGCATACTTCGCCCTTCACGTCTTACTCTATACATTCGCTTCCAAAAAGGGAGAGAAAATAGTCGCCTTGGAAAAAGAGACAGCCCCATTCGTCGTCGGCTTTCGCCATTGGCCCAGAGACATGTAATACGACGGTCTCGGCCGTGCCTGGCAGACGCATGGATTCACGGGCTCCACGACATTGCGATGGGCCAGCAGATATTATAGGATATTATATGCTGCAAGGGCATTCTGGGTGTCACTCACATATGTGCATGTATGCAGCTGCGTTGTGACGAGACTAGTGCACTCAGGTGCAGCGTGCTATTCACAGCGGTAGCCAGTCATTGAGTGCCTCGTAGCTGACGGCGCTGCATGCGGGGATGAGGATGCGACTCGAGGGCCGCGTTCAGTGGGTGTATGAGCTGGAGATGGAGCTGGGGATAGAGCTGGATTATTGAATACAGACGCGCATCGAGCCCGACGTGGACAATGAATGAGGGAGCCACTTTGTGAGAGCCCCGTTGCCGCGACACCGCGAACGATGCGCGATGCATAAAGATGACCTCCAATACATGTACCTACCTACTCCATACGTCGTATCGTGAAATCACGGGGGACGGATCCGGCAAGATGCCCACGGAAATCGTATGAGCCGGACAGGTTCCAGCAGCGCATCACTGTCGCCAGTTAATAACGCAATATGGATCAATCTTTAATAAGAGGGCACTTGCTCAGATTCAAGGTAGCCAAGGTACGGCGTAGTGTCGTCGCCCATGTCCGCTTTATTACGGCATTATCCAGGGACATAGGCAGGATTTTAGTGAAAACAATTGCCTAGCAGCAAACAAATTTGGCGGTAAGGAGTCAGTTCCCTAAAACGTCGGTCATTAGCGACGAAGAAAGCTCGGATAGCTAGCACCATCGATTAGCCAGGGGGGAGGTTTATGAGGAGCTCCGTATAGCAAAACCTCTGCTATCATTGCCGTGGAGACGCGGATGGGGCTGCTCGTCTAACTGGGCTGGGACGCTGATTCTAGCATCAGGGACCGTTTCGTTAAAGCTTGGCCGTCGCTGCTAGCACAGAATACTACTAGTAGCAGTATGGAGTCTGGCCTGGCTTCTCCACACAGTAGTCTCTGCTAGCAGCAGGTGTAGATTGTCACCGTAATGCAAGCTTGGACGACACCGGAACTCAAAAGCTTTGGATGCATGAAGGAAACAGTGATTGGGACAGATGGAATGCGAGGGCAAGGCGACTCATTTGTCTGAATTCGACAATGGCAACACGTCTCGCTGCTCCCGGCTGGGCGATGGCCAATGCCAAGAACCGACTCGGATCACCATCGGCGCCGCCAGCAGAGGGGGCCGGGCTCGTGTCGTGAACACGCAGACGAGGAAGCTGCTTTGTCGGAAGCGAAATGGCGAAATAGGGCGACGACGCCGGTTTTATTGCCTGCAAAGTTATCTTGATGCCTGGTAGGGCTTACGTAGATTACAATGATCTGGCAGCGGGGCAATTCGCAGTGACGAAAACTTGGATTGAGCCATTGATCCTTTTTTCTTGCCTCTCGCGAGATTCCAAACCGGCTGCACGTGTCCTGTGCCCGTAACCGTCGCATTCGCAGGCGCTGCACCACATGGTGGCCTAGCACTTGGGCAGTGGCCGGTTCTTAATGCTGATTCGAAGGATGACGTTGCTGGACCTGAGAAAGCAAGCCACTGCTGTAATCCGTCAAGGCACAAAGAAAAAGAGAAGATGAATAAGAACATTGAAGCCAAAAAAAGGTACGTCTTTACAGCGTCGCATGGCGACCAAGGTTATTGCAAGCTCCATCCGTAGCTTCGTTTGGATTGTATTGGATCTTCTGCAAGGCCCTGCTCCCAGCTCGCGTTCCTGGTACGCGGCCAAGCACCGTCCATCAAAGTAACTCCAGGGTGCACGTCGCAGCCAGCGGGTACCTCACACGCGAGTACCCTGTCGGTGAAGCGCAGGTACCGCGATACCAGCCTAGCACCGAAATACCGCGACCAAACCCCAGCCCAAGCCCAGCCTTGGAGTCCCAACCTGGTAGCGTCCCATTTTCCCTTTCACCCTTTCCTCTCCTCCTTTCCTTTGAGCTGCTGCGTCTTTTCCTCCCTCTTGTTTTCCTCCTGCCAGCCATTCACTCATTCACTCACAGGCAACAGCAACCAGACCAGCCCATACCATACGCACCCTGCGAAACGAAACCAACGAAAGCTGCAGTGGCAAACAAACTCAGATCCAGCAGCAATCGCGTGAGTCCAACTATGCACTACTGCACATGCTAACCGCCGAGTGCCTGGATGCGGGCGAGGCCACGGTGCGAAGAAGCGCGGCTGCCGGTGTGGGCGGCGCTGCGTTGCGTGGCGCGGTGTCGCCGGTTCCATGATGGCGGCCTTCCAGTCTGGGCCGCGACTTTGGCACCATCTGGCACCGGCCGGTCTGCTCGCAGCAGGCGCTGGCGCGCTGTCTTCCAGGCGCTGCAGTGGACAACTTTTTGTGCAGCTGCACCGCCTAGCGTGTCCGGTCCAGCGCGGCCAGGCTAGTGGACCGCCCGCCACTCAGCGCTGGACAGTACACGGGACAGCCCCCAGGTTGGCTTGACCGCCCGCCCAGCCCCTGCCGAACCCCTGCTGGTCGCCTCAGCAGACTTTGCCAGGCCCCGAAATCCAGCGCCCCAGCCCAGCGGCCGGCCTCTCACTCACTCCTTCGTCCTTTTCTGTCTCGACGCTCTTCCTCTGCATCTCCGTTGCCATCATTTCCAGCACCGTCACCCGCCTCCATCCCCATCGCTGCTCCGCGCCGGAATGCTTGTTTCATCACGTCGTCGCTGACTGCTTGTATCCTTTTGGCCCTTCCCACAGATACCGGCCCTCTAATTTTCCGCCCCCCCTGTCCAGGGGCTGCCTTCGTTGCTCCCGAGCCTCGTCTGCCGACCGTTCGCCCAACCGGAAGTAGTCGACGGTTCTTCTCTCGCCCTCAGTCCTTGATCAATCCGAACCTCCATCGCGACATCTCGAGGAGCCCTATCGCGCACCGCAGCCATGGCTTCCTCGTCGTCCAACGTCGTCGGCGTCCACTACCGAGTCGGAAAGAAAATCGGAGAGGGCTCCTTTGGTGTCATCTTTGAGGGTACTAACCTGCTCAACAATCAGCAAGTGGCCATCAAATTTGTGAGTAGCAGAGCCGAATCTAAAGCCATCATCTCTGAATGGCGGGAAATGATCGCGTCTTTCTCCGCCATGGCTTTCGATATTCGATTTTCAATTCAATTTCAAACTTTTTTTTTGCTGACTTGTTATCTCGCAGGAACCTCGGAAGAGTGATGCACCACAGCTTCGAGATGAGTACCGCACGTACAAAATTCTCGTCGGTTGCCGTAAGTCATATGCTAGCCAACTTGCACCAATCCCATTGTCATGGGCATTTGGATACTAATGAGACGCGCTTTTTCTAGCTGGCATTCCCAATGTCTACTACTTTGGACAGGAGGGTCTGCACAACATCCTGGTCATCGACCTGCTCGGCCCTTCACTGGAAGATCTTTTCGACCACTGCGGACGCCGATTCACAATCAAGACTGTTGTCATGGTCGCCAAGCAGATGCTTTCTCGAGTCCAGACGATACACGAAAAGAACCTCATCTACCGTGATATCAAGCCTGACAACTTCCTGATTGGACGACCGGGTACCAAGGCATCCAATGTCATCCACGTGGTCGATTTTGGCATGGCCAAGCAATATCGCGATCCCAAGACCAAGCAGCACATTCCCTACCGTGAGCGAAAGTCGCTGTCCGGTACTGCCCGTTACATGAGTATCAACACCCATCTTGGACGCGAACAATCCCGAAGAGACGATCTGGAGGCCCTCGGTCACGTCTTCATGTATTTCCTTCGCGGTGGCCTTCCCTGGCAGGGCCTGAAGGCTGCCACTAACAAACAGAAGTACGAGAAGATAGGGGAAAAGAAGCAGACCACTGCCATTAAGGATCTTTGCGAGGGCTTCCCTGAAGAGTTCAACAAGTACTTGACGTATGTTCGAAACCTCGGTTTTGAAGATACCCCCGACTACGACTACCTTCGAGAGCTCTTCACCCAGGCCTTGAAGAACGCTGGTGACGTCGAGGATGGCGAGTACGACTGGATGAAGATCAACAAGGATTCGGGAAAGGGGTGGGACTCGATGAAGAATCATGGCGCCGCATACTTGCACAACCCAAACGCCCGCCCCGGTCCTTCTCAAATGGAGCTGCACAGTGGTCATCGTCCTGGGAATACCACCTCTCAACAGCAGGCTCCGATCACCGTCAGCCGTTTAAACGCCGCGCAGCCACCTCCTCCATCGCCGATCAAGCAGATGGGGAGCAAGAGAGATCGTCCAAACGCCCAAGGCGGGCTGCAAGCCCAGCGCATGAGTGGAACAGGCCTTCGCGAAATGGGTACCCCGACTGGCTCAACCCAGGCCCAGTTCCAGAACAGCACCCAGAACCTGCCTCAGCCGATAACGACCCAGCCGGGCCCCATGGCGGCCGCGGGCCAGCCTAGCGGACGACCTGCTGAAGCCCCCCAGCCCAGCGGCTTCCAGAAATTCATCAAGACTATTTGCTGCGGTTAAAGTGAGCGTTTTTGTTTCAGCGAGTTTTTCGGGAATTTATTTACCATGCATTGGCCGCGACATTGTACCCCGACAATTGTTATGTCGACCGCCCCCCTTAATTCTATTGGAGATTTGGTTCCTCAAAATATATACCTGCCGGCACGGCGGACATTTGTTCTCTAGATTCCGAGCAACCGTGTGGCTTGGCCAAAGACTCTACGTGGCAATAGCGAGCTGCAGGGCCTTTGACTAGACAAGGACAATGGACCGTTTCAAGGCGACGACGCTCTGGTTTGGAAACAAATAGCGAATCGATTTACTCCATACATTCACCACTTCCATGTCATAAACACCTACCACTCAATAGAAGAACCGCGACACTGATTGGAGCACAATGTCCATTATGACCAACCGAGCAGGAGTTGAGAGAGAAGAAAAAAACGACAGACGGATACTGGTCTTGATTTTTAGCTTGGACTTGTTTTCTTTTTTCCTCTTTTTCATTTTTTCCATTTTCATTTCATTATTTCCTTTTTTTGTTTTCTTATGTCTGACATTCCATTACGACACCATACTACACCACTTTCGATGTGCAGCGCAGCAAGGCGCAGGATGGTCACGAAGGGCAGCAGCATTGGGTCTGGTCCGGGTGTACTTTTCTTTTTACTCTTATTTGCACCGTCTATATAATAAGTCTTGCGAGATTTGCGAATCATGGAGTGGTGGAGAATGAGATAGAGATGGGAAAGGGGAGGGAGGAGAGCGAAGAGCGGGCAATGGAATGTGTGTATAGAGACGAATTTGAGATACAGTAGCAGCATATGGCGTGAAACAGTTCAGAAGTTGGCGGAGCTTTTTGTACGGAGGGCGAGAAGATGTCTTTTGAGAGCTTGGGATCCGTCATTAGGTAGGGAGTTATTCATCGGTATACCTTGTAATGGAATTAGGATTGTCCAAAAAGAAAAAAAAGAAAAGAGCAAAAAACAAACGGCAAGGCGAGTAGAGAGTATGAGTATCAAAAAATAATTGGAGCAATTACTATCGAACTTTTTATTTTTTTTTCTTTCAATCTTTCGTAACAACGGTACGCTTCAGATCCCGCATTAAGTACCACCTCCAACCCTTTTCTTCTACCCTTTTCTTCTACCCTTTTCTCATCATCATATACTTGGCTATGCACAATGACTGAAATGTTCCCTGACATTTGACTCAGGTAATGATGTAATTGGTATCATGTCCTCTTTCACCAATTCCACCACATTTGTTTTGACAAGATAATTTTTCTTTCCTCTTCTTCGCTCTATGTTTGCTCTCGCCGTATTTATCTTATTTTGCATCCATCCTAAGTAAGCTTCTGCTTAATGAAGAAGGAACGCAGATGAGAAAGTTGCCATGCGCAGGTGGCGCCGAGAATGACGAGCTGAATGACGATCCATCGAATGACACGGGCGTTGGTAGACTCGGACTGATCTCTGAATTCGGCCTCTCGCTCCTGTAGATTTACACAAGTTTTTGATTAATTATAGGTCGGGAGGGAGAGATACAAAAGAGGAAAGGGAGGGATCACGAACTCTCTGGAAAACTTGCTCCCTGCGAATGTCGTTTAACCTAGCATTGAGGTCCTTGACGCGAGTGGTGATATCGGTCAGCTTGTCCTTGTCGTCGCTCTCAATCTGGCTGGTCTCGCCAATGACCATGTCGAGACGCAGCTTGATGCCGCCGTTGGGGTTGGACATGGAGAGCCAGCCCGTGCGGCCGCTGCTAGAGGAGGGCATGAAGCAGATCTTGTGGTCGCCGGCGTCGGCGGCGGAGAAGGTGAAGCGGCCGGAGGAGGTGCCTCGCTGGGAGACGACACGGTGGTTGTTGTCGAAGATTTCCTGCACAAGACATTAGCCGGCGATGCCCATTGTCATTTCATTGGACGACGTAGTATATATATTTTCTTCTTTTGCACATACCTCGACCGTGATGTAGATGCTGATGCCCTGGTGCTGCTGCCACATGTTCGCTCTGTCATCCCACTCCTCGGCGGAGTAGTGGCCCACGACGAGCGTGTCCTTGGGGAGCTCTTCGTAGAAGCACTTGGGCGTGCCTCCGTCGACGTAGAAGTACAGGGCCTGCGCCGCAGCCACAAAGGTTGCGAAAGAAAAAAGGGACCTCATGTTGGCGTTCGTTGGGTAGAGGGAGAGCTCTGTTCCGTTTCCTAAGCAGGTGTAATTGGGGCCACTGAATGCTCCCAGTCTTTCGCTTCTTCCAAACAGAGGCAAAAAAAAAGTTGTAATCCTCTACAAGAGAATTGCAATTGATGCCTTGTCGCCTTGCTGCAGAGGATAGAAAAGAAAAGAAAGGATGCAATTGCCGTCAAGCCTCCCTTCGAGATTTGTACGGTGGCCGCTTTTCGATCTCGAGTCCCTCCAGCGGGAAAGCTGCCACGTTCAAGGAATCCAGGGGTCTGCGCAGCGCCAGAGCGGAGTCACGTGCTTGCGACAAGCCGCCCAAACGCGCTTTTCCAGAACGACAAGGTTTAAACTACCAGATTGTAATTCATCCATCAGCCTTGCGCTTTGACTGCTGTTTTTCAACTCGTTTAACTTTTTCCTCTTCTTCTCCAGCCATCGCTGCTTTTCAATTCCAAACATCGCACTCACCCGACCGCCACGATCGCCTGTAACCTATCTAACTAGATATTCTCTTTCCGACGAAATACTTTACTTTTTCTGGATTTCCGCTTTTCGAGATCATAAAGCGATGACGGCATAAATTCTTCCCCAAACGCTTTTCGCTTCTCGTATCTCACAACGACGCTCACACGATAATATCCTCCGAAAAACAACAATGGCATCCTCCGACGTCCGCGACGTGCTCAACCTCCCCGATGGCGCTGCCGGCGGCCCTCGCCCCTCCAAGAAACAGAAGATTTCGGCGCCACGTCCCAACCTCAAGGGCCTTGCGCGCGAGGTTCACAATCTAGGCGGCGACAATCCCATCGCCATTGTTCCAGAGGTCACACAGTTTAAGAAGCGCCGCTTTGCTAGCCGCAAGCCGGCCGCACGGTGGGAGCTGAGGCCGTTTCAGAATTCTGGGAGGGAAGATGCAAGTCTGATTTTGAGGCACTGGAGGAGAGCTGAGGAGGGAAAGCAGCCTTCATCTACAGCTGGGGGTGGTGAGGGACAAGCTGGAGAAAATGATGTGTCTGGATCAAAGGGAGAGGAGGAAATTGAGGATTCGTCATATGCCAAGTATAACGTTCAAGTCTCGGTGCCTCAATACAACGACGACCAATATCGTCAAGTCCTGGAGAATCCTGACTGGACCAAGGAAGAGACGGATTACTTGATGGAACTAGTGCGTGATTTTGACATACGATGGCCCCTTATATGGGATCGTTACGAATGGAGTCCGCCAGCCACCAACGGAGAGGCCGATGCTGACGGCGACGAGAGTAAGGCTATCGTCCCAGCTACCCGAACTCGATCTATGGAAGACCTCAAGGCGAGATACTACGAGGTAGCATCAAGAATGATGGCCGTTCAAAAACCCGTCCAATACATGACGCAGCCTGAGTTTGCGCTGCACGAACTGATGGCTCATTTCAACCCTCAGCAGGAAAAGCTGCGCAAGGATTTTGCGCTCAATTCCTTTGGGCGATCCCGCGAAGAAGCTCGCGAAGAGGAGTCATTACTGCTAGAGATCAAACGGATATTGGCTCGAAGCGATAAATTTAACGAAGAACGGAGGGAGCTGTATAACCGCCTTGATTACCCCCATGCGGAGCAAGACATCAACACTTTTAAGTCATCGACTGGCTTGCAGACATTGCTCCAAAACTTGATGACTGCCGATAAATCCAAAAAGCGAAAGTCTATCATGGGTGGCGAGGCACCTACACCTACTGGCCAACCCACACCACAACAAGCAGCTCCAGAGAGTGCTAGACGTGATAGTGCCGCAGCTTCTACTGGTCCACGAGACTCTGCGCCAGCGGCGGCACCTGCCCCTGGTAACAAGAAAGCTCAACAGCAGCAGCAACAGGCACAGCAGCAACAACAAGCCCAACAAGCCCAGCAACAACAGTCTCAACCACAAGAGCGCAAGAAGCTTACTGAACAAGAGGAGATTATCTACGGTGTTACACACCATGAACGCTTAGGCTCTGGTCCTACATTCCGGACAGAAAAGATCAACAAGCTTTTCTCTCACAAATCAAACCAGCAGCAACTGCGTATCACCAATACCCTCAACGAGCTGGATGTTCCTGCTAAGCTAGCTATGCCTACAGCGGCAACGACCCACGCATTCGAACAGCTTCTGGCGTCTGTTAATAGCCTTCTCGACGCTCGTAAAGTAACGGACAAGATTGACGCGGAGATCAAGCTGGAACTGGCGAAGAAGGCGGAGCGTGAGAAGGCTGCCGGTATCCACGAAGAAACCGAGAAAGTGGAGGACGCTGGTGGCAATGCCAAGGACGATGCGGCTGCTGCAGATGAACCCTCCAAGGAAGAAGACAACAAAGGCGCCACTGAAGGAGCTGATCCCGCGGACGAGGAAAAGGAGGAGGACGACGGTGAAGATGCCACGCCGTCCGACGAAGCGGCAGCCCAGCCGTCTGTGGAACAGGACGACGACGATAACGACGACGCGGCGGACAAAGGGACAGATGATCAGCTGGAGAGTGCGGCTCCTAAGCGAAGTGCGAGTGTTTTGAGCGACAAGAGCGATAAAGCTGCAAAGAGACAGAAGAAATGATTGATCTTTGCCTTTGGTATCTCACAAGTACCGGTACTTACCCTTTACGCGCCCATCCGCCATCTTGGTCATACTGCATTCATTAGCAGCGGGAATCGATGATCCCTGTTTGTTCGCTTGTTTTATTTTTGGGAGCGAAAGATTAAGGTCCCTGGCGTTGAAAGCGAGATTTCAATCTACGACATGTGCGGAATGTGAGAACCCACTCTAGCAAACAAAAGGGCCCATATGCGTAACTCGTCACACATGACGCATGGTGGATTCAATAAACTATCAACAGCATTGTTTTAGCGGCTATTGATAATAATTACCCCGGGCTATATGACGGCGCTTGGGCGGAAATGAGCATACACATGAAACCGGTTCGCTCGCTCCCATGTTGAGGGTGATAATGTTGGTTGGGCGCTTCTGTTTGTTTAGAAACAATATTTTTCTTCTTGTTTCTTACGAGCTCCTCTCTTACTTGCTTAAGCGAAGAAGCGCCCTCCTTATGGTCTCATAGTAGGCCTCGGGAAATACTTGGAAGAGATGCTGCAGGTTCCCAACGTATGGTGACGTCTGTGTGGGCGCGTGAAAATTAGAAGGGGAGTGATAAGGAGGGGGGGAATAGAGGCATGCGGCGCGTAACCGCGTATTAAGACGTGTATGGAGCAGAGTTATGAGAATACTAAACACGTTATGGGGCTTCGACTAGGGGGGAGAAATAAAAGCCCGAAGAGAAAGAGAGAGAGAGAGAGAGGCGGAGAGAGGGATATGATAGCGTCTTTGATGGGTTCACGAATGATGTTACAATAAGGCTCATGCCGTTTTTAGACAGCTGCATTGAGGCTACATCTTAATATAGCAACCTATATATAAATATAGCAACAGTGTGCTCTTTCTAAATATAACATCTTGCCCCTGGATCTCGCGTAGAATAGACACGGGGATCGAGATGGCTATATCTGGAACTTCATGAACTAGCATCTGGAAGAAGACCCAGAGGGGGTAGCACAGCGAGATGGAGACAGCGAGAGAGATGGAGGGGCGTGGATGAAGCGGTACCGCGAGCGTGGAATGGAGAAATATTGGGATGCTTGCATGGGACTCTCTCGCATGGCATGCCGTCGGTGGGACTTTTGATGTATGTCTGCAGGGGAAGTTGACGAGAGGAGACAGAAATAGAAACAGGAAAAGCAAGAATTGCCATGGATCTGTTTGTTCTTTCTGCATCAAGGTGGAGCAGAAAGAAATGCTGGCGTCTCCAGGATCACCATCAATGGTCCTCGTGGGCGGGTAAGAGGGTCGGTCCCCTCGATGGTGTTTGCTGGATGAACCATGGAGAACGAATGGGGGCCATTATGCAAGGTCCCAGGTCCCAAGACGATGCCTTGCATAAGCCCTGATGATAAAAATAGAGCGGATGCCACCCTCCTCCTCTGTTTTATTTATATACTTGCAACTACCGCTCAGGGGTGAAGCAAATTATTGATATTCGAGAGCCAGAGGTTGGAGCGCCGCAGCAGAATCGTTCTAGAAGTTGACGCGCCTTATCGCCAGCGCTTATTACTAGTTAAGCGGCTATTTAGAGAGCGATCATTGGACCGAGCAAGGAGCGGGTGGAGAGGGCAAGATGGCGCTGGGAAACAGTAATCTGATGGCCTACCGTTCTTGCTTCCTCACTTCCCCTGCCATGCTGCAAGTCTCTTAATGGAGAACATATCCGATGAACCCTGTGATCAGATGGCTATTTTTGGCCACGGCCTTCTTCAGGCTCTCAGCGATGTAACATGAAGCTCCAGCAGTATCCGCTTGTTTACTTTGAGAAGGTTATCATCTGCACAAAAAGGTGCCCTGCCGTGATGGGCCCCAAAAGTAAACAAGTCTGGATCTTTATAAGGACTGCACTTCGGTTAGGTATTCACATTTTGGCAATCCAATAGTACCGAAGTCATGCAACTTGGTGGGTTAACAAATGTTCGATATCTCCACCAACCTCGGATTTGAAGATCCACTATTATTCCGGTGCCGTTTTAGGTAGGTGCCTATCTGGTTAGCAAAGCACTCAACTGCCAAATACTAGCAGTCAGGGTCGCCGGCTATTTCGTGAAATTGTCCGTGTATTCGGTCAGCTGCTGAGGTTAGCCATCATCATCATGGGCACTTCGTAGAGCACCTCGGCGGGCTTTTCTTGCTCTTCTTGCTTTTCTTGATCCAAGTGAATCAGCAATGCAAAAGCAAAGAACGATTTCCCGGCCCGCCTTGCCCGCTGCGCGCTTGCAAAAACCGCCAACTTAATTTTAGCCTCGCCAAGAACAAGAAAGCAAATCAGAGCACAGGCCCACGGAAATCAATCTTCAACCAACAACACACGCCCCAATCCCCACTTCTTTTTCACTTTCCTTCGGCCCAGACGTTGCTGGATCCTTGGGCTGCCCAGACTCAGACCCGAGACTTCAAACCAACAGCATCGCCGTCGTTTCGTCCTCCCGTGTTGCCGCTAGCAGGTGCAAACTCGCTCGCCGAGACAGGCAATAGTTTCGCACACAGCGTGTTCCCAGCCCTTCTCCACATGGGACGTCTTTCTTCGTGCCGCACCATTGACTGCCAGCACGCGGCTTTTGCACTGCTGGTGCTCGGTAGCGGTATCCTGTAGCAATAGCCGCATGCTGGCCGAGCTTGGCTGGCATATGGCCAACCTTATATGCGACTTCATAGTATCTGGCATCTCGCTGCGCAGGACCGGGCGGATGAAGCAAAGGTATACTAATGACCGCATTGGGGCTGCCGGCTGTAGCTGCTCCTCCTGGAGCAAGATCCTGTTCAGTCTAGCATTTCCGAGTAGCACGCACTATGACTCCCAGAAGCCAACAAGGCACGCGTTGATATGCGAGTGAGTATGCACTCCCTCGGGCACCTATTCCCGTCTGGGGCTAGAATCTTCAGCCTGGCATCCTGCGAGCAGTTGGTTCGGAGCTGAAAGAGCCCCCGCAGGAAACCCAAACGACGGTTATTATCCTGTCACAGCAGTGTTACCTTTGGTTATGTGGTAGCAAAAGTGTTGCGCTACTGCCGGCAACATATGCCTAGCGTTTCGCTGGAGGGAGGGGGGTTACGGCCTCTGCCGCCTCTATGTTTGCTTGCTGTGGCCTTTGCCGATCTGCCTGACGAGGGAACGAGAAACCACACCATCCGACACGGTGTAACAGCATAGTGATCACGTTTCTAAACAAAAAGAGTGTTGTGCTACCTGGAGTGCACATTTAAAGCTGCCCACGTTTGTTGTGTTGCCAGGCGTGTTATCTGCAGAACACGTATCCCACTGTTGGCGAGAACAAGGCAGTTTCGGTAAGCATCATGGTATATGACCTCAAAAGATGCGCCGAGACTGGGCCCACCTTTGGTATTCTCTTTCCTTCTTCTCTTTGAAAAGTCAAGACAGCTTCAGAGTGAGTTTAACAAGTGTGTTTTTGTCCATCAGAAAAGTATAGCTCTCAAGTTGATCCTTTAGCACACTAATTCTCGGAGCTTCTGCTAGCTGTTGAAGCTTGCGGAATGAAGTTGAGTAGGCTGCGTAGAACAGTCCATCATAATGATGAGGTAAGGGCATTGTATACTTGTAAATGCATAGCCGCGGAGGGAGTCTGCTGGATGTTCATCCTAGCAGCGCCAGAGGATGTTAGTAGCTTGCCTTTAATTGGCGGTATTCCTTTTAGTTTAAGGCTTTGGCGGTGTGACATGTTCGCATGTTCGCAGGCAGGCGTTTCAAGCTGAAACAAATCACGAATTGTCTGGCCAAGCTTCCACATGCCGTGTCCGGCTATGGGTTTGCTAGGAGCCCAAAGCCAGCTTTCAAAGGATTACTAGCCATAGCCAAGCAATCCTTCAAGCTGGCTAGCCGTGCCATCGCTCAACAAGGTAGACGTGAAAAATACTAGTATAACGTTGTGATGAGACCGTTGCTAAAGAGAAGTATACGTTGTAGCTATGTTGAACGCAAAGGAGCTTGCGAGATATTGTAATAACTCTCTGAACCTCAAGTCCCTGGCATGATGGACAACAGAGACAGCCATGCGGAGTTCTCAACCAAAGGCATTCTATCAAATAAAGAGGTCGCCGTTATTCTGCATTGTGGCTTGAAGACTCTGAGTTTCCGTTGGGCTTGGCACAGTTAAAACGGTATTTCCAAATTAGATTTGCGTCCCCGCCGTGGCGTGCCGTGGCGTGCCACAGTCTTGGGAGGGCGCTGGTGTACTCTGCATTGAAGCGAAGGCTAACGCTAGTAGAGCGACAGCAGCTCAGTGATTGGATGAATCAGTTCTGCTGTGGTAGTGCGGTCGGGCGTACGTGGTCTGACACAGCCGCGGCCGGCGGCGATACGAGACGGCGGCGCTAAACGCGGCGTTAATCCGTCTATGAAGTATTATGCAGGGTGCTAGACGGGGCACTCCTTACAAAAGTAGCCGTCAAGCTCCTATTGGCGTTCAAAAGACGAGATCGGACAATAACCGACGTTCTGATGGCTCGTCGTGTGGCTAGGTATGCATGTAGGCATTCTCTGAGCCTCCGTCATTGATTACGGTAGTTGACACCTGGGAATGACTGCTAATTACCACTCGCATGGAAAGCCCTTGGGAGCTCTGAGACCTTGCTTAGCGGGCATGTCACTTGCTTGCACGACACAGTCAGCAAGCTGATAGAATGATCTCGGAGTCTCATAGGACAGATGAGTGTGCAGTGCAGGCAGTCCGACGGGCTCTGCTGTAATGATTCCATGAACTTATCCATGAACCCCTGCCTGTAGACTTCAACTGAACATGGCTGCATGGCGCCTGCTAGGTTTGCTGTCGCACTTCGATGGCAGAGGCGAACAAAGATCTGGGACGGATGCCGTTTTTCGATCTGGGCCAGACGTCGACAACAGATACCTACCAGGTAATATCAACGGCACATACACGTATGGGCGAAGGACTGGCTTTGACAGCCGAGCTGGTGTGACGGCAATTGGCTGGTGCCGCGTATGGAGGAGCCCAAGTCCGGCTGCACGAGGGTTTCGAGACGAGACGCCTTGCTATTCCGCCGATTTCTCGGCCATGGTTCGCCCACGGACTGATGGTTAATGCAGCAAGCAAAAATGACAGTCACACAAACTGTTTCTCGATCGCGTACAGGACAGCACTGGCGGCGTGCACGCGGATAGCTGCTCGCATTGTGGCCGGCGACTGGCGGGATAGACGGCGACAGCCCTGTGATGACGGGTGGCGTCTGGAGCCAGAGGCCGTGGATTGGCCAACACGAGTCTAAGCTGGTGGCCGCGTAGCCGCATCAAGGTGCTAAAAATGGGTCGTGGTTGATGGAATGGAGACCTGGCGGCGACGATGGCGGCCGCGGCTCGCCTCTTGGAGGGCGACACCCCCTGCGATGGCACCGGGATCGGTTGGGCGCGAAAGGTGGAACAGCTCCGTACCCGTAGGCTAGAACTTGGCTTGGGCGCAGCGACGACAGACCTGGCGCCGGGACAGGGGATCAGATTGCAGTGCTACAAATACCCAGTAGTAGGTAGCTGTTGCTGGCATTGATGCACGAGAGGCAACAGGAAAGTCACGGAGAGTCTTGAGCTCTGGCCTCGGACACGAGTCGAATTGGTTCTCGCTGTCTTACTCGAGGAGCTGTAAGAGGAATGCAAAAGTGGGCGAGAGAGAAAACGCAGAGTGAAGCAGAAGCGTGGGGGAAAAGAGAGGCTGAAGAGAGGCTGAAGAGAGGCTCAAAGGAGGAGTCGAGATGTAGCGGTTTGAGGGGAATCCTGCACGGGAAAAATTGCTTCCCTTGTCGGCTGTTGGCTGCGGGAAGGCAGCGGTGACGTGCGACTCGCGCTGCTCTTTCCTCGCTCGCTGCCTTCTCGCTGTTGCCTCGCTGATGCCACGAAATAGGTGCATGTACAGTAGGAATTACTAAGTCTGCGGTAGGTAGTAGCATGAGCTGCATCTAACTTTAGCAACAATATTCCAGCTAGTCCCAGGCCCTGTCTGGCTGCTTCAAGGGTATTTCGAACCCTTGCCCGCCAACACCACCGCGGTTCATCTTCCAGCTCCCTTTTTGCGTTGTGCTTGTCCGAACAAGGCTCGAGTTGGTTCGCACGAGCATGCACCTGCTGGTAGAGGCAGCATGACGTGGTACAGTAAAGGCGCAACATGCTGTTTGCCTGCTCTCGCGCGTAGACTTACCAGTGCTTGTAGGAAAAGCCAGCAGCGGCAGCGTGCCAATCGCCTTCTCCCGGGGCGCTGTTGTCGACATCAAGAACGCTAGACGACGGGCTAAGCGGCCTGGAAGACGGCCAGTCAAGCGTCGTCGAAGTTTCCGCGCGCTCGCTGCTCTGCGCATGGAGGCAACTAGTTCGTGGTCCAAGTGGGCGGAGCCGCGGCAACACCGCTTACTGCGGTCACACCTCTCCCCACCGCAGGGCAAAGCGTGTGCCTGTAGGGCCTCGTCTGCGAAAGGCCTCGTGCTGCTACGTCAGGTTCGAATCTGCAAAGCTTAGCACCTGAGAACAGAGACATGGCATCGAGTGGGGGGAAGAGCCAGGCCAGACGACGGACATGTCACGGCTGGGACCCCTGGCTACCCGCTGCCAGCGCTGTCTGGGCTGTTGGAGCGATAACTCAGACTGGATATTGCGCCCTGCGCCGGCGTGTACCCCAAGACGGCGCTGGGCTTTGGTGCGTTGGAGCAAGCTGAGCCACGGATGTCCGGGTATGCGTCTTCAAGAAGAGGGCTAAGGAAGCGGCGCGATGGCCTCCGCGGCACAGCCAGGTAGGTACTCGATGGCGATCAAGCGACTTGGCTGTGGTATACAAAGAAGCTACCAACTGGTAGTAACAGGATCTCGTTTGTGCCATGATATTGCAGCTACATTACGGAGTCTGAAGCACACCCCCTCTTGGCTGTGGAACGCCGCTCCCTTCTGGCTTCCATATCTGGCACTGGGTGCTACCGAAAACTGCCGCCTCCAGAGCTGCGTACCCGTCGCGCTGGCTTTGTCGCACGCCAGCCATCGCATCACACCCACTTACACGGACGGGCCTGGTGTTCGGAGGGCTCCTGGGGCATCCACCCACACTTGCGCCTTCGCGCGCATGCACGCATACATACGCTGCTGCATTGCTTCAAGCACAGGCGCACTTGATGCTGGCTAGGGCAATTTGGCAGCGTAGTACTTGTAGGCGAACTCTGCTGCGTGCCTGGTCAGGCCGCTGTGGCTTTGGGCTGTTGCCACACGCAGTGGCTGCCAGGAACCAGGGAGCCCAGGTTCAAGGATGCTAGGTTTGTACTAGCAGGACGGACTGCGACATGCAACGGGCGATTGTCGCTCTGGGTGAGGCGTTGGCGCACTCGGTTGGACCCAGTGAGAAGCGCCGCCTATTAGCCTTCACGCCTCCCACGTTGCCATGGACCGAGTATTGGCTGAGATGCCTTCTCCATTCACCGCACTCTTGTTTTCTCTGTGCGGAGGGCTTATCCGTAGAACGCCGCAGGGGAGCACCCCCCTGGCTTGGTCGAGCGATCGGCACGGCATTGCACGAGTATTGACTGCCCAGGTCCCAGCTATGCCATTCGGCCATGGAAGCCATCATGTGCGTCCTTTTGGTGCTCCCTCCGGGCTGCTAATACGCCATGCCTTGCGCAAGTATGGGGAGCTCCATGCACGCACGCACGCCCTTTGCCTGTTAGTGGTTCGTCGCTTTGAGTACCGGTACGAGTAGAGGTACATGCGTCGAAAAGAGCCGCTTTCCCTGGGCGCATGTCGGTACATTTCCGGGTCTCTTTTTTGCGTGAACGTTTTTCTCGCCTCGCCCTCAAATGGCCTTCTCAGCGACCCAATATCTCCATATCTCCCCGCGAGTCCTTTGAATTGATTGATCCGTGAACTTTACTCTCCTTTTCTCTCCTCTCCTCTCGTCTCCTCTCCCTTCCATCCCCTCCTTTTCCCATACTGTCTGAGCCTGCGCTGCCTTACTTATTTGCAGCAGCTGCCTGCCTGCGCCTTGTCTGTTGTTGCTCTGCTGCTCTGCTGCTCTGCTGCTCAGCCTTCCGCCTTTGTCGCCTATCCTTCCTCCCAGCCTTGCGCTGCTCGCGATTCCGTTCTCCATCTATCGCCGGCGATAGTTGCTGAACCTCGATAATCCGTGCTCCCGAAGCAGGTCCTTGCCATCTCGACTAATACCTCGAGGCATCGCACCCGTGCACTGCGCCGCCAAGTAATTACGCACCTGGAAAGTAAAATTCCCACATTTCGGGGTACCGGTACACGCCTCCAGCTGGCTTCTGCGCTGAAGCGGCCACCCCCCCTAGCCTAGCCAGCAGGCGCAGCATAATCGCGCGTGTAAAAAAAAAAAAGCTACCACCTAAGCCCCCCAAGCGCGACTTTGGAGCCTTCAACCAGCCCCCCAGCTCTTCCGCCTCAACACATTCTCTCACCTCCCTCTCCAGCGTCCTCGCAGCAAACTCTCTGGACTCGGGCCGTCAAACGGCTTGCGCTGTCTGGTCCTCGCATCGAATCTTGGCGGAGGAGGATCTGAAAGGGCGAGCATCTGGTGATCGAGCTGCATTGGACTGCAGCCGGCTCGGAATTGCTTGCTCACGCATTCGCTTTTGCGCGACTCGCGCTCTCGCTCTCAGCTACTGTGCCAGCGGCCAGTTTTGCACTCACTTCACCATTACGGCGTCGACGGGATCCTCGTTATTCTTTGTATGAGCGAGAGTTGGGTGGATTCCAGACCTTTCACTGTGCGCCTTAATCGCTTGGATCTTCTCATTGGGGTGTGGATGAAATTCGCTGCATAGCGGCACCTCTTTGAGATACCACATCACAATTTCACTTGCGCGAGCTGCTTGATAAAGTTCAGCTCAGTGCTTTTCATTGTCTGGCAACCGTGATTCAAGAGACTTCATAGTCTACAAGACGTTCATTCATTGGCAGTCACATTGACGAAGCGAAAACATCTCAGCCTACTACCATTGGTCTTCACCAAAGCACGGCTTACTCAGACTCCAATATAACTATCGCCAATACTTGCCCAATACAAAATATTCTTATATCCGGCCTGGCTGAGCTCGATATATTCTTTGGTCGACAGCATTGTAGGGCCTTTCAAGGCTGTTTCTACTGACACCGCGCCAACATGTCTACCTTCACCGCGCTTAATGGCGCTTCATCCAAGCTGACAGAACCTCCGGCGGCGCCGGGTGATAAAAGCTCCTTCGCAGATGAACGCCTCGCCAATTCAACGTCAGCTGCACCAACATCGGCTGCCCCTGAGCCGCAGGCGGCAGCAGCAACTCCTCAACGGGACACTCAACGAGACTCTCAACGGGATTCATGGACGCCCGGAAGCACGATACACGTTGCAACCTATCCTCTAGAAGTCGAGGGCTCGCATAAGCGCAAGCGCTCGGCTTCTGTTGAGATGCGAAGGGAATTTCCAGCACAAGAGCGTACCCCGGATACTGCAACTGTTCCGACGCACGCTGATGCTCGCGATCACTATGGGACCCCCCAGAGAGACTACCGGCCCTATGGTGACGAGCAGCGGGAGCGTGATAAGGAGACGTGGTACTCACATCAAGCTCGAGATGATAGAAATCCCTATGACACTCAGCAAAATTCGGCCATCTCAGCGCAAGGCAGCACGGATGACCAGATTGGCGAAGCTTTGAGACGGGCCACAAGCCAAATGGATCATAGCGACTACACCAACACTAGTCCTGACGGTGATGATCGCTCAATTCTCTATGGAAGCTCATACAGCGACCACAGAGGGGACTCGATTTTGCAGCACGATCCCAAGAAGCGGAAGCGAAATTTCAGTAACCGTACCAAAACGGGCTGCCTGACGTGTCGGAAGAGGAAGAAGAAGTGCGACGAGCAGAAGCCAGAGTGTAAGTCGTGGACGAAGAGCCTTTTTAGCTCCATCCGATGTGCGAGCCTTATACTGACGACTGGACAGGCATCAACTGTATTCGAGGTGGATTTATATGTGCGGGCTATCCGCCGCAGAGGGGGCCAGGCTGGCAAAAGCCAGACAACAAGGCTGCTGCCGTGCCACTCGAATCCAAAGACCCGAGCTATGTGCCTCCTGGGGCATATGGCATGCCGCAGCCTCAACCGCAGCCTCAACCACAGTCTCAACCGCAGCCGCAACCCCAACCTCAATCACAACTGCCCCCACAGCCGACCGCAGGGCCTGCACCCGGACCTGCACCTGCGCCGGGCCAAATGCAAACCCCCTTCGGACCCCAGCCAGTAAAACGAGAGTCGTTGACCCATTACCGCGGCCAGCCTCTCAGGATAGACCCTCCCCAGAGCCGACCAATCATCATTTCGGATGATGACCGTCTAACAGCATCGACCATCCCGAGCGCTTCAGTGACGAGCCCGGAAAACAAGCTCTCTGCATTGCCTTATACTCCTGCAAACGTCTTCCCCACGCCTGTAAGCGCCAATACCCAGGCGCCACCGTTTGGAGAGAGGATGGCAAAGGAATATCAACGAGTGCCTCCGCTGCACGACTTGAGCCGAACCGAGCCTGAAACGCCTCATCCTGGCAATCCTGGCAACCATCTGCCACAAATCAACATCCTGCACCCGACGAGGACCAATAGCCCGACACCCCGCCCGCAGCCTCCTGCAACTTCAAACGCCCAGATGGCTGCTCAGCTCGCCCTCTCACATTCGCAGTTCCCGCCTCGACGAACCCAAAAGGAGGAGATGCTTGCCGGAAGACACTATTATCCATTCGATAAGGAGCTCTGTCTCGAACGGGAGCGATGTGCTGCCGCCTGTTGGAGATTCAACAATCTTACGACCCCTCCTACGAATGGTATTTCTCCTGAAGAGCGAGCGCGCTTGTTCCTGGAAATCCTGCAGCCTCGCGATCCTGTACGTGTGTCTCCCACTATTGCGTCTCCAGTTACAAACATTGGACGGGTCGGCCGCCATTGTATTGTAGAAACACCCTTTGTCTGTGACTATGGGTACAACATTACCATCGGCAATGACGTTGTCATTGGACGCAACTGCACAATTAACGATGTCTGTGAGATCAAAATTGGGGATAACTGTGTCATCGGCCCAAACGTCAGCATCTTCAGTGCCTCCCTTCCCACCGACCCGAAGAAACGCCAAGGAGGACAGGGCCCACAAGTTGGAAGGCCCATTGTCATAGAACAAGACTGCTGGATCGGTGGCGGTGCCATCATCTTGCCTGGCCGGACCATTGGCAAGGGAAGCACTGTAGGAGCCGGCTCAATTGTCACCAAGGTATGCCGTATCCCTTTTCTGTCACAGCTCAGTGGCCCTTTTCGTCGTTTCGCTCAAAACATGAATGCTAACGGATACTTTTTATATAGGATGTACCTCCCTTCACTATCGTGGCTGGGAACCCTGCACGCGTGCTTCGCGGCATTGCGTCGTCTTAATCTCAATCGTGTGTTTTCATTTGGGCGCATGCTTTTGCATCTAATGTTATGATACCCAAGCGTGCGCGCGCGTATACCGGATCTTTACGTGCATAATTACGCTATCTTGCACAGGCTATTTTCCCCCCCCCCCCCCACTGTTTCTTTGTTGTTGTGTTATAATCTTGGTTGGCACTTGTTTCTATTGCCTACGTGTTGCGATATTTCTTTTAAGAAGAGTAAAAGTTTTTATGTGTTGGCGTTAGCGTTTTAACGACATGTACGTGGCACCTCGCGGGACACGTTGGCGGATATGGATATTTGGGGCGTGGCAAACTCATAAGGGATATATATATACACACCTATATATAGGATAGCTTAGCTGGGCTTGGCTTTTGACGTTTTTTATACAAAAGAGGACCCTCGGCTGGGGGAGTGTGATGGAAATATTCTATGCGATTTTTATTCTTTTTGTCGTATCAGCGTTCCGTGTGCCTTTACTTTATGTTGCGACTACTGTTTTGTTCTGTCTATGTGTGTGCCTGTTATCGCAATATGTCTTTGAGAAAGGGCGGAAGATAGAGAATCATTTGTATTTCGTGCTCAGGGTTGGGATATGAATATAATGGACTTGAGGGATCATTTAGCAAGCTCTGCGATTTATTTTGTGTTTCTCCAGTTTACTTTCCTACTTTTCTCTGGAGATGTTGTCTGCTTGACAGTCTGTTGCGGTGGATTTACTTCTATTTTGTTTATACTCGTGGACAGACGAGAGTATTAGTGCTATATTTTGTTGTTAAATATACGACTTGGAGGGCTCTTGTGCTTCTCCTTTACTGTTCCAGCTATTCTTTGGGTAATATTGTGTAGTGCGGGCTATAAGCTGGTGTCGGAGAAGAATTGTCTCCAGGATCTGGAGTCAGATTGAATATACTGGTCGAAAGAACCCTATTCGTGAAAAAGGTAAATTTTAGTGTTAGATTCACTGATAGGAACAGAAAAGGGGGTAGCTAAAGAAGTGGTAAAGAAGAAAGTTACGAACCCAATCAAACATGTTTGTATCGTCAAACATTTCTTCGAAACTCAGCATAGCATCGCTAGTGCCATCTGCGAACGACATGTCGTCTGTGACGTTGTAAGCTGGGATGTCGTTGCCATTGAGAGCCAACGGTTGCTGCGGCATCATTTCCTCTGATATTGTAGGAACGCTTCCGTAACTTTGTGGGAGGGAGGAACTTGGCGTGCTGGTCATTTGAGCGGAAGAGCTGGATGTGAGAATACTTGGGGGATCGATGCGGCTGAGAATAGCACCGAGCACTCTGGAGGCGTGGAGGGCGTCGACTGAGGTGGTGCGGCGGGCGGACCAGATGGAATAGGCGGTGCGGAGCGTGGTTATGCGCTTGGTTCTGTCTTCTGGGCTGAAGGGCATCTCTGCTTAGCATAGTGTCTGAACGCAGAGAGGACAGTATTTGTATAAGAGAGACTTACCTTATGCCTGTAGACTCGCTTAGGTCGAGACACATGATCATCGCCGCAAGCAAGAAGTGATGCAGCGTTAGGCTCGAAACCATGAACCTGTCTTCGTACATTCTTCCTCCCGCCCCGGTCTCAATGTCAAGCTCTGCCTGTATTTCCAGGATCGTGAGCGCTGACTCCCTGCAGATCCGCCTCGAGGCGTCATACTCGGCGTCGTGCTTGTGTACTGTGAGATGGGGGCGGTGGAGGATACACAAACTCTTGAGGTACATTAGTTCGAGCATGAGTCGATGCATGATTGTGTAATTGGCATCTGTAAAAGCAGTGTTGCGGATGGTGCGGTTGCGCAGGCAAGCTGGTACAGAAGCATGCCACTCTCGAAGCTCTTGGTCGAGAGATAGCGTTTCGGCGTAGGGAGCTGGAGTGACGGCAAGGACGTGGCGCACTACACGGCGCATAACACGGCAGAGCTTTGACTTTGTGATGCATGCGAGGGCGGGGATGGGGTCTGTTGGTGGACGAGGAGCGGGCAGCACTTTGGTATCCTCGTCGAAATCATCGTCGGTGAGATTCGTAGGAGGGTCCACGTCGCAGACATCCTGGGTGATGATGGGGGGCATGCCGTTTTGGAACGAGAAGAGCAGATCTGTCGACTGGATCACGAACCACGTCCTGCGCCGCATCTCCGCCTCAAAGGGCGTCATGGCCCTGTTGCTCGACACCTTGGCTGCGTCACGATGATAGCCTTGCCTCTGCGCTAGCCGCACAGCAAGGCCGTATAGGAACCACAGTGACGAATCAGAATCTAGCTTCTGGACGTTGCGAGAGTGGGCGTGCATGAGGAGCGCCTCGACGGAGAAGCGCCGCCCCTTGAAGTACTGCCCTGCGACGAGGCATTGGGCGGCCTTGTTCATGTAGAAGCGCGAGTCGGGCCCTACCGTGAAGGGCGATGATGATGTGGACGAGCTGGAGGATGTGGCGTCTGCCTCTTTTGTGTTTACAACCATTGTGCCGATGCTGAGGATGGAGAACAGGATGCTGATCCAGAGAAAGTCGGCAGAGGAGGGGTCCGTCCAGAAGGCATCGTACCGCCGCTTGAACTGGTGCGTATGGACAAAGATGACGGCGAGGAACTTTGCTCTGAAATACGCCATGATGAGCTTATCGGCTTCCTGTCTCGACGGCAGACTCTCCACGACGTCCTTGATGGTCGTGGGCGGCACGTCTCCCAGCACAACCTCGGGCTCCGTTGCCTCCACGCCATCAGCATAGTCCGGCTCTCTATCCGCCGCCAGCACGTCCTGGATATCGCGAATGCCCTCAACCAGCGCAGTCCACGAAGTTGCCCCGTGATAATTCGTCTCCAGCTCCTCTTTATCATCGCATGAGCGCTGGCCATCATGTAACGGCGCCGACTCGCCCTTTGCGAGGCGGTTCTCGGCCAGCCCCCTCACCATCTGCTCCAGCTGGCTGAGCTTGAGCTGGACATCCTGCCGACTGCTCCCGCTGCCGGCTGCTCTGCTGTTATTAGCTGTTGACGATGATGCAGGCGCTGAGCTGTAAGAGCAGGCATCGCCCACGCTGCGCTTCTCGCAGGCGCCACACGGATGCTGGCGATCGCATCTCGACTTGCGCCGCTGACAGGCTGTGCAGGAGACGGCTGGGCGGAAGCGCTTCACGCGGTATGAATCGGTGGCCCGGAAGACAGAGGTGAACTGCGAGATGCCTGGTTCGGGCATTGAGAGAGAGACTTTGTGAATGGAGTTTTCTTTTTGTCTTGGTCGTAAGATAAGAGAGACGGAGACAAGGACATGCGATGGGGCAAAATATCTGGTTGTGTTTCTTCCTTCTGTCTCTGGATTGGAGCTATGTGATTGAGAAATTATAAGCAAGTGGTATTATTCAATAAGAATGAACGAGCTGTGGTGTTCAGAGAACGTTCAATCTGCCCATCGACGGCTTTAACGAAGTATAAGGATCTAGGTCTTTCGAGTTAGTCCGTAAGTCCGAGAGCATGCACTATCCGCTCTTTGCACCCCAAAGACAGCACAGATGATGAGAGTAACATATTCATGTATAGGTATGTTTAAAAAATAACTCTAATTTTATTTATTCTTTGTTTGTATTCGATAGATAGCATATATTCGAAGCTGTCATGGCCGCACGAGTAGTCTAATAGTCTTCCACTCCAAGGTATCATGCCATTCCGCCGGTCAAAGCAACACAAACTCCAAAGGACCTCTTCGCCTCCATTGATATGCCCAAAAAACGTACAGTTACATACCGCGTTACTCATACAAATCCTCGCCCGCAATCTTTTGTCTATTCTTGTCGATGATGCCTTCCATCAACTCTAATGCCCGACCCTGGTTCTTCAGTTTTCCAAACGCCTTGAAAGTAAATAGGTCAGGCTTGAAGCCTGCCGCCTCCATGTCCTGCAAAGTAGATACTGTCTTGTTGATATTTTGCATCTTCGCATATCCCTTCGTCAAGGTATTCCACGTCACAAGGTTCAGATCGACATTCTGCTCCTTCATCACCTGGATGACTTGCTCTGCCAGAATTCGATCACCACCATTTAATAGACCGCGCACAAGGATGCTGAATGTGCATAGGCCTGGAGGCGGATGGACAGGAATAGCTCGGTTATGGCCATCATTCGCCTCAGATTCGCCTCCATCGGTAGCCTTTAACACGCTCCTCTGTACGTGATCTTTGAGCATGTCTCCGAAAACTTGTAGTGCAGGCCGCGATAATCCTCGTCTTTCCATCATAGTCATGATGATAGTATCATGAACCAAGCTGCCTTGATCCCTGATGAGCTGAGCGGCCAACTCTTTGTGCTCCTCAAGCCGAGCCTTGAAAAAGACATAGAAAGCCATAAGATCGTAAGGATGCTGCAGAGTCTTAATGTAGGCCCTAAGCATAATGGCTATGGTTGTTGGACTAGGTTGTAGTTTCGGCCCGACATTCGGAGCGGAAAAGAATTTCTCAGTAAGAGGTACTATCGTATGCAGAAACTCCCACCGCCGTGGCCGGCTGCTGTCGAATTTCTCTCCGTCATTGCCAGTTGTCTGGGTTAGAATCAAAGGCAAAGAATCGGGGAGCCACCACTGCAAAGGCTCCAGTTCAAACTTCTTCGCGTACGCTCGCAGCATCGGCCCAAACAAGGGATAGACCCAAGGTGCGGAGAAATTCTTCTCGCGGGATTCCATCTCTGCAAAAAAGAATACGGTGTGAAGTGTGTTGTTGAGCACATCCACATAAGGAACGTTGGCTACTTTAGCAACTTCAAGACCTTTGGCCACGTTCTCTACCTTGAGGCTCCCTTTGGCACCTCTGAAGATGGTTGACCAGGCTTTTGCATCTAGCTGCACGCCAGACTCCGAGAACAGCAAGGCGAGTCGTATGGCCTCGTCAACTTCTGCTTGCTGGCATAGAGAATCGAGAAAGGCCGTAGCATTGATAACGTTGGGTACGAAGCCTTTGCCCATAAAGTACTCTAGGGCATCCTTGGGCGAAAAGGCCGGCTTTTCTTCCGACAAACCGCCATGTGTGATCCGGCAATGCAACAGCGTAGTGATGGTACTCGAAGGGCTGGGTGCATTGAGATCGACTCCACTCTCTGCAAGCCCTTTGAGAATTTCAAACGCTGTATTTTTATGTGCCATCTCCCCCGCCAACTTTCCAGCAAACTGCAATTGGGTATTTGGATGTAGCTTGATATTGGCCCTCTGCAACATATTGTATAGCTCACTAGCTTGGTCACTTGGTAGTTTGCTTGCAAGTAGACCAACCGTTCGCTGTCCAAGGGGCACATGGCCGGCAGGGGCGTCTTCGAGAATCTTGGCCACAGTTTCCAGCATTTCTTCTGCCTTGATAGTTCGCTCGCGAATATTTTTGATGCTGCTAATGCGCAAGCGTTGCGCAATAAACAGCAGCACATCGTTGATGGCATACCCAGGCGGTAAAGGGTCCAGGGTAGCCTCCAGCACCATATGTGCCTTTTCAGGGCAGAGGTCCAAGGTCGAAAGCAAAAGTACAGGCCACTGCTTGCGGCGGCTTTCTATATCGAGACTCTTCCATGCCTGCTGCATACTGCGGGCATCGCTGAGTTCAAAGAGCCACTTTGCAGTATCTCGCCAAGGCCACGGCACTTTTGGGACTTCTGGTTTGTCTGGTCTCGAGACTTTCCAGAATTTAGTCTTCCAAAATGTAAAGGCTTTCCGAGCAGGCTGGAGCTCAGAAGCCGGATACCGATGTCGAATGTAGCCCCATTGCGAATGCATTCCTCGCAAATTCTGCAGCTCTCTATATGCCATTCGTGATTTTTCGTCAACAGGAGAGAGCTGTTCGGCATTCTGAGGATTGGATCTAGCAAAGCGGTTTATCCTGTCATTGGTGATCATATAACGCCTCTTTCCGACAAAATAAGGCTTCTCTGGAGCATCATGGGACTCGGAGTTGGGGATTTGCTTGAGAAGCCTAGATTTACTCGACGCAGATCGACTTTGTTGATTTTTCTTTCCAACTAGTCGATTATTTCGGTGCTTCGAGTGCGACGTATCCGAATCGGCACGACTCTTCGTTCTATCACTGACTACTGCAGGATTGGTAGATATGTCGATAGTCTCTTGCGGGTTTAGATAAGAGGTGAGATATTGCGGCCGTTGAGGCGCACTGTCGCTTTCGAATGGTCGGACATCATTGAGCGATGCAGCTTGCGCTACAGAACTCAATTGTCGTAGCGAAGATCTTGCGGCGAACCGAAAGGTAGGTCGGAGAAGTGTAGTAGACGAGGAAGATATCCTCAAGCACCTGCATTTCAGCAAGGCGGCGCGAACCACGGGTGCCGCAGGCATTTTGAAGGATCGGTGGCCGATACACGGCCAGCAGTACGCATCGTGCACTGCTGCGAGCTGCGATTTTTGCCTTGACAACCTCAGCAAGTCGAAGTTGACTCGGTTGTTGTAAGCGCGTGGAGGCTATCGCAAAGAATATTTTAGCACCATCCCGGTTGGCTTAGCCGCTAAAATCCGGCATGTGGCCCTGGCAGCACCTTAAGCACCGCCCCACCAAGCTTCAATTCGCTTTTCCATGCCAATCGCTATCTAGAACCTCGACTCTTTGATTTGATGTTGGCATTCTGCGCGTCATAACAAGAGCGTCACGAAATGAATTCACACAACAGCCTCAGCGCCGCTGCTGACGAGCGAAAAGCGCGTCTCGCAAAGCTCAAAACCCTCAAAAGAAAACAGCCCACCGACGAGGTCGCCACTCCAGAAGGCGAACGGGATGCATCGCAGCCAGAAGAGCCTGACGCTACGACAATACACCTCTCTGGCCGAAACTACGATCCGGAGACAAGAGGCCCCAAGCTCAGATTCGACGCGCCGCCAACTCTTGCCTTGGAAAAAGCTACATTGGAGGAGCAGGCCGCAGACGTAGAAGCCGAAATCAGGGAACAGGCTGCTAAAGAGGCAGAAGACGACAAGGGCCTGGATCTCTTCAAGCTGCAGCCTAAGAAGCCGAATTGGGACTTGAAACGGAATTTGGACCAAAAGATGGAATTGCTGAACTCGCGGACGGATAACGCAATTGCAAAGTTGGTCAGAGAAAGAGTAACGGGTGCTCAAAAAGCAGCCCAGAAGACTGCGGGTGTCGACAGTGGAAATCTAGATGGAGACGCCGCTGGGGTCGACGGCATCGCTCTCGTCGAGGGACTGAGGGTTCGTGAGCAAGAAGAGCAAGAAGAAGAACAGAGAGAACGAGAGGAAGAAGAGTCAATGGGCTTATAAAGGATACTGGAGGGGAAAGAAAGATAGAAGGAATTGGAGGTGCTGTATGTAATTACTTATTATTATTCCTGCTATGGCATGGGCCGGAGTTTTCTGTTTTTGGGCATTACGGCTATTATATACTCCTGGACAACAAATCAAGATACCCTACTATCTTCCTCCCATATTCATAGACTGGGTCAACGCTAACCGCTTGCTGAAGGGGCTCAGACTTCGCTCTCGGGGCGCGTCTCTGGGAGGCATTCTCCCGTGTCCCTGATGACCACCGCCACGACGTCCGCCACGCGGTCGGTTGTCATCATCTCGCCTTCGATATGGCCGGTCATCTCGCTGCGGTGACCTCGATCGCGAGTTTGAATCACCCCGCCGTTTGCCATGACGTCTCCCAGGCCCTTGATCATGCCGTTGCCGAGGGGGCGAGACATCATCTCTTCGAGCACGAGAGGGCTGCCCGGATCGATTCCTATCGCTCTCCGGAGTACCCTCACGCGAAGGGGATCGACTATCGTGTGAGACTGTACGCCTTTGCCGTCGTGGAGGTGACGGACTTCGGCTGTAACTGCGATCACTGGCGGAGTCTGCGCTGTAACTGCGATTGCTAGCAGACTTAGGGCTATGGTCTCGACGCTTGGCGGCAGGAGACCTGGTTCTTCGCCTAGGGGGCGGAGAGCGAGAATCTCTTGATGCATCTGTTGAGATGGTGGAGACTGAGTGAGATGAGACGGATCTCCGGCGCCTGGAACCCGCATCTAGCAGTTCATCCTCGCGATCCTCGAGCTCTCGCTTTCTTTCCCGCTCAGCCTCTAATTTGGCAAGCTCCTGATCTGCAACACCTTTTCTATGGTAGTGTTAGCTAGCTGGTCATCTGAATAATAAGAAGCACATATAGCGTAAATACAACACTACTCACTTCTTTTCTAGGGGATTGGGAGTGTCGCTTGTCAGTTTGGGAACAAGCTTAGGATTGCGAAGCTGTTGTGAACGCGAAGGGCGAGAGACATATGGCCGTTCCTGAGATGATGACTTGCATTCATATGAATAGTGCCGTGCTGAGCGTGTTAGCTAACGCATCCCATGAGTGATGATTGTCTTTGGCACGTATCTCGTTTTAAACACTTTTGGCACTGGACATTGGCCGGAGTTGACCTGCTGGGTCCTCCGCGTCCTCTGTACGTGAACATGATAAAAGCCGTATAAGTGCCCTGTACGATAACTGATGGCTGTGATTGGGATGATGCAGATCAGGGCGTTTCAAGTTGAATGAGGAAGGACTTGAATCTTGTCCGGGATTGTCTGATTTTACTATGGGGGCATGTCTAGGGAGCTCTACAGTGGACTTTGCATTGGTTCAGCGCCACGCGAGTCCTACGAAGCGCTGAGAGCTGGCCGCGGACCGCAATTCAGCACGTGATCTCTACTACGTGCCAATGCTGTACTGAGTGCGAAGTACAAGAACAAAGAAGACGGAGAGATTGTAGTAGACGTGCTTGATATCAGAGTTCCTTTGAATATGCTGTGTCTCAATTACAAGCGTCGTACGTTTGACTTTTACTTGGTAAAGCACGCCTTTAGAAACTTCAATCTTAATACTATGTAATGGGAGCAGCTGCTGAGATCCTAAACTCGTATAGTAAGGTAAAAAACACCATGCAGCATAGAGTTTTTCAACGACTTGTTCCTGTCTCGTGCTAAAACCCTTACCTAAGCAGCACACATTATTGTCCCGTAGTAGGCTGGGTGGAATCTGCCGGCGCTAGGACAATCTGAGCTCTCCTCTGAGAATTGTAACTGCAGATTCTCCAGTGTCCTCTCCAGAGCCTTGTCGTCCTCACCCCGATGACATCGGCCTGAACTGCGACTTTGGCGCTCACATCTGCTCGCTGCCCGTCAGTCTGTCCCGTAGGCGCTGGGGGAGCCACTAAGCCACCTGTCGCTGTAAGTCCGCCTTCCGCAGCAAACCCAGCAATTTCACCCCTCTCAGGGATAACTTCGTTTTTTTTTGGGAACACCCCTCCACAAGAGAGTCCTGCCATCCGCCTGGCTCGCACGGCTATTACTCCGTTTTGCTTTTCGCGCGCAGCAGGCCTTGTTGACTGAATATCCTTCCAGGCTGCCAGGTCATTCCGAACTGCGATTACGCCTCCCCGGGCTGTTGAGCCGACCGCCGCGAAGGAGGAAAAAAATATCGATCCGCTCGTTTCGCCAAGACACGACCAGCTAAACGAACGATGTACTTCCTGTTACGACAATGAAGCACTTGCACTCTGTTCTCGATCTCCTGGCTCGTTCCCATTGATTCTGCTTCTTGATCTTGTCTTGTCTACTGTCTTTCTCACCCGCTTTCGCTCGATTTCGGCGCACTTGGTCGGGTGCCTTTTGGATTGCGGCGCCACGATCGATTAAGGAAGAAAAAACGTCCTTTCTCCGCCTTGTGTTCTGCCTTGTTATATACCCAACCATTGGACCTTGAATAAGTCGTTCGGGCCTTCAATACCTGCCGGCGACGATTCTGCCGACTTACCGAAACGCTCCTTTTGCAAATGTAAGTGTGCCTCAAGCCGGCCATTTTGCGCCGCACATCTCCAGACACGCTGTCATTGGGGAAGCCCAGAGGACTGACCAATAACCGTCTTCCTGTAGATAGCTGCGTCTGCGGCACTAGAAAACCCCTCAGATTCGTCTACTAGCCGATCGAACATGTCGTCAAAGGTTCAAGTAGGTGCCAGTACGCTGCCTCCTACTGGCGAGCCCACCCAGTCTCCGCCTGCTCTCTCGTCGCCCCAGTCAGCGAACCCATTACCGACTGATATACCCGGGGCCATGGAGAAGGTAGCAGCATCGCTTAACGACCTTAGTCTCGGGTCAAACATTCCCAGCTTGGTTGTTGATGGTAGCAACTCGTCTGCTGCCGCTCGATCTCAAGCCGTATTCAGCAGAGCGAGCGGATCTGATGATTCCCAGAAGGCTGATTCCAGCTCGGATTTGGGTACCAAGCCCCCTAGCCTGGATGGGAAAAGCATCACGTCTGGAACCACGTTTGCTCTCGACGAAAAAGAATCCCTCCGCCCGGATGACAGTGCCAGCGTTAAAGCTGCGGCTGAGGATGACGATTCTTTCTCGATCCGGGGATCACTGATTGCGGGCTCACGTATGAGTTCAGATCTTGCTGCCAGAGCTAGAGGCATACAGCTTGGAGATATGCCAGATCGGCGGCTAGTACAGCCAGTCGCTGGAGGTCACGGACATGGCATTCTGACTCCTCAGAGCACATCGTCAGAGCAGCCAGCACAGAACGCATTGAGAAGCGTGAGCGGGTCATCAGACGCCTTGAATGTTATTTATAGACAAGCCCCCGATGACAAACTCCTCGAAGCTTTGGCGGCTCCTAGAGACAGGCTTTTCCTCCTGCGATTGGAAAAGGATGTCATCGATTTCGTCCAGGACTCAAAGCAAGTTCCCCTCTCCTCCCCCAAGCAAACAGCTCAACTAACCGATTTGAAAGGGAGCCATACATGGACCTTCCTCCGTCGAATTCGTTTTGTAGGATGTTGACCCATAAGCTAGCCGACTACTACCATATGACGCATTCCTTTGAGCACCATATCGGCTCTGTTCGTATTTTCAGAACGCCCTTTTGTCGAGTGCCGCCTTCTCTGGCAACCATGATACCCCAACCGACTGTTTCAACTAGCAGCACTCCTCCGCCAGCCGTTTTGCCAAGGAAGATCATGCGTCGAGGCCAAGACGAGGAGGGTGGCAGTGGCAGCGCTGGGGCTTCCAAGGCTACTTCGGAGAATGGAAGTGATTCCAAAGATAAGCAGCCGCTCATCAGCCAAAAGTATGTCGTTGTTGTCAGATACTGTATGCGGTATTCCATTAACTCGTTTCTAGGTTGACACGAGAAGAGCGAGAAGAGATGTATAAGCTCGCTAGGCAGCGCATTTTCGGAAACTCTGAAGAGACACCGTCTGGTGAGTACAGCTGTGAAGGGCCTGGCAAAACCGAGAGTCAATAGCTAACTCATTCCATCAGAAGCAGATGGCGAATATGGAGTGTCTCGAGCAAGCTCTGTGTCCGCCAACAATAGGTCTACTGCCAGTAAAAAGGCAAAGCCTACCAAACAGCGGCGCGATGATACGGATGGCTTCGACTCGAGGCGCCAGTACGCGCCTTATTGGGGCCCTCAACAACAGACTTGGGTGTCTCAGCCACCTAATCAGTTCATCCCTCCTGCGAATGGACAGTTCAACTCCCAGCCTGTTCCATCTTACCCTGCGCAGGTGGCCACTGCATACGGTCAGCAGCCTCCTGGCTACCCTGCGGCGCAAGGAATGGCACCAAGTGCGCCTTATCCGACTCCACCTCAGGTATGTAAAGCATTTAGTTACTTTCAAGCAAGACGAACTTACGGTTACTGATTTGTTCCAGCCGTATGCGCCGCAGCCTGTGCAGCAACGATACCCTCCAAACGGAAGCCCGATGACAGCATATGGTTCGCCCATCTTACCTGGTGCTCCTCCACCAAACTGGCAACCTGGGTTCAGTCCCGCACAATATCCACCCCGAGGACCTACTCCGAGTGGCCCTTCTGCGCAGGGTGGGATTCCGTACGCATTTGGGCAACTGCCGGCAAACATAAACCCTCATGACCCCAAGAGCCAGCATCCAATCCCTGGAAGCTACAATCGGAACCACGCTTTCAACCCCAAGACGCAATCTTTTGTGCCGGGGTCGAACGGGATGCCACCGCCTATGCAGCCGCTCCAGCCGCCATTCACGGCACCGGGATCTCACCACGGCAGTCCACAGATCGGGACTCCTCACCTGGCCTACGGCGGATACCCATCAGCGATGCCACCTCATCCCTATGCTACTGGTGGATATAACATGGCTCGACAGGGCTCGAACAATTCCATTGCTGCATATCATACCCCACCTCCTCTTGTTGCTCCGCCTCATGTTCAGCATATGCCGCCGGCAATGCAAAGCCTGCAACAACATATACCACAACCCCAGCATATACCCCAGAATCAGCAGGTGCATGTTCCGGGCCGAGCACACATCCCTCAGGGACCGAATCAAATGTTTAGTACTAGTAGTAGTCATTTACCTACTTACGGTAATCCAGCAACGCTGCCGCAGAAGCCAGCTACTGGAATTTAATGAGCATCTTCAGGTGTTCGGGGCTGCTGGAGGCCCCCCCCCGGCGCATATGGCATATTTAGAGCAAAATATTAGTTTTGGCGTTTTAACGGTGGGAAGGACGATTGGTTTCTACTTTGTCTATTTCTCCCTTTTCTCCTTTTTGGACCCTTCTCCTTTCTACTCACTCTTTACTTTCAATACTAGCGGCGGATGAAGAGCGAGTTTGTTGGAGGCTATGAAAGAAAATGCTAGACATAACTTCACATTAGGAGCGGTATATCAAGTCTCTATGTAAGATCAGATAGAGATTTTGCGTGACGAATCAATATTCATATCTAATATCTTAAGTGCCAAAATTATGTCTGGCATACCACAACGCCAAGATGATACTGCGTTCGCGTGTAGGTGTATTGTTGGGACAATGTCGCAATGCAGGTCCAAATTCGCTCCCACCCATCCATCCCGAGACGCCTCAGGCATGCTTCCTATTTCCTCCTTCAACATCATTTCCTCTTTTTTTTTTTCTCCTCTCTCGATAAGGGCCTTTCCTTATAGAGCCCAAGTGCCCAGATGTAAAAGGAAAATTATAAGCCAAACGACAGTTATACAGCTACTGTAGTAATAACCGTCCCTCTATCCTTCTTTTCTTCCCTTTTCGCCTTACTCGGCGGGCTCTCGAGGCTCTCGAGGCTCTCGTTGTTGACCGCCGCCTCTACCGCCGCCACGTCCTCCACGCTTGTTTCCACGCTGGGCACCCTTCTCGCCGTCACCCTTGCCCTCCTCCTTCTCATTGCCGGCCAGGTTGGCAACCGCCAGTCGCTGGGAGAGATCGATCTGGGTTCGGATAGTGTTGGCCAGGTAGCTGACCATGAGGACGTCCTGGATGTGGTTGTTGAAGTCGTGCTCGATCTGGGAAGCATCGACCTTGGGGGCCAGAGACAGGGCGCTCAGGAGGTACTGGGCAAGGGCGTTGTTGGGCTCCTCGTCCTCGTCTAATACGCCGTTGGCCCACTCGCTGACGCGGTCGAGGAGGCCGATGGTCTGCTCGATGGATCGGCCCAGGCCCTCAATGTCTGATACAAGGGGAACGTTCCGTGACTCGACGTCGCGGGCGCTGGCGACGGCCTCGAGGGCGCTCTTGTCGGCGTCTCCATAGAGCATCTTGTGGGGGACCTGGATGAAGAGGCAGCTCTCGGCAGCTCGCTCGGCGTTGACGGCGACGGGGGCGCTGATGTAGCATCGCGTCTCGATGTCCTTGCCGGGCTCTGTGGAGATGGTGAGGTGGATGGCGGGGTGGGGGAAGGTGCCGGTGTCCGGGGCGGCGAAGAAGTTCTGGATCAGGGCGCTGAAGCTGTTGAGCTCGTGCGAGGTGGTGTACCAGCCCAGCAGCGACTCGCGGGGCGCGGCCTTGAGCACCAGGGCCAGCATGTTCTTCTGGTACTCGACGTCGACCTCGACCTGGTCCTCCTCCTCGGTGTGGGGGATGGCGAAGCACGATCGCACCTCGACCTCGGTGCCATCTTCGGAGCGGGTGCCTACCAGGGCGCCAATGACCCGCGTGGACTGGGAGTTTTCACGGATGTCGCGTCGGACGGCATGGTCGAGGATGGAGAGGACAGCCTAGAAGCCGGGAGAGCGATATGTCAGCCATTGAACCTCTTCCCTTCCCTTCCCTTCAATAACTTTTCTCTGTGCTCTTCTGCATTCCTCCACACCAAAAGACCTCTTCCGCAGATGCTCTATTATCGAGGCAGGATCATATATACCTGGGGTTGAATCTGGACAGTAAGCGGGGCAATGTTCGTCTGGAGCCCGACGTTGGTGTGAGCCAGCGGGCGAGCGAGGTGCAAAAACCGTTCTGTTGCGGCAGCCATACTGGGCGAAAAGAAAAATGTCTCGACAACGTAAAAAGATGTCGAAGGACTAGTTTTTCTTTTTCGACTTCTAGGATGTAAAAAGATCGAAGAAGAGTGGGGAGTGAGAAGGGGGGGAAGGAAAAAAAAGAGTGGCTCCGGCTTAGAAGTATAGGCGTGGTGTTCTCGTCTCTTTTTTTCCACACCTCAACGATGGTCCTCTAAATTTCGCCGATTTTGTGATTTACGGTTTTGGCGGGCGGTGCTGGGGTTGTGCGCACTAAAATTGGCAAAAACGCTGCTTTGCGATAAGGCTGCGTGGCGCAAACTCAAAGTTACCCCACCATTGCGTGGCTGGTGAAGATGACCCATAATTTCATGCAAGGCTGATAGCTTCACTCCAACTTTTTTTCTTTCTTCCCTACCTTGCCTTGTGGTGTCGTTCGCTTCTTCAAGAGAGCGTTTGTGCATTGGCTTTTGCAGTCAATTTTCTTTCTTTGTGATTCATTGCAATGGCAGGCCCAAGAGGAGGCGGAAGCTTCAGAAGCCGTGGCTCAAGGGGTGGCCCAAGGGGTGGCTCAAGAGGTGGCTCGAGAGGTGGAAGTTTCAGAGGTCGCGGATCAAGAGGTGGAGCAAGAGGCAGAGGTAGAGGAGGCAGAGGGAAGCCGTTCAGTCAATGGGGCCCGGACAGAAAATTTGACGGTGCTCGACTGGCTGAAAATGGCGAAGAAGATGAGTATGTCATTCATTCTTAGCCTCAGTACCAGAATCATTGGTCTGCTTAGACATGTAACTGACAAGACTTTTTCCTCTGTAGCGAGAGCGGATCTGGATCGGGCGCCTCAGACGTGGAATACGAAGCGCTCAACGATGTAGCGTCAGACGACGATGAGCAGCAGGCTACCGCACGCCCATACATGGCATTGATGCAAAAATTCCACGATTCGAGCGCATCAAGTGCGCCGAGCGCCAAACGAAGAAAGATTACACACGTCGAGCCCTCGGGCCGGAGCCCAAGCCCCGCGCAAGAGGAGTCAGAAGAAGAGGAAGAGGATGAATCTGCTCCCAAGCGAGAGGACATTGACGAAGTTGATGAGGAAGAGGAGGAAGGAGAAGACCAGACTAGAGGCGTTGGAGATGACGGAGACGACTCAGACGACGAGATTGATGCCGCGGATCCGTTTGACGCCCATTTCGCCAACCCAGACCAACAAATAAGTGCGCTAGCGGTAACAGCGGCGAAGAAGGGAGATTGGACTACAAGCCGGGCTATGATACAGCCTTGGAGGGCAGTTGTTGTCTCTCCTGATACCAATAACACTGATCCTATCCCTCAGCCAATATCGGGACTTGGTGGATTGAAGCTTAAGCAGAAGCTGCGAGAAACAGCAAAAGAGAAGATGAGCAATCTGGATGCAGCACAAAAGGCATTTGCGCCTTTATTATTCGGTTACAAGGACATTTTGTATGGTGACCGGTCTGTGGACAACTCTCGCAAAATGCGACAGACAGTCTGCCTCCATGCGCTGAATCACATCTTCAAGTAAGCTTAAACTAGGCGAATTTAAAGACCATTATACTAACTGTCATTGCAGGACTCGAGACAGGGTAATCAAGAACAACTATAAGCTTTCAAAGGCTGGCGATGATGCGGAACTCGAACTTCGGGACCAAGGCTTCACAAGGCCCAAGGTCCTGTTTCTTCTACCAACCCGAAACTCATGCGCCCAGATTATGAAGGTAATCCAGGAATTGATTGAGCCAGACCAACAGGAGAATTTTAAGCGTTTCAATGAATCTTACGCCGAGAGCGATGAAGCCTTTGGTGCTGATCGGCCTGCCGATTTCAAGGATCTGTTTGGTGGTAATGACGACGACATGTTCCGCATCGGCATAAAGTTTACACGCAAGACGATCAAGTACTTTGCACAGTTCTATAGCTCTGATATTCTTCTCGCTAGTCCTCTCGGCCTTCGTATGGCTATGGGATCCGAAGAGGATAAGAAGAAGCCCGATTTTGACTTTCTCAGTTCCATTGAGATGGTTGTCATGGATCAGGCAGATGCTCTGTTGATGCAGAACTGGGAGCACGTTGAGCACATCTTTGAGCACCTCAACCTTCAGCCCAAGGATGCGCATGACTGTGATTTTAGCCGCGTCCGCAATTGGTATCTGGAAGACGAGGCGAAATATTACCGGCAGACAGTTATGCTATCTGCCTTTAACACCCCGGAATTGGCAGAGCTCCAGAGAGTATACTGCCATAACTGGGCTGGGAGAGTTCGACTGCAGCCAGAGTACCCTGGCGTTCTTGGACAACTAGGTGTCAAGATCAAGCAGACGTTTACTCGATTCCAATCAAACACAGTGGAGAATGATCCCGAAGCCCGGTTTGAGTACTTTATTTCTACCATTATCCCCTCTCTAGTGAAGCGGTCCAAAGATGCTAGCGGAACTCTCATATTCATCCCCTCATATCTTGACTTTGTTCGCGTGAGGAACTATTTCGCCACCGCCGACGAAGTCTTCAGCCTCACCTTTGGCGTGATATCCGAATACACGGAAGTTCGAGAAGCTTCACGAGCTCGATCTCACTTTTTGACTGGCCGACACAAGGTCTTGCTCTACACCGAGAGAGCGCACCACTTCCGACGATATCAGTTCAGCGGGGTGCAGAAAGTCGTCTTCTATGGTCTGCCGGACAATCCCATCTTCTACAAGGAGATTGCGGGCGGGTACCTGGCAAAGAGCGAAAAGGACATGAAGATTGAGCCTGGGCAGGGGACTGTGCGGGCGATGTTTTCGAAATACGACGTGATGAAGCTGGAGAGGGTGGCAGGGTCGAAGAGAGTGGGGAAGATGATTCAGGATCGTGGTGATACCTTTGATTTTGTATAGGATGCGCTGTTGGGGCGCAAGCATGATGGAAGTGGCTGGCGTAATATTACAACTCGGCGTATTGAATCTCTAGTATATACATGTTCAAATATCAGGCGGTCATTCCATCATTGGTAGACATAAATTGTACATATTTATATATATGCTGTGTTGTACATGGTGCATCTATCGCTCAACGGAAGACTGCACCGGAAATTCTAGATATTTTCACTTTTCCCCCTCCTTCTTCTCTCCATGGCCGTTTTGATCCATAATTCCTCATACATCATCATACATTCATTTTCACCTCTTTGCTTCCTCAACCAGCTTCGCAGACTTTGCGCTTTCAGGAACAATACCTCCCGCCATGGCCGCCGCAGCAGCACCCTCCTTCTCAGCAAACTTGGCCGACTCAGCACTCTCACCCGACTGGGGGCTTGATTCCAGCGCACTCTCGCCCTCTGTGCTCAAGATCATAAACTTCTGCACCATCTCCTCCAGCTCCTGCTGGTCCCGGAACTTGGTCACCTTCTTCACGTTCTGGAGCGTCACCGACGTCGAGGGCCGTCCCAGCAGGCGGTCCCGCGCGAGCGTCTTGGCCGTCATCATGAAGCGCGAGTCCTTCTTGCCGTCGACGAATTCGAGGATTGCGCTCTCGCCCTGGTCGTATGTGTTTTTGGACTCTGTGCGGACGACGCGAGTGTAGCCGCCTTCGCGGGAGAGGTATCGATTTCGGAGTTCGCCAAAGAGCTTGGGTAGAAGCTTATCGGGGGTCTAATACAATCTCTATTTGTTAGCTGAATTGTTTGCTTGAAGAAATGCAAGCCCCCAAAACGGCTGTAGAAGGACATTTTGACTGACATAGAGAATACCCTGCGCTGATCTCCTGCACGGCTCATTGTTCCTCTTGGCCAGCGTTATTAGCTTGTCTGCCAGGCGCTGCGTCTCCTTGGCCTTTGCGTATGTGGTCTGGATGTGTTCATAGTGGACGAGCTGCGTGACGAGGCCGCGCAGCAGAGCTTGTCTGGCGGACGATTTGCGGCTCAGATGCCGGTACTTGACGAGACCACCCGCCATGGCAGAAGTGAGATATCTGATGTAGCAATTGAGCGCTGTGGCGTTTAAAGAGCAGTTCAATTATAAAATAGCCGCAATCCTTTCTTTCGCTGTTCGTTTCGGCTTGCAGTCGTCGTTACTGTGCTGGACAAGGCTTTGGAATGTCTCTCTGCAGGTTTGAAGCCTTTCGTGGTGGGCTGCGATCTGGTTGGCTGTAATTTTTTTTTGCGGTAGTGTGAATTTTTGGTGGCGGCGAATCTCGGGCCATTTTTGGAACTTCCTGCGCTGCCAGCGGAGCTACGTCAATTCTCTATCCCTAGAGCTTTTTCTAACATCGTCACTCATTTTCAGCAGAAAAAACCAAACAGTTTGGCTCTGGGTCAAGCTTCGCAGCTTTTTCTTCTGCTGGGAATTGTGCGGAAGCTCAATTGCAGTATGCGAAGCTGCGCATAGGAGGCTCTTTTTACATAACAGCTTTGGTTCGAAAATCACCTCCCGGGAAATAATATCTCTCTTCTACAACAAAGCGTGTAATTCCAACTCCGCCAACATGGGCTTCGCAACCGGCTTTGTAAGTTCCTCTTTGCTGTCTGGCTATTCCTTTTTCACGCTCAATTCTACGATGTAAAGGCTGACAGCAACTTCTAATCTAGACCGGTGGCGTGACGCTCACCCTTTCGCTCGCCTACCTCTCCGTCCTCGCGCACCAGCGCAATCGCGAAGCCCAAAGCAGATCCATTCGCACCCAGACGCTCATGATCCAGCATCTCATCGATCCGATCCCGCAGCCGCTTCCCCCTACGCGATCCGAAGTCGCCGCCGCGCAGCGAGAAGCCGCTGTCGAGGTCGCCAAGAACCGATGGAACTCGGAGGTTGAAAACGCCGTGCGCTGGGTGCAGCACACGGACTGGGACGAGGTGCGAGAGGGCTTGGAGAGCAGGATTGCATACCTATACGCAAAGGCAACGGGCCAGTCTGTGGAGGAGGTGCTAAAGGCCAGGCGCTCTCTCGAGCCTGTCAAGAGGACGCAGCAGACGGGTGGCGAGATTGCGGCTGCTACAAGAGGGGCTTTTGGTCAAGTCAAGGAAAAAGCAGAGGAGATTGAGATGAATGCCGAGAACAGGGCTCTGGACGCGAGGCTGAGGAGTAAAAAGTTCATTGAGGAGACCGCGGCGGAGGCAAAGGAGGTTGTCAGCACGACCCTGGAGAAGGGCCGGGAAAAGGCAAAGGAGGTTGTGGGCATTGCCAAGACGGCTGTTGGCATGGCTGAGGCGCAGGTGGAGGAGATGGTGGGCGACAAGGCGAAGTCACAGTTGAGCCCTGTGCAAAAGGCTCTGAGACAACGATACGAGAAGCCTTCAAAAGAGACGCGGACAACGGCAGAGATTCTCAGGGAGAGGTATATTCCTATGGACCAACGAGATAACACCGTCCTGCGAGGATTATAAGAGGATCCAAGGGAGACCCAAGGGAGACCCAAGGGAGACCCAAGGGAGATTCAAGGGCGAATTGAAGACGAAGAAACCAACAAAAAAGGTGAACCTGCATGGCTTTCCAACGGACGGCTTGACCAGGCTGAGAGCATCCATGCATCTTTGTGTATGGCGCACAGATAGACGCTATAATGTATTACTACATCTTCTACTGTTATGAGCATCTGAAACAAAAAAAGAGCATTACTATGCTGCTCCTCGTAGCGATATTTGCTGTAAGCGGCGAACAACAGATAAGGCGTATGTGTATACGAAAACGAATACTTTAATACGCTCGAGGCCTCGCAGTTGCATCGCCAGATAGCGTATGTAAGCAACGTATATGTGCGAGCAATACGCTCGTGCCTTTGATTGGCCTCGCAGCGACTTACTCATCGTCTCGTGCCAGAGCACATGGTATGATTTTCCCCAGCAAAAATCATTACCCACCGTGAGCGAGCCTAGGCTTCTAAATGTGGAGCGAGGAATTGCCTAGGCTGTAGGTGAAGAGCACGACGCAGAGCGTATTGAACAGAAGGGGTGATGCCGAGCAATTATTACATCGCTTAGCAGCTGCCCGTTTTATTCTGATCGTATGCACATGTATCTATAATTATAGCAATACCTACATAAGGTAGGTACTTAACTAGTAGTAGTATTTGTATTCTTTGGGTATTCCATGCTGTTTTGGCCTGTTTGGGCCTGGCCACCCGCGGGAGCGACGACGATGAATCGATCCGGCGGGCCGCTGATACGCCGTATTATGTACGTGCTGCAGCAAATACCCTTGCGCAGAAGCTGAGCGCAGTAAGCGGCACTGGGATTGCTCGGCGGATGGCGAAGAGCAGCTTCCCGAGCGAATCCCGGCAGCTGGGCCCGGCTGGGCCTTTTGGCTACGAGTATTCCCGTAGTTGGTGGGGGAATTGAAAGCACCGGCAACCGGAGGGCCCTGGGATTTTGCAGAGACCGGCGTGCCGGTAAGAAGTTTCAGTGCGTCAAGGGCGGTGCGCTATATGGAGCTGGAGTTGGAGGGAGGGATTGGTGTGTTTTGCGTGTGTTTTGGATTCTGCCAGTTTTGCATGTACTACCAGAGATTGCAAGTATTCAGGAACTGTAGGATTCGCGACAGCACCAGAGTAATATCAAAATCAATACATATATCAATGATGACAATTACTGGGAACAACCAGCGGCAGATCCTGTAAGATGCAACCGATTCCTGCGGGACAGCCCCCCCATTGCAGCGGTAAGCCCCTAAGCAGGTACTAACAAGCAGCGCTAAAACGGCCTCGGCGCAGGTAATTGTAAAACGCCCCTCGCTGATTGGCGCGCCATCCGAGGCTGTTCCAGAAGTTTTTTTGGTTCTCTCCGCGGAGCACGCCGCTGCACACGACAAAAGTCTGACTACATGCCCCAAAACTTTTTCGACTTGCGCCTTTTCGCCTCGTCTCTGCGTTTTCTTTCTCTTTTTCCATCTTCAACAATCTTGGCTTGTGGCTTTTGTGCTGGAGTTTTCCTCCGTTTATATATACATCGGGAATTGTCGATATTGCCTCAACCAAGACCCTTTCATCCCTCCATTGGGGTTTTGCAGAATCGCATCTTTTTTCTTTGCCGTTAACGCAATTCGAATTTCGAACTCGTCCGGGTCCCACCGCTAAGCATCACGACCCGCCACTTTTCCCCTCAAATAGACAGGACAGCCAGCCGTTCAATTGACGCCAATTCCATCGCCCATCATGTCCTTCTCCAGCCTCGTTCAGGAACTCAGTCTTCGAGACCCCAACGCCCCTCGCCGCCCGGGCCCTACCCCGTCAGTCTCGACTTTCGACGACCGCGCATCGCATGTCTCTCGCACCATGTCTGGATACGCCAGCACGGCCGCCACCAGCGTGAGCATCTCCGGTGACATCGGCAGCCAGTTGCACGGAGGATACTTCCACCCTCTGGCTCGGTCCTGGCAGGCCGAACGCCAGCTGACAAAGGTAAGCCTATATACTGAAAGCTGGTTCTGCCCGTTACTGTTACTGACTGTGTAACTGTAGTCTATGCTCATTTACCCCATCTTCGTCACTGATGGCGAGGACGACATGATCCATGTGCCCTCTCTTCCTGGCCAGTACCAGGTCAGCATCGACAGGCTGACGGCCTTCCTCGAGCCTCTTGTCCACAAGGGACTGCGATCCGTCATGCTGTTTGGTGTTCCCCAGAAGCCCGGCTCCAAGGACATCCTGGGCAGCTCAGCTGACGATCCCGAGGGCCCTGTTATCCAGGCCATTCAACTCATCCTCCGCCGTTTCCCTCAGCTCTTCATCTGCGCCGATGTCTGCCTCTGCGAGTATACTTCGCACGGTCACTGCGGTATTCTGCGAGACGACAGCAGCCTGAACAACCAAATGTCCGTTGATCGCATTTCCGACGTTGCCCTTGCCTATGCCAAGGCTGGAGCACACTGCGTTGCGCCTTCTGACATGAATGATGGCCGCATCCGTGCTATCAAGCTCAAGTTGATTGAGGAGGGAATTGCTCACAAGACCCTGCTCATGTCGTACTCTGCCAAGTTCTCTGGCTGTCTGTATGGACCCTTCCGAGACGCAGCCGGCTCTGCGCCGTCCTTTGGCGACCGCCGATGCTACCAGCTCCCCCCCGGAGGCCGCGGCCTTGCTCGCCGAGCCATCATCCGTGATATGAACGAGGGTGCCGACATCATCATGGTGAAGCCTGCCGGCCAATACCTCGACGTTATCAGCGATGCCAAGGAGCTGGGCAAGGACCTGCCCATCGCTGCCTACCAAGTCAGTGGCGAGTACTCCATGATCCACGCCGCTGCCAAGGCTGGTGTCTTCGATCTCAAGACCATGGCTTTTGAGTCAACAGAGAGCATCCTCCGAGCTGGCGCGACCATTGTCATCAGCTATTTCACCCCCAACTTCCTCGACTGGCTAGACAATTAAATCCTAATTGAAGCGAGAAAGGACAGCTCATGACGGGTTTTAATGTGGAAAAAGACAAAATAAATACCAGGGTAGAAAGAGCAGGCGGGCGTTTTCTTGTGTTGATATTTGGAACAAAAAGGGATTTGTAACATTTTTGTATGCATTTTGCTATTTCTATTTGCATCATTTTAGAGCAAGGACATAATTTAACTAGGACAAATGAATTCATGTATAATCACACTATTTTTAAAATTCCTTTCTCATGTAGTGGTCTATAATTGCATCTGACAGCTTCAAGCTTGACTCTGTGTCTATCGGAAGAGCCTAGATGTCGTATCTCGACGGTACACGTGCACGTTTCGTGATCAATTACAGGATTTGTTAGGAAACGAAAGTCTTTCCGCAGAAAATTCAACTCAATTATAATTTTGTCGCTACCCTCGCATCAAACACGCCAGGCGTGTAATCCACAATGCACAGCTGCTGAATAACAGGAAGCGCGCCGTTCACCAAGCTTCGGTGAGCGTTGTCCTTCTTAACGTAGTAGTCTCTGTCCTCGGCAGAATTGAACTCGACAACAAAGCCATACGAATAACCATTCTTTAGGTGCAGTTGAGTTGTTAGCTTTCTATCTCTCTATTTTTACCGTTACCAGGGTTAAAGTCTCACAGAGAATCCTTCGGAAGAGCTGTTGATTCCACCAGTTATAGACTTGATGTAGGGAGTTTTGGTGTCTGCGGTGAGGCAGTTGTCCTTGAGAGCCAGAATGCCTGAACAGACCTGCAGAGAGTTTCTCAGTTAGCACTAATTCGCGTTCTTACTCTGGCAAATGAAGAATATCTCTTCAAGGATTGACGCTAGTGGCATTATTTCGATTTTGCGAACCTTTTTGACGGCGTCGGCATCGGCGTCGGGCTTGAAAGCGACGAGAATGAGGTGATTGATGCTCATGTTGAATCAAGGCACTGTAAACTATCGTATACTAAAGGGCAAAAACTAGATAAATTTATGATGACTAGAAGTTGCTCAACTACTGTTGTCGATGCAGATGGATACACATGTACCTATATACCAAAAGCAACGCGGAGAGGCTGTTCAACTCGCGCCACACGCTAAAAGTAAGGCGAGTAGCGGCGATGCGGATCTCGAAATGTATTTCCCTAATTCATCCACTGCTCCTCGGTTTATATTTTCATACATTCCTTTTTCGTTGGGATGTGTGAGCAGAAAAGAGGGATACCGAGGCTTATGGAGAGAGTGGCTGTTGGTGGTGTGAAGCCCTTGTAAATTTAGAGAGTGCCGAGGCGTGCCGAGGTGTATTTGCGGCCAACAGCATGCATATGCGGCCAACAGCAGCCACGTCTAGGATCTGTAACTACCATTCGTCCTTATATGCAGTGTGATGAAGATGCTTGGATTCCAGCAACTCGTAATATAAGCCATGCGTCTAATTGGTTGAATGTATGAACTTTTAAGTACAGCGCGAGACTCGTGCCAATCACAGCCGCCAAGATCGCGCATCGTGCATATGGCGAACCATTGAGCGGAGCATCGCCAAAAGAGGCAATATTTCATATACAGGTAGCTGCGTAGCTGCGTAGCAAAGTATTTTGTATCTGTATCTACGGTAAATGCCGAGATTTCTGTCGTGAACGGCACTTATACCAACGCGGGGGAGGGTCCTTGGAAGGATTCGCCGAATGAGTCAAGGATGGCACTAAATGGTGAACTGGACACTTTGCATGCGACGACAACTCTCATGAAACATGGCGCTTCTCTCTATTCTTTCCTCTCTCCATGATTAGAACACCCCGCTTATAAGTACTTTTTTTCTGTATCAAGCAATAGATCTCAGTACAATATGGAAGTCGAGTATACTGCAAACACTCCCAAACAACTGAAAGAGTCCAAGGTGAGCTTCCACGGCGGTCTCGCCTGCCACTTTAGCCTCTTAAAGCCACAGTCGTTTTATTTGAATGCTAAAAATGACATTTTGTTTCTCAATCAGCACGCTCTTCAACTCTTAACAGAGAACACACCAAATGGCAAGAAGGTGCAGATTCTCTTGGAAGAGCTCCATGACGTTTACGGAACTTCATGGGCTACCCACCTAATTGATCTCGAGACGGATGAACAGAAGAAGAGTTGGTTTCTTCGTCTGAACCCGAATGGTAGCGTTCCACACATCTTTTCTACTTATAGCTCGTGATGCATGTTTTATACTAAAGTCTGATCCCCGTTATGTAGGGAGAATTCCGGTCCTTTTGGATAGCTCTGAGACGGGCTCAGCCATCTCCGTCATGGAGAGCCAAGCAATACTCACTTACTTGCAGGAAAATTATGACCAGAACAATGTGTTCGGATTCGCTTCTGCATCCGAGCGAAGCCAAGTAATGCAGTGGCTCTTCTTCTGGCACTCGTCTGCTCCGGTGCAGGGACACGGCAGACATTTCATCAAGGGCGTCGAAGAGCCTATTCCATGTAAGCATTTCCACTTTTCTGATCTAATATGTTCGTAGCCTACAAAGATCTCAACACTGAATTGTGAAATACGTAGATGCAGCACAGTACTTTCAAAAGGCAATGCTCCGCATATACTCCGTGCTCGAAGCCCATCTCAGCGGACAGCACCGGGCAAGTTCCGCAGCGCCTCGCGAGTATCTAGCTGGTGACGGCGTCGGCAAGTATACAATAGCGGACATGGGCACGTGGCCCCATGTTCGGGGTTACCGCGCCCTGGGCTTCTCGGAAGAGGATATGCAGCCAAAGTTTCCCCATCTTCTGCGGTGGATTGAGAGGATAGAGGCTAGACCGGCGGTGCAGAGAGGTATTGATGCTGGGAAATATGATAGTGAAGAGAATCCGGGACTTTTGGTGCGGGCCGAGCAATAGAATGTATGTAGTATATATGATAATTTGAGCAGCAAGAGATGCTTAGCGTTGTTTATGAGGCAGATTGCTTATGATTTATATATAAGCACCTGTACTACTATTACAATTACAGTGAGGGAAACGATGACTTTGTCAACTTTTATTACAACCCGTAGCTAGATTTTGAAGCGACTAAATTAAAATAACATATATACTATTGCAGTCTCAGCAGGACAAATAAACACAAGAAAGCGACAAAGCATCACTAAAGCCCCCAAAACTCCGTTATACGTCATAATCCTTTCAAATACCTCGTGTGCACATCACGTTGAGTAAGCCCCCCGCCTACCGGAGTTCCATATTGTTTGTACCGTTGAATAATTGGTTCCAGTCGTATTGCACGTTTGTGTCTACAATCGTACACCAATCCTGAGTGAGATCCATCTGAAAGTCAAAGTCACTGAAGGTCGTATTCAAGAACTCGTTGGAGCTGAACTCGATGGTATTTGCGGGCTGGGACAAGTAGAACGGGTCTCCTGGAACCTGTTTCGGCGGCAGCGAAGACAGTTCTACCGTCGATGCAATGCTTGGGCTTGCGAGAGTGGAGTTATGGCTGCTGACGCTGCTGGCAATGGTAGCAACATTGCCGTTGGTGGCTGGCTTCGTACCTTGGCTGATGCGCAGCCTTCCAAAGTACGGTACCACGAGCGTAAAATCGTCTTGCACATTGTATGTGCCGTAACTTGCGGCTACAAGGGTCTCTAGCACTTGTGCGCTCTGTCGTGCCACCGTACATTCCAGTATGCTGTCTGTTTTCCTCAGCTCCCCAATGAGTGTTTCTATGAGCTGGTATTCTTCCGCGTAGTAAGAGACCGCTCCCAGTGATCCCTCTGTGTTGGGCGAGCCGGATAGGATTCCCAGAATGAGTGTGATGGCGGAGCTGAACATGGTAAAGTCCATGAGCTCGCACTGGACGGATTCTGACTTGGGCGAACCTCGAAGGCGGAGATAGACTCTAATGAGCTCTCGACAAGCCTCCATGGTGGACAATCGGCTGTGTTCGTAGCGCCGATCGGTTTTGGCCTTGAGCATAAATGGTAGATGAATATGCTTGAGAGTCGAGTAGTAGAATATCTGGGCAGCCTCTTGGGAATAGATTGTGGGCATATTAAGGCTGGGTTCGTACTCCTTGGCCCATGATGGAGGAAAGGTCCTCTTCAACTCCTCCATGTCTTGATCCAACTGCACGGTTGCCGCATACGGACTTGCGTCTGAGTTTTGATTGCGGTCAATAACACGTCCCATGATGACGCATGTGCGACGGAAGACGGTCTGTGCAGGGGAGAGCATCAGGGTCAGGGAAGCATCATCCTTGGTTCCAAGACTGCTGACGGCGGAGGGGAATCCGAGCATCATGCACAGCTGGCGCTCCGATTGCCAGGTCTGGGCCCACAGAGACTTCTTCTGGATGCTCGCATTGGCATCGAGTCTGTCCAAGCCAATGAGGGTGGCGGCGCTGATGCCGTGGCGGATGGCCATCCAAGCTCTCTGCGGCCGACCGTTGTTGACGAGGATTTTGTGCAGCAGCAGGTAGCATTGCACGACTTGCGGGCTCGCTTCACCTTCTACGGCGAGGAGAACAAGGGCAAAGCGGATGTATGTGTCGATGATGACCTGCCGGGAGATGTCGGGGGAGATGATGATGCGCTTCCAGTGACGGGGGAGCTGCTGGATGCAGAGAGTAAGGAAGAGGATTGCATTGCAGAAGTCAACGCCGCGGCTGTAGTTGAGGATCTGGCTCAGGTACGCTTCGGCAACGTCGAGGCTGGTGGCGTGCATGGCATTGGAAAAGTCCGGGCCAAAGAAGTAGGTCGGCCAGATTGGCCAAAAGAACTTTGAGTCTTCGAGGATGAGACGCAGCGTCTCCGGGTCGGGAATGGGTGGCTTGAACGAGCTGATGGATTCCTTCATCAAGAAGGTCATGGACGGATCCTCGGGGTCGTCGTAAAGCTCGCCCTCGGTCTCCCGGATGAGCAGGGCATCTCGGAAGAGGCTGATCAGAGGCGCATCTACAGCAGCGACGGACTTGTCCGCATAGTCTGGCGGACTGCTAGACAATTCGTGGTCGAGCGAGCCTGGAGAGAGCAGCGAAGAGGGAGGGCCGGAGTTGGGAGCCACGCCGAGATTAGGAAGGGCAGTATCAGGAACAGGCTCAAGAGCAGGCCCAAAGTTGTAGCTCAGCGCCGCATCTTTCTGCAGAAGCCCATGGTTCTTGAGGTTCGTGATGACCTGGATCGCCCTCGTATTGATATCCGGGGTCGTCGAGGAGGCGATGGTGGAAGCTGAGGTGGACGAGGCTGCGCCAGAGGCCGAGGCGGAGGATGCCTCATCGCTTGGCTCGAGCGCATCGCAGAGGCTGCCGATGAGGTCCTCGAGCTCGGCCACCCGCCGGCGCAGCAGCGCGTTGTCGGCGGCCAGCTGAGACACGGGCTGGGACGGAAGCAGCCCCGGGACCTGCACATGGCCCGGCCGGCCACCGTCTTTCGGACGCGGCTGCTGGGCCCGGCACGGCGTCTGATGGAGCGAGCATCCGTGGCAGATGGAGCCGTTTGGCGGGAAGACGCACCGGACCTTTCGGCGACGGCATTCGGCGCACGACTTGGTCCCCAGCCGCATGCGTCGTGCGGGTCGTTGGTCCGAGAAGTCGTCCATTGGAACTGTCTCCTGAGGCAGCGCACAAGGGCTGCACGTAATGTTGATGCTTTCGTCCGGGCCTTGACCCGAGAGCCTGGGTTATTATTGGTACAAGTATGTAGGGAGGAGAATGCGCCCACATTGCCTGGCTGCTGGATGGCGCATCCAGAGCTATGCTATGTCGAGCATGCGATCGTCTTACTAATGCGCTGAATGCATTGGAGAGCTCCGGTCTAATTGGTTGACTCGTACTACTTGTATGTAAGCACGCCGTGCCTTTGGGTTTAGCCTGCCATGGCATCCGTAGACGGGGCGGACGAGTTCGCACGAAGCCAGTATAGGAACTGGGGCGTCTAGTCGTATCGAAGAAGCATAGTAGAATGTTCGATGATGCTTGTGGAAGCTAGCTTGCATTTTTAATTCGCTCTGATTCGGTCGTCTCTATAAGCCAGAGATGCAAGGTTGAGTGATTACCCAGTAGTTACCAGAGATGGAAGTTGCTGCTGCAGGTCAACGAGGCAGTTGCTGGGGCAGTTACTGGATTGGCTTGACTCATGGTTGTGAAACTGCAACAGGTCATTGGGCGAAACGATCTGAGAAATCAGCTACATGGGTTGAGTATTCTGGGTTGCTTACCGATTCTGAAGGATAGATGATTGAATGTATTGGATTGATAATGCTTCATAATGTGCTCAAAATGGTGTTTAAAAGCCAGCGTCTTGGGCGAATTGATTAATCCAACAGAGCAAAATCAGTTTACTCTTCGATCTATAACTCAGTTTTGAATTGCACCACTCATTTTCCCAGCTTTCCACAAAATTAGAACCATCAATCTCTTCCAAAATGGCCACTTCACTCAACGCTAGCCTTCAAGCAACCCTTACTTCTCTCGGGGAAAACATCCCTGAGCCTGCTTTTAAAATCATCTCTGAAGCAAAGGCCAACGTCGAGAAAGAATTCGACGTCAAGTCTACAATCCAGCCTGGCCAAAAACTCCCCGAATTTACCCTCCAAAATGCCAGTGGAGTGTCCGTTAACAGTGCCGACCTCCTGGCTAAGGGACCGCTTCTCATTGTTTTCTACCGCGGCGGCTGGTGCCCCTTTTGCAACCTCACACTGAGGGCTTATCAGCAGCGCCTGGAAGATTTCAAGGCAAAGGGTGTTACCCTCGTGGCCATTACGCCGGAACAGCCTGATTCTTCGCTTTCCACTGCGGAAAAGAATGAACTTCAATTCCCCGTGCTGACTGACGATGGCCTCCAGCTTGCTCGCAAGTTGAACATTACCTGGGAGCAGCCACAAGATTTGGTGGATCTTTCGACTGGCATGGGATCTGATCTTCACAAGCGTCACGGCAATGATTCGAACGCCATGGTAGTTCCGACTACGCTGCTGGTTGACCAGAAGGGCGCTGTTAAGAACATTTATGCGGAAGCGGATTGGACAAAGAGACTGGAGCCTCAGGAGGCAGTGAACTGGGTGAATGCACTATAACTGCATGAGCTATGGACATGGCAAGACCCAGAAATTTAGCGTCTTTACTGACATCTGGCATCTGATGCCAAGTTTATCTAGAGCGCATATGAATATCTAGAGATGGCGAAATAAAAAGTTATTGAGCGACTCTCGATGCTGGCGGATGACTAAGTGAATATGCGTGTAAGTGGGCTCAGCTCAGCTGCCGTGCCACCGCGATGGTTGCAGCGCACGCCGCCCTCCCGACGCCTCTATTGGCCGAGACTAAACACGACCTTATCGAATATCCCGAGCCCGCTGAATTATTGATTGCTCGTGCGCCGCTGTGCATAATACGAAGCTTGGCGTGGTCCCGAAGCACAAACACACAAAGTCCCATGCAAGGCTCTAACACCCGCAACGCCATATTCTGACAGGCACAAGCGCCAATTCTAACTTTGTAGGATATCAGCTCTCCAGTAGCATCTGTTAGCGATAGCAACTGGCCTTTTCCTGCACGCCAAGCGCCCTTGCGATTAGCCACTGCTGTGTTATTGGACGAGCGTCTCGTCTGACCCCTGGCGATTGGGAGCGGGTTGGTTGGCGCCATGTCATCTTTTTTGGAAAAATCCTGCTTCCCGTGTCGGCGGATCGAGCGAGCCGGCGGCAAAGTTGGGTATAGCTCTGAATAGTGTTCAGCTGCGCCCTGAAGCTGAGAGACGTGTGTTTACGTCTTGCAGCTCAAGCCTGTTTTTGTTTTCTTTTTGTTTTCTTCCTTTTGATTTATCTTGTGTCTTTCCATCTTTTGCATTCTCTCGTTCTCTCGCCTTTCTGACGTCTTCTTTTGCGTTCATGCTGGTGATTTTGGTTGCATTGAGTTCGAAACCTGCCCACTGCTTGATCCATTGTCGCGCTCTTCCCTCGATTTAGACAGCATAGAAGGGTGGCATAGATAAAATCACATTACGCGTGTATCCTGCTTTTATCGCGTGCTTCCGACAATCATCAAACAAGATAGAGCTCTGTAGATGATCTGAATTGGACTCAACTCATCGCTGCTTCATCGTCACTCTCAGATTCCCCGCCCCACGTCATCACCGATCTTAACAAACCCCTGCTATCTGCTCAGGAAGAGGGGAAACGAAAATCATGATCAGCTTCGCTCTTCGGCTCTTCCTGCTCGCGGGCCTTGCGAATGCCTCAACGTCCGATAAACGCGGTCTCGTTTACACGCCCAATGCGGCGACTCCCCAAGACGACCAGGTCTGGGTACAGTCCGGCAGCGATTTAACATGGTACTACAATTACCAGTCGGAGCCCTCGGCGGCTTACAACAAGTCTCTTTCGCAGCAACAGTTTGAGTTTGTGCCCATGATGTGGGGTGTGTCGAGCAATCTCAGCGACACAGCTTTCTTGAACCAAGTCAAGGCGCTCATCAGCCAGGGCACCAACATCTCGCATGTCCTGGGCTTCAACGAGCCAGATGGCGCAACTAACACTGGCGGGAGCGGCATCAAGCCTGCAGACGCCGCGAAAGCCTGGGTTGCCAATTTCGAGCCTCTGGGCAAGATGGGCGTCAAGCTTGGCCTGCCGGCGTGTACGGGAGGACCTGATAGCTTGCCGTGGCTGAAGCAGTTCCTGTCGAACTGTTCTGCACTTGTGAGTACGGATAATCAGAAGAAAAACTGTACTTTTGATTTCCTGCCTGTGCATTGGTACGATAACTTTGCGGGCTTGGCGTCACTTATTGGAGAGAGAAGAGCGACGTAAGTTTCCTTTAACCTTATTTCTTTCTAGACGGGTATAACGGTTACAGCCGATGTTATGGAGTGATGCTGATTCAATAAACAATAGATGGCCCGATACCGATATCTGGGTGACCGAATACGCATTTGCCAACCAAGACTTGCAAACGACACAGGAATATTTCAACCAGACGGTCGATTACTTTGACAAGTTGGATTACATTGCCCGGTATACCTACTTCGGCGCTTTTCGCTCCAAAGTCTCCAACGTCGGGCCCAACGTACCGTTTCTCAACAATGCTGGAAAGCTGACGGACATTGGAGCCTGGTATCTTGGCTTCTCCGAGACGAATGTTAAACCCACGAGCGCGGCATCTCTATCGGCTGGGGCAATGTCCAGTTGGATAATTGGGGGAGTAGGCTTACTGACGGCATGCATTAGCGGGTTGTTGTGAATATGATTTGGGTGATTGAGCAATGAGTGTGACGATATATAGACGTAATCGGTCTGCTATTTTGCGAGCATTGATTTTGGACATCTAATTGATTAATGAGATCCGGGGGGATGGTAGCGCTTTACTGTACACATATGTATAGACCGGCACATGAAAATAGATTGGTATTTATTTGCTTTAGGAAATACAATGTTTGGCTTCATCAATATGTCTCTTGTCTCTTGTGATATGTCTATAATTCTCTTTATCCTCGAATGGTGTTCGGCTCTCCACGCCTTTTGAGGCTTGAACATTTATCCACATCTACTTAGAGCGAATCACTCAGCCCAGCATGTATACCCGCATCAGTGGTAGTCCAAAGTACAAGATTAGGTAGCTTTCATTGATACAAGTCTCCATCATCCATCTCTCCTTATCATTCTCAGCGATTCATGCATCTCCGATCAACTCGGCCCCATCCTCCCCCGTGATAAACACATCCGGGTGGCGCAGCAACGTGACGCCGAGAATCTCAAGCCGGTTTTTGCCACTCCTCCGGCCGGGGTAATTAAGACCCCAAGTAGACAAACCTCCTCAAGCCACCAGCGCTCCGGTAAACGCTCGTCGCCGCCATCTTCTCGTAGTCTCGGCACTACTAGCTCCTTGTAGTTACTTGACTATCCACCAAGCCGTAAAACAACAATCACTCAAGAACACTAGTCATTGCTGTTATTTCATCATCACTCACATACATCTTTTAGAGCCTTGGCTCACTCATGTTTGGCCAATCAAGATATCTCGGCTGCGCTCGCTTCCATATCTCTTCCAGAAGGAATAAACATATTCGCCACTATGAATCCCATTGCCAAGATGCAGCAAAGAAAGTACGGCATAGCGAAGTAGCTTGGCAAGCCTCCCCCACCTTTGGCGAGGATCACCATTGGTTGGCGGTGGAATAAGCTTGGGCGACATAACCTTAATACACCACCTACGCTTGATAACCAGATCTTGGCGGAATGATGGCCAAGATCAATGGTGTGACTTTCGTTACTTTTGTTCTCGTTCCGTAAACTTTGACCTTTTACATTGTCAACCAAATTCTGGGGAACGCGCGTTGCCAAGGTTGGAGTGGATATGGAACTCCTTGGCTCTTTCTTGGAAGAGGCCTGGAAAGTGCGATTTATTATCGTGGGCATGAATGATACATCATCTCCAGAGTTGATTGTGCCTCAATGACCTGAGACACCGCGTGGTGCAGTGGTACCAGATGAAGGCCTCAAAGCTTAATACGGCATGGCAAAGAACGTGAATCACGATGGCTATAGATGGAGGAAATTGTGGATGAAAACATCTATATAATAAGCCACACTCCACCATTATGCCATCCAAAGCATCTCCATCCCAAGCCTCACTTCTCATTTACAACGCCAAGGACACACTAGCTGCCAAGAGACCCGCCGCCGATAACATGTTTCCTACGAAGGCGAACGTATTCGCCTCATGATGCCGATACCTTGTGCACATGGTAATTCGCCAATCAAGCCAAGGTATTATCTTGACACGATAAGTACTTATACCACCCCCGCACCCCGCAAATTGGAACGTCAGTTCATGTTCTTTTGACAATCATTGATAATATCAAATGTACACAGGTGACAGTGCCCACTAACGCTCTTTACCTTATTATTATCATCTATGTTCGGCCTTATTACCATCTTTCCTTTAATATATAATAGCCAAAGCCCTGATGGCTGAGTTCCCAAAGCACCCTTTCTTACTCACCGTCAAGGAGACAGAGGAGGCTCTCGGAACCAATGTCGATAAGGGACTCACCTCGGAGCAGGTCCCGGGCCTGCAGTCGAGATACCCTAAAAATGAACTCGACGTCGGTGAGACTATACCATGGTATAGTATCCTTGCTAAGCAAGTATTCAATGCCATGATTATTGTAAGACACCTCTTTGCTTTCTTTCCTCTTATCATACGTATTTGTCCAAACTAATCAAACACCTTACTAGGTTCTCGTTTTTGCTATGGCTCTTAGTTTTGGTATCCAAGATTATATTGAAGGAGGTGTTCTTGCTTTCGTCATCTTTCTCAATGTTACCATAGGCTTCTGGCAAGAGTACCGCGCCGAAAAGCGCATGGACGCTCTTCGCGCCTTATCCTCTCCCAGTGCCATGGTTCTCCGCGACGGCAATACTCAAGTCATTCCTAAGTACGTATCTCCCAAAGCAGAGTATAAACCATGTACACTCAGGTGTTAACTAAAATAAACAGCTCCGAAGTCGTGCCTGGAGACATCGTTCTGCTCAAAATGGGCGACACCGTCCCAGCAGACCTCCGTCTTTTCGAAGCCATGAACCTGGCCTGTGAAGAAGGCCAACTCACTGGCGAATCTATCCCCGTCGAGAAGACCACCGAGAACAACATCTCTGCTCACGAGTCTGATGCCGTAGCCACTTCCGAAGGCGAAGTTGGCATCGGCGACCGCACTAACATGGCCTACGCTACGACCGTTGTCCAAAAGGGCCGTGGCCGCGGCATCGTCGTTGCTACAGGCATGTCCACCGAGGTGGGCAAAATCGCTGCTTCGACCGCAAAAAAGAGGCGCAAGGCTGGCCGATCGATGAATTGGCGCAAATATGGCAAGAAGCAGCCCGTCGTTGGTCTCACGAAGCGCATCTACGACTTTGTGGGAAAGTTTCTGGGCCTGACGGTGGGAACGCCTTTGCAGAGGAAGTTGTCGGCGCTGGCATATGTGCTTTTTGGCTGTGCTGTAATTCTCGCCATTATTGTCTTTGGTGTGAATGGCTTCAATATGCGGCATGAGGTTATCATTTATGCGACTTCGCTGGGTATTGCCATCATTCCCGAGTCTCTTGTTGCGTAAGTCCCATCTCCTCCATCTTCTCACACCTTTGTACTCATAACTAACTTATTTCCCAGTGTTTTGACATTGACTATGGTCGTTGCTGTAAGCGTCATGAGCAAAAACAATGTTCTCGTTAGAGATCTCTCCGCCCTCGAGGCTCTCGGCGGCGTCACAAACATCTGCTCCGACAAAACAGGAACGTTGACTGAAGGCGCTATGATTGTTCGCCAAGCATGGATTCCATCTTCGCACGTCTACACCGTCCACGACTCGCAGAATCCAAATGATCCCACAAAGGGACGCGTGGTCTACTCCCAAAGCAAAGGCGAGAGTACACCACCGCTCGAGCCTATCAATGAGAAACCGCGCGACTACGACAAGGAGCGAAGCGCCGCCGTGCTCAAGTTTGACGTCCCAGACGAGAAGCTCAACCAGTCGTCGGCGGCTAAACAACCTCAGGTCCCTGAGCCAGAGGCAAAGATGACGGATCAACTGCGCGCGTTTCTGCTTTCTTCTGCGCTTTGCAATCTCGCCACTGTTCGATATGATAAAGACGAAGAGAAGTGGCAGACTACGGGAGAGCCAACTGAGATTGCGCTACAAGTCTTTGCGCATCGCTTCAGCCACGGCAAGAAGAGTCTCGAAGGCCAAGGCTGGAAACAAGTCGCCGAGTTTCCATTCGACAGCTCTATTAAGCGCATGTCTGTCGTTTACAACTCTCCCGAGGATGAGCAAAGCTCAATCGTCGACTCTCATAACAGCATGGTCTTTACCAAGGGCGCAGTGGAGCGTGTGCTTGATCTATGTGCCTTTGTGGGCGTTGGCGAAGGCCAGCAGCCCATCAGCGAAGAGTTGAAAGAATCTGTTCTACAGGAAATGAACGCTCTCGCGTCGCAGGGCCAGCGAGTCCTTGCCGTCGCATATCGTTCATGGGAAGGCCGGTTTACATCCAAGCAGTCAAGCTCAAGCTCCGCCGAAGAAGACGAAAAGCTACGTTCTGCAGTTGAGCAGAACCTCGTTCTTGTCGGACTCGCCGGCATCTACGATCCTCCCCGTCGAGAGACAAAGGCCTCTATTGCAGAGTGCTCCAATGCCGGCATCAAAGTGCACATGCTCACTGGCGACCATCCCGAGACTGCAAAGTCTATTGCTAGAGAGACGGGAATCATTCCCAGAAACCTTGGCATTCTGCCCGAGAGTGTCGCGCAATCCATTGTGGTCAAAGCTACAGACTTTGATAAGATGACGGACGAGGAGATTGATGCGCTGGAAGAACTTCCGCTCGTCATTGCCCGTTGCGCCCCAGACACCAAGACACGCATGATTGAGGCGTTACGCCGTCGTGGTGCCTTTATGGCCATGACCGGCGATGGCGTCAACGATGCGCCGTCTCTGTCTCGCGCTGATGTCGGTATTGCCATGGGCTCTGGCTCAGATGTCGCCAAATCGGCGGCCAAGATTGTGTTAACCGACGACAAGTTCAACTCCATTGTGGCCGCCATCCGCGAAGGCCGTCGCATGTTTGATAATATCCAAAAGTTCGTTCTGCACCTTCTCGTATCCAACGTCGGCGAAGTCCTGCTCCTCGTCGCAGGCCTCGCCTTTGTCGACGACATGGGCTTCTCGGTCTTTCCTGTGTCCCCCTTACAGATTATCTGGATCAACATGGTCACCTCATCGTTCCCGGCATTCGGCCTCGGCCGGGAACCTGCCGCTCAGGAGGTGATGCGCAAGCCGCCGCAGGACAAGCGCCGCGGCGTCTTTACGAACCAAATCATCGTCGACATGATTGTGTACGGCGTCCTGATGGGTGCGTGCACGCTCTGCACGTTCTGCATCATCATCTACGGCGCCAACGACGGAAACCTCGGCATGGACTGCAACACCAAGTTCTCTGATGCCTGCATTCCGGTGTTCCGAGCCCGCGCGGCGACCTTTGCGGAGCTGACCTGGCTCATCCTTATCGCGGCCTGGGAGTTCAAGAGCCTGCGCCGATCCATGTTTCGCCTAAACCCGACCGACGACAGCTTCTTTCCCTTCTTCAAGGACGTCTACAGCAACAGGTTTCTCTTCTGGTCCGTCATCATCGGCAGCCTGTCCGTCTTCCCCGTTGTCTACATACCGTTCCTCAACACGCGGTTCTTCAAGCACACCGGAATCTCCTGGGAGTGGGCGCTCTCCGTGGGCTTCACCCTGATCTTTGTTACTGGCGTCGAGCTGTGGAAGCTGGCCAAGCGGAGGTTCCGGCTTCTGGAAGATCGAGCCGTGCAGAGGGGCCCCTGGGGGCAGGGGGGTCCGGAAGATGGCGAGCCGAGATTCAAGAGGACGTTTTCGCTGTCGAGTTTCAAGACATGGGTGTCCTTCTCGAAGAAGGAGACGGTGGAGAGCAATACGCGGACGAATACACAAAGTCGCTCAGCAGATGTATAAGGAGGTTTGTGGTCCGATTTTTCTGTCAACATTTTCCATATATAGTATCATAAAGTCGAGTCATTTCAGGGGGAGACATTATCAGAGCATGAGATATTTTAGAAAGAATACGCTGGGATGAATGCTAGAGAGGGATTTATTTTGCATTAGTGGCCGTTATTTCGGAGTTTGAGCTGAGCCTGAAAACAGACGAAATTTGACAATGAACATTCCATATGTACGACTTATAGCCTGATGACAGCATCGGGTAAGCACCAGACTCACTAAGATGCCAGCCCATAGTCTCGTAATTAAGCCAATGATACCACAATCGCGCACTGGCGCATCAATTACACGCCTATTTCTGGAAGGGGGGCAGAAGGTCACCAAGCCCATCACCCCTGTTGCCAGTCAACATGAGCAGCGAGACACGTGTGATGGTCGTCTAGATCCGGGAACCATGGAAGCAACAAAAAGGCGGTAGGTCATAGATACCCAGACAGGGTATATTTCGACGGGGACGAGACCCTGGTCGACGTGGGAAGCGAGCGCGGGGCAGCCGAGCACTTACAGTGCGGGCATTATCAAGCTGTTAGCCGCATCAGGAAACCGAAGCTTGTCTGGAGGGATGCGCAGGTGAACAGGGCAAATGACTCTATCCTCAAGACAGAGCTGCCCCTGACACTATCGTTCCTGTTGCGTCATTATTGTTCACGAGCGTATAGGATATCAGAGTAAAAAATGAAATCATTTCATCTTGACATCTGCAGGGATGTCCAAGCCATCAATATTTATTATACAAGAACACAAAACATGTAAGAGAGACGGATACAAAAGAGAAGTAACAATAAAGATGAAAGTTGAATTAATCGGTCAAGTTGTAAATCTTCTGGATGTTACCCAGCATCTGCTTCATGTCGACCTGCAAATCCTTGATAGAACCATCCTCAAAGTTGAAGACCCAGCCGTGAATGATGGGGAATCGGTTCGTTTCAAACGAGTGCTGCACATCGGCAGTCTTGAGAATGTTACGGCACTGCTCAATGACGTTGAGCTCGACCAGGCGGTTGTATCGCTGGGTATCATCGGTGATGGCATCCAGCTCCTTCTCGTAGATTCGGTAGACATCACGAATGTTTCGCAGCCACGGGTTGAGCAGGCCCATGTCCTTGGGCGTCATGGCGGCCTTGACACCACCGCAGCCGTAGTGGCCGCAGACTACAATGTGCTTGACCTTGAGGTGGTTGACAGCATAGTTGATGACGCTCATGACGTTGAGGTCGGTGCTGATGACCATGTTGGCGATGTTTCGGTGGACAAAGGCCTCGCCGGCCTCCAGGCCAGTGATTTGCTCAGCGGGAATGCGAGAATCACTGCATCCCACCCAGAGATACTCGGGCGATTGGCCGGCAGCCAGGCGAGTAAAGAACTCGGGGTCTTGCTGCAGCCGGTCGGCGGCCCATTTCTTGTTGTTCTCAAAGAGGCGCTGGTGGTTCTCGCGCAGGTACTTCTCGACGTCGTGTTCGTCTTCAGGCATGCCGGGCAAACGAGGGGGAGCAACTTTGACTTTTGCGGTGCCAGAAGGATTGGCGGATGAAGAGGACGAAACCGAGCGGCTTCCTCCAGTATTTGAGCGCGCCGGCGAGAAGGTCAGCGACGACGGCCGGTGACCAACCCGGGGTCGGGACGCGGCCATGCGCAGGGGCTGGCCTCCAATTCGACTCGGCAGCATCGTGTCAGTGTCTGCTGGAAAGGTGGCGAGACGAGAGACGACAGCGGGCAGGGGGTCGGATGATTATGCCGCGGGTTGAAACTTAGTATGCGTGACGCCCAGATAGATAGGTAGTCTAGATGGTACAGAGGTGCAAGCTGCTGCTGCTGCTGGAGTGACTCGCTCGCTCGCTCTTGTGCTGCTGGCCCTGGCGGTGAGCTGTTTTTCTGCTGCGTCCGCGGAAATTAAGTACGGACTGAGGCCACGCTTATGAGGGCGCAATTCTGTCAGAAATGACGGCGCTGTATCTGGAGATGGGAAAAAGTTGGAGGTGAGGGGCTGTAATTCTGTGAATGCCCGCGGTGCTTTATCTGCTAGCCGATCCGCCGAGACTGGGGGCCACAGCGCTCCCGATGCCCTGGAAGGCAGAGCCCGGCAAGCTTTCTGGCATCCCCACTGCTGCAATCGGCTATCTGGAGATGCTGCTTGCAATCTCAGTGGTGCAGATTCGGGCCTAGCACGGATCCGCGAATAAGCGGCGACCATCCACAGATCTGCTCGTTGGGCATTTAGGCTGATTTGCAGAGATGCGAAGAGATGTGAATAGAGAAGAAGAGAAGGCAGAAGCTGCTGAAATAATCAAGTGCCGAATTGAAAAAGAAAATGAAAACCTCCAATTGCATTTGCCGGAATGAAGGCTCAGAGCCGACTCCTTTACACGAAGGATTTGAGTCAATACCTGGTGCAAATCCGCCCTTGTTACGTCACATCGATGTCTTGTACGTACTGTAGAGCCCATCACGCTAAGACGAGCCACCAGGTCTTGTCTCAACCAGTCCTCAACCATTTCAACTCTCATACTAGCCATAATCGTACACATCACTATTGCCGCGGCTATCGCTCGTCACAACCGTCTCTTGTTCTATCCAAGTCTATCTGTCAAGGCTGTGTAAAAAAAGACTCAAATATAGGGGCTGACCAGGCTCAAAAAGCCTCACTTCTCCTGTACCCGATCAAACCAGACATAGTCGTCCAGCCTCTCATCAAACCACACTCCCAGCCTGACCGCAGTGCTGTTGTCAAATCTGAATTCCGCTCTCAGCACTATAGCAACGCCCCCCACCACTTCCCTCTCTATGGCAATGTACTTTGTCTGCTCGCAGACATGGCGCAGCTGCAGCGTAAACACATACGACCGATCCGAACAATCAATAAAGAGCTGTCCGTCCTTGATCTCTACCACCAGGCCGCGCCAGCCAGGGTTCCAGTATTCGCCCGTGTAAGCGCTCAGAGGCATCTTTTGCGGCTCCGGCTCCTTGATCCCGGGACACAGCTTTTGGCGCTCCTCTTCCGCCGCCTTTTCTTCATCCTCTGCGTCCTCATTCTCGTTTGTGCCGTATTCGTCGTACTTTTTATCCGTGTAGTTCTCGTACAAGACCTTGTCCCAGTTGAGCCTTAAGTCTTGGGATAAGCCTATCAGCTCATCTAGAAACTCATGCATCAGGACATCTCCGAGATAGCCCGCGTCGTCGGAGTTTCCAAAGATGGCGCCGCCAAACTTGAAATCCGGTAGGAAGAAATGATTGCTGGACGAGCCGGCTATACATCCATTGTGGGCAACAACCAGGTGTCCGCGATAATAGTGCGTCTCCCATCCGGCCGCATACAGCAACGGCGATGCAAAGGGTGTTAGCTTTTCGTAGTCCAAGTCCACGATTGTTCGTGGCTTTATGAGTCCCTTGTAAATGTCCTCTGTGAACGGCTCCTCGTGGTTCATCAGAGCCTTGACATACTTGACATAATCGTTGACGCTTGTAATGATTGACCCGGCGCCTTGGCCTTCGGGAGCGTCCGGAATGACAAATTCATTGTATTTCTTGGCCTTTTTATCCCACCAGTGGCCGGGACTGATGCGATCCCCGAGGCCCTTGGACCGCGCGAGCTCGGGTTGGAGATTGGTCGAGGTCATTTCTAGCGGCTTGAAGAAACGATCCTCGAGGAAGTCGGCAAAGCTAATTCCCGATTTCTTCTCCACGAGGTAGGATGCAGCAGAGAACATCATGTTGCAGTACATGTACCTTGTCCGAATCGGGGCAGCAGTCGATAGGTTTCGCAGATTTCGTGTAATGGATCGTGCGTCATCTGTGTTTTTGGCCCGGGGACCCAGATAACAATTATCGTTACTGCAATTGTTCATGTTAATACTACATCAGACAGTTTAAACAAAAATTGGATCCTACTAACGATGCCATTCCGCTTCTGTGACTAAGAATGTCCTCAACAGTTACACCCTCGTAGCCCTGACCCGGCATGACGAATTCGTCGGGCAACAGTTTGGCCATCTCAGCCTCATACTTGACCTCGGGATACTTATCATCGGCAACCAACAGGGCAACGGAAGCTGCCGTGAGAGACTTGGAAGCGGAAGCAATATCCAAGAGAGTGTCTGCAGTCATTGGCCTTGGCGGGTCGAACGACGCCACGCCAAAAGCCTTGGAAGCAGTGACATCTTTGTGTACAACAGCTATGGCAAGGCCAGGGACATGATACTTCTTGATGAGCTCCTCTACGTGGGACGAGAAGGCGGGGGAGTTGAAAAGATCCATGAGAGTTGGGATCGGCTCGTCGGCTTGTCGGGTTTGCTTGACAGTGTAGGACGGAGTAACACAAGTGAATTGTACTGAGGCAACACAGAATTGACGGACTACAATATCGCTGAGAAGAGTGAATGATCAGATATATACATATAAGTAAAAGTCTCGATCTTAGAGCCACACGGAATCTTAGCGGTGATGCTCCCGCACTGTCACAACCCGCCCATTTGCCTAGCATCGCCCTATCTTTACGCTGCGAAAAGTCGGGGTTTTGCTCTGAGGAACGATAAGGTTACTTGGTGATTCGCTGTGCCAGTTACATGCGAATCCTAAAAATGGGGCGACTAGAACGAGATTGACTCATTTTGCACTGCCATCGGCCAGTGACACAGCTGCGACAAGAGAATACAGCTTGATTTGTTAGCAGTTCGCTCGGATTTACTCCGTTGTGTGTCACGGCAATGTCTCCTCCACTCTCTTAGCTCTCCAAGCCACGATGTAGCAATTAAGCTTGGAATTAGCGGCATCGTCCCTATATAGTATGCCGTACGCAAAACCCCACAATCAAGCCCATGATCTTACGCGGCCGATTAATGTTTCGGCGGCATTAAACCCGAGAGATCTAGTAAATATATGCTCTGTTTCATCTACATGAAGATAGTAGATGACTGCAATAGATGGCGCGAAAGCCGATTGCCGATCTACCGCCTTTAAACTTGGGTAGATCTTGCTTTAACCTCAATGAGTAAACGCGCGCAAATTAGTAAGAGGAGTTGACGCCAGTGCAGATGTCATTCACGTATAATTCTTGTAAGGTAAGATTTCGCGATCAACCCCAAAAAGGAGACGGTCACTATACGTGCTGGATGAATTACTAGCGAGCAAAGTAAGAATTGATGAATATCCGTCACACAAAGCATCATCCATGTCTGGCGAGAGCAGATATTATCGATGAGGAGCATCAATTCACTCCTTGATCCTTTGACGTCACAACAAAAGAGGAAAATCTGCTGCCGAGTTATGTAACAATGTTGCCGGGCCAGGCTCCGGAGACAGAATTTAAATTTGCCACTCTCTCCAGCATTCTGCAGATCAAACGCTGCACCGAATTCAATTTCAGCGTCAACTCTGTCAAGGTACTCTAGGGCTTGCAAGTAGAGAGCGCGCTGCTTTTAAATGTAAAATTTATTACTCCAATAGTCTGTGCTTACTTACTTCCGAACATCACCCCATTGATGGAGGAGATAACCTGGAGACAGGTTGGCTGTACTACTGGCACCATAGCAATCACAAGCGAGCGTAGTCCAAGATAGATGTGGCAACAAATACCGTTTATTCAAGATGTCAGATATTCCGAAATTCCCCCTCAGTAGCCAGAGCGATATCGGTAAGGACAGAATCTTTTAGGAAAACCCATACAATGACCGAGGGGACCAAGCATCCATGACAGCCTCCTAAATCCACTCATGCCAAGAGATACTGGAAGTTGTGCTACCTCTGAGCTACTCTGCTTCTTTTATGGAACCAAGAAGGGGTAAATTTGATAGTCTCAAGGAGAATGGCTCTCTATGAAATAATTAGCAATAATGTAAGCGAACATTGAGCAACATTTTCAAGGACTGACCTGGATTTGGCGATTAAGAGCTTTCAGAACTTAGTCAGAGACACCGCTGCAGCCCCAGTCGTGAGTGCAGCAATCTCGGAACTGCTCCCAAAGGTTGCCTTCAACCCAGCAGCCACGATCATGGTTATGGACTCCAATCTTGTCACAGCACTTCGAGGTCGCTTGGCCCTTGTATGACTCTTTGGGGCAAGTATTGGCGTTTGAGAAACACCAGGTTGCGGTTGAAGGCGCAACAAGGGAGATAAAGGCAATGACAGGCAAGAATTTCATGGTGAGTTAAGGTAAAATGATTCTCTTAGAATGAGTTGGTAATTACAATTGTAGATGAGAAGATGGTGAATGAAGCTCTCGGATGCTGGGAGATTCATATCTCTTTATACATGTCTGTCCTCTCTCCCGTCTCCAATTCCAGAATGCTATAATCAAGAGCATCCAATTACAGAATTACTCTTTGCGATATAATATGACAAGTCGTATGCCATTGCTCCGAGACTGTGCATACAGCAGTCCGAAAAATATATCACATTTGTTTCAAAGAAAGTAAATACCTGGTGGAACAGTAGTACGAGTACACGGGTGAGGAAGAGATCTACCTTTTCACTGAAACTTGTCTTGGATGTCAGCAATCCTGCGTCACAGCGACGAAATAGTATCAACAGCCCAAAATTATGTTAATTCATGTGTGAACTTTGACTTTCTTCTATCTCGTCATCTCATATTGTTCCTCTTGCAGTGAGCTTTCTCTGGGAAACTTATAGATACGAATAATTAGGAACTTGGCACCTCAAAAAGCCTGGTGTCTTCCTGGCAACACGCTGTATTGAGACAAAAGAATTGATCAAATGCATGTAGGCTACACAGCAGGCCGAAGGAACGGCCGAAGGAAGAGCGGACTGTTTCTCAACCAACCTTATACCCGCTCACCGAAGGAACTGCCGAAGGAAGAGCCGACAGTTATTCGATCTCGTAATTATCATGACAAAAACCAGCACTCGATCAATAATTCGCTATTAACCTAGAAAGTAATACCTAATAGCTTGTTTGACCATTTTGATCATTGTCACCCCTATAGAAAGCGAGGACCATCTTAAGACAATAGCAGCCAATGATTCGATCAAAACAGGTATAGCTATCGTACGTTTGAAATAGGAGCGTTCGAAATATACGTCATCTATATGTATCACGATAGAAATATCTCGCTTCGCTGGTTGAAGAGGGATCGATTGAAAGCAAATGGCAGATACGCAGTATTACGTCAGTAAACTCTTTCCATCTAAATATAGGCATAATCCGAAACAAAGCTCGCAGTATTACTATTCAGTCCGACTCACCACTCGGAGGCCTGTGGCTAACCGATTTTCGACCCATACCTTGTCAGTACCCTGTCAGTACCTTTCCGCTTACGTTCTGTGTCTCCTGCGTCAGTCGAAGCTAATAGTCCTTGAAGAATAAATGCTGTCTCAAGACTCTAGATCTGAGGTCTTGCTGCGCTTTTGTTTCGCTCTGGGAGTTGAACAATCCTTGCTGGCTGACAACGCTGTCATAAAATTACGACGCTGAATATTGATATTTCTGGGCTAATATCGGGTATGAAGTATAGACGAGACTAACTATAAGGCTCAGAACGAAACATTTGCTATCATGTTCCAATGGAGATTTCCGTCTTGCAAGACGCACGTCAACCACCCTGTAAGCAGTTGAGTAAATATTGTTCGATGTACCTCTATATCTGGTAAATAATTTGATATACCGAGTGCACAACTAGTTTTAATATAATGCCAACAATGAGTCGGTTTAGTCTGTTTAACTTCGCAAAAGTTGGTATTCTACGAATTGCAATGATTCTAGTCCCCACTCCTAGATGCCCTTTACTTCATGTCTGTCAGTCACCGGTAATATGACAGTTGCACAGACTCTCGAATCGTCTATTTTTCTATTTCCTTTCAATGTTTGGATTGTGTTGGGGGACACCTGCCCTGACATCCCCGCGAGGTAGGAGGCAGGAGGTCCCAACTGGGGTATATGCAGATCGATCGCCCTTATCATAGATATCTAGAGAATACAAGCTTTATGATCACCCTTTACGCGTTCCTGCGTCCTGATGTAGAGACCTCGCTCAGGGATGGAGCTCACCACGGCCTCCCACGCTCGACCCGTGATAAGTGTTTCATAAAATTCCTCTATTTTTCAAGAATGGGTTTCTATTTTCTCACTATAAGGCGAATAATGAGTACGCTATGATAAATTCTTCTCAAAATTTAAATCATCTATACTCTTTCATGAATAGCACGCTCGCGCTTGTGGAGAGTATTAAGCAGTGATGAGCTTTCGAGGAAGATGCAATCCTTCAAATACCACTCTTTTTGAGCAGCTGAGCCCAACAACCTCTATCGTAAAGAGAATATAGCTGATATACGAATCACTTAGACAAGCTAACAACCTTGTTTAGATATCAATTTGAGGAGAATGTGACAATATCAGGGAAGGTTGAGAAAGCATAAGCATATAGGATCTAAGAGTCGGCTACAATACTACCCAATTGACCAATCGGTCGATAGTAGTTCCGTGACATCTTTTCCAGGCCTATTACTACAGATCCTCGTTTATAATAAAATGACCCCGCCTTTGATCTGAAAGAAGTCCCATCTTTATGCCTCACATATTGCTTCTTTGGTCAACGTTAAACTGACACCAATCTAAAATCATGCGTTTACTGAAGACGAAGCTCTTATCCGAGCCTGGCGCTCTCGAGATCGAAGAATTTGATGACATTAGCATTCCTCAATATGCAATCTTGTCGCATAGGTGGGGCAAGGACGAGCCCACCCTGCAAGATGTAGAGAGAGGTGAAACAAAAAAAGAGGGATTTAAGAAAGTACAGCAATCCTGCGATATGGCCAAGCGTGATGGAATTGATTACATTTGGATAGACACCTGCTGTATTGATAAGACGAGCAGTTCAGAACTCTCCGAGGCAATCAACTCTATGTATCTTTGGTATTTCAAAGCTCATAGATGCTATGCTTATCTTGCTGATGTTCCATCAGTACCTTTTGGGGAAAGCGAGTGGTTTACTAGAGGATGGACTTTACAAGAGCTTCTTGCGCCCGCAGACCTTGTGTTCTTTGACGCGAATTGGAAAGTTCTTGGGACGAAAGAAGGGCTACAAAAAGAGATATCCAATTGCACTGGTATCCCAGTTGATATCCTCTCTGGCGACGAAGACATAGAAACATGCAGTGTTGCACAAAGAATGTCATGGGCCGCTAAAAGAAGCACCAAAAGGGTTGAAGATCTTGCTTATTGCTTATTAGGCATATTTGGAATCAATATGCCGTTATTATACGGAGAAGGAGAGCGAGCTTTTATTAGGCTCCAGGAAGAAATCATGCGAGTTTCGGATGATCACAGTCTTTTTGCTTGGGAATCCCCTGATAATCGCGGAGGACTACTGGCTACTTCCCCAGCAGCATATAAAGGCTCCGGAAACATTGTACAACTCAACCATGTTGATGACTCTCACAACACTTTGACTATAAGCAGCAGAGGGGTCCACCTAGACTTCCAGCTCACCGGCAAGGGGGCGCAAAAATTAGGCCTTGCGCTGCTTCATTGTAAAGAACGGGATGGGTCAAATAACCAAATCGCCATTTACCTCACAGATCTCACTGGGACGATGGAAATGTTTCAAAGAGTTCGAAGTCAAGAGCTTAAACAAATCGATCTAAGTAAGACGAGATCTTCGCTTTATTTGAGGAGGAGAGCATGTGTCCGAACAGGTCGGATAATACCTACACGAAGACAAAAAGGAGAAAGCAATGTCACTAAGATATACGAGCCCCATTCTGACGATAAATTGGAAAATTTTATTAATCTGGCGCAACCAGAAGCATTATTGCTCGCAGCACGAGAAGATCGTCAGGACGACGTATGGTTGATGTTAACCCATAGGGACATTGATATCAATTTGAGGGGACAGGATGAGTGGCCAGCATTATTTCATGCGATAAAAAGTGGCAATGAGGTAGTTGTGAAAATGTTACTTGCTCGAGGTGCCGATATCAACCTAAAGGATAAAGATGGCTATACACCACTGATGATAGCCATTGAGAAAGGTTATGAGAGTATCGTTAACTTGCTTCTAGAAAGAGGCGTGGACATTATAGATGAGCACCATGGGACAAGGCCACAATTTCTGGAAGATACATATGACACATTCAAACCTCTCCCCAGGTACTATATCAGCGACGTCATGAGCAAACCCGGTGGCAGAGTAGTTTTGTGGGCTGTCAGGCATCAACAAGAGAGTATCATCAAGCTACTGCTAGATAGGAGCCCAGAGGCTGATCTGAAGAAACTTTATGGCCCGCTGGTTCTCATCTGGGCCGCTATGGGTGGATACAAAGGCATTGCTGAGTGGCTGATCGAGAGGGGTGTTGAAGTTGACTTCAAAGGGGGCTATGACAACTTTGAAGGGGGCTATGACATTTTTGAAGGGGGCTATAACAGGAGCCAGACGCCATTGTCACTTGCTGCAATTCATGGGCATAATGATATTGTTAAGCTCCTTATTGAAAAAGGAGCTAATATTGAGGCAAGATATGAAGGAGGTCAGACGCCGTTGCTATTTGCTGCTGAGCATGGGCAAAATCATACCATTGAACTACTTCTTCAAAAAGGGGCTAGGATTGACGTACACGATAACAGAGGCCGGACGTTATTGCTAGCTGCTGCTGAGCATGGGCAAAATCATACTATTGAGCTACTGGTTGAAAAGGGAGCGAGTATTGCGGTAGAAGATAATGGTGGCCGGACGCTATTATCACTTGCTGCTGAGCAAGGGCATAATAGCACTATTATGCTTCTACTTGAAAAAGGAGCTGAAATTGAGGCAAAAGATAATAATTGGCCGAACACCGCTATTATTGGCGGTTAGATACCTCCGGCGTCGTGATAATCATGATGCTGTTCAGCTGCTGCTTGAAAAAGAAGCTAATATCGAGGCAAGAGACAATTATGGCCGGACACCGCTATCGTTGGCGATTATTGAGGATCGGAATGGTAATGTTATTCAGCTGCTGCTTGGAAAAGGAGCTAATATCGAGGCAAGAGACAATTATGGCCAGACACCGCTATCGTGGGTTAATACTCGGCGTTGGGGGCGGGACGAGATTATTGAGCTGCTGCTTCAAAAGGGAGCGAAGATGGAGAGCAAGTATTATAATAGCCAGACTGACATTATAAGCTAATATGAATGATGCCTTTGCTGGACCGCAGTAATATAGCATCGAACTGCTGTGAAGCTTTGCGTGTTTGAATGAACACCGGTTATTAAAGGAGTGGCTCTTTTGCTCTCCTTTCTCCCCTTCTATGAATATGCGTTTGTAGATACATGTACTTATCTCTTGTGCGATGTCAAGTAATACCTCTCTGAAGATTTTTTCCTTTTGTCATCTTTGTCAAAAACGAGAGAAGTTGACTCTCAGCCATTGTAGTGACCTACCACAAAGCCTCTGGCGTCGTGCTGTACTGGCTGTAAGTTGTTTCTATGGGTGGGTTTGCAACCATATCTCATTTTATCTAGTTTCGCGAGGCTCGTTTTATCTTTTATTATATAAACAGCCCATATCCATTTATATACACTCACTGCTATACTAGAAGAAGTTTCCCCACTAAGATGTTTCTTCGACGCAATCGCGTCACCGCCCCTTACAACTGGCGCCGCCAGGCTGTATAGCCTCTGTCAAGCGCAAAGATGTTACTATCAATGGCGTTTAGTGTTTACAAAGATTTTTAGACGAGGCAGGTGAATCATAGAATGATTCACTAACTGTGACTCACGTGCTGTGTCAACGTAATTCTAGCTTTCTTGGTGACAGAGAAAAGGAACAGCAATTTCAGGGCCCAATGACAATCCACGGTGGCGGAGATGAGGAGACCCCAAATAGGCAATGTGTGAGTCAAGCAGACACCATCAGTTTGAACTGGCCCCACCATCAAACAGCACTATCCACAAGCTATCGGCTGCTTCCGTCTGCTCTAGCCTCGGGAACAGAAATGGAAATAAAATGATATATAAGGATCGATCTTTGAATCTGCTAGATAGATCAACAGATTCAATTCCAAGCAACAACTCATCAGTGTAGGCGAGAATTTTCTCGCTTTCTCATTTACACGTGAAAAAAAAAATCCGAACCGCCAAAATTCTAGACATAGGAGCCACCGGCGACCAACTTTTAACGACAATGGAGGATAAATCCCCTTCTCTTTGTAGGCTGTGCGATGTAAAACTCGACAGCCCAAGCGAGTGGCGACAGCACGCAAAGAGCGACTGGCAGTATGCCTCACAATCCAGTCAAAAAGAGGAATCCGATGTTAGTTACTAATTTTCTTTTGCAGTGTCTACAATCTACGACTGAAAGTAGCAGAACCAGGGGTTGTCATATCACCGCCATCAGCGTCACAGAACACAAATAGAACAGCTTCATCAAAAGCAAAGAAAGCAATGGATCTGGAGGATTCTGGAGATTCATATAATGAGTCTGAACTTGACGGCGATGGCGAGAGCGATGTCGACATCGATGGCGGTACAGAGCTCTCTGCAGAGCCAGAATTCAACCCTGGACAATGCCTCTTCTGCGGCGAAAAGAATGAAAACTTCGGCAGCAATCTCGAGCACATGTCCAAGGCACACAGCTTCACCATCCCTCAACCAGCCTATCTCATAGTCGAGCCCGAGACGCTCATCAGATACTTGCACCTCGTCATCCACGGCTACAGCGAGTGCATTCTCTGCGCCGCACGTCGCAACACCGTCGAAGGAATTCAACACCACATGACCGCCAAAGGACACTGCCGCTTCAACGTCGCATCAGACCTTGCGGAATTCTACGATGTTCCTTCGCTGGAATTTCAAGCCAGCGAGGAATCCTTGCGGTTACCGTCGGGGAGGCTTCTCAGCCACCGTACAGGACCAACTAGATCAGCCCTTGCGAGAATCGCTCGCCAATCAGCAGAGCGACACTTGGAAGGCAGTACAAATTTGGCAGTGGCAACACGATCAAATGAATCAGAGCTTGTTCCGACGCAGAACAACGACGATAACCCTTCAGCAGTGCCGTCCACGCAGCTATCACAGCTTAGCCGGGGCGACCAGCAAAGTCTTGCACATCTACCCGACCACGAAGTACGATCACTTCTCGCAACCAGTGCGAGAGCCATTGATCAATCGAGACGGGAAGAGCAGCACTCGCAGCTTGGACTTGGGCAGGCGGGAAATACAACGTTGACTGGGCACTTTAGAATGGATACGTCTAAGCGATTCAGAGGACCTTGGGGTTAGGACGTGGCCATACATACGGCGGTTTTTGGACTGTTTAACAAAAGGCCTTTACCTTTTTTCTTTTTCTTTCTAGTAGCTAGAGCGTTGTAAGTGCATTTATAGCTAATATAGTTCTATTACAATGCATGATAGTTAAGTAAATGTGAAACGGCTGTCTAGGTCGGCAAAGCCTCTGGATAAGTGGCAAACAATCGAGTATATGTAGCTTAAATCCAGAATTCAAGTAAGTATTTCTTCTTAACATAACTGCTAATTTCACAAATGAGCTTGCATATGAGTGGCAATATGCCTAATATAAAAACTGAACATGTAGATGCGATTTAGTCTGACCTTCATATCGACCTTGCATAATTATTCTATTTACCTGGCTAATAATCCCACGCAGATTTTGACATAACAAATAAGTGATCCGTACATATCAGAGACAAAGAAAATAAGACAAAGTAAAATAGGTGCAGTAGAGTCCGGTTCCTTCTCATATCCTGATCCCTCACATTCAGCCGTGAACATCCGTCCTCAGCCCAGACCCAACAATTTCCACCTTATCCATTACCTTGGCCTTCCCTTCCCGATAAATCCTTTCCGCTCAGAGTAACAACCAAGTTACATCCGCTAAGATGTTGGAAAGAAATGATGTATTCTCTCTCATAAAAGGGTATAATATGCCTATTCAGAAAAAAACAAAAGAAATGAAAAGAGGCGTCAAGCGCGACAAACATTCAAGCCATCTTCCCAAGTATGTAGCTCGGCGTTGAATATAGTACTGTGAGGGCCATAACATCATGACTTACGGCCCTCTCACATATGTGCTCTTTCAGCGCTCAAGAAGCTATTCAGATAGCTAGAATGCTCGATAAAGACAGAGGCTAATTGTAGAGAAAATCAGCAATGTTAAAAATGGCTATGCAACAATAATATTTATCATAGCTTGCCGCGTCGGCGCATCTCAGACTTGCAGTCTGCCGACACAAATGGCGCAGCCAAAGAAATAAAGCGGCGTTAAAAATGCTTGGATTTGACATTTGCGAACCGCACAATAGTAGGATTCTTGGGGATCTCGTATTGGCGCTTTCAGATGGCCGGATTCCCTAATTGGGTGGAGAGTTGTGGTGTAGCGGGTCACGATGCTCATTGGCTATAAGCCACATGACTTATACCCGCGACCTCGAGACTTGTTCATGGGATTTAATGACGCCCCCTGCTAAGACGGATCTGCGGTAAAATAATCCTCGCAGAAGATTTCGCACGATCCCAAAGACGTCGATGTCTGAAGAATAGACAAAAGCAAATAATTAGTATTGACGAAAGCCCGCTGCGTGTAAGAGTATAAGAGGGCAGGAAAGCTTTACGCTCGCGGTGGGCCATCGTTATATGCGGCAGCGGCATATACCGACTGAGCACCTGATGCTTGGTGCGAAGTGAGGGCCGGATAGCTGCTGTCGGTGTAGGCTGAGGGAGCAGTATCCCATCGAGGAGGCGTTGCGGCCGCAGGATGGTGGCTGAGAGGCGTGTGCAGGCCAGCGCTGGCATATGGACTAGCTACTGCCCTCGCATCGTATGCAGAGACAGCTGGAAGCTGTGCTGTGCTGGTATTGATACGTAATGAGGACTGCGGAGGGCTATGATGGCTGCGAAGGCCGGGGCTGAGTCCTCGGCCTGTACCTGTAGAGTATGTCCCAGACGCCCACGATGCTTGTCGAGGCGATGGCATCACTTCAGGATGACTCGAACTGTAACCCGAGTGCATGGGATACTGGCTATGAGAATCTGCATGCTGTGAAGAAATGCCGTGTTGTGACCCGATGCCATGGTGACCAGGCGGCGGGGCGCCATATGACGACGGCGCGCTCACGGGGTTCATCATACTGCTGGGGCTGGCACTATATTTACCAATAATCTTTTTAAGTGCCGGCTCAAGAGTAGACCATGGGAAAACCTTGACGTCTTTCTCAATATTCCGAGGCTTGGGGTGAGGGAAAGCCATGATGATCTTGAAGAACTCTTCGCTGTCCGCCTTGGCCTTTGAGACAGTGACGGGATGGAATCCCTCGAGGTTGCGGCGAATGCGATTCTTCTCTTCAACACTAAATCGATTAGGAGCAGCCACAAGCTGCTCAAGTAGGTGAATAGTGTCAACGGAAGTGACATAGCAGTCAGATTTCTCTCGCCACCAGATGCATGAAATGCAAATGCTGTTTGGGGGCCTCTCGTTCACCGAAATGCCCTTAAAGCTCACATGCAAACTCGCACCGAGCTGCCTTTTTGTGAACTGGACAATTCTGCGGCGATTGGACCATTCTTCTTCCGTCCAGTTCGCAGCCATGTCGGTGAGATTACCGTTAATTTTCAAGACCGCCTTGCTGGTATACATGGGGTGGAAAGCGCCGCCTGCGCCAGCCGTAATGGTGCTGGTGCGGACCAACTGGGGGGCTCCATTGCTCCCTGACGAAGGAATGGAGAGATGGTGCGATAAGTTGGATCGACTGGATAATGTAGGATTATCATAGGTTGAAGAACTTCTGCCCGCATTAGCCAAAGGGTTGCCATAGCTGCCCCATGTCGAATGGGCGCGTCGCTGGTGGTGGTTGTACTGCGGGTCGGCAAAGCTGCTGGTTCGATATGTGGATATCATGTCGGTAGTATTGGCCTGCGCAAACGTATTTGCATATTGGCCTTGTTGTTGCGGATAATCATAAGTATTTGTAGCGACTGACGGAGGCGCTTCAGCTTTCGGTGAAGGACTCGCCTGATCGATCTCGGGAGCAGGTGCTGTGCTGCCATCTTTGGGCATTTTGGCTGCCCGCGTGATGTCATCCTCAGACCCTTCCAGATAGTGGAAAGTCCCTGCGGGTGTCCGCGAGATCTCTCCTCCTGCTGGAGCCTCTATAACAAATGACACAGGCACGCTGGTATTGCTTCCTGTGACCAGAGGCTGCGGCGCGACTATGCTGCACGAGAATGCAAAGCCACTGCTATCCTGCGAATCTCGGTTAAGATCTGCAGGGCACTTTGCACTTCCAAACAGCACAAATGCTGGAGAAGAGAAGAGATCGTCTTGCGAATGTATCTTGAAAAGCACCTTGGTGCCAAAAACGCCAGAAGAAGGTTGAAAAGTAACCACGGTAGGTCTCACTGGCATGTATTGAGCCACTGCATTGTTGTTGCTTGCGAATGAAGAGTGATTATATTTGGCATAATTTTCAGCTTGCTGAGCTGAAAATCCCGTAGTGGCATATTGGTCATAACTTGCATCTGCAAATGGCGCCGTATCGTAGCCTGTTGTTTTGCCATAACAGTGATCTTGTTAGCTCTCTGTTTGCCATCTTTAACTCTTTTATGCTCTATATGACTCCGAACTCACCATTAACTGGAGGCAACTGAGCCTTGCTGTAGGCAGCCATGTCGAAGTCGCTCGGCGGGGAGTCCCGACTTAGATCCCCCCTTTGTGCTGCTTGAACAGCTTCCTCGTATCTAAGAGTAAGGGTTTCTGGTGACCCAAATTCGTCGTCGACGTCGACAATTATGGGTTTGATTGGGATTGGAAGAAAGCCCGGCTTTGAATCTCGAACTGTTAGCGCTCAATGGTTCTCTGTCTCTAGGAGAAAAGCTTCGACTTGAACACAAGGAGGAACAGGGCAAATGAATTAGATCAAAAAACAATCCATATTCTTCTCCTCCGTAGTGCTGTTGCAGAAGAAGAGATGTTGGAACAAAGTCTGGGATTCGACTCACCTCAAAGAGTCTGTAGGATGGAGACTGGAACTTGGCAGTAGACATGAAGATGTTGAAAGAGGGCGATAGATGGCGGACTGATCAAAGAAAAGGTAAAGTATGCAGGCCCTCGCTGTCTTAGCTAAGAGGTCGTGGATGTATAGCAATGTTTTAGACTGGGTCTCGACGAGGTCTTATCATGCGAGGATCACAGTGCTAGGACGGTGCTCCCTTCCTTCGCCTAGCTTGGCTCGGAGATTTGATACACGGCAATTCCCCAGAGGCTAAAGCAAAGGCCAATACTTTTTGGACTCGTCGGGTCTTGTAGACTGATGTTGCCTTGTTAGTGGCCTGTCTATTCCATCGAGGGGTGGGGTATAGGTGAGACACTCACCAGGTCCGAAGGAATCTGACTGGAGAGCCAAGAGGCGGAGAAGTGATCCAATCCTGCACAGACACAGTTGCATTCCAAAAAGAGCAATCAAGTATGCTGCGAGGGAGAAGCTGCTTTCCCCTTTCCGCCGGATGCTCGTCAAAAGCAATAGCCAACTCCTTGACCCTGTGCGTTGTGATTGAAGCGTGGATAGAACAGAACGAGTACTCAAATGGCGGTAAAGGCAGCACGTCGCTGAGAAAGAAGCGCTGGTCTTAGTCCTCTGGTCTCTGAAAAAGATCTCGAAATCGGATACGATGACGAATAGTACTTTCGTCACGAGGTTTCACTGCGGTCTAATCAGGCAAGTTAGCATTCTTCGCATCAAACTGCAAGTCAGTTTCTGGCCTAGGAGATCAATATAGGCTGGGACATGCATAGCGATGCGCCAACGCAAGGGAGAATGACGCCGAAATTGGCCATCGGAACGATCCAACATACAGGCAATAGCTCTTGAAGTGATGAGAAGCTCAAAGATAGCGCCGCAGTACTACTACGCGGATGTCTTAACAACAGTGGGACCGCTGTGGACCGCTGGGCTATTTGCCGTGAGAAAGATGAATGTCAGTAATAGTCAATCGGAAGTAAGGTCTCTCGTGAGCCGTTCGGTCGCAAGCGATAGTGGTGTTAATCTCGAAGGGAGGACAGAGGTGTGTGAATAAAAGACGTCAAGCCAGCAAAGCGAAGGCAGATGTGTAAAAAAGGGCGAGTGGCATATGCAAATAAGATTCGGGAGAGTCAAAGTCTCAGGCTTCCACGTAGATGATCTTGTGAAATGGGAAAGAGAGAGAGATGCAAGACATGAGAGGTGTTTCTTTTTGAAGACTTGATGGTGTATGCAAGTCTAGATAGCGGTCCATCGGCGCCAGGCCGAGCCGGGTCCCAGCATTATAAGAGGACAGTAGGAGCAAGAATGGGGAAGAGAGGAAGCGGAGATGGTGATTTCGCGGGACAGATCAACCAATCAATCCAAAGTTGGAGAGGACTTGTAGGAGGGTCCAATTGTTACCATCACAAGGGCAAGCTCCCTTGAACCGGTACCAGAGGAGATGTACCATACTAAGGAGAGGGAAGTTCTCTTCTCTCTCTCTTTTCTCGTTCCCTTTTCCCTGTGAGCTCTCATTATCCCCAAGTCCAAGCTTTAAACGGCTTGCAGGTAGCGGCAACAAGGGTAGACAAGGCATGGTAATATAAAGCGGGGATAGCTCTGACGCCAACAGATCATGCCTATCTGAAGATATACGGAAGAGCTGGGATCGGATCTAACATCATCGCATCTGGGCAGGACGCTATGAACGGCGGCCGACCATGGTCGGCTGTGGGTCGTGAGAAAAAAGTAGCACGCGCATCTGGGGAGAGCAGGGTTGAAGCAAGACCATGGCCAAAAGAAGACAGTGACCGGGTCCCTCAGCCCTGAGTCTCTGGTATGCCAGATTTGCACGTCTTGTAAAGGGTGGATTCTACAAGGATGGAAGAGTACAGAGGGCCAAAAGGTCTAAGGAGAGGGGGTGTAGTGCCAGATGCCAAATGTGCAAAGCGGAGCTCGGCGATGATCTGGAAGGGAGGAGCTCATACAGTTGTAACCATATGCCGGCAGACAACCAAGCCAGGAAGGGTCAGACGGGAAGAGACGGCAAGCTGTACTTGATACTCCATATGAAATTGGTAAATGCCAAGTGCGAGCTCGCCCCCCTTATTGGTAGGGCATTACTGGCAATAAGCAGTAATATAATGAGTGACATGATGAGACTGAGCTTTATGGCCTTTTTTTCCCCTTCTATATTTTTGTCTCTATGCGAGTGTGTGTGACAGGGGCTTGCAATATCCGCTCGCATGTCAAGGTCAAGATGGTATAAGTGGCCGGGGGCAAGACAAGCAGACTCGGGCAATCCCGGTGAGGCTGTAACGTAGCCATCCCTTGCTGAAGAGTAATAACAAAAAACGAAAAAATGATAGGTAGACCTAGAAAACTTAGTCGCCAGCTCACCTCAAGTGCACGAATGCCAAGAGCTCTCCGGCTCAATATGTTACCCTGTGGCGGCGGCCGTGGGAGTGAACTGAGCGCGCGTATAAGTCCCGATACGTACTCCGTACTGCGATCAAGCTACGGCCAGTCTGGTAAACACTGCGGGCTCACTCTCGTGTCGTCGTCCTAGGCGTGGCCGTATCCCGTCTATCCTAGTCCTTGGTCAGCAAGAGCCAATGGTTGGTGTCCTGGTGCTACTTCATTGGGGAAACAAGAGCCACTCAGTCGGGCTTTGATGGCGGGCCACCGGCAGTGGTGGGCCTTGGCGGCAGCAGCTCAGCAGCTCAGCAGCTCAGCAGCAATGGCGCCCTACCAGAACTTGCAGAGCAAGGCTCTGAGAAAGGGATCAGCAGCCAAAAGATCCACTGAGATCAAGTCGAGGGAGACGCCCCCCGGCTTAGGCTAAGCTTAGCGCCCAAATGCCACCTGAAGACCGGCGCAGCGGGCGACCAGCTCAAGGGTCCGAATGAGTTCAAGCGCCTCAGCCTGGCAGGGGAGGCCCCTGATGGCCACGCTCATATGCGAGTGGAAGCCTTTTGCTTGCTCGCTGTGAGCTCTCCTTACTCATATTGCGGTAACACAGCTGCCTGTGGCATGCCAAGTTGGCTAGCTTAGGTGGGGAGTTCCCGTCATAAGCCTCTTGCTTATGCGCCTCTATCGGGGAGTGTTGACGGCATCGACTTGATCAAAGGGAGAGCCTGGTATAATTCGACCCCGGCAGATAGAGAAAGAGACGAGCAGACGCTCGGCTTCATCACTTACCTGTGCTCGGTACCCTGAATTCCCTTGCGACTCAGTCCACCGCGCTAATAGCAAAATTTTGGGTTGCAGGGCCTAGATCCTCTCAGATAAAAATTGGCCCAAGCTAGACCGAGTATTTAGGAGCTCGCCCTGAACATCAATGACAGGCAGGGAGTAAAGTAGTTTCGCGTGGCGTGTGATGCTGGCGATCGGAACCCGGATTTCCCTTGCCAAGATCGGCGGTCTTTGCGGTAATGGAATTCACCACTCTGGTATCGCCGTCGTCCGCTAGCAAGTTATTGCTTCTTTTCCTGCTCATAACCAATCGAGTTAGCGATAGATCGCCCTTTCTATGAGCGCCACCAGGATCTTATGGTGGGATCCATTTTGCCTCTGCAGAGAATGATGAACTTGTACAAATGGCCGCCACCCCTGTAAATATCAAATTTCTGTCGCCGTTCATGGCTTATTTCAAAGAGCTCAGGCTAAAAGCAAGAATGAGTAGGAAGTGAATGACACCCGCTCTAAACAGCAAAGATGAGTAGACAGAACGATACGTAGTTGTTAATCATCTTTTATTGCTCTTCGCGGTTTGTCCGGCATAGCATGAATACTTGTGTGTATACACACTGGCTCTCTCCAGCAGACAAGGGGCCATGACTAAGACGCTCGGGGAATAAAGAGGGAAAAGTGCAGGCCAAAACGTCTAGTAAACGATGAGACCATGAGTTTATTAAACGAAAAACAAACGAAGAAAACTGCAGCTTACATACCGCCGAGCAAAAATGTGATGGCTCAGTGTTAAACGTACGCAGCTCTTATCTGTGGCTTCGCCTTGTCTTATCAACTCTTTTTATCCTTAGTCGAGATGTTGTCCATATAAAGCATAGCAGATTGGGTTTGCCATTCGATGCATGTGTCTTACCCTTTCTCTACTGAATTGCTTTTACTGCCTTTGTAAGAGCTTGGTAGGCCTCTATTCTCTTCGTTTATTGTCCAGGCTGAAGTTGTTCGTAGTGCTGCTTGCAAATATATAACGAGGTTTTGACACATCAAAAATGCAGGCCTCGATTTCAGTTGGAGCCGTCCGTATAACAAATATAACCTTCATCTTGGAGCGATTGCCTGGCAACGAACTTCTTATACCTGCAGCCCTCGCCCGTTTGCGAAACCAGTCTGTTCGCGAACACAACAAAACGGTATGTGTGATGGAGACCATTCGCTCCCCCGCGCATAGGTAGTCATGGATATCTCTGAAGCGAACCGAAGATGGTTTTGAGGCAGTGGGAATGATACCCGAGCTATACATTGAATCCAAACCCGAGAACAAGCTCAACTTCATAATGGAGGGTAGGAGTACGTTCTGCGGCAGCTGAGCGAAGCATGTCCTTGCAAAGTATATAGATGGTAAACAATCCGGGAATAAATGCGTGAAAGTCGCGATTTGAGATCTTAACCCATCCAAAGCAATGCTAGCGGACTCTAATCTGACGCTGTGAGAGGTGTGTTGAGCCTAGTCAGATTTGACTACTGGTGCTGCAACCATGGTGGAGGGGTGACAGGCGGTTCGCATCCGAACGTGAATATCTTGCAGGGGTCAGATAAGGTTCGGTCCTGCGCGACAGCGAGGCTTCGCTTTCCTGTGGAGGGTCGGTGGACATGATATCGCGGGTCTCACGAAGGCCGCATGCCGCATCGTATCGAATAGCAAAAGGCGAAGGAGAGCTGGCTAGGCACGCCGAATGAGCACAGATGCGCCACTTCGGCTCTTGAAAATGGGCTGGCAGGTGGCATATGCAGGCAGACCCAAGTCATTCGACCGCCTGCCCAGTGGTCACTCCTAATGGTCAGTCTTGAGATGAGATTGCGGATCTCAATGACAGAAGTGCGAATAGACAGATGGCCAGCCCCCGTCCCCCATTCCTGGAATACTACCATCATCGCCCAGAGAAATTAGCATCCATCCATCACAGCCAGCAGCTCTCTCCCAGACGTCAAAGGGCGCCTAGGAGCCATACAAGTGGCCAGGGCTCAGGGCGTGGACATGCTGAAGAACTAGCACCTAGGGAGGGCGTAAATGCATTAAACGAGATCGACACAAGGGGATACGGGGACTCGGGCACCTCGAATTGCAGGGGTGCTGCTTAGCCCCGTGGCACGCAGCCTGCTTGCCTGAAGCGACGCCGTATCGTCCCAAGCGCGCTTCTGAGGAGGACAGGACATGTACTGTACGAGACTGGGAAACAAGAGGCGGCGACTGCAGTTGATGAGAGGACGAGACTCGTCGCAGGGTTTTTCCGTTTCGGAAGATCATAGGCGAGCGCAGCCCTATCTCAGGGTAGCAGGTACCTCGTGTGACCGCAGAAGCTTGAGGTTAGTGTTGCTAGGCACAGGCAGGCTAGTGCGCAGGGAGGTACCACGTTTAGTACCCTCTACCTGTAGAGCCGAGCCACTACGGTGTTACGATCGGCTTCTTGCTCCTTGATGCCAATCAAAAGAAATCATGCACTTCATAGTTGTAAGTCTTGTTGAGCGGAAAGGATAAGCATTAGATGCCATTAGTAGCCCAATCACTGACTGTCCGATATTCAGTTCATCGCCGCTCAAGGGCCTCTAGCTCTACAGGGGTTTAGTCAACATGCATCCATCTGTCTGTTGTTGGCCATGTCTTCAATTTGAACAGACGACCCGGTGCCTTACCCTTGCTACAAGTAATCAAGTAGTTTCTACCGGTAGATAGTCCTAGTATATGGGGCAACGGTATAGTACCAGCTACCTTGTCAGCAACAAGACCAGTGAAGATGTCTTGCCAAGTCCCCCCAGGCATGCCCAACTGTCCGTGACTCCGTATATCGCTGCAACGAGAACGACCAAATACACACCTTGAGAGCTGTATATATACTGGCGCTACTAGTAGGTTTCAAGCTTTGCACGGGTCCCTTAGCTTGTCCCGTACTCAAGTACACCAGTGTAGCAGCGTCCAACTGGCACTCGACTTGTCCTGTCTGAGACATCAAAGTGGCGGCTTCGCATCCGCACATCAACCATCCTGGACACCTACCGCATTCCGAGGGCGTTACAACAACACCCCTCTTCCCAGGCAGACGGCTTATGACCGCGACGATGAAGCAGATACCCGAAAAGGGGGGTAGGGCCTCGGCCTCTGGCGCCAATCCTCAGCGCCTGGTTCTCAACTATGCCTCAATCTAGTAAAAGAGACGTCGTCTGACACCCTCTGCCACCTTCTCATGCTTTTGTGTATCCCATTAGCTGCTACCCCTCTCCATCCTATCCTCCGACTACGTGGCCGGACTCTCTCACTCATGTGGCACCTGGATGCTCCCGAATCCTATCCACACGCGGCTTCTCCACCCCTCCCGAGAAATCTCCCGCACCGCACGTTGGTCCGCCAGAGTAGACGGATTCTTATTACTAACACTAACAAAAGTATAACTGCTGCTGGAATCAGCATTCCACAAGGGTTATTTGTCTAACCCTCCACGAGGCAGTGTGAGTTGACACCAGTTCTCTCGTGATAATGACACAAACTCCAGGCGTGCGGGCGGCCTCAGCTGGAAACTGCTCACCCTGAAGAGTTATGAACGCTTGTTTGAAGCCGTAGCACATATATGTAAGGTGTAGCTAAAATGTACATCTATTACCAACCCTGGAGCATCCTTTTTTGTACCGAAAATTGGCCCTGCCTGACATCGAGCTTGACATTCTCGAGAATCTCCACTTATAAGCTTGCTACGACTTAGTTCTTAGTTGACTTTTTATATGAGTTCCATGAAAAAGAATAAACAATGTCTTTTTGTGAGCTCATTCTCAAATATGCAAATTTGGCTAACGCTAGTTGCGTGACTAGATGGCGGTTTGCCTTGCCAAACATGCATGGAGCGGCCATTTACACCGTTCTCGCTTCCCTTTTTAAGAAGGCAGCGTAGACTTACGATCCAGTATTAATTACTCATTCATGATAATGAAATGTTATCATTCGCGTCATAGCATTATTTTAATTTTTGTTTCCATCATTCACGAGTACATGTAGCTCCGCGACTTATCCCTATAGGCGATATACAATTCATCTCCTCGCCTGTCTCGCGTTTTTTTCCCCCGCTCTCTCTTTTATTCATATTTTTCTTCCAGAGGGGAATAATACCAACAATGAGTGAATCAAGGAAAGCTAAACAAAAAAAACAATTCGTAGAATATTCTGGCCGCCAGTGGTGCACAAGATACAAGGCCCAAGATCTTTGTATTACCACTTCTCGATGGCTCTCACACATGGCCACTGAAACAGTTACTATTCATATCACAGCAGCAACCCGGAATTCTCGAGGCGAAAACACAGATGAGGAAATCGACATGGATGAGCCTCTTTGGCTTCTACAGATCATGCACACTGGAGTCGCACGCACATCTCTGTACGCAGATCTCGCGCTTTCCCTAGCGTTCACTTGTCTCATCAATACGCTTGTCGGCGCGCTGGCCGTCCTGCCGTGGCACCGGGTCGTAGCTCCTCAGCACTGCTCCCAATGGGATGGATTGGCTGATGTTGTACCGCTGGGCTGGGTCGGACAGTGCCTGTGTCGTTTGGCTGATGAGACGATCGCCAGGAGCTGAAAACCATAACGATGGTGTATTACCGAGTCGCGAGAGGAGGGCAAATCCGCACCGGCGCACGGAGCAGACTGTCACACCCAACAGAGTCGCCTGGATCCTGCTCCACCAGCGCTATATCGGTGTCGTCATGGTCCGAGGGCGTTTAGCTTGCCCATTATGGTCATATTTTGCTAGAAGAAAAGGTCTCTTCGCTTGATTTGTTCTTAGCAGCTAAATCTACTTGTACGTTCACTGCAATATGCAGGTGGAACTGGAGGTTGCGGCCTCCGAAGTTAGGGGTGCCGTAATGCCATTGTCCGTCTAGGTATAGGTCGAATCTAGATTGGCTGTAGCCGGAAGAGATCCTTGCCGCGCCAGTTCTGCTTTCGAGAGCCACCCTTGCATCGCTGGAGTCTTGTTCGCTGACTGGGTGGCTAGCCTAGTCCCGCTAGAAGTAGTGGCAGCAGTAGCAGATGAGAGTTTCAGGGGCCGAAGCTTTGCTGCCCAAGCTGAAGTTGACGGAAGCTGAAAGCTTCGAGAGGAGCGTCAACAGCAGCTATTGATGACGGCATGAACCTTGTCGGTCATACCTGACTCGATCCGCTTGCTCTAGCTGAAGATGAGATGAGCCCCCAAATAGCGGGATTACGGAGCACTCGACGTATTACTCCACTCTCTCTTAATGACAAATTCTCGATGCAACTTTCAGCTAGCCCTGTTTTTGTCGTTTACTTCTGCATGGTGTAACCAACAAAAAGACGGCAGAAATGATGAAAACTTTTGTCGTCTTTTTGAGCCCTTGGGATCTGTTCAAAGCTTCAGGTCTTTATTCGCGACATGACTACATGTACGCGTTGGCATTGGGTCCCTCATTGGGACTTCGTTGGGAGGCGTAGTTGTACATGGTATCAGAAATCCTCCGTATTTGAAACCACAGACGAGACGACAGGCTAGCTGAGTCAAACTGTCGCAACCCAACCGAGCAACCGGGAATATGGTCTTTGAGTAGGAGGGTACGTGTATACCAGTATCTCTTACTGGATGCAACCAACAAGCTCTTAATACCAGGAGTAGTGAGGCAGCTGGGGTAGTAACACACCTGTGCGAGTAACAGTGACGGTAATGCAGCATGAGCTCGTCTTAATCACCAGCTGGGGGTGGGGACCATGATATTGACTGGCTCCCTAGCCGGTGACCCGCTCGGCGACCAGACGCAGGTAGATGGAGCACACATGCTGGCTAGATATGCCTGCGAAGTGATGCTCTACCACGTGCCGGCGCAAAACGATGCGCTTAGATCAAGGCTAGTCGCGATCCTGGAAACAGCACGATGGAGACCTTGCTCTCCCCGTCATCTGTACTGACTGAGAGCATCGAAATACACATCCACCTATGAATCACTGCCCATGAATGATGGCTACCTGGACCAGTGTCGTACTCCATGCGGGCGTAGTTGCTGCGACCTCACGTTTGCCCAACCGCGCGCTGCATCATCTCCTGCATCGTGGATGGTCTCGATCCTGCAGCATCGCTCCCGGAGCCAAACAATTTGAATCTCGGATTGTAGATTGTTTCACATTGCATATCCCCTCTTTTACTCACACTCATGGTGAGCCTTAGTTAGAAAGACATACACATATGCTCTGTATGTGGCATACTACTACAAAGCCTGGGTGTGCGTTGTGGCTGGAGCCGGCGTGACGCCAACCCTGCAGTGGAGGATTTATTGGGCAAAGTACTACCTGCTAGTTGGCTTGAATCAATTGGGCGGCATCGGTACGTGTATATACCAAATCCCGCGAGCAGAGTAGCTTATACCATGGTATAAATATTGTTGCATACGGCTGGAGCATATTGTTGTCCAGCGGCAAACCCAAGGTTGGTATGAGGCCAGTCCAGATAGTAATAACGAAAATATATTTTGGTAATCTTTTAAACCCCGACTTAGACGTAATATTCGCCCCCATTCTCATATCTTTGCCGTGAAGAGTCCGCAGGCTGGCGAAATGGATGGTGCACACCACTCTCATCAGTTTTTCCTCACGCTTCGAAGATGAGGTGCGAAACTTTGTTACTATGTGCTATTTGGACCTTGAAAAAAGGCGGAGATAAATGATTCTAGTTCCAACGGTATTCCTATTGGCGAAGGCTCTGCTTGCTAACGTAGCTGCGTAGCTAGCCTGGCCTTCTGAGTCCTATATGACGAATTCGCGCACAACCATACGCTCGGGAGAGCCTTGGCCGGCATCTTGATGGAGCCTATCATGTACGCGAAATAGTGTTAGTATGACCGGGCCGCATGGGATTGCAGAGCTTACTGACTCTGTCGATCAGCATGCATGTGAAAGAGACTCCATCTACTGTATGTTAGAGAATCGCTTACCATCACTGAGCAATAGACAAATCCCCAAGTTTATGGTACATATATATAATTAATTAACTCTACGCGATAGCGGGGTATACAATACAAGATTACATACAATATCTCCCCTTGATCATACGCAAAGAGCAGAGATCATCTCATTACTCAAAGCGCTCGTCTGAGGCGCTCCACATCCCAGTTAAAAGAATGGTGGACATGTATAGGGTATGAGTAAAAACAGCATCAATATAGTGGTGCTGTCTACATGTATGTGGACAGGATAGCTGATGCCTGGCGATATGCGGAAAGGCTGCTGTCAACGAACATAGTATTGGCATCATCTTATGGTTGTTACTACTACTCCTCGTAATACCACTTTGGGAAGAGTGACTCGAGGCTCGAATAGAGGAATTGGAGATATCATTGCCAAATCGAGCTGAAAATAATTGTGATATAATGAAAGAGCAATCCGCTGGAAAACAATAATACATAGCACGGCCCACGCAAGAGCTTGCATGGGTTAAGACGGTGTGCCAATCGGTCATGGGAGGTTCGTCGAATCATTGACTTTAGAGTGCGCCTGTCATATATCACATTCAGAAAGGAGAAGAGGTGATGCACTTAAGAGACTGAGAGCAGTACGCGTGGCTTTGACATGTAATTGGCCTGGACGGGTAGAGTCAGTCTCCCTAGAGAGTCAGATGAAAGGATGATCAGCCGGTAAGTATGGCCAAGTATATTTCTTGAATCTACAGCAATGTCTACCACGAATATCGGATTAGCTCTGCGATTGCTAGCAGCATCTAGGCCTATACTGTTACCATTGTTGAGTATAGTGCAATTTGGTGGTGCTTAGCTCTCGTACCGCATTTTAGCACTTCCTTGAATGGTAATGGTACTACTAGCATCATCTTCTCGCTACCCTCTCTGCCGAGCTTCGGGCTCCATTCCGATGGCAAATGATTGGACACCGTCGTAGGGGGCCGGGGAGACGAGACTAGTTAGTCCAAATATCTCACTTCTCGCCAGGTGTCTCCCTTGTTAACTAAGTAAACTAGATAATGGTATAAGCATATATGCTAACCGGGTGTATGAAAAGAAATAGAAACGGCATGGAGTTATCGACGTGCTATTGGTACGTATAGTTACAGGATCTATTCCTGAGCGGCCAAGCATCTAAGCCGCGGCCAAGCACATGTGTAATGCGCATGTCGCCCCCGTCGGCGGTAAAAAGAGAAGGGGGCCAAACCATCGGCCGCAAGTCATCGGCCATAAGGAAGATACGCTTTGGCAGGTTGGGTCCAGAGGCATTGGCTACATGTAATTTACTTGTGCGGATCTGGAGAAGTTAACGCCGATTAAGGGTTCTCTTTCAGGCTTCCTTCCATGCTAGATCTTGGCACTGTCGGCTTTCCGCAGTATGGGCATCGTGGAGCATGGAGAGGGGATGTGGAGTAGCATTAGGTTGTGTAGAGGACGTAATGGGAAGTGGTATTACTGCCCTAGACTAGGTAATTCGCAAGGAGTACCTCCTACTGCTCGAACGCCGTACATGCCGGTATAACGTCGATGTGCAGTAGCAGCCGGCTGGGGGCTTTCCGGTGAGGCGTGGAGCGCGTGCGATCTTTTCATCCTGATCTTGGAAGATGTATGGAGCCCCGTGAGATCCCTGCCGCGCTACTTTGCTGCGGATGACGGCAAGGGATCCCTCATCGCTGCTAGCGCAGGTTGCTGTTCGATGTGATTGGGACCAGGCCATTGGTAACTCGAATATGATCACTTCCGCAATCTTTGGTGACTCGCGGGTCACCTTGCAGTTGGGGCGTGTGATTTGGAGATCAGAGCCGGGGGGTGTGATCGATTATTGGCACGGGGCACGCTGCGTAATCAAACCTCCATCACTATTTGTACTATCTCAGGTATTATACGTGTTTGTCTACCTCTGAGCCTGTGGGTACTTCTGTTTCTATCCAAAGGGAGAAAGGAGCAAGGGAGGCAAAAGGACATACTCAAGGGCTAAAGGTAAAATAAAAAAACGGCGGCTGAGGCCGCGTCCGAGTGAGACACGGGACTGTCAAACAGGCACGGCGCACAACCGGGCACTGACGGCGCAGAACTGTCTCAGTATGGCAGCATTTCCTTGGTTCGTAGTTCAGACGGCGCCTAGAGGTAAAGCCGTTAGGGGAAAGCGTAACGTGGGTAGTGAGACTGGCGGACCCAAACTCGACTCGAGGACATCCTAATCTGGCATCCCATCAGCCAACTCTGGCTGAATCCAGCCAGCCACCAGGCGGCCCGAGGCAGACTGTGGGCACTTTTGCTGCAGCCCTTTGACTCTTGGCTCCTCCCAGCCAAATCTCTTTTGATCTCCTACGGCGCATAGTGCAGCTGTGCCGCGGCTTGAAGAGGATCTAGCGGTGAATGAGAGACACAGCGAGCGGCATACCTGCGTCTACAAGTACATGCATCTCGGAGACAAGGCGGTGCGGAGCCGTTCGGGAGATACGGTACGGAAGATTGTTGACAGCAGGCAGCAATCTTGCACACATGATGGAATGCTTGACATGCGTATCTCCTTGTACTATACGTGCGAGCTCAGGTACTTCAACAGTGGGCTGGCTCGCGGCGATAGTATTACTACTGCTCCTACCTGTAACAACATGAAGGAACCCTTAGAGCAAGTTACTCATAATACTGCATATACCTGGTATGGATGGATCCAGTTCACGTACAAGCCTCGGCCGCAGCCAGAGGGGGGCAGCTTTGCCCCGGCTGAGATGAAATTAACGACTGCAGCTTAATGACTGCCAGCATTAGCCTATGGAGCTCTCATGTCCATCCTTTTAGGGCAGTCATTTTCATCTTTGTTGCCCTGATGCTCTTGCGCCATAAGGATTCTAGGATAAGCGAAAAAGAGCGGCTCGCGTCTTGCGCTACCGGTATTCCTCCGCGATGAGCATCGGCGATACGAAAACGCCACACCTAGCTTAGATCTTTCTCATTGACGCGTCCGAGAAAAAAAAGGAAAGAAACCCCCCCAGAGATAAACGATGGAGCAGCGCAGTGTCGTATCCGATTTTGGACAGGCAAGGATCCTTGAGGTGATCCCCCTAGATTTCGCAATTGCAAAAGAAATTTTTCAGTCTGGGTGACGTCTCTCTTCCCTGTAGAGCTGATTGCGTCCCCAGAGCAGCATCTCCCATCCGCAAGCAAGGAATCCCCCTGTACCGCGATCCAGGGTCCTACGCGGGATGCACACAAGCCCCAGCCGCGCCCGGGTAAAGTCCGATCTGAGAGAGCCACGGGCTCGTGTGTAGGTGTTTCGTGCTGTGGAGAGAGGCTCAGAGTCCAGGAAGGGGCCTATGGAGGACAGTTAGAAGAGCCGCCCTGAGCTACGCCACGTCAGGTGGAAGCAGGGCGAGGGATGTAGGGGGCGGCAGTGAGTTCGCGGATGCGGGCGTTTGTTGATGGGCGGTGTTGGCGGATAGAGATGATGCTACGAGCGCCAAGAGGCCAACGAATACGATGAGGCGCCTGGCTTTATCACCGTTTGCGGGTGATGATCAGGACGCAGGCTGAGCTGCAGCTGAGGCACGGCCGCAAGGTCCTGTGATACTGGTTGTGATATTTGTTGTTCTACGAGTACGTGGCATGGCGTGGGTATTCCATGGCTGCATATCGCTCGGAAGAGCCAAGATATTAAAATTGCCAGCTACGTGTACGCGATTCTTCAAAGTTGAAAGTGTCTTCGAAGCGGTGAAGGTTCGGGGCCCAATGTGAGTTGGCTGTAGTAAATGGCCCTTGAATGTTATTCGTTCTGATTGGTAGTCAAGCTGTTCAACAAGTATACGAGAATGGCAAATAATCTATTGGGGCTAGTGGAGAGGAGTAAAGGCAATATAGCAGCAAAAAAATGAATCTAAGAAGAGAGAAGGCAATAACTATGGCTTGGTATTTGTGTAGATGGGTGTGCAATGAACTACTGCTATCTCGAATTCCAAATTGTTGTTACAAGAAAGGTCAACAATGCTAAAGCTGTTTGCGACTTATATGAAAGCAATTGATACCATCACTTCGGCCGAGTGTGATGGTAAAGGATAGTACAATGTCAACAGTGGCGTGCCAATGCTGAGCAGGATGTTTCTCACGGCGGCTTTTTATATCTCTGTGTATTCGAATCAATTAATATATACATCTCGCTAAGTATTTGACGGCTTTCTTCCAACGTTCCATCTATGTTGCTCCAACCAATCCACCTTGCAATCCTCGAATGGCTACCATAGCTCCCCAAGCACCCGGATCAGGTGGCAGCTCATGGTTCTCACTCGAAACCCCAACATATGTTGCTCTGCCTAGCCTAGGCTTCATCGTCTTTGTTGCATCCGCTCCATCCTCCGCGGCCTTGACGCCGTTATTGAAGTCTGACTTGGCCATTGCAGCGGCAAAGGGGATGAGGGTATCCATGACGGTACGATCTCCTACCTGGGCAGGAGTGTAGCGCCTAAGATTTTCCAAGGCAATTGCAAGGGCAGTACCCCAAAGGAGGATTGGGTTCTGAGCCAATTCAATGTTTCTTTCAACGGCGGCTCGCAAGGAGATGAAGAAGATGCCCAGGATGCCGCCCAAAGTACCACCCATCTTGCTCTCCACAATATCTTCGAGTTCCAGAAGAACTTGAACGACTGACCCTGACTTGGCTAGCCCAGAGTCAAGCGCCGTTAGCAAAGATGTGGCACCGGTCTTGAGAGTCTCTCCACAGTCGCCGTCACCCATGACCGTATCCCATTTAGTAAGGTCAGGCTCAGCTCTGATTAGTGCTTCACATGCGTTTCGTAGCATGTTCTCTAAGAGGATTGGGTTAACTGCCAAGTCCCTTCGTTCGTCAACAGACTTGATTTCTTCCTTAGGTGGCGCAACAAGCTGTTGTTGCCTTGTACGTCGTTGGGCTTGGGATCCAGCCATGGACTCCCAAAACGTTGTGGTCCTAACGTCAAAGAAGGACTTGATATCCTCCACTGAGTAACTGCAGTTCTTTGCTGCTACCGTGGCGTTGATCACAGACACCGAGAAAGCAGGGGCGTTAAGGGATGTTTCCAGAAAACCGGCGCATATCCGTACTGGCTCAATACTCCAGTTGCTTTGAAGCTGCTCCAGGAGTTCGTCTACCAGAGCGCCCATCTCTAAATGCGACATGCCGCCGAAGTTGCTGACGAGTAACATGATTTCATCACCGGGAGCAAACTTCACATAGCCCCGTAGAGGATCCTTCTCATCCAGACAGTGTTGTAATATCTGCTCAACAAGCTCGGACGCAGACGGTGCAGGAGACAGCTTCTTGTAACCAGGCTCGTTGTGAGGACCGGTGCCCAGCTCAAGCTCATTCTCATGTAGCATGCCATGTTCAGTGCGACCGGGAACATGACAGTGATCAAGAGTAGCTGCAATGGATACAATCTGTTCTGAGAAGGCAACGCCGAGATTGTATACTTCATCAAGTGAGCCTCCAGCACCAGCAGCGCCGCCCATAACCTTGAGGACGCCGATCTGGCCGGCCAAACCTCTGCGACCAACCATGCTTCCGTTCTTGCCTACGGATACATCGTCGCCGCAGATGATTGTCCGACAATTGTGGCCTTTGGCATTAGCCTTTTCGTTGGCCAGGCCAAAGTGTAGACAGTCGCCTGTGTAATTCGTGATGACCAGGATAGTGCCTTTGTCGCTGGGGACTGTGTCCACCGCGGCAAGGATTTGCTTTGTGCTGGGGCTAGCAAAGATATCTCCCTGAACAGAAGCAGTAAGCATGTTCTTGCCTACATAGCCTGTCCATGCTGGTTCATGTCCGGAGCCGCCTCCACTGATGAGAGCAACTTTTGATCTGTCGTATGTTGTGTCATATACCACTCTGTTGGCTTCATCGAGACTAAGAGAAGGGTTGTAGGTAATGATGCCTCTTAAAGCCTTGTTGACAAGGCCGTCAGACGAGTTAAAAAGATGTCTGTTAGACATTATGTCGGTATGTGAAAAATATCGAGCAGTGTTATGAAGTTGCTGTCCTGCCAGAACAGTGCAACCACTTGGGTCAAGAGCAGAGAATATAAGCAGAAAGCAGGCTAAGGAGGCCAATAGTCTCCTACATCGGAGCTCTTCAGCCACGGAAGGACGAAACAAGTCTTCCATCTCATCGTGATATCACTTAGAGGCTTGTATTACCATCTTCATCCAAGACGCCGCGGCGAGCGTGGTCGAGACCTCTCAATAATGCTACCCCATATTACTCGTCCTCCACACCAAATAGCTTAGCTTTATGTTACCGATGGAAATATACAATTCCCCGCAACCTTACGCTTTCCTCCACTGAACAAGGCCCTGAGATCAAGGGCCATCGGGACTGACCTGCGTGTTGAAGCCTCCCGTTTGCCTCCTTGTAGCCCCAGTCGGATTTCCTAATCGGGCAATGCCGAGTACTTTTGGCGACGCAAACATCGCTGTTGTTCAACTGCTGGAAGCAAAGAACCCCGCAAATACCAGTTTCTATGAAGCAAAAGTGATCCCGTGGAGACCAGAAAACGAGATTCTATGCGGGTAAGCCGGCGTAGAGTTGTTTTGGCGCGGGGTGCAAGTTGGAGGAAGGCGATGCTGGTTACCGAATTCGGATCGCGCTCGAGTTCATAAGGACGCGAACTAAGCGTGTTTCCCTATGGATGATAAAGTACATTGATTGAAAGCGTAATTTATTTTAGTTGAAGTTTTCATTTCTTTGTTCATTTTGAATAATACCCCTTTTCTTTCTTATCTTCTCTACATCTGCAAACACTATGGGCACTATGGCGCCGAAATGGAGGATCGCTATGGGATGCGACGTAAGTGTGCTCGTTGACAGCATTGTTTAAAAACACAACGTCATATTCTATGATATATCATGATTGATAATATTATTGTACTATCTTCCATATATGAGGTCAGCATCAACCACTAACATAGATTCAATTCGTCTAGGACGCCGGTGTCAGCTATAAAAACACAATCAAGAGGGATTTCGAAGGCGATGATCGCGTAGGCGAAGTCATCGATGTGGGATCAGACGAGTCCTCAGACAAGACTCCTTATCCCCAGAGAGCTGCTGCCGCCGCTCGCCTCGTTGCCGAGGGCAAAGCCGATCGTGCATTGCTCATCTGCGGGACTGGCCTAGGTGTTGCCATTTCGGCCAACAAGGTCAAGGGTATTCGAGCAGTCACAGCTCACGATAGTTTTAGCGTCGAACGCAGCGTCAAGAGCAATAATGCACAAGTCCTATGCATGGGAGAGCGGGTTGTTGGGCTGGAAGTTGCGAGGAGGCTAGCAACCGAGTGGCTGGCTTACGAGTTCGATCCATCCAGTGCGAGTGCCAAGAAGGTGGAGGAGATTGGTTATTTAGAAGCATAATAAATTGGGGGGAAGCGATTGAAGAACAAATTTGAAGCATTACAAACGGTCCAATTCCATGCGGCGTTTCGCTGATCACACAAGGGGTAGATGCGTGTAAAAGACTGGTCAAAAGCAAGACAGTGGATTGCTGCATTGGGGACACGCAGGGACACGCAAACTTGAGATGCTTTCTACTCTTTCTGTATTAGTGTAGAAGATTGATACCGGCTTGTGGCGCGCTCGGCTACGCAAGAACATATGGAGTGCATAGCTTGATTTAGCAGCATTAGAAATGAGAGTGGTAGCACTACGGACATGGCTCTTTTGGGTGTTTCCGACGATCGTTCACGAGACCACAATGGATACCCAGCTCAGGAGAGTACGAGCCCGGAAGAGGTAATGCTTGTCATATCATTTGCCAAATCATTTGGCAGCCTGAATCCAAGGGATGACTTTGCTGGTGTAAGCATACAGGGCCCGGAACCGTGGCCGGGTGATTGATTATACGAATAACCACTGGATTGCCGGCATCCCAAAAGTGGAATGGACAGCTCGGAGCCGGAGCGCGGGGAAGCTTCCTGACTGACCCGCTCAGCGAGGGGAGCTGGAAATAGAGAGTCTCGATAGTTTAAGGTCCCGGAGGATTACTTTTCAATTCGTTGCTATTCTTAGGCTTTTTTTTTTTTTTTTTTTTTTTTTTTGATGCTTGATTAGCTTTTTTAATTTAGCACAATAATTCGGCCACTGCCTCACCTTTGAAGATGCCAAACCCAGCACCGAGGCGCCGCCTCGTCGGCCTCTCTACCAAAATGTATTTTTCTCTTCAACGAACAAGAGACTTTACAGATAGCTTCATATCGAAGCTCGTGGATATACCACAAGAGCTCTCATCTAGCATCGACATATTCATCATTCCCGATTTCATTTCTCTGACAAATACAGTCGCCCAGCTGGAATCAAGTCCAGTTCCCATTTGGATCGGCGCTCAAGACTGCCATTGGGAGGACCAGGGAGCCTTTACCGGTGAAGTCAGCCCCTCTGTGCTAAGTAGCGCCGGCGTCAAGCTCGTGGAAATTGGGCACGCAGAACGAAGGAGAATTTTCGGCGAGGACGATGTTATTGTTGCAAAGAAAGCTGCTGCGGCGAGTCGGAATGGTATGATCCCATTAGCGTGCATTGGAGAAAGGACGCAGGGCGATGTACATGTTGCCGTGGATGAATGCCGTGTGCAGGTTGACGCCATCATGAGCTCTGTGTCCGATGAAGCAGAAGTTATTTTGGCCTATGAGCCCGTTTGGGCGATTGGAGCAAGTCAGCCAGCCGGAGAGACACACATTCTCAATGTGGTTTCTGGAATTCGAGGCCTTGATTCTGTTCAGAAGAGAAAGGGGACGACGAGGGTGTTGTATGGGGGTAGTGCCGGGCCAGGACTATATGAGAAATTGAAAGATGGGCTGGACGGACTATTTCTTGGAAGATTTGGTCATGATCCGCAGCAGTTTGTCAAGACGATCCGGGAGGTTGCCGAGGCATAATCGGACAAGATACTGTTTGTGGTCCAAACGATACTCACCAAGAGACTTGACGAACTCAGGTCAGTTCATTTAGCAACGCAAATTTCCAAAACTTCGCAATGGCTGACGATTGACTAGGCGCGCAATATAGCGTGGTGACTTGAATGGCATTGGCCAGGCGCTCCAGCTATCATGTGGACCATATCCAGAGTTGCATCACCAGGCATGGTAGTTGTAGCTAATTGGCCAGACTTGATAGCTGTTAAGAAACCGGGCAAGCCAACTGCCGTGAAACGACATGACATTTGATCGCGACTACTAGGGCTAGGTCTGGTTAAATACCGCTAGACAATTATTAGACGAATTTTCCCGAGTTGCAACAGCAGCAATAACGCTGGTGTAAGCTACATGTAAGCATAAATAGGTAGCTATTGTGGAAGCAATGTTGCTCTTGTATTAGTCTCGAGCTCAACGTTATATTAAAGGCAACTAGCGAGATTTACCTGCTTCACATAATCCTTACGCATATTAATTACGAGAAATACCATAGTTCTGTTTTCACTGGAAGTAATCAGAGCGATCATCGGAATACACAAAAAGTTCTAAAACTGTGGCCCGTGAAAATCTCAATATCGCACAAACAATCAATCCCACAATAACTTGAAAAATATCTCATGCTAAACCGAGCTGTCAGAGCGGCCAACCACGGATAGCCCCGGACAATTCCCGCAACGGTTGACATCTCTCAAGTGCCGACATCGCCGTCACTATGATTCCATCGAGAGCCGATCCGTCTTATCTTACCCCTCCCTTTAGACAAAATTCCGTCAGTATAAATTGAGTTTGAAAATAACGCAGAGTTCAAAATTCTTTTTTTCCCTTTCCACAAACAATATTCGATCAAAAATCCAATACTTTCCAATTGAGTAGAAACAACAGTGATAGAATTCACAGTTTGTCATAGGCATCACTCCAATTGAGTGTCTAGATGCATCTAACAAATTCAGGTCTCATCTGCAATATACCATTTGGTACAACTTGCCCCCCCGAAACAGCACGTCGTCATGGCGTCCTTCGGTGGTAAATCATCCAAACGGGATCATGTCTCTTCAGGTAATGTGTATCGCATGAGCCGGTGCCCGCTCTTTTCTCCTCTTCACACACATCTCTCATTCGGTCTCTGTATGTCTCTTCCTTGCTTCGTGTAAGACAAGAGACTGAGAGGCCTTCTGGGTGATGAAGAGGAGGAGGGAGCGTGGCTGAGAATATACGGCCCTGGAACTTGATCTGGATAATACCAGCGAAAGGATCATGCTCTTCTCCCTTCTTACTGTGCACAGAATCCTAACCCTCGTAGGCCCATCATGACTCCTCCCGCCGCCATCTCTCCTGTCCAGCGCTCTGCTGAACTTGTGACTCCAAAGTCCAAGCTGGCTGCCGCCCCTTATGATGGAGCTCAGACCAAGACCGTCGCCGAGATGCAAGGTCAATGGGAGTCCTTCGCCTTCTCCCCTATCCGCGAGTCCCAAGTCTCGCGCGCCATGACCAAGCGCTACTTTGAAGACCTCGACCGCTACGCCGAGTCCGACATCGTCATTGTGGGCGCAGGATCCTGCGGCCTCAGCACCGCCTACGTTCTCGGTACTCAACGTCCGGACCTCAAGATTGCCATCATTGAAGCCTCTGTCTCGCCCGGCGGAGGTGCCTGGCTGGGAGGCCAGCTCTTCTCCGCCATGGTGATGCGCAAGCCGGCCGACGCTTTCCTCCGCGAGATTGGCGTCCCGTACGAGGATGAGGGCAACTACGTCGTTGTCAAGCACGCCGCGCTCTTTACCTCGACCATCATGAGCAAGGTGCTGCAGCTGCCCAACGTGAAGCTCTTCAACGCCACCTGCGTCGAGGATCTCATCACTCGCCCCTCTGCAGACGGAGTGCGCATTGCTGGTGTTGTGACCAACTGGACTCTTGTGTCAATGCACCACGATGACCAGTCTTGCATGGACCCCAACACTATCAATGCTCCTCTTGTTATCTCGACCACCGGCCACGACGGCCCAATGGGTGCTTTCTGCGTCAAGCGTCTCGTCAGCATGGGCCGCATCGAGAAGTTGGGCGGCATGCGCGGCCTCGACATGAACAAGGCTGAAGATGCCATTGTCAAGAACACCCGTGAGGTGGTGCCCGGCCTCATTGTTGGAGGCATGGAGCTTTCTGAGATTGACGGTGCCAACCGTATGGGTAAGTTTGACTCACGCTTTTGTATTTGCTTGGCGGAGATATGCTTGCTAACACGGAGATGCAGGACCTACCTTCGGCGCCATGGTTCTTAGCGGTGTCAAGGCCGCGGAGGAGGCTCTCAACGTCTTTGGGATTCGCCGCCAGGAGAACGCCATCTAAAGGAAATGAACAGATTGTGTGAATGGTGGACAGACTGATAACTCGAGTCATTCATTTGTATGCTATTTGTTCTGGTATGGTCGGTCACTCATTGGCAAAGTAGTAAAACTCAATAAAAGAACCAAAAAAGAAAAGCTGCTCAACAGATTGCTATACAAAGCAGCAGCATTTTATTACATCTTTGCGCCTCGCTAGTAGTTTTTGAAGTGATGAACAAGATACAAAGCATCCATATGAATGTGAACTATGTGGTATCTACCTATCAATGCCCTTTCCACTCGCTTATAGTGTAAATGATAACTCCCATCGTGTATATATTGTATCCTTTGCCCTTCTATGTCGAAAACTCATCAATTACGCTCCTTGATTCTGTGAACTTCTTATCCACTTCCACAACGGGTATCTTGAATCCAAATCCCTCCGGTCCGCCCACCTTGATGCCCTTTTCACTCTTCCAAAGGGGATGTGCAGGCAGTGCAATGACGCTGACGTGCAGGCCATATCTGAGATCCTGCGAGCCAATTGCTTCGCCGTCTTGTCCCAGGATCGAAATGAGATCCGGCACTGTGCATACAATCTCTTGAGATTCTTCTGATCCTTGAGCATCGGTAAGAGCAGCGTATAAGTATTCGTTCTGAAATGGTATTGTCATGTGTCGGCCAGTTGAGGCGGCCTGGTGTTTGCTAGCAGTTGCTGCATCGCGTTCTTCGTTATTCAATGGGGCGATAATAACGGACCCCATGGTATAGCCTCCTCCAAGGTAGCGTTTGACATCGACGATTTTGCCACTGAAGAGGACTTTTCCAGCACATTCAGCAAACTATGAGTTAATGTTAGTTTAGTCGATTATCAAGATTAATAAGAGCTTCCAGGAATTGAAGAGCTTAACTTACAATCGCGTCAATGTAACTCGTCTTCCGCCTTCTCGCTTGGTGAATAGCGCGGCCCAAATACCAAGTCAATGACAAGGAATTAGGAATGCCGTACTCCTTGACGACGGAACCGGAGAGAGGCGCAGAACATGCTGCGCAGCTCAGACCGAGCTCGATGGCCTGTGTCCGCAGCATCGTCTCCAGTCGCTCAGGTGAATCCGTACTCTATATAAGCTGCATTAGTATTACACTTCTTCATGCAGACCCGTGGGTAGACATACCATGACGACGTTCACATTATTACGAGCATCTGTGAGAACGCAAGGGACTAACGAATGGCCATATACACTGAAAGTGACTATACGACAAAATTAGTAAATTGTAAATCGGTCGACAGAGCCTTCAAGAAACTCACCATGATACATTGTTGGATATGCTCGGCCCATCGCGTCTCCATCCACAATCGGAATGTCAAAGTGGACGCCTGTAGGAAAGGACGAGAGCCCATTACCGCCGCCACTGTCTCTAGTTAGCTACTGCAGATCATTGTCTTCTCTCTTTGCCCCCTTGCTCTTCCCTAAAGCAAAGGGGAGATAGCTGATGGGCTTCAACTTACATCTCATCCGGAAGAACTGCATCAATCGATTTTCCCACGATTCTGGATGAAGCCTCAATACCGCTAGCAATCTCGTTGCCCGATGACAATCGCTCATTGATTACGCTTGGACTTCCATACCATGAGCCGAAAAATACCTGAGCGTTATCATCTAATGACTTGGGAGAAATGATCCTCATTTTGCCCTGCCCCCCTGTCCGCAGTGCATGCAAGCTTTTGAGAAACTCATAATGAGTAGGGCCTCCACCTCCAGTCCCAAGCACACCACATCCAGTAGAAATAAGCTCCAAGTCGATTTCTGAGACATACCAGATCCCGTCCCGCACATCTGGACGGTATGTTTCCAGGTCGACATGTAGAGACGGCTTGGTAGTTGGCTCAAGGGCATTTGGCACGCTGACTTTTTCTCCTTCATCCTCATCCCTCTCGTCTTCCTCCTCATTGTAACCTGGAATTTCACCCAACGGAGGGGTCGGTGGCGGAGTCGGTTCGTCCGGAATAGCTAGCTTGCCCACCGCTCGAACCTGGATTCTAACGGTAACTTGCGACATGTACTGCAGAGGCATCTTGTTTATTTCAACAATGCGTACGTCGTCAGGAGAAGCGCCCTTCTCAATGGCTTGATCGATGGCTCTCGCGCAAGCCGCGTCGAGGATGTCCTTTTCACTCTTACCCTCTAGAATCTCCACCGTATCAACCTCTCCAGAAACTTTGGCAATAGCAGCGCCGACTGCGTTGGCAGCACCTTGATGAATAGGATGGATGCATTTATCAACTCCATCCAACCCGTCTTTGACTAGGAGAGCACCGCCGCCAACGAGGAGCACATGAACCGGCGCAGATGACACCTTCATCTGATCAATTACTCTTTCAAGTTTCCTTTTGATTTCCTGTCGAGCAAGACTGATGGTTTGATCCGAAACATCCTTGACCAGAGATGCATCTCCAAGCTCGGCCTCGCCAAGAGCCACAACAACGTCAGTTGCCGTCAATGTTGACCCGCCAAAGATCTTGGCTTGCTTCTTAAGAAAGTGTCCAACAGAGCCGGGGCCAACGCGGACTGTGCCGTCCTCTTCGATTTCGACTTTGCTGCCGCCTCCTAGACCCATTGAAACAACTTCTGGCATTGAAAACGCTGTTCGAACGCCGCCAATTTCAACGAACCCGGGAGCCTGCCGCGGAAAGCCGGATGGCAGCAGTGCACATACATCGGTCGTAGTGCCACCAATATCAACCACAAGCACCTGAGGCTCGACTGTATCATCCGAGCTGTCACCATTATCGTTCGATATTGACCGAGGTTTGTTGTCGAGTCCGGCGAGGAATGCAGCTCCCGTCATGCTGTTCGTGGGCCCGCTTGCAAAGGTCTTGATAGGATACTTGGCGGCAGTTTCGACATCGATAAGGGTTCCATCGTTTTGTGAAAGGAAAAGGGGGCATGTCAGTTTTAGACTTGCCATGGCACGCTTAAAACTATGCTTAACTTTTTCTCCCGTCCTAAGAATAGCAGCATTGAGAATTGTGGCATTTTCTCTTTCGAGAAGGCCAGTAGGCCCTATATCGTGGGAGCAAACTACTCGCAATCCAGGGGCAGCTTCAAGTATGATTTGCTTGCACTCTTCTTCGTGAATGCCATGGTGATCCAGTGGTGAAAATACACCAACCAGAGCAATAGCATTGATGCCGGAGGCCACAACAGATTTTGCGGCCTCCCGGATTTGCTGTGGATTTAAAGGAGCAATCTCTCTCCCATCCATCTCCAATCCTCCATCCAAGTAGTGAACACCTCCATCAAGGATGCCGCGAAGTCCCAGGGGGAAATCTGAAAAGGGGGGGATCTGCCTCGTGAACGGCCCACACAACCGAAACACAGCAACTCGATCCAGTCTCCTGGCATCGGCCTCAATGAGAGAATTGATAAAATGTGTTGTTCCAATGGTGACGCTGAGGATGCGGCTCTTTTCAACTTTGGACTGATCGAGGACCTCTCTAATGGCTGCTTCCACGCCGCTGGTGATGTCCGGGGTCGTTGTTGCTTTCCATGATGCTAGGACTCCTCGGCCGGGTTCGTCAAGGGCCTTGAGGTCCAAAATAGCCGCGTCCGTGTTGGTTCCTCCAACATCGACACCTATTCTATATGCCATGCTGCTAGATGGAAACAGCAAGGAAGAAGATAGCAACAAGAAGAAAGATGTCAAAAGGAAGAAAATGTGTGGTTTTTTCAATTTCTTTTTCTTTTTTGCTTGTCCTTTTTCTCTATAAAAATTCAAACTTCGTCAGTCCAAAAGTATCCCCAAAGCTCAAAGAAATGATTGCGAATTATGAAGTAAACGACAAGAAGGATTGGCGTGAGGGGCTCATAGCTGGAAGCAATTAGGGGGCCGCCGCTTGCAATTTAGTGCGACCATGACTATGAATTTTCGTGACTACAATTTTAAGATGGAGCAGCAAAAAACCAGCGGCGAAGTTTCGCTCAACGGTGAGAGATGGAGTCGCGTACGGAGAACCCCGACTGCGTCGTCGCCTACGTGGTGGAGAAATCGGCTTGTGGGGGAGAGGAGAGAGCCAAGACCTTTCTATTCTTACATACGCAGTAGGGCATAGCAGGCATAGCAAGCATATGATTTGATCGGAGCTGGCAGATTGGCGATCCCAAACGGCGGCCAACTCGATGGGCCTTGCCCCTCAATGAGTAAAGAAGGCTAAAAAGCTCCGGCCGGCGGCCCTGCATCCAGCAGAAGCGCGGACAACGTAGTCTACTATGTACTGCTTAATATACAGGCGGGTTGGCCGGCTCTTGTCTCACGCACGTAAACGACTCATTCAGCCAGCATCAGGCGCACATCAAACCCATCACACCACCTATGGGCAGAAGAGTAGCATCGGGGAAGCCTCAGCTCGGCCAATTGGGGGCATAATAGTTGGCCGAGCGTGCCGCTAGCAGTTTGCCGATCACACAAGCATGAAAGAAATCAAAGCAATTCGACACTGAATGCCATTTGAGAAGAAAGAAGCCATTCCAGAGACTAACAGCAAGCAGCAGAATAGAGAGCTCGTTCTGAAGATCCCCTAAAACCGAAATAGAAGCACCTGGGAGAAGAAAGGGAAGAAAGAGGGGGGCAATTGAGCAGGCATGGGGCAGCCAATCAGCCATTGGCGTTAGCATTCCGCACATGTACGGAATTGTTCAAGCATGTGCTTTTCGAGAATCTCCAAAGTCCGCGGCATCTCGAAGGCTTCTAGCGGGCCGATATCCGGTCATTGCTGCTGCACGAATGGCCTGACCAGGGCTTGCGATGAAGCAAACTGCGGGGAGATTGTCTTTCATCCGGGAGCTCCCAACGAGCTCTCTCGATTGCGACGGCCGCTGCAGTCAGCCCGCGCTGACTAACTTTCCAAAGGGCGGCCATAGCAAATGAGCTGCTCGGATTGAAATCAATAGCCACAATTGCCTAATGGCTGTTAGTTCTTGCTTTAGCCCGGCGGAGTTGGTTTGACTCGAGAGGAAAAGCTAAAACACAGCTTAAGCTGCTCCAAGTCCCCTTTTTCTCCATCTCAACCTCCACAAAGGGCAGTTTCGTTTCTCGCGGCCTTTGCACCAGTCAAGTTCGCTCCGACGGGCCTGGCCGCTGCTAGAGTTCAGAGTTTTGGATTTGAGCGTTTGGCTCGACTCGGCTCTTCCCGCTTCCGCTATATCGGGCGATCGTCTGGCTTCGCGGCTGGGTGGAATATTACTCAGCCCCACAGAGTTTGCGGTCTGAGAAGTCACCTTCACGGAGGCTTTCAAGCATATTGCTGTTGCTTGTTGACTCGAGACACAACGGCATCGTGTTGATCGCTTCGCACGGGGCTCTAAAGCCGAGCTCCATTGACAGAACGCGCATAAGCCCGGACCCAGATTCGGTCTTTGCTTCGACCTTTGTGAGCGAATCACGCGTTCCAATTCTAACGCGATCATGGGATTGGCCGGCCTTGTTGAGCGCGCAAGGCTCCCTTACGTCTCGCAATGGATTGTAAGTTGCTACCGCCGTAGGCGCGCTGTCATCACAATTCCTGCGTGCCATATCTCCCCTTTCGATGCTCGGACTCATCCTTCGTACGGCCGGTAACCTTGATCGATGGCAATGGCTAATTGATGATCCTTGTTGGCGCGTCTTAGAATGATGATATTCGTCCCGTGGAGGCTGCCAGGCGAACATGGGGCTTCTGGACCTTTCATAATTACTGTAAGTGGCTATTCGTTGAAATGAGAGCGCAATGCTCGGCATATAGGCGAATCGAGATCCTTGGCTGACAAAAATAACTTTGTCCCTTACTAGGGCTGCTGATCAACTGCAACATTGCAACTTTCCTCACGGGAAGCGCACTGATACCCCTGGGCCTCAATTATTGGCAGGCTATTATTGGTATGTGTATCATTCTGAAGCGAAAGCTGCTCTTGAATCGATTGGCTAATGGGTCATCGTAGCCATTATCATCGGAAATATCATTGCCACCACTGCAATTGTCATCAGCTCACTGTCGGGAGCCTACTATCACAGTAATTACCCTCCTCGCGTGCCTCACCAAAAGAACTTCAGTGTGTTGATCAGTTTCTCTGCAGTTGGCTTTTCTGTGTACAGCCGTGCCGTCTGGGGCATGTGGGGGTCTCAATTTGCGATTTGGAACCGTATATTCTTGTGTCTTGGTATGTTGTATCTCATCTCATCTTGCAAATATGATATGTAGTGTGCTAACCATTGGTTAATCAGTCTGGTTAGTGGATTGATGTTATCAACAATGGACATTGTCCGACAAAATCGGCAGCTTTGCTAACCATTGTGATGCATTTACAGGTACGGCTTTCAGTCATGGGTTGGCGGCCAATGTTTCGAGCTCATCTTGCTCTCGTGGGATCCCAACTATGAGTCTCACATCCCCAACCACATGCCTGCTTCGACGGGCATGACCACGGCCCAATTTGTGTCGTACATCATCTTTTTCATCATCAGCCTTCCATTCGTATGGATCAAGCCGCACCGTCTGCAGAAATTCTTCTACTTCGCCAGCGCGGTGACCATGGTATTCTTCGTAGTGCTCTTGATTTGGGCTTTGGCAACCATGGGCCACGGAGGTTTTGGTGACACCATTGACTCAGCGACCACGATTCCCAAGACCGGTGGCCCGGGCAGTCTCGCCTGGCTCATGATATATGGAATCATGTCCACCGTTGGTTCCATTGCCGCCGGTATCTTGAACCAGAACGACTTTGCGCGTCTGTCGAGGAAGCCGATGGATGCCGTCTGGGGCCAGCTCATCCCATACGGCGTGTACAGCATCCTGACATCGGTCATTGGCATCTTGGTTGTCGGAGCCACGCAGCGGAGATTCGATGGAGAGGCCGTCTGGAACCCACCGACCATCTTTGTTCGCCTATTGGAAAAGGACAACAGCCCGGGGACCCGCGCCGCGCTCTTCTTTGCGGGGGTTGCCTTGTGCATCTCGCAAATCGGCAGCAACGTGCCCGGAAATGCGCTGGCCGGCGGCATCGACCTGTCGTCGGTGTTCCCGCGATACATCAACATCCGCAGAGGCGCCTACATCACGGTGATGCTGAGCCCGATTGTCAACCCCTGGCAGCTGGTCAACACGGCGACGACGTTCCTGTCGGTGCTGTCTAGCTACGGCGTCTTCCTGGCGCCGATGACGGGCATGATGTTTGCCAACTACATCTTTGTGAACAAGCGCAAGGTCAAGGTGGACGATCTGTACCACGGCCACAGCGGCAGCATATACTGGTACAAATATGGCATCAACTTTCGTGCCCCCATTGCAGTAAGTCGAATCTCTTCCACTTCTTTGGTTGTAGCACAGAGCTAACTCCGTAACCGATAGTGGGCCGTGGGGGTTGCTCCAACCCTGCCCGGCTTTATCGCGGCCGTCAACCTGTCCGTGTCGCTGCCCGCCGGCATGACGGAGCTCTATTTCCTCAACTACCTGTACGGGTTTCTGTCCAGCGCCGTCGTTTATGCGCTGCTCCACTGGATCTTCCCAGCCAGGGACGTTGATGATTTTGTCAAGAATGCCCCCAGCGCCAGGGAGGTCCAGCGGCATTACACAGACCGCTGGGAGGTGGATCTGTCCCAAGCAGGCCACATCCTGTCAGACGACGACGGCTCGGGAATTACGCATCTGGACGTCAACACAAAGCATGAGCCCACTGCCGTATTTTGAGTTGACGAGTAGGGCGTTGGCTTTTTCCATATTCGTTATAGAGCGATCTGCAATCGTTTTTTGTTATGACTCCTAACCAGCCCAGCTACTGAGATGCGATGTTGGATACACCGCTGTGACACGCATCAGAGCATGACCAGCATCAATTCGTCAAGGCCTTGTTTGGAGCATTTGTGTAGCGACGCCATGTGGTTTTCATTGCAGTTTGATTTGATATATATATAAAATCGGTGCTGTTTATCTAATAGAATACAGAGTAGACTGATCAAGTCTGCCTATTTCTGCTATCATGAACATGGCGGATTATACTCGCGTGAACTCAATGTGTGGTGTATATCTTCCCCGAACCTGCATGTGTCTTTCATACCCAGGCAGTACGAGCAATTAAGTTGCCCGATCCTATTGTTGCTTCTTGACCCTTGACGCCCTGGATATCTGCCCAGCTTAACCTTTAATTTAGGCATCGTCGTAGTCTTCAAGGTTCAACGTTGTCTTTGAAAATTGGCCGACAGTAAGACATGGGCCGCAGCCATGCCGGGAACAGCAGGCCTCGGATAAGCCCGAGCAGCCATTCGTCTTACACCATTTCACCTCCATGACCCGCCAGCATCTCCCTACAGTAAGGTAGCTCTTATATGCACATGTGTATGTATGCAGAATCCATCGCCAATCGTTACTGTAGCACACAGAACGGAGCTTGGAGTAAGCGATGTGCGCTACGGATTAGGGGCTCTGTCCACTGTGCCCCGTAAGGCGGCCACTAACGCGCTAGCCCCCGTGCGCCAAAGCCCACAAACCGCCAGCGATCCAGCCGTCCAGGCGCAATAGGCGAAGTGCGAGCTTCAGGGCCAGTCACGTTACTCGCTGCTCCAGCTGGCCTCAATCAAATCACGACACGCGGCCCAGAATCCGTTCCCCGCTGCGTGTCGGCCAACTCGGACGAGTCTGCATCGGAGCCTGGACGCGCAGCAGGAGAAGCTTCGCCGCCGCGTTCGCCGAGCCACGCGAGTCTGCTTTTGCGTTGTTTGTCTCGTTCTCACCATCTCCACCCACGGTGCGGCGGCGAAGACACGAGCCCCCAGCCAGTCCAGTCCAGCCAGCCAGTCCAGTCCAGTCCAGCTACAGCCCGGACGCCGCACGAGTCGCTCGCCGTGAAACGCTCGAGTGACGCACGACATGCTCAGCGGCGCCGACCCGTTGGCCCAAGGCCAGCAGGCCCGTCCCCGCAAGTTCACCATCCAGAGCCAGTTCGGCCGGGCCAGACAGCCGCGGAGCCGCAAGAACCGGCCCTGCGACGCCTGCCGGAGGCGCAAGACGGCCTGCGTGATCCCCTCAGAGCCTCCCTGTAAGTGACTCCGTGCTGGCTTCGTTGTCTTGTCCCCCTCCAGCTGTGTTATTCCCGGGGGCTGCTGCTGCTGCTGCTGCTGTCTGCCAGAGGTCTCGAGCCGAGCCGCCAGATCTCAGCACGCGTCGATGAGGGGGTGGGGGTTTGTTGGCCTGATGCGTTGTTGCGCGTGGACGATGTTGCGGCGTGTTTGAAATGATAGACGCTCAGACGGACACATCTCAGCAGTGACAAGCAGTACTCTATACACGCCACGCACCCCCTTCATTTTCGCCGTGTGTATACATGTGTATGTGAGGCGTCCCGTTGGCCGATACTACGCATCTGCATGCTGCATCTCTCCACAGCATCTTGATTTGTCCCATCCCGCTTCCCGATATCCCAAACTCAACGGCGCCACCGAGTGCTAAATTCAACTTCGCAGGTCTATTCTGTAAGAGCAGGGGGATAGTATGCAAATCTTCGCCAACCCCTGATGAGATCTCGTCTCAACAAGAGAGCGCCACCGAGAGTGCCACTGAAAATGGAGTCTCTGAGGCCGAGCTCGTCACGCCTCCAGCCATGGGCTCTTCGCCGGCTCTACCACGCCGCAGCGTCTCGCATTCCGTCTCGCATTCTAGCCCGGCGGACACTATTCAGTCGTCTGCAGGCCTCAGTGCCGCTGGAGACCTGAGTCTGGAGCAACAGTTGTCCGCACCCTCGGCTGTTGTACATCAGGGTTTGATTCGCCAGAACGGGCCTTCTGAAAACACTCTAGAACCAACTTCATATGGCCTCTCTCCTCCAGTCCCTTTGGCCCCCGACTATCCTCTTCATACACTTGAGGATAATTTCAACAGGACGGCACACTCAATGGGGCCCTCAGCTGAACAAGACATGTACCTTCTGGATGCATTCAGATGTCTCATCATAAACGAGAATGATGAGCTGGATGCCAATATCATCCAGGTGTATCCTGGAGGCCCAACGGCAGACGATCGTCCGGTTCACTTCCTGCTATTGGAAAATGAGAACCCCGACTTCACCAATGAAGCAAAGCAAGCCGCCTCGGATGAGACTGAGACGTTGGCGTGGCCCTACGGCGATCACCTGGTGCGCTTGTATTTCAAGCATGTCCATCCCATATACCCCGTAGTCACCAAATCTCGTTTCCTACGTCAGTACAAGACCAACAAGATGAAGATTCCCGCTTCGTTGCGCGGTGCAGTCTATGCCATGGCGAGCGTCTTCTGGGATGTAAAAGAACCTTGTCCCTTTGAACAGCACCAATGCATCGATCACGCCCACGAGGCCCTTAGGCGCGAACATGAAAATCCTAATCTATTCAGCCTACAAGCAGGCCTTTTACTCCACCACATCACACCGCCCGATGTCGACAGCGTTGAAACGCCAAGCATGTGGACCATGACGGCACAGACCACGGCATGTGCCCAGACAATAGGCCTTCATCAAGATCCTGGCCGATGGAGCATCGAACCGTGGGAGAAGAGAGTCAGGAAAAAGCTTTGGTGGGCAGTATACGCTTCGGACTGCTGGTCTGCGATATGCCATGGGAACCCTCCGCACATAAGCCACGCGTCATTCAGTACAGCTCCGCCTGACATGGACGACATTCGAGCTGACGAGACTGTTCCTGAGGAATTGCGGCACATGGTCGATCCTGAAGATGCCGTCTTTCAGGTTTCGGTTGGCGCTCGATTCTTACAATTTATTAATCTCACAATGGTCCTGAGAGATGTGCTAGACTGCAGCTTGTAGGTCAACTTTGCTACACAAAATCTCATCTTGAACTAATAGTTGCTAACAAGACATCATCTACGCAGTCAAATTCGACCCAGCTTATCAACCTTGGGCGAGAGGGCAGCACAATTGAACACCTTACGAGACAAGTTCAAAGATTGGCATGTCCTGCTTCCGCAATGCCTTGCTCTTGGCCCTGAAAGAGGACAGGATGTAGCCAGCAACTGTGAGTGAGGATCCCTAACAGAGGGGCTCTTCTTATTGGAAAAAGAGATTCTAACATAGTTCGCCCAGGTCCCCTGCATCTCACATACTATGCTGCTCAAGCACTCTTGTACCGAGGTCTGATGTATCCTGCCACTAGAGCAGCCAAGGCCAACCCCGAGTCAAATCTTCGAAAGTGGTTTATTCACGCTCTCAGCGAATTTTCGAGCTTTGTCAACTTTTTCAACTCCATCGGTGAAGAAGATTTACGTGGCTTTTGGTGCCGTCGTAAGTATTCACAGCCATGACGGCAATATGAAAAACGTAGTGTAACTGCGCTAACGACAAGACAAAAAACAGATGCTCGGTCTCAGCTGATTTTATGTGGCAACTTTCTTATTTACCTCTTCCTGTTGGCCTCTGACCAGGCACACATTGAGGCTGCATACCAGCTTCTGCAAGATTTTCATCACGCTTTGAAGCGCCTTGGCGAAACCACTCACAAGCCTGGACGACTGCTTCTACGACCTGTCAGACTTCGACTGGATTCTTTCTTCCGTCAGGCGGCTACCATCCTGCGTGGAAATGATGGCCTGTAAAAGAGGGAAATAGAATTCAATTATTTTGTATGCGAAAGTTGGCATAGCTGCTTCATTTGTACTGTAGCGTCGGATAATAGCCCTTGCTTGTTACTGATTGCATTTTGAAAGAAGAAACAAAATGGTGCCATCTCGCAACCGCTGAGCTCTTATTTTTGTTGGCAATTCTCCATGTCGCAATGACCTTCTTGTTTGTATAGGTCCTCTACCCTGGCAATAATGCCAAGTACATACCATTTACACTGTGAGTATATATACAACTTAACTATATACATTCCGGATCCTTTACTTCCTTGCCAATTATACAATGCTCTTATACAGAATTAGAAAATTCCCTTATCCCGGTTTCATAAAGTCCAACATATACTAAATAGATCGCTGAAGTCCAAGCTGATTCCACAGCTTCTGCGCAAATGCGTTACCAATTTCCCATTTCCGCGCTCCATGCGCCAGTATCGCAGCAAATGGCGAAAGCCAAACTCCTACATTGCACTTACATACCTGGACGCCATTGAGCCAGATATCACCCCCATTCCGTATCCAGTTTTCCACTTCGGGGCTCTTCCCCGTCTCCAGACGCACAAAGCCAAAGTCCAGCCCGTCAACGAGCGGCACATTCATACAATTGCAAGTGCATGTCATGCCGTTGTTTTGAATCCACGTCCACAAAACGCCTGCCCCTACCGCGATGGTCATGTGGGCGATGGGATCGACGACTTCGGCTTTCAGCTCAGAGGGGGACACATGGCCGCTATAGACGCGGTATGCGACGATGGCGTGCGAGACTGCAATTCTGCTGTCCATGGATGTCGCCCACTCCTTGATCTCAGCAGTGTTAGGGGGGTAGGGGAGGGTGACGCCGCAGGGGGCCAGGCTTGACGTGATGCCTGGAAGATTCTGCATGTAGCTTTGGGCATCGGCGTAGATGTGCATGCTGAGGAGGTGGTACATCATGGTGGCGCTAAAGACATAGGAGAAGAACCGGCCGCGTGAGTACTTTTCCCAGTCATCGTGGAAAGGCTCTTCCGAGCCCATGTACGCCCTTAGCAGGAACTCAATGTGCATTTTGTGTTGTTCTGGATCCATCCACAAGGCAGCCATGCCGTCCAGCTGTAGCTTGCAGCGCTTCAAACGGGTGGCTATCAGCTCTTTCTGGTCGGCTGATGCGCACAGTGCCGGGTTCGGATTCCCTCGCATCTTACTGAGGATCCAGACGTAGTTGGTCACACCCATCATGCGGATTTGTATGTCTTCGACGAGCATGATGGGCGAAATTGGCTGTTGCGATCCCAGCGCGAGATCGCAGATCTTGTACGACGATCGTTCCAGGGGCTCGGACGGCCATCTCCTGAAGAAGACGTCGAGGCCATAGGCGTTCCATAAGGCGAATGTGGACGTTAGCCCGAGACTCATTTCTTCGCGTTGGACTGATGGTGGTTGTTGCGTCAATAGGGATATGTATGTATCGAGCTTGAAGAGATTGGTGGCAAGCCTGATAAAGGAGTTAGCATGGTAATTTCGACTACCAATGGACGACTTGTTGCTTCATTTCTCACCTTTTCCACTTCTCCTTCATGGCAAACGCCCATGGAGGGAAATCGCCGCTGAAATGGATCCGAATCTGATGCTCCACGGCCTCGGCGCTGAAGACTTTGAGTTGTCGAAATACAGTGACGAGAAGGCTGTACAGGAGGCGACCTTTTTTCATGAGTTTGTCATTCTGTAACCATCAGTTAGAGTCTCTGTCTCACATCTCATCTGGATAACGTCATGCAACATACTCCACATTCAAATGCAAAAATAACATTCAATAAAGCTGATTGAAGGGTTCTGATGGGCCAGACGCCGGCAGCGTCGACTGTAGTCTCCGTCTGCAAAGGATTCCGCCATGTAAGTATACTATCTCTCCATATAAATGAGAGAGCGACTTACGAGATCAGCGAGGAGGTTCTTAACAAGGATGCTGTGTATGTCGTATACGAGGCTGTGGTCTGCAGTCTCGTTCCGTACCCAAGAGCCTATCATGATGGCGGTGCTTCTCAGCCCGATAGAAATGACCTCCCGCTCAAAAGTCGGAATGTGCAATATAGGCCACCGGTCATGGAAGTGTGTGACGTATGCTCTTAGACATTCTGAGGACCATTTGTCTATCTCTTCAGGCAGCTGTAGTCGATTTCTTGACATCGTTTCTGATGATAGGGGGTTAGAGATGACATTGAGGATTAGTTTCAGCCCCGCCGTGGCAATGGATGGATCTAGATGCTGTGTTGCCTGATCTGCAGGGCCCAAAATATCCACGTAGCTGGTGGAGAGACTTGTAACAGTTTTGGAAGTGTCATCAGCATCTGAAGTCGGTATGCTGGGCGTGGGAGCATCGGGCGAGTGGGATTTAGAAGTCGATGGTAGTGAAGAGACGCTTCTTCGTTGCAAACTGGACGTGCCATTGGGCCCGGGTCCCCTAGTGAAAGCACAGTCTATCCCTCGCTTGGTACATAGAGAACATCGGGTGCCTCCATCACATCGGATCTTGCTGGCGTGGCAAGCATCACAGGCACGCACCCGTTTAGAATCTGAGTGAGCAGGGCCATCGTGTAATGTCAGATGGCGGCGAAGAAGATCACTATAACGACCGGGTTTTTTAACCTTTAGCCTGCGTCTCTTTGGTCGATTCACAAGGGAGGGGCTCGATTTCCTTTTCATTTTACTTCTGGCAGGAAAAGGAGGGAGCAGCAGGTACTCTAAACTCACCTGCGACTAAACGATCGAGAGCACACATGGCACGTAAAAGAGGGACTGCTATGTATAGCCTGATGGCGGCGAAGGTGCTCTTTGCGAAGGAAGCCTCTGCCGCAGTGGCAGACGTGACGCTGTCCCGATGGGGGGGCCATCTCCTGAGGCTATTGGTGTCTCCCACCTCCCATCCGAAGGTGGACTCTCTCGCGACGTCGTTACGGAGCACGATATGGTATGCGATGGGCTTTGCCGGGGGATCTCGTTAGCCAGGCCTGCTGTCTAACAGATCCGCTTATGCGGCTGAACGAGTGAACGAGTCCCGATTGGGGCACAAGCCCATCCGGATTGGCTTCTGCTCCCTTTAGAGATCTCGATAGTATGTATGTATTTCGAACCTGGAGAGGAAGATCTCGAATGTGCTTTGGCGGCAAGCCCACTTCAAACTCCACGACAACTTTCTCTCCCACCGGAGCCGAGATCTGGAGATGCGGTTCCGCAATGTTTAGTAGCGGAGTTGCGCGGGATTGGTAACTGAATATTGAAAAGCAGCTCGGCGAATGGCCTTAAGGAGGGTTTATGAAATTACCAAGCAACCAACAGCTCGGGCGCGATACGCTTTTTTTTTTGGCGGTTGAGATCAGATCAGATCGGAGCGGTGGGTGGGATAAGATGTGTAGTTGATTAAAAACCCCCAAAGGTACACGTAAAAGTTGGTTTAATAAAAATGCGCCAGCAAATGGAAATAAAATAAAAACAGCAAATCAGCGTTGGTATTGAAGAAAGAACCTAGAAAACTACTCAGAAATAGCCTGTATGAAAGGAAAAAAGGGAAAAGAACAAAAAGAAAAGAGAACAAAACATCTGGGCGCGTGGCCGACAAGGCTCCGGGGTAGTAGCCAGAGGATGATAAATCTGCTTCTCTATCCAAGGCCGTGGGAGTTTTGGCCTCGGCCATCCCACTTTGACAGATACGGCGGAATCAGGCCCTTCGGTCAAGAGACTGGTCGGCATCTCCCACTCCGAAAGAGGCCTAGGCCGCGATGTCTAGAATATGTCATCCGCCAAGCCGTGCTGTTTCCAGCCTAGGCCCGCGGCGGCTCACTCTCGGAGGCGGCCCCGGAGTGTGGTCCTTGTCGATTTGGGCCATTGAGATGGGGAGATTGCTGCCGGGATTAGCAGCCAAGCGGAATGAGAGGCAGGGTGGGAGAAGGAATTAGCAGGCTGGGTCGCCGTTGCAGATGCTACCCATCCTGAGCAAATGAAAGCGCACATACAGATGGTCAGAAACGCGAACACTAAAGCCGTCAGAACGTAGTCACTAGTAGCGGTAGAGTTGAGTGGTCAAGTGGCAGAGGCAGATGAAGCGTAATTACGGTGAATACGGCGAATGTGATAAAATACAGCAGAGTACATGGAACAGAGCGCGTAATCATCTCGCTATAAAGGTGTGTTTACGGCTATACTATTAATATTCTGCCTTGTTGTGGTGCCCAGTTGCCATCATTCAGCGAGAAAACCACGCCAAATTATGGGGGCGGCCGAGTCTTTGTAAGAGGCTAGAAGATTGCATAATCGCGGAGCAACTTGAGCAACTACCAACTCTGGCGGTGCTTGCCAATCATGGCCCTCTTCAAGCTGAGTAACATTGCGGTTGTAATGCGGGATGAAATGGCGCAAGCAGGATGCAATACGCAACACACCGGTGCTCATGATGCCTCAGCTCAAGTTTATAAGAGAGAGAGTCGGCAATGATTGATGTCCATTTACACAACAGACTCTCTCATCAGATCCAGCATCAAACTATTATACTTCTCTGCTAAGCACAACACCACACAAACAAAATCATGGCTGCTCTTCTCAAGAACGTTGCCCTCATCGGCGCCAGTGGCAGCGTAGGCGCGGTGCTCGTCAAGGCCTTCCTCAACGACAAAAGATTCAACGTTACCGTCCTCCGTCGTGGCAGTTCCAGCGCCACCTACCCCAGCGAGTTCAAGGTCGTCGACGTCGACTATGACTCTCTCGACTCTCTGACGGCTGCTCTCGCCGGCCAGGATGCAGTTGTATCTGCCATCAACCCAGTCACTCCCATCGAGACGCAAAAGAAGTTCATCGACGCTGCCATCGCCGCCGGCGTCAAGCGCTTTGTGCCTTCAGAGTACGGCTGCGACTTGAACAACGAGCTTAACCAAGCGCTGCCCGTCTTTGCACCAAAAGTCGCCATCCAGAAATATCTCAAGGAAAAAGCCGAGTCATCTCCGCTCACGTACACCTTTGCATACAGCGGCCCGTTTTTGGACTGGGGCTTGGAGCACCAGTTCCTCCTGAAGACGGTGGACAGTAAGCCCAAGCTCTTTGACGGCGGCAACACCGTCTTCAGCACCACGAATCTGGACACCGTGGCCGCAGCCGTCCTGGCCATCCTGTCCAAGCCCGAGGAGACCAAGAACCGCGAGGTCCGGTTTCAGAGCGCGGCCATTTCGCAGAACGGGCTCCTCGCGCTGGCCAAGGAGGTTGCGCCTCAGCGAAATTGGGAGCCCGAGGTGGTCAAGATCGACGACATCACTCGTGTTGCGGACGACAGGTTGGCAAAGGGACTGTTGGATCATGAGACCTTTATCCCTTATCTTGTCCGCGCCATTAACGATCCGCGACATGGCCCAAAGTTTGAGACTCTCGATAATGAGTTGCTGGGATTGAAGCAGGTGACGGAGGCGGAGATTAAGGACATTCTCAAGCAGTACTTGAAGTAGGTCTTTAAACCGTGCTGAATAGGACACGCCGGTGTTTGAAACGGACTTTTAGAATAAACATAAATACACAGTAGTATTCACATTTCTCAGCTGGTTTTCCCGAGTTGCAAATGCAGATGACGGCCCATCGTGATGCATGCCGTGCGTATCGATGACGCATGACTAATTGTGTGACAAATGGTTACTTCGCCGTGAATGTGGATAAGAGTAGAGCACACGGCATTTCCCCTATTGGTTACGATCACCTGGCAGGATACGTGCGTAATCTTGCAATCTCACCCGTCTTGGCGGAGTCAACAACGCAGGGGGGGCTGTCGATGAGAATGTTGTGCATAGGCAGTTCAAGGAGTAGTGCAGATTTATTACCCTAATTCCAGATTTAATGACGATGCCTCGTTAATCTCACCTGCGGCTTCGAATAATGTTCACTTGGCTGGGGTGCAGCGCACATCTAAGATGTCATGTCACATCCTTCGGCTTTTGTCATGGCGTGAACACTGCTTCTAAACGGCCATAGAGTTGCTGTATTGGCTGCGAAGGAGGCATCGTTACACAGCATGGTTACACAGCAGCCTACTGAACTGCTCAGTTCTTTAACATCTTCACGTTCACTTGAGTAACGAATATTGAGTGAACAAGCTCTCTGTGTAGTCTTTGATATATGTAGCAGTATTTTCAAGCATCAAGGCTCCCAACTTTAATACCATCCACGTACAAATAAAGCTCAAGTTTTCGTCGCCAGTTTTATGAAGAATTTTAGTTTCATCGTCTTGTTCGACTGCTCAGAATATACCAATGGACTATTACTCTCTATATGGCTTTAGCTTCGAGTCCGAGTCACTTCTACTATCCGCCCAAGACGAGCTCGAGCTTTCTCAAACAGAATTTGAGCAATGGCAGCGCCTGCTCGAGCTTGACATAGAAGTATGGTCTTGCATTATTCTAACAGCTAGGCTACATAGGGGTTAACGTTTCAACAGGCGTTCACGCCGTTACCATCACCAAATGACCGCTACGAAGCGCACCAGATGGCAGCTGCACAACGGAGTAGCATCCAAAATGACCACACTCAAGATTTCCACTATCAGCATGCTAGACGAATAGATGATGCCCACGAGTATTTGCATCAATCACAATTCACCGACTGGGATTGTAATTCCGATACAAGGATTGGGAGCTCAGTGGGTGTATTCAGAGATGAGCCCCAGTACCTTTCAGATTTGCCCGATGAACCTATGCGGCAGATTATACGCTCGAGTTCTTACCACAATAGGTTTGATCCGGGGCTGAATATATTTGGACATACTATTTCTCTAGAGAACGAAGCAGGGGCCCCATCGATAGCTATCGCAAATATGCCTGAAGACGGAAATTACGCGTTTAGGGTAATGGCCGAGTCTGAAGAGGAATATTCTCAAGATGAGGATGTTATCTTTGACGTCGCGTCTGAAGAAGGGAGCACAGATGATGAGCGGGGGTTCGAAGGCGACGATGAAGACAGCGATGATGACATTGAAGACGGTAATGACGAAGACGGCGACAGCCACATGAATTTAAGCCAAGCTGAAGCTGAGGGCGGCGGGGAACTAACTGAAGAAGATGACGAAGCCATGTACATGTCAGAAGAAGTTTCCTTCATAAGGATTTCGAGGCGCTCTATCTTTGATCGAAACTACGCAGAAACAATCTTAGAAGAAGAAATCTGGGAAATTGAATGGCCCAGTGGTGCATGGCACAGTGCGTTCAATCGGACAGGATATAATTAGATGGCAAACGATGTCCACTGTCTTTTGTAATAAAGTGTTAAGTCTTGCTGGCTCTCTCTCTCTATTGTCTCCAGCTCTTCATATCTAGACAAATAGATACGCAGAAGAAACAAGTAAACCATTCCATGGCTTACATTCAGCCCGATTTAATTCCAAACGCTCAATAGGTATCAACCACTCTAATCCTCCTCTTCCGAATCCTCAACAGTCTTCACAGGCTTCTGCTGCGGCGGAAACTTCATCTTCCTCGTGCCCTCAACTCCCCAGCCTCCCAGGCCTCCAGCAGCGCCCTCGCCAGCAAAGCCCGATGCCGCTCCAATCGCAAGCTTGCCGGCGGGTTGATTCCCCGCCACGCCGGGCGCCGTCTCGGCCCAGGTGTTGAGCTGGTCGCGCGTCTTGCCGGTGTACTTGAGGATCTCTTCGTCGGTGACGCCGGGGCCGCGCTTCTTGTCCTCGTAGCGCCGGTAGAGGCTTTTCTTGCCTTCGGCGTTGTCTGTTGAATCGGGGCTTGAGTTGGAGTTGCCCATTGTGTATTCGTTTCGATGAGCGAGTTATTGTGAAGTAGTAATTGTAGGCTGTTGTTGTGATTTGTAATTTGTATAAGTGATCAAACGGGCATTGTCTTGTGGTGATAAATTCTGCTTACAAAATAAAGCAGAAGACGCAGCTGGAGCCGACTTATATAAATCATGTACTACACGCCATGTTTCTCAGCCGCAGACTAACAAGTATCGGTTCTCCAGATCACGCGTCTTCTCCAGGCCAGTCACCGTCATGATCGACTAGTCCAGGCCCCAAAGATATGCATACTCGGATTTTGGCACCGATTTGATCATTAATCTCGTGGCCACTCGCCTCATTCGCCTCGGAAAATGCGGGGTTTACAAAAGGGCCGATGGAACGCATCGCTCCCTTTCGTAGCACAGCGCAGCTCAGCCTCACATTGTGCCTTGATTCGGCGCACTTTTTATGCGGACCAAGCGCCACCATTTTGTCGGGATCGTCGAGTGCTCCGCTACCCCATGGGCCATCGCCCAATGGTGTGAATAGGTAAGCAAAGGTCGGTGGCTGCGTTTGCCAAGATGCTGTCAAAGGCCGCTGTCATCGGCTCTAGCCGAAGCCGAGGCAGCCTCAGATTTCGACAGATGCAGAACCGTTGGTGGACGTATCTTTGGGTGTGATTTCAGCTGTGCCGGTAGATTCTTCTGTAGGTTCTTCTGATGGTGTCTCTGATGGTGTCTCTGTGTGTGTCTCTTTGCTGGCTTCGCCCTCCTTTGTCTTCTTCACAGCCCCCGTCGTCTTCCTCCGGCCGCCTGCAGGGCGTCTGTAGCCCAGCTTCCGCAGCGTGTGGCGGATACAGTACTCGCCCACGTCCCAGCCAAGAGCCTGCGGAATCTTGCCAAAGGGCATCAGCTCGTTCTCCTTGGACGCCTCCATAAACGCCTTGAGCTCCTGGACCTGCGCCTCCGTGAGCTTGGATGGCCGGCCCGGCCGAATAATAGGCGTATCTGTATGCGAAAGGGCGTACTGGACCTGGCTGAGAGACAGGTTGAGCTCCGCGCTGATGGCGGCGTGAGTGTAGCCCAGGCGGCGCATCAGCTGAGCATCGCGTCGCTGGTCGCGCGTGGTGTCGGGGCGCCTTGACTGCTCCGGCTGATCTTCCATCTTGTAGACAAGTCTGCGAATAGCTGCCGCTCCTATTACTTACCCAGTAGAATCAAACAAGATTGTTCGACAAGCGGGCTACGGGCAGCAAGCAGTCAACGGCGTTTATTACAGAGCGGCGTTTATAATAGATATAGCTGCCAGGCGTGTGGGGAATGATCGTCGTTTATCTACAGGGCATTCTGTCCAACGCGCCTCTTACCAATTTGTTATAAAACCGGGCTGCCAAGTCGGCCTGAATGGCACCATTGGTTGCTCTATAGATTGCCCAAGGGGGAAAGACATGAGGGACTCGAAAAAGCAAGAGATAGGAAATAGGAAACGATAAAAGGTCTTGTAATTACCCGTCGGCTATGTAGAGCCCACACGCAAGGGCCAGGATAGGAACATTGTTATACGACTTTCTATCGCGTTGAGGGTGTATTTGTCCTGGCACTGAAACACAATCGGAGATTTCAATGTGGGACCCGGGATTTTGCCTCCAATCATAGCATCATTTCACATATTAAAAGATTACAAAGGTTGGAGCACGGATGTTATTGCAAAGTCTTAATATTTCCCATTTCTTCTCTATGATTAATCTGCTCTCTTTTTCTTTTTTCTTTCCTCTCGCTTATTTCGCTTAGTTGTGAGGAGCCAAGCCCAGGGTGTTGTTGGCAATGTTGAAAGCAACGAATTGCGACTTGAAGAAGATGTCACCGTAGATACCCAGTCCACCTTGGGTAGTGGCCTGGAGACCGCCGAAGCAAGCTGCGTAACACATGTCAGTCATTGACCGTTTTAGAGGGGTAATAGAAGTAGAATTGTAAAACTTACTGTTTCCAGATACAGGGGAGAAGTTGAGGTCGGCACCGCTAATGCGGGCGACGTAGTTGCCACCAATGTCAAGGTCAAGATCGGGGAGCTGAGCATCGCAGGGGACGGTGAAGCCACCAGCCTGAGCGTCGTTCTGGGCACCCTGGACCTGGGAGTAGTAGCCGTTGACGATGAGGGGGTCGGCAAGGAGGAGAGTGGTGCCGGTATCAGCAATGGCCTGACCACCCTTGGTAGCCTGCTGGGTAGCACCACCGTCGACGGCAAAGGACTCGCTGCTGAACTGCCAGAAGCCCTGGCTGTTGTCGACATTGACAAAGGTGAGATCGCCCTGGAAAGCAGTCTGGTCAATGGCACCGAAAGTGTAGGTTCCGGGAGCACCCTTCTTGAGGTCGGCGGTGAAGACGGGCTCGGCGAGAGAGCTGGCGACGTTGTCGAGGAAAGTCTTTTGCTGCTGGGGCTGGACGGTGTTGAGCTTGGAGAAGGCAAGGCCCATCAGACCATCGTTGGCCTGGTCGTCGACAAACTGCTGAGTAACAGCGGTAGCAATCTCGACAGCCTGGGCGTTGAAGGAAGCACCGCCAACATTGACGACATCAGTGCCGACGTTGCCCTCAGCACCGGAGCCGTCACCGTAGGAGACCTGGAAAGTAGCACCCTGGATAGCCTTGAAAGTCTTGCTCTTGGTAGGGTCGAAGAGAGTGTGGCCAGCGGTGAATTGAGAGGACATTTGAGTGTTGAAAACCCAGAGATCAGAGGAGCCGGTATCGAAGTCGAGGTTCAGGGTCTGGCCACCAATGCTGACAGGGGACAGGAACTCAACATCGTTGCCTTCGGGGGTGTTGGTGACACTTCCAGACTGGCCAGAGGGGTTGGCAGCGGGCTGAGCAGCACCGGTTCCGTTACCAGCAGCAGTTCCGTTACCAGCAGCTTGACCCTGACCCTGACCTTGACCGTTGCCCTGGCCCTTGCCCTTGTGGTGTCGTCCACCGGCGTTGGCGTTACCAGCAGCTTGGCCCTGACCAGCGTTTCCATTTCCATTGCCATTTGCGTTTCCGTTTCCATTTCCATTTCCATTTCCATTTCCATTTCCAGCGTTGTTGTTTCCACCAAGAAGGCCAAGCTCACCAAGAATATCGGCAAGGCTCTGGCGCTTCGCCTTGCGGGCCTCCTGAACAGCTCGGCGAGCAGCATCGGTAGCCTTGCGAACCTCAATAGCATTCTTCATGTTCTGGGGCATCTCCATACCGAACTTGCGGTAGGCCTTTGCCAGAGCCTTCAATCCATCGTTTCCAGTGAAGTTGGGGTTGGCTCGTCGTTCCACCTTGAACGAGCGCTTCTGCATGGGCACGGCCGAAACCAGGGCAATGAAGCCCAGGAAAAGGGCTGCCAAAAGAAGTCGTGAATGCATAGTAGCGAAGTTTCAAAATAAAAAATAAGAAAAATAAAAAAGAGGGTAATTTTGGTTTTGTGTATTTACAAGAAAAAAGCGAAATAAACCCACACCAGGTGGTTAAAGAGAACTGAATAAGAAGAAAATGAAAAGGAAAATAAAAAATGACTTTGCTTTTCGTCCCTCACAGAGGTGGCTAAAGAAGGAAAAGAGAAAGAGAAACAAAAAAAGCCAAGAGATGGGCAGAATATATAGCTATGCATTCCCCCATCTTGATGGAAGTCGGGAACAGGGGCCCAGGAGACGCGGACAAGTCTCAGGATCTGCTACCTTGCCCAAGTGGGCAGAGCAGGAGAAAGCCATGCCAGCCTCTAGCCTGGGCCCATACAGCGATTCCCCATAGTTGCTGTTAATAGCGGGAGATTTCCTTATTGCCTCCTCATTTCCATGCATTGTGATCTTTACACGCGGTTTCGTGGAGATGGCTGACTGGGGCTAAGCTTCAGACACAGGGTGCCTCACAATAGGTGGGCCCGCGATGGCCTTGGGCCGGCAACTGGCTGGAATCAACGCCATCCCGGCCTGTCTTGCTACGGACTCCGTGCTAGCGGTTGTTTCTTCCACTCTGATCAGCCGAGAACCTGCAGCCGTTAAGCCGGGAACGGTAGGTGTTGAGGTTTTGAATCGTGATGATCAAAGCGAGCGTTTACACTACAAGGGGCCAATGCTACCAGGTGAAGTACGCCAGTAAGCACAGCGGCGAAGAGCGCAATGTCTGGCCGCGGACGATCTGCCGGTTAATTTCCAGCAGTCAATGCTCAATTTCGGCCAGAGGCATGAACGGATGGAAGACGCGGAAATACCATCGTCCAATCGACCAGAGCTGGTGTGTTCGGCTATCTAATTTCATCAATTACGAGCGGACCCTCTCGCATACAAGTCCTCATTTCAAGTGCATTGAGAGCCTATTTCTGCACGATTTCGGCATCATTGCCTGCCGCGCTCCTCAGATCCATCCAATCCATCCAATGCCATGGCACAGACTCCAATTCGCAATACGAAGCGTCTTATTCACACCGAAAGCGCTTTGACGCAGAGCCAAATGTTCAAAAACAGCTGCTGCCCCCTTCTCTTCTGGTCTCCTTCAAACACGACGTTTCAAAGACAAAAGGACCCATAGCCAACCAAAGCCTCAAAACGCCGCTGCGGAGACTGGCTGGCGTTTCACAGGGGCTGAGACGCCCTGTTCATGGCGCTGAAACGGCGAGATCCCGGCGCCTGGTGGCTGAGACCCCATCTTCTGAAACGGGCAGCGTAGCGCCCACTTGGGCCAATCGTGAATATCCGCCTCTACTACTACTGTAATAGGGGTGCGGGAGACGGGTAAATTCGCCGTTTCTTTACTTTTTGTTCTCGGTGTTGTGAAGTGTTTGAGATGATACAACCTTCTAAGATGAGCACATGTGCCCGTTCATGTGAAAGCGAGGCCTTACAGCTGACGATCGTCGGTCAATGCTTGACGGCGTCGACTGCCGCATCGGGATCGAAACATTAAGCTTCATTATTGACAACAACCTTTTCGGATGAATTGACGGTGCCGAATGTACAGCATAATGGAAAATGCCGAGGAGATGCAATGGCATTTTTTTGCGGAGTGATCATAGTTGCAGAGTCAATTCGATATTGGCATTTCAGCTGAGTGCAGGGTAGAGCTTGGCGAGTACATGTATCAAGCATGACAATGCAAAGATACACACGCAAGGTATAAATTCAAATGTGTGTTCGAATATTATCCATAGAACAAACGTTTATTTGCTTGGAAAATATACTAGCTCATAACTATCCTAAAACGAAATGCTCTTTGCGCGTCTTCACCTTCTGCCACAGATCACTTTGTACTTTATGAAGTGCCAATCTATACGTGATGTCTCCACGCTGCTCAACTAACATGATGTTGTAGCTTTGGATATGTTTGCAGGCATGCCCATGCAATATATTACCACAATCCAGCCCACCTTTTACTTTAACGCAAGTTTCATCCGCCTCTTTCTTGGCATTGGCAGATAGCAAAATGAATTGCCCCAGCCGTTGATCATTGCCATCAAAGAACTCTCTGTAGATGAAGACAGTACCGGCGCTCTCCCCAGACGGTGAATATACCGTGGCTTCAATGCGGTCGTTGCCCAAAAGAGGATAAGAAGAATTTTTGTCTCTGGTCAGATGTTTCTCTGGAAATTTTCGACCTTGGTCGTCATGTTTCACTTCTGAGGGCTTTCGAACAACAGACAGCTCTACCGTCTCAGCTGTACACCGCAACAACCCATATTTCGTGACATCGTCTTGTGAACCCAAGAAGACCCTTTTCGTATGGCTTCCGAGCGTGTAAGTGCCGGTAGTAGTAACTGTAGAATCTCCAAATAGGAGTGGCTTATGCCAGCTGACTGCTGAGATTATACAATCTCCGCATTCACTCTCAAACTCGACTGCAGCGTCTGTGGAAAGCCACGACCAGGAAGGATAATCCACAGACTGCACGCTATTGTTGAACCTCAGAGGATACTGCGCAGTTCGCTGGTGATTGCCTGGGCATCCATCCCAAAGGAGCGTCGCATCCAGCCTTTCCAGTGGATGGCCCCAGATGAACCCCTCCGGAAACCGAGACGAGTGCAATTTAAGGATGCCCATAAATGCCCAGATGACATCGCTTTGCTCCCTAATCTCTCTCTTCGTAAAGGCCGTTACATCTTGGCAGTATCTCGCTGTACGGCACTGCGATATGTGCGCCTCCCAGAACGAATCGGCTGAAGAACGCAGATTCATTTCGCCCGAGATCCCCAAGTCATATCTTCACGCCAATTGTTGCGTTTACAGCTCCAGTACATCTGATGGTTTGTTAGAAAAAGAATTCGTCGCGCGAGCATTGCTTCTTGGAACGTCCAGCCTCGCAAACTCCACGTGGTTCCCTTCAGAGTCTCACGAAGCGGTGGCTGAGCTGTAATATGCGCAAGGCCACACAACGTCTCTCTTCTTTGCCATTCACGTCGTTTGAGATGGCCAACTCCACAAAGGCCAGCGTGAGCGTCGTTGCCGGCAGCTGCAACTACGACCAAAGTTGCACTGCGGTATACAGTATCCATGGTACGGAGTTGCTCTAGCTTGTCGTCATCGTCGTCCTGTATAATACAAAGGGAATCCACCCACAGATATCGTTCACCAAGGCTTTGTACAAGTTGCATACAGTCGGCTATCGTTTGCGGTATCTGTATAGCCTGTAGGCCCCCCTTCAAAGAATATTGAGAAAGAGTATCCTTTGTGAGGACTGCAGGCGTAGCAAGTCCCCATACATAAGACAGAGCGATATACCTCTCTGAGTGCGTGGAATCAATGATCCTTTGCTCTTGAACATCAATAAGACGAAATTTGCTCTCATCCGATGACAGTGGAGCCAAGAGTTTGCAGTGGCTGTGGCCCTCTTCACACACTCTCATCCAGTCTTTGATTATGCTGACGTCGATTATGGGAGAAACGGCTCGACCGCGCAGTTCTGAATTTTCGCCTTCATTATTCTCTTTGACATACCATGGACCATTTCTGATGATCCTGCCTCTTCGTACTGAATCAGGAGGTACCCGAGGGCCTTCCAAAGTTACTTCAAAACATGCTACCCACACGGTAGCGTCCTCATTGAGCGATTCAGTCGCTTCAGGCAGCTCATAACCATCTTCATAGTTTTCAGAATATGCACCGTGATTTACCAAAAAGCCGAGAGAAACTTGTAATTCTTGCTCCATGAGCGATGGCGGGCTTTGTTCCGGTATTTCGAGGGAAGAAAGAATGAGTCGACAACCCGGACAGGACGGTTTACCAAGAAGGCGCTTCACTGTGCCGATGTGAAAATGTCTTTCAATTTTTGAATCCGAATGAGGAGCACCAACGCATTCGGGGCACTCCCAAGACCAGTCAAAGCCAAGCTTCTGGCAGACAGAACATAGGCCATCTTTCGTTTCGAGAGGCAGATCATCAGCATCCTGCCTAAGATCCACACAACCCATGATTGCTATAAGAGTGTTGAAATTGAAATCTAGCTTAGCACTGTGCCTTTACTCTTTTACTAAGGCGGTATTTGGTATCTTTTTGAGTTTTGTTGTTTTCCGACGAGCGTAGGCCACGGGAATATATCAAGATTGAGACTGCCATCCCCACAGTTTACATGTGAGCCTTGGCTCAGAGTCTGTATCTACCTGTTGTGGCGAAGCTATATAGCACGAGTGCAAGGATATATCTGGGTGTGTGGATGGGCCAATGAACAGAGGAAAGGTTAGACTGGAGCGGCGGGGTTTCCTGCTTCTGCCTTGCTTCTGCCTTGCTTATGCCACTCGCCTTTGTTTGCCTCGTGTGACTAGATAGAACTGGACATCTTTGCTAACATATGTCGGAGAATCCAACAATTCAATTTGCAGGATGGTATACATGTAGTCAGAAGTGTGAATCCCACAAGGCTCCTCTCACGTTAATGTTGTTCGTATTGGATCCGAGTGTGAGATGAATATCGCAGTACAAGTCTTCGCAGCATCCAGACACGTTTAGTAATCATTTTATTTGCAAGGTTGAAATCGATGTGATTGCTCCTCTAGGCCTTGTAACTGCATCTACTGCCATCACCAATCAGGTTTCCAGCCTTTATACTCTCCCCTCCCAACCCTCTCACACATCTTCTTCAACGACTCCGCGAGATGCTCATAATCCGCCACATCCAAGTATATCTGCGCACTCGTCCTAAACCAAAGCCTATTCCCCATCCAAAACATAGGCACAATCGTCTTATACTCATCCGCAAGCGTCCTCATCAACCACGCCACAACAAGGCTCATATCCCCCGCCGGCACCACAATCTCCGTCTCTTTGGCTTCCAGCCCCTTTTCTCCTTTCCACACCGGCAACGCAATATTCGCCATGCCACAGTTCGTCAACGTACCCTTACTGTTCTCAAGAACCTCCGTGCCCAGTACCTCCGCCACGAGCTTACTGCCCTTCTTGTTCAGATCCCAAAGGTATTTCAAGATTCTCTCCTCCCCACCGAGGACTTGCTTGCGGTAGGCCACAGCGTCCTTGACACAATAATTTGGCGAGTAATCCTTCGTCCCTGCCCACTGAAAGTTATTGATGAAGAAGCTTTTCGAGCCATATATATCGGGCGGCGTGCTCCGCGTCCCAGTCTCGGGGATATATCCATGGCTCGTCGACAGCGTCGACGGCAGCAAATGCTGATTCCTTACCGGCACGTAAAACACAGCGCATCCACGCGGCACAAACAGCCATTTGTGGCAATTCGACACAAAAAAGTCGGGATCTACCTCTGAAAGGTTCAGCTTCACCATGCCAATGCCCTGAGCACCGTCCACCAAGCTCAGCACGCCGAGCTCGCGGCAGGCCTTGGTCATGGCCTCCCATGGGAAAACGAGACCTGGATTCGAGGAGACAGTGTCAAAGATGCAAATCTTGGCGCGGTTGCCCTCTGCCTCGACCTGCTTGACAGCCTCGCGGAATCGCTGCAGGATGTCCTCATCCTCAATGGGATACGAAATCTTGATCTCGCGGCTGATAAACTTGCCCTCGCCATGGAAATCGTACAGGAAGTCAATTGTCTTCCCACACGCATCATAGACGGTCGTAAAGTAAAGGGCTACATCCTTGCCGTCCTTGTTCCACTTTACATTCTTGAAGACAGTGTTGACACCCTCTGTCGCGTTGTTTACGAATGTGATCGTCTCGACCGGTGCATTGACAATAGTCGCGACGGCTTCACGGGATTCATCATTGCGCTTGCCATGTTCGTAGCGAAGGAAAAAATCGGGTCGCGCCTCGACTTGGTCCTGGTAGTGACGCAGCTTGTCCTGAATCACTCGGGGGATGGCGCCCCAGGAGCCTGATCAACGCATATACATGTGTGAAATGGTCAATTCTGGGGTAACAGTTGAAATTCTCTGTATGAGACAACTCACCATGATTAATGTTCCTCCACCCAGGCGCAAATAGAAAATCTTTCTTCAGTTGTCCCCCAAACACCTTGAATCCGTCCTCTCCAATTTTCCCTTCTCCCAAGCCATGTTGCTGCTGGACCGTCACGGAACCCATAGTTGCGTTACTTTGACCAATAACAAGAGTTCAGCTATATTAAAACCTTTCGAACCAGCAAGTGCTTTCTCTTCGACTTATCCTAGACTATATATCTATCTCCGTTCTCTTCTTAGTCTATTCGCTACTCAGCTGTCTCTTCCGGAAACCGGTCCGCGGAAACCTCTCTGGTTGAGTCACTTGCTTCAACCACAAGTAACCGCTAGATTAGAATCCTAAACTTCTTAATGCATGCTTGCAACCGATGACTCTAGGTCCTATTACTGTCGACGTCCTGCCCCGCTGCTTGAGCAGCGCTTAGATAGGCTAAGGATTGCATCCACCGAGCTGAAAACTCCAACTAAGCTCCGTAACATAGTTCTGCGGCGGTATAATTCCGCCGTTCACGCATCAGTGGCTTTTTTTCTCAATACTATATGAATACGAATTCGCTATTGTATGCTTATAAGGTGAGTCTAATCCAAGTTTGTTATCAATACCCGTAAAACTCCTAGGCAACTGGGGTATTGAGCTGGGCTAAAACATCAACGACGCCCTTTGGTGAGGGGAATGAACAATTCGCGATAGTAGGGCCGGTAGCGGCCTGATTACAAACGTGAATCAGATCGATTGTGCAAAATCATGTCATTGTAGCCGATATAGAATTGTCCACCCTATGTATACTCTCAAGAGAAAGAGGAAAAAACGCATGGATCACGCGGAGCGTTGTCTAAACCCCTAAACGCTTCGTGACTCAAATGTGTGCCTGAAAGAAAAAAATAGTAAGAAAGAAAAAGGCACAATCCCGATATTCCCAGCGCTGTCGTATTAAATCATCATGACCACCAACACCTGTGTAAATGCTCATCATATATGCCGACTCTCTATAATACCTTTCCCTTGTCCAAGGCATCTATCAAGGCATAATTCTCCACTAAAGGAATAAGTGATGTTGGATGAAAAAGAAAAGCATGGAAAAAAAAGGAAGAAGAAAAGGCTAGCTCTTAAAGAAGACATATATCCACATGGTCTCTTTATCATTTCTCTATTTCCTGCAATCCCAGTGGGACGCCCAGTCCGCCAATTCTGAAAGTCCGCTGCCAGAAACGGCATGGGCAACCTGCGTCACCATAGGGCTGTTTGTCTTGAGGCCTGCCAGTGCTAGTGCCGCGTTTGCTTCTGCTTGCGCCTTTGTTTCGATCTGCGCCGTTTGAAACCTCTTGGACGCGCGACGCTTGCTGCGTTTACCTTCAATATTCATCTCCAGAGCTTTCCACTGAGGTGGGTTTTCCAGCAATGTGACTAGTGGGTCTTGAATGTAGAATGCCTCCGGCATTGCAAATGCCGTCGCCGTTCGTAGGTTTACCGAAATCGAGGTGAGAGCGTCCTCTACAGGTCCTTCAGATCCAGCTAGCGACGGCGTAAATGAAACTGCAGGCTCAGGCTTCGGACGTAGGGGGGGCAGCGTCTTCTTGTCCTCTTCCTCAGGGCCTTTATACAGGCTATCCAATGCAGCGCGCTTCTTCCCAACCGCAGGGAACACAAACTCTTCCCCATCAATCATTTTCCTCTTCCTAATACGGGGATTCGATTTGACAGAGTGTAGAATGGAGCTGAACTCTTCCACCGTGTTGACAGAAGAGGGTTGGTCAGGTGTCTCGGGCACCTCTTGTTTGGCCTCTTCTACGGGCTTCTTTGTCCGGCCATGATTTGGATTTAATGTCGATGGTGTCCTCTTTGGCCTGTCCATGGCTCCAGGTGCCGACCTACGCGATCGCCTGGGCTTTGCTTTTGGCGTGCTAACAGGTGGAGCGTCTATGACGGCAGCTTCAGTTATGATTTCGACGTGAGCAGGGAGCTCAGGGGTGGCGGTAATGGCTGCCGTGGTGCGATGTAATGGCGGCAGAGATAGTGATAGATGAAGCGGTAAAGAAGAAGACGATGGTGGCGGCGGTGGACTGCCCGTGATTCTTCGCAGCTCTTTCAGGATTTTCAACGTGCAGTAGGCGCCATTCACTTTGGTGTCCCGCAAGGCGACAGGATTCTGAGCAGGCGGCTTCTTCTTCTCCTCTTTGTTCTCGTCGCCGGCCCCCCCTACTTCACGCTTCTTCCTGACCTTTGGCGGCTCCGGGTCTTGCCAAAGTTTTGGTATGCGAACTTGAAGATCAGCCACCCAAGCATCACAGTCCCATTGGATCCAGTAGTCGATGATGTCGCCCCAGGAGCTCTCTGATGGTTTGGTGAAATTGACAAATACCACTTTGCCACCCTTACTGTGCACTGTCTTTGCAAACTCTCTGACCATGACTTTGAGGCCGTGGACCCGTAGGCTCGTCCCAAGGATCAGGAGCATGTCCGGATATAGAGCAAGATCATGCGTCACGATGGGGCTGATAAGGTGGGCATTTGGGTGTTCCTCACCGTAGAGTACAATGTCAGGGCGTAGCTTGCCCACGCCCAACGCACGCTTGCCCCTTTCCTGGCGAGCCTCAGTGGCACCAACACAGTGAGGGCATTCAGGCTGTTGGCCAGAAAGTGTCTCCACTTCGCGGTCATCGTCGTCCCAAGAGCAAACTCGTCCGCAAAGGAAGCACCGTAGAAGGTGTAGAGAGCCATGCAGGAAGACGCACTCCACACCAGACTGCAGCGCTGGCGCCTCCTTTCTTGGGATTGGCTTCGGTAGATCTGGCGGTGTGGTAGTTTCATCTTCCGTCTTACCACTGGGCTGGGATGATGTGGTGCTGGTCTGTGATTGCTGGTCTGGTGCATTTGTTGGCGTCTCGCTTGGTGATTGGCTGCTAGAGGGAGCAGCATCGCCGCTGTTCTCACCGCTGGATACTTCTTCGACCATCTTATTGAGCTGTGCCGTGTTTGCGGTTGATTTGCGTGAGAAGCGGCCTCTACTGCCCGGGCCGGCTTGAAGAGATGTTGACAGGCCGACTTTTTCCTCGATTTGATCTATGTTTTGTGTGTAACATCGCACGAGCTTGCCACGATCCCTGAGATGACTGATAAACTTATGTGAGCCTGTAGGCTCGGCGTCCCGGACTTTTTGCCTCAACGATGTTGCGAACTGGTAAAACACCGATGTTCTCGTAGGGTCTGCCCATATCGAGGCGTCAAAGAGATCCTTGCCCTTCATGTTGGGCAAAGACGTCCTTGCCATGTTGGACGCTTGGGAAGCGGACGGCAACTCCTGAGATTCGTCCATTTCAGAGGGTGTGGTGCTACTGCGGCGACTCATGTTTTCATCTGAAGGAGAGGAGGGATGGAAGGGGTCGAAGAGAACTGGCGGAGGCGAAGAGAGAGGGGACGAAACAAGCTTATGAGAGGCGCCGGCGATATGGTTGCCATGCTGGGCTCGCAGTGAGGATGGAGTAAGTATAAAAGCTTCTCTCGGAGGAGAGGACGGAGGAGATGTCGTCAGTTGTGGCGGAGGAAGAAGCGCAGACTTAAGATGTGAAGTGGTTGAATGGGTTTCGTTTAACGCGTCGGGAGCTGAGGCGGGCTCGGTTCGTTGTGTATCGGTATCCTTGCCGGATGCCAGAGCTTCGGATTCTGCGCGCGCCTTGATATCTTCTCTTAGCTGTTGAGCAACTTCATCCAAGTCTGGAGAAGGCTCCCGCGATATGCTCCTCGCACGTTTCGCCGAATCGTCTTCCTCCACGCCGGCGCCGGCGCCAGTACCATCCGCCCGGGAGCGCTCGGCCGATCGTGTTTGTTGGTTCGCAGCATCGAATTGAGCTTGAATAAGGGAATAAAGTCCATTTTCGGAGCGGAAGTCCTGGATCAGCAGTCAGTATTCGCCAGACATGAAGCACATCTGCCAAGTCGATTGACGAACCGGAATGCCAGAATTGGTACTGATTCCAGCGCCAGTCACAACAACCACCTTTCGCGCCTTGAGCAGCGCGTTGGCGACATCTTGAAGAAGATCGTGAGACTCCGGCTCGACGTGCTGCGTAGGCATCTTGAGATATTGAGCGAGGCCAGCTGCCAGCGAGGGATATGCCAAAGAAGAAGATGGAGATGCGACTCTTGGCGGCTCGGAAAGACGAGACAATGGTAAATAAACAGTAGAAATGGGAAAAGAAGGTTTAAGCGTATCGCACGCCCGTTGGTCCAAGGCGTTCGAGCAATCAAGCTCGGCGCCGCGTTCTGGTGGCTGAAAGTAATTTGCTTTGTCGAAAAAAAACTTAGGGTTCTATCAAGTTGATCCAGCAAACAGCCTGAATCGGCATCGTGACAAATGGAAGATGCAAAAGTGCGGAGAGGAAAACGGTAGTGCAATATCCCTGCCGCTGGGCCGAACCGGACCGTAAGCGTGAAGCCGTTGAGGAATGGCTCCAGCTTCTCTTTTCGGGAGGCTGCCCAGTAATCTGATATGGATATAAAGTCGTATTGACCGAGGAGGATTCGTACGGCGCGCGCGATAGCTTTACGTGGGTTGAATGTGCCGCTGGGGCGAAAACAGCTTAGGAGAGACGGGCGACGGTGCGAAATGCGACCAATCTGTGGCCGTTGAAGAAACCGGGGGAACAGAGAAAAGGAGTCCGAAACAGCACAGTTCACTGGCAAGAAGAAAACAAAAGCGCTGCCGGTCCATGCAAGAAGAAACGCGCGAATCTGAGGTCAAGCTGAGCTGAGCCCCCGGTCGATGTCGGTGAGAAGCATCTGACGCGCGAGCCATTCATGGTGTCGCGGGTTTGGCCCACTGCGCTGTTGTCCGTCGCCAATGGCGGCTTAGCGGCGCGGCCTTGGTGGCCTGCCACAAGCCCGTCAGCGGCTCTGGAGGGACCCTGAGGTCCCTGGAGCGCGTGGCTAGCGGACTCGGCCAGCGACCCTCAGCGGGTCAGTTGGTCTAGATTTAGCAACCTATTTAGCGCTGGCCGCTGCGCATCATTGCCGGCGATGGAGCAGCTCGGCCGGTACCTGGCGCCCTGGAGCTCTTGCGGCTAGCACAGGCACGCATCCAACTTGGAGTACACACCCAAGACACCATCTTCACTCTTTATCTTGACATCGGATTATACTAGTATATGGCGCTTTTTCTTATTATGTCGGCCAGGCACAATACTACACAAACTATCACTTCTACTATACATCGAGCAGAACCTCCAGCAGCTTGTCAAACTCCTTCGGCACCCCAAGCCCGGTAATGGCGTCCCAGCCCACGGCCGCCGGCCACCCTCCAGGCCTCGTTCCGTTGACGATGCAAGAGGCGCTCTGCCCCGACGTGATATCCTGCAGAACAGACTGGACCTTGTCCGAGTAAAGAACATTGTTGAGGTACCCCAGAGACTTCTTGCCGGCACGCAGCCTGGCGTCGTCGATCAAGGCAATGAGGGACGCGAATAAAGGAGTGCTGGCGCTGGTGCCTTGCAGATAATGCGTCTGCCCACCAACGATGGCCATGAAATCGGTGCCAACTGCGGCGACATCGGGGATGGCACGCATCGACGGGTTGTAAAGTCCATCCAGGTGCCCACCTAGAGCCTTGATGTAGCCCGTCACCGCAGCCTCTTGCCACGCTGGCCGAGAGAAATACTGGGAGAATCCACCAGTGCTGAAGCTGGCGCCACTGGGCGGCTCAGCTGTGTTTACCACGGCGCCGACCGAAGTCACCCAGGGACAGGTGGGAGGAAACGTCGCCATGGTGACTGGGCGGTGCGTACCATCGTTGGTGACACAGTTGGAGTTGCGACCTCCTCGAGCGCCGCCGTCGCCGGATGCGAAGATGATGGAGGTTCCACGGGCCGTGAGCAGGCCAAACAAGTTGCAAACGCGCTCTGCATAGTCGCGAGGGACCGTCAACTCGTCGTCCGAGTATGAGAGTGAAAGTACGTGAGGAACCTGGCCATCGGGCTTGTCAAGGAGGTAATCGAAGAACTCCAAATAGGGCTCGTTATCGTCATCCTCGCCTACGATTGCCGTCCCGTTATCATTCAGCTTGACTCCTCGTCCTCCGGTAATGTAGTATGTTACGTTTGTAGGGAAGCCAATCGACACAGCATAATCGACATCCAGGGCAGCTTCTCCACCGGCTTCGGACAGGTTTTGCGAATTCACACCTCCATTGATCAGCTCAACGTTGATGGAGCGGCCAGCTTTGGCGACTTCCGGCGCAGATGTGCTGAGAAACTGCTGCAGATCCTGCAAATTGGCATTCTCCTCGAGGAAACCAGCCACCCCAAAAATGACCGGCGAGACATTGTTCTCTGGCGAATATGTGATGTTGTAAAGCTGCGTAAGGCATGCCGGATCGACACCACCGGCGCAAAACGCCTCGTCTTGTGCATGTTGTACGGCTTTGGACGCTGATACCGCTGGTGCAGATACGACCTGTGCCGTGTGGCGAGCCGACATGAAATTGGCCAAGGGATGTATAAAGCTGATGGCGTCGGCAATGGAGTCTGGAACCGTATATTTAGTGGTACGAAGCACAGGCTTTTTGCCCTCAAACGAGTAACGGCTCAGCTTCATATTCAGCAAGGGCTCGGCTTTGGCGACTGTCGTTCTGACGTGAATGAAATCGTTCTTGACAGTGCCAGAGAGGCCGTTCTGAGAGAGCCAGTGCAGCACGTCGTCGATGTCCTTTTGCGCCGGAGCTTGCAATTCGCGGATTTCATCGAACGACAGGCGGTTGCCGCTAGCTGTCATCTTAGACTCCAAATTGGCAATATTGGGCTGCCGCAGCGCGATTGACATTCGAATGTGGCGCGAAGGGTTCACGACCTCGTTCAACTTTGCCCATCCTGTCGGGACAGCCAGGACTTGCTCGAGCTGCTTCGCGCAGGCGCCGAGGCTCGCAAAGAGCGAGAGCTGTGCTCCCCATAGCAGTGCCGACGACTTCATGATGTGCTGAATACTGTGCTGGATGAAGGGGTCAAGAGGGAGTGTTCTCTCGAGAGGCCAAAGGCGGCGCTGCTTGGACTTTATGGAGCCGACATGATGCCCCTTCTCCTCGCCTTTCCTAGGGATGCGGGACGACAGCTTGAATTGCGTCCCCGTCGGTCACGGCGCGTATGCCGTCGTGTGAGACAACCACAAGGGCAGGTCGGGATCAGAACCATGCTCGCCAAGAGGATAGCTTCGCGATAATGCAGTTAGCATTGCCGAGTTGCGCCATCATAGTCCAGCCCGCTCCCGCCCTCGCAAACAATCCGAGGGATCTTTTGACATTGCATGTAGCCGTAAAGAGTATTACGAGATGCAGATAGATACGAGCGGCGTGCACAAAGTGCGGTTCAGTAGTACCAGGTGCGCCATCTTGGCGGGATAGTGCTATCGGCCGGTAGCAAACACGCGATGTAACCCCGGGCGTTCGAGCTACTAAACTATGATAATATGCTTCTTTTCAAAAGTACTAAAATGGAACGCTATATGTCGAAAGTTCCTTGTCCATTGGGAAGTAGGAGAGGAGACTTGATTCCGAGCTGCCAACCTGGGCTACGTACGCCGATGCCGCAATGATTCAAGCAAACCAAAGCTAGCTAACTGGCTAGACTAAAAATCATAATGCACGGACGTGCAATCCTGTCCCTCAGAGGAGTGAGGGAGGGAGATCGGCAGGTCCCGATATTTAAAAAGTTAGCCATCTGCCGTTGGAATACCCGTATTCGGCGTTGATGATCCATGAGCCGAGATGAAACTGAAAATGGGGATGTGCGCGGAGAGAAGAAAAGGAGAGAACAAAAGAAAAGGAATGACAGCGAGAGAAGATTGTGAATAGATTATTAAGATGAAGCTCCAATTCTGATATGCGCAACTCTTTGGGTATTGGTGTCGTTATATTGAAGCAATTATTGCAACTTCATTCCAGGAGATGGCATCGTATGTAGCTCTCTTCATACCAAACCACCACCCAACTTGGCAAGCAATAAACGCCGCCACCGTTGGCTATGGATGCTACAAATAAGGCAACAGCAGGCTGCCAAAGCGTACACGAAAACAATCTTATCCTTGAGTTCAGACGTCACTCCTGTCATGAAAGTTCTTCCCACTTATTGTCAAGGTTTAATTGCGGCATGAAGTGACGATCGGCGCAGTGAACAGGGGGGAAATCCTCAATTGAACGATTATTTCAGAGAGGAAAAAAAAAGGATTAGTCGTAGCGCCGCCAACTGGCTTCTGCTCAAGATTTCAAGTCGATTAAGAAATTGTGCGTAAGCTAAATCCATTTCCATAGTATCCATCCATAGTATCCAAAACGCCCTTGCGTTTGCCTTCGCCTTCCAGTAGTACACAGGTAGTATCTGAGTATTTGATGCTGCCGATAGCCAAGTTTGCCTCCTTTTTGTGAGCTCAAGGAACGAGGCAGAAAAGCGTCAAGCTACATAATGACCCCCAGCCCGCAGTCCGCATTATTATCCTGTTTCTCATTAAGCACAATGTTATATAACCCAAGTGTTGTGCTTCCGTAAATGTAGTGCATTATCCAACTTTTCGTTGACTGATTAAATGTCCGTCCTCCTCACCGGCGCATAGGCGGCAAGGACTCATCTCGCGGAGGCTTGATATAATCCGCAATGCGCTGCCCAAACGTCCTCATCGAAGGCTGTGACTTGAGCTTCTTCAAACCGGCTGCTGAAGCCGATGAGGGCACAGACGGTGAGCAGCGGCCATCGGTCCGGCCGCCGGTAGACGGCGAGTAATAGCCGCTGTCGCGATACTGGCTTCGCGCATGCACGGCATTGGCGGCCCGGCGAAGGCGCTCTTCGTTCTGGGCCGTCGTCATGAAGTCGGCAAAGTCCGTGGTGCTGGACTGAGGCTCGGAGCCCGTATGGATGTATAAGTGGCCCGCCGCTAGCTCACTTAGAGGAGAGCTAGCGTAGACGTCGATTACGGAGTCTTTGCTTGGCCGTCTCTCGACTTTGTGTCTGAGCTGCTGTTCACGCGGCGACATTGCGGTTCTCGAGAAGCCAGAGGCTGCATTCCGGGGGACGTAGGGACCCTTTTTTGTGAGGTTGTTTTGGGGCTCTTGGATGACGTTGTCCTCGCCGTGGTAGTTTGAGCTGGATGCGGACCAGAAACGGTCCCGGAAGGAAGGCTGAGGGCGTAGTTGTGGTGCAGGCGAAGCTGTAGCCGGTCGTACCGCCGAGAGATTTCCAGTGTACTGCCGCAGAGGAGGTCGAGGCTGATCCATGATGGCAGAATTTCCGCTGTTAAAAACACTTGATGATATAATATGCCGCTGAGTTGAGGCTTGATGTCGGATGAGACGGAGCACAATCAGTTGCTGATATGTTGTAAGAGTACGCTGCAGCGCTAGAATCAACGAGTATCAGAGAGGGTGTTGGTGTTGGAGAAAACAATACTGTTCTTGTAATTGAAGATGGTGATGATGATGATGAACAGTAACAATGAGTAAGGAATGAGAAGAAGAAGAAGAGTAATAACTATAAATAGAAGAGAAAGAAGAGAAGAAGGCAAAGAGGCGAAGTCGTTGCGCAAGCGGGCGTCTTTCAATGCGTGACGCTGGACAATGCCCGGCCAATGAGAAGATATTCGCCGTCCTACTTTGCCCAGGCTACGTAAGATGAGCAAAAACAAGCCGTGGGAAGAGCGGGCGATCACAGCCTTCTTGTATATTAGAATAACTTCGGTGGTGGGTTCTCCATTGCCCCCTTGTCGGTCGATCGTCAGAAGCTACCGCTAGCTAGCGAAAACCGTTGAGGCGGCTGTTCATGATGATAGGCGGCCGAGAGGAGTGAGAGAGCGGTGTCTAAAAGGCAATAATCGGAGACTAGAACAGGTCCAGCCACGCCTAGACCTACAACCATGCGCCTAATCGATGCATCCCAAGACACCTGTCTCTGATAATGGGCAGAGCTTTGTGCAAGATAGAGGTTCGAGGCTTGTATCGCATGCGTGTCTCGGACCAGTGTGTGTCTAACGTGCTGTCCACCATCCACTTTCGAGTTCTGACATGTTAGACTGAGTCAAGCCATGTCCGCAACGGCCATCCTGCCGGCGGCCGAAACTGACTGGGCATCAACAAGCAGTAGCAGATAGTAATGGGCTGTCTCGGAACGGATCACGGGCGCTGGTTTGATGAGTGGCTGCAAATCAGGATTGGCGGGTCATCCCATTCGAAGAGCCGCTAATAAGTCAATGTCTTATTGGGGCTGGCACATGCGCGTCATCCTCCAGCGTTCATAGGCCTTCTGCCTGCCCATGCGGCGAAGTCGAGAAAAGTGATAGATGACAAAGTGAGATGTTAGTTGTCCATCCGCAGAGGCCGACTTTGACGGCTAGACCGACTCAATAGTTGCTCGCAACGCATGAAGCTGAAGAACTTACAGAATGATGCTTTCAGCAATCCAGTGGCCTGGAGAGTTGGGCTATATTTCAGTAGTCTGCAAGAAGCTGACGCCTAGTGCGGCCCTAGGTCCCAGAAGCGCCGTAAGAGGTGAAACTATGGCTCACGATCGCCAAATGCTCATTTTGCTGGCGCCCGGCTAGTCCCTTCTCTATTTCAGCTGGAGCAGCTACTGCCGGCTTAAGACCAGAGTTGTTTTAGCAAGCGGGGAGAAGCAGCCTATATTCTGTTTTGGTGCCCTCAGGGTATTTGTCTGGACCGGAGCATTGAATGAATGCCAGCAGACACACGAGAGCGTGTATGCCCAAAACAGGTAGGCAAGCAGGCTATAATTATCTGCTGAAACCGAGAAAGGTCTTGTCTTGCCAAAGCCTGGCTGCGGGATCTTGATCTGGCGGCCTGATCTCGACAGCTCCTGTGCCCAATTCAAAGCTACTCTCCATTAACATCAAGACACAAATGTTAGAGCAAGACTGGGCGAACAAATTGGAGAATAGCTATTTTCACACGCCTACGTACCTCAAGAAGGGTACTGTGAACGTAACGAGGCGCGAATTACATATCAATCGAAACCTCATTCGTCAAGTGAGCATAGGTTGAATTACTAGTGGTCGCATTCGAGTATTTCACTGCATATACTTTGTGCGGATGAAAAGGTAGAATATAGAAATGCAACAAAGTGACGTCGAAAAGCTGATTTACCAGAGGCTTATCAAGCGCGTGAGCTACTTGCCCATACCGGTAGCCACGGCTCCCGAATATCAGGCATCAGCCGAAAAAGAGCTCTAATCAGAATATACACAGATCAATATTCATTATTATGTCTATTGTATCAACCCAACAACTTCTCTTACGTATTCTTCTGCCTTGATATAAGCCAATTGGAAGCTATCCACGGGCAGAAGAAGAGCAAGTTCCTTTTAAAAAGCTACTATTGGGCATTTCTAGAAGTTTCACACAGCACAAATCTCAACTGTTTCACTGACCACAACCTGAAAAACTCTGAGCCACGCGAAGCAGCTCCGCTCAAAACGATTAACCATGGCCTTCATGACTGTGAAAAGTCTTCCAGCAGCACCAAATCCATCCCTCTTAAATTGAAACACCCTATCAATCTGGACGAGGTGTCAGAAAATGATCCTCATCGACTGCCCAATAGAAGTTTTCCACAACACTCCGACACATTGCATCGAAACATGTTCCCAGCCCCACAGAAAATGCATGTAATTCATGCTTACAAACGCCTGCTCGTATCCGAAGAAGAGCTCTTCAGCGGGCCAAATATCACAATGATCTTATACACGACAAAGAGCTCCAATCTCAGGGCATCGCCGAGAGAGTTCTCGCCACAAGATATATCGCTCAGAAATGCATCCAGGTACGAATAACCGGACGCTAATGCGGTGGCCCTATCGGAGCCGCCGGATTCACTGAGCGCTGCCAAACTCTCACGCTTGCCTCGTATTGATCACAAGGTTCAGGGAATGGTCCCGCAGCATCGACCGTCAATGGTGCAGCAGAGATGCTGAATCGTGGCAATTTGAAGATTGACAAAGTCAGTACAAACACAAGACCAATCATGGGGACTCTCTCCGTGTCATAGTTGGCCACACAGCTACTGACGTAGTGTGTACGTGGCCACTGTCCCATGTGTCAGTCGACTAGAATCTGGCATAGGCTTTGCTTGGTATAAGGCGCCATGCCAGACGACTGAACTCGGGCGCCGTTACCAGTAATTCCTTCAGGTGCCTGATATAGCACAGTATAGGGTTAAAATGCATCTAGAGAATCACCAGCTTGATTCAACTGCCTCAGCCGCGGACTCCCATCATGCCAGCCACCTCATTCCTCAAGCGAGGAATTTGGATTTCCTCATCATCAGAAGAGTCAGCCGCCTCAGCACTGGCTCGGTCAAGCATCCTCTCAATATCTTCATCTCGCAGCACCCTCCTAGCAGTAGCATGGCCGGCGCCAAGCCCAGTGGGGAGCGAAAGAGCTCCCCTCAAATGGCTGTTGGTTCCCTTGACACGCCTCTTTGGCGTAGCACCATTGGGATTGTAGTATGCGTGCTGCGGCGAGTCCACGTCCATGGGAGATCCAGGAGGATGGACTAGCCCTGGAGACCTATCAAATCCGGCTCTTCGATTCAGATTCGAGGGTCTATGCGCAGGAAGGCCCTTCCTGGGTGCACTGGGCAGCGCATGTCTTGCAGCGCTACTCCTGAAGGCACCCACTTGGGGATTTGGAGAGGCCGAGGGAGAAAATGTATGCTTCAGATTGGCAGAGTTATTAGGACTGCTCATAAAAAGCAATGCCTCCATGGCATCTTGCTCCCGAACATTCTGATGAGACGGGAAAAGGATCGGATCGGTCATACGCGCGGGCTGAGACAGGGACTGGTGCGAATCAACCACCATTGGCTGAGCGGGAGTGTGAGGAGATGCCGAATGAGAGTGAGAGAGCATGGTGGGAGTATATCGAGGGCTTGAGTTGCGGCGCGGGTTGGAGCGTGCAGCATTGAGAGAAGGCTGGATAGTCGCCGGAGGAGCGAGAGATGGCTTGTTGGACATCAAGTTGGGGGAGTCAGACTTGCGGCGGATGGCGGATTGCTGGGCGCGGTGCACTTGAGCAGACGCCGCAGTAACATCCAGGCGAGGGCTCGTAGAGGAGCTGTGTCGTCGGATGGTGGAGGAGCCAGAAGTAGGGGAGGCGGCTTGCGAGGCGGCCATTGACTCAACCTCTTCGATGGAATGGCCTTGCCAGCCAAAATTGACCTTGACCATGGCGTAAGAAAGACGGGTCTTGAGCTCGGCAGACAGCTAGAAATGCAGTCAGTTTACTGCCCATATGCTCCAATGCATTATGAACTTTGTCCTCTACGTACCTCTCCTATTGTGCTGCCGGTCGATGCGACGCTGACGGCACTCATATTCCTGGCATGGCCTTGGCCACGACCTTTGATAGGGCTCATGTTTGCCATGCCAGCCTTGACTTCGCCATCAGCCATGCGTTTTCTAGACACACCAGCGGCCGTGCCGATCGATATTCTGTCTCGGGCGGCTGCAAGGGTGGAGAGCTGCAGCAGGTGGTCGGTCTTGTCGGCAGCCGGAGCCGAGTGCTGTCCAAGATATCCTGCAATGCCATTGTCCGTCACGCTGCTGATGTCGCTCGCGGGAGGCGTCACGGCATGGGCCGACGAGCTGGTGACGTGAGACTCCTGAGAGTTGGTGACGGTCAGAGGAATGCTGAGAGCGGAGCCGGGGCCGCGGGCGTCAAGGGCGTCTGATTGTTGCGATTGTTTCGGGGACCGCGAGGCGCGGGGTGACTCCTCCACGACCTCGGTCTGGGACGACGAAGATGCCGCATCGCCCGCCAGCTCCGTCGTGGCGGACATGGAGGAGGCGGCAATGGGCGACTGGCGGCCCAGCGGCGAGCGAGAGTTGGCGCCGTCCATGGTCGGAGGCATGTCGCGGATGTGCTGAGCGAGCGCGACAACCCACGGCGTGCGTTGCGTTGCGAGCGAGGTCTGGGTTGGCGTTGAATCGGGGACTGGTCTGGTCTAGGCGACCGGCGGCAGCGGCAAAAGGGCGCGTCGGCGCGTCTCGATGCGGGCGTGGACTGTAGCAAACAATGGAACCGCAAAGCAGCGGCTTCTGTATCCAAGTCGTCAATTTGATGTCGTGTGGTGAAGCAAGAAAGCAGGTGCCTGGGCTATGGCTACCGGGACAGAAGAAGTTCTGGTTTGTGTGTGTGGGTTACGCGCGGTCCAGTCGCGACGGATGCGGGAGGGACGGGCAAGGACGGGATCCCCCCAAAAAGTCCCCAAAGAGGCCCCGATCAGTGCCAAAGAGCGCTAAACTCCAGCGCTTTCACTGTTCCCATGGGCGCTCCAGAGATTTAGTTCCAATGGACCGATGTTGACCTTTTTTCTGTTTCTTTTAACGGCAACAGTTTTACCATTGAGCACTGCACTCTTTGAATTTCGCGCATAAGAGACTAAAACTCAACCACCAAATCCCTATGTTATTTGAAGTCTACTGTTTGAGCCTGTTCAGTCCCAGCGGACCTACCTCACTGAGGCTAGGCGCGAAGCCATCACCACAGTTGCCAGAGTGCCAGAGCATCACGCGCACTACAGCAGCGCTAAGTAGGTGGATTCTTAGTGGATCCAACGCCTTGTATAGACTCGAAGATTTGACGCCTGAAAGAAAAAAAAAACGTTTGGCAAAAAGCTGTTCAACCTTGATGGACCGTTATGCCATGCAAGAGGAGGAGAAATGAGAAAGAAAAGCCGACTTGGTCTATGCTACCCCTCTGGTTTCGGTGGTTTTCCCTTTCGTTTCTTTTTTCCTTTACAGAATCTTCAGCGCTCGCTAAGATGCAGCGCCATCTGCAGCTGCCGCTCACATCATCATAGTACATGGATGTTAGTGGCAGCAGAAAAAGAAAAGAGGCAAACAAGCACCATTTCTCTCTCCTCTCTCGCCTCTTCTCACCTTTGCCCACTAAGATGCAACCCTCTAATACAGTGGGCTGCGCATTTTTTTTCTTCTCGCAGAGCTCAGAAAAGCCTCAAACGGCATGCATTGCCAGGGTTCGCCCGTTAGCCACCACCATTTGGCCGTTGCGTGGTGGGACGAACGAGGTCTTTTTGCCTATCCTCGCGCGCTCCCCGCCCCAAAAAATAAACCCCGCGGGCAAAAAGTGAGATTGGAGGGTCTTTTCTTGCTGCCCCTTGGGAATGGATGCCTATCCAGAATTCAGCTGCCAGGCAAAAGTGGCTCCAGTCGATGGAAACCAACTCTTTTCTCTCTTCCTGGCAACTGTTTCTCTTCTTTTAAACTTTTCTCCCGGCGTTAGCGAATCTAGAGGCAAAAGCGCTCCGCAATGGCGTGTACCAGCCGGAAGCCTCTTTTTTTTCTAAACAAAAGTCCATGAACTTGAGAAATTCTTCAATGACACGAAATCACGTGAATGACGCGACACGTCTTAGCCTCTTAGTCAGCAGCCTTAGAGCGTCAAATGACTCGGCCCGTGGCTCTCGTAGTGGGCGCTGGGTAAGGGTTCTCGATGCTGCAATCGAAGCACGTGCGGGATCTGGCAGGCCATCATGAGATGGCTCAAATAGGGATATGTACCTATGCGAGTGCAAGCCTCAGCTCAGGTGTCTTCCTTCAAGATGTAGATGTCATGATGATTGCTCTATACTCTCTATTCACGTTGCTCTACAAATCCTGCGTTATACCATCATCCACGCTCAGGCTCATCTCCGCCAACGCCCTGTAATCCATATGCCCCGCCATCCAGAATAACGCCCTCGTTGTCGTCCAAATCATCCTGAACCCTTCTCCATCCTTTACGGCGGCTGCCTCGCCCTTCAGCCTCGCCCCCTTTCCCCTTGGCATCGTAAACAGGCCGCACGGCTGCTCCAAGGAGCGGATTTGTGCTAAACGCCCCGCCGGTATTCTTGTTTCCAGACGTCTCTTGCAAAACTCCCGTGTCGTTGAAGTCATCGTCGTCGTCTTCTTCTGGCGTTGCTGGCCGTTCGATTGGCGCAACCGTCTTCACGACTCGACGGCCAGAGAGGTCGATGCTGATTACTTGCTGTCGCTTTTCGTATTCGGGCCGCGCGTTCCACTCCATCTCGCGCATGATCTTCTGCTGTCTCTTCAGTTCTTTTGCTCGCTCTTCGGGCGTTGCCCACATGCTGCCCGTTCCGCTCATGGCACCCGATACGTCAAAGTCCGCTGCCTCGTCTCTCACAGTCGTTCGCTTTGCGTTTTGTGCCTGGAAATTGAGCAGTTTGTCTCTATGCTCTCGCGCCTTGGCCGCTGCTTCAGATAATGATGGTGCGTCGCCGTCCAAGCCACGAGGAGGCGTGAATGGTGCTGGTGTTTTGGCCACGTCTGCTCTGCGATGAGCCGCTGCATTGGCCGCTTGTTTCTCCCTGCCACGTTCATCTTTAAGTTCCCTGACCATGGCCTGGATCTCATCCGCACTCAATAGCGGTGTACCGCAAAAGGTACACGGGCCCAAACCTTCTTTTAAGCAGATGACTTTTCCACATGAGAGGCAGTTTGGTGCGGCTGCCTGAATGGGGTGCCTCGTTGCCACGCAGTTACATCTCCTCGATTTTGCATCCTTTTCCAGCGTTGGATTTGTCGTAATCTCTAACGACCTGATAGCCGCATCCAGATCTGCCAATGCCGTAGACTGGCCTGCCATCGGCACGCCTCCTGATATTGAAACTTTTGTGACATTTCCGCTGTTTGCCGGCTTTGGCGTAGACGTGCGAGACACAGGTGTAGATTTTGGTTTTGACTTCTTTGATAGGCCATCAGATATGAGATAACCACTTGCTGCAGAAGATTTCTGTTGCGGTGCCGGCGCTTCGACCTTGGCAGGCTGCGCTTTCACAGGAGTAGGTTCCTTGATAGAAGGCCTCGGGGGCGAATTTCCTCGTGATGGTTGGTTGCTGTTGGGCGCACTGGACCGCTGGGTTATGTATTCCAGATCAGAGTCCTTTTTATTATATGCTTTTCCCGCCGGGCCGGCATAATCGTCCAACCTTCGAGCTTCCAGTGCATGCAGCGGCGCCTTCTTTTTCTTAGCCTGCCTTGCATGTCTCGGCACCGGCTCTATCGTTTCGGCGGCAGCAGCGGGTTTTTGAGCTTTGGGCTGAGTTTTCGAAGACGATGAAGCTGAAGGGATCAGAGCAGCCGCAGGCTTGGGCTGCTGCTGAGGGACCGTAGGGTCTTTTCGGCGAGCGTTGAATGTAGATATAAAGTCGATGACGGGAGGCGAGTCGCCAAGAAGATTGCTAAAGTGCGTTACGGCTTCGGGCTTGGAGAGAGTTGAGGCATAGTCGAGAACCTGCTGCAGCTCATCGTCTGGCAGAGGGAGCAGGCGAGAGAGCTGGTGGATGGACATTGCGGCGGCAGCAGATGTTGAATTGGCGAAGCTCGGTGGTAGCGTCACTGAAAAGCATAGGAGGGGCCAAAAGCTCCAAGCTGGCGGGCTTATCAGCGCCTACTTATCAGGAAAGCTAGATGAGTCATGCCGAAAGCAGTAATTACGCTGCTCAGGGCTTGTTACAAATAAAATCCATAAACTTCTGTAGCATTGTAAATGAGACAAGTAATTATACAGAGTGTCGCATGCATTGTATTGCACTGCATTGGATGCCACGATTGACCAAATGAGAAGCGAGAAACGACGTTATAGTAGTGGCAGATACCTTTAACTTTCGTCTACAAAGCAGAGCCTTGGAATAATCTTGTTGGACAAAACAAATGATCAATACAGGCAGAAAGACATTCTAATTTTGAGCTCAACTTCTCTTTCTCCATCTCTTCCTAGTCATTGCATCTCTGTCAGTAACTCTTGTAATATTATTAGGAGAGGAAACTCTATTAGATTTGGTATTTTACATGGTCTACGCTGCTCGTTACCAATTATGAACATCTAAGAACATTATTCAGCTTCCAGCTCTATAATTGTACCTCTTCATCTTGCCAAACGATTTTCGCCGCCGTCGCCGTCCTGATAGAACCCAAGAAGAAAGGAAATCATGACCCCGTCGCCGGCTGCTGACGGCCAGCAGCCCATGCCTCAATCTTCCTCTTGCGTTCCTCGACTCTCCTTTCGAATTCAGCCACTTTTGCTAATCTCTCCTTCTCTTCTTCTTCCGCCTTCTTCTTTTCAACCTCCTGCTTACGCGCAGCCTCGCGCTTGAGCTGTTCGGGTCGGCGTTCAGCAATGTCACGCGGGCGGTAGTCGCTGAAACCCTTCTTCAAGACAAGTTCAATGACCCAGCAAAGAGCATAATCGAGAACCATGACTGTGGTCATCTTGGTCTTGAATTCTTCGGTGAATGGCACAAGCTTCATCTGCTCATTGATTTCAGGCATGAGCTCCAGGGCACAGACAAAGGCGAGACCAGAAACGCCAACAATTCCGTAAAACATGGCCCTGTTCTCACGAATACCCTCACGGAATGGTCGACCCTGGTAGTTGATGGCGAACGTAGAAATTTGCTGAATGAGCTGAAGCAAGTACACCGCAGAGTTGAGCAACGATGGGGCGAATTCGGCTTCCAGATCAATGTCTCCTGAGCGTCTATAGCAAAGTCAGTAAATCATGCGATACCCGAGGAGATGCTTGGCACTTACGGATCAATCTTATCGCACAAACGAGCAATATAGATAAGAGTAACAATGTGAACGGCGAACTGGCCAAGAATAGATCCAATGATGTAGACGTTGAAGATGTTTGGCTGAGGTCGCTCTTTGCTAAGTCCTTCCACAACTCGAGCTCTCGAAATGCTCAGGAAACAAACAGACATGAGCATTCCACTAATGGTGTATTGAGTGTCGCCAAATTTGATGCCCTCGAGATACAGGACGGACAGGGAGTAAGCGCTGATGAGGCAGTTCAATGCGAGAATCTTGTACATCTGGATCGTGGCAACGAGAGTGCAACGGCCCTGGCGAATAATATTAGGAATGGCAATAACATCGCGAAGCTTGGAGGTAAATGGCGCGGCAACGGAAGCATCGCCCAGTTTCAGAGTTGGAGGTTCATCATCACCCATCTCAGCTTCCATCATGCTAGTTGTCAGCTTATCAGCCAAGGAGGCGGCTTTCTTGTTGGCATCTTGTTGACGGTTGTTCAAGATGTTCTGGGCTCCAGGAGAAGTAATGGTCTCTACGGGATGGCCATTCTGCTTGATGTATTCCTCGGGCGTAATCTGCTTCCTGAGGGCCTCACGCTCGATGGCCTTTTGATAGTTGGGATTGGTAGGTCCAGGAGGGTAGAGGTGAGCAATAAGGACGGGAACGGGAGGCGAAGGCTGATTGAATCGGTTCATGAGCTCGCACTGCTTCTGATACATTTCCTTGAGCTTAGTGTTGCGAGCATGTTCCGCAATGCGGGTCAAATCTTCCTTGGTACCATTGAGGAGAGCAACACCAATATGAGCCTGCTTCAGAGCACCGACATCGTTGGTGCCGTCACCAGCCATCAACGTATAGTAGCCCATATCCTTGAGGCCGAGAAGAATGTCTTCTTTCTGCTTTGGCGATACACGAGCGTAGACCCAAGTATGGCGGAGAAGGTCGTACCATCCAGCCTGATCTTTGAACTTGGCAAGAGCGTATCCAGTCACACAGATATCCTTGTTCTTCAGAATCTCGGGATCGATTGGCTTAGAAGGATCGACGTGAATGCTGATTTTGTCGTCAACACTCTTCCAGATAAGCTTCTCGCCACCGGCATTATCTTCAGGGGCATCCAGAATAAGAACATCTCGATCCACAATTTCGACTTCTCGAGCGACATGGACAGCGGTCAAGGGGTTGTCACCAGTGATCATGACAACACGGTGGCTACTCTCGTTGAGCATCTGTACAGCCTCTTTAGCATCTTCCTTGAGGGGGCAGTGAAGGACCAAAAAGCCAGCAAATGTGAGATCGGCTTCGACTTTCTCTCGCTTCAAGTCATTGATTTTGCTGGCACCCAACTCGGAATCAACGGAAAGCTGTTTGTAGGCCAATGCGAGAACTCGGGATCCCTTGCGTGTAAAGAATTTATAAGTCTCCTCATAATCGGCAGGTACCTCAACCAGCATCTTCTGAATTGTCTCGGGAGCACCCTTGACGCCAGCAAATGTACCTTTGATCTTTTGGCCGGTCCTTGTGTGAATGCCATTGACAAACGCGATAGAACTTTGACGCTTGAGAGCTGAAGAGAATTGGAAGCGGCGCTTGATGTGAACGTTGCCCTGAGTAGCACCAGCCTTGGGAGTGCTTGAAAGAAGGTCGTTGCGGCCAAGGCCCCAGCCAAGAGAAGTAAGAGTGGCTTTCTCCATGGGGTCTCCCACAACATCGCCTTCATCCAATCGTACCAAGGCGTGGGCAGTAGCAAGTACCAGCTGCGTCTCCAGGCTAGCTTGTTTCACATCAATAATGGTAGAGTGAGCACCGTCACCTTCTCGCTTGTCCTCAACGTCGGTGTGGTTGAGGCCCAGTCCTGCAATACCTTCGACGACCAAGTCTTCGCCAGTAAGCGTTCCTGTTTTATCGAAGCAAGCAATGTCAATACGTCCAGCATAAGGAATTCTGAATGGCTCAGTACAGAAGATGGCCAGCTTTGAAAGGGCTGCCAAGCTAGTGTTGACTGCGAGACTAAGTTCCATGGGCAACTCTGGAGGCACAACACTAGTGACAATCAAAACGCAGTCTAGCAAGAGCTTGGAGCGTTTGCGATCCCGTCGCACACCTTCATCCCAGACGTACCATGAGGCCGCAATCGCAAAGACAAGAAGGAACAAAATGAACAAGAGGGCCTCAATGTTGTTCGCAGACACGCGCTCAGTCGAATAAATCATGGTTCGAACCAAGCTACCTTGCGAAGTTTCGAAACCGGTCTTGATAACAACAGCCAAGGCTCCATTGTCAGGGGCAGAAGGGACACCAGAAGCCAGCTTAGGCTTCTCTTCGTCAGGGTTGCCGTGGGTTATTTGGAGGATTTTGGTACCACCCCAGAGGAAGGCGTTCTTGTCAAGTCCTTCAGTATCAAGTAGTGCATCAGCCGGGCGCAGCTGGATCGAATCTTTTAGTAAGGGGGTACTCTCTCCGGAAAGCATAGCCTCGTTAACAATCGCAGTACCCTCAACCAAGATCATGTCGCATGCGACTCCGCTATCTTCCTTTGTTCGACCAACTGACACGAGGTCTCCAGGCAACAGTGCATCGCTCTGGACCTCGGTCCATTTGCCAAGGCGGTAGACCCAGACATCGTAAGGCTTGATGCTCATTCCGCGGAACTCGTTCAGGGTGCGCTGGCGCTGCCAGACAACGGTGCTCTCAAATGCGACAAGCATGAAGAGAGTGAACAGTGAGTAGTACCAGTATTCATCAAGCATCCACAGGCCGACACAGAAGATCTGGAACACAAAGAAAGGCGCGACCGCATGCTCCTTGAAGAGTTCTGTAAATGTCGGGACGGGAATGTCGAAAGTGTTTGTACCATAGTGTTGCTCGATGCGGGTCAGGTCGGACTGCTTATCGATGCCTCGGCATGTTTGGAACTCGCCAATAGTGGGCTTGGGTTCGGCGTCGATGGCATATCGGAGGCAGCTGAAGGAATTTGTATCCGGATTGTAGAGGAAACGGCGTTTCTGGAACAAAAATGAGGTGTTGGTCTTGCCACCAACCTATAGAGAACAAATGCGTTAGTTGCCGAAACGATACAAATCCTTGAAACTGCGAATGAGACGCACCTTATCTCGCACCAGCTTGCAGATTTCGCCAGAGCCGGCGTTAGCGATAGGAAGAACTTTGATCAACTGGGCATCTTGAACATTTTGGGCCTTGCTTGCGGTGAATCGCGCATCAAGAGCCACGCTCCAGTGCGTGCTCAGCCAGACAAGAGACTGGGCCGTGATGATGGTTCCGCACCACACAAACGTCCATTCCGAGGCGCCAATGTGCTTATCGTAGAGATCCTGAGAGAGATAGAATCGGAGGAAGATGGGCCAAACAATGGCAAAGGGCCAGATGTAGGCGTGGAAGTAGAATGGCAGCGGACGAAGCAACTCCGCATGTTTAATCTGCGGATTGTCCACGAGGGCTGCCATGGCAGGCAGACTTGGAGGAGGGCGGTGCCTCCAGGAGGAAACTAAAAATGCGATTCAAGCGAATGGTCAATGTCAGCTTTCTTCAATCATCCAAGAAGAAAGAAAAACCGCAGACGAAAAGGTCTGCCAGACGGAGCTCGTCGGCGGAGTTGGAGGAATCCAAGCGATCTGTACTTTTCATAGCGGGCATTTGGTGGCGAGACATTGGCTGCCAGCGCCTTAGTCAGCTATCGCGATAAGGACGGGTACCCGCACGTCATTCAATCCCCGCCTAGAAGGGGACTAGGTATGAGTGCGAATGGCTTCTAAAGGATTCTGAAAGAGAAAAGAAAGGAAAAAAGACACAAAGGGTGGGAGGAATGAAGTCAATATATCACGTGGGAGTATTAAAAAAAGAACAGGTATTGGCCCCTTTAGAAATTGTGGTATCTATTGCTTTACTGATATGTCGAGTTGCTGATCTGCATTGGGATTCACTTGCCGTCAACTTGTCCATGTCTGAGCTGACAATTACAGATTACAGCAGATGAAGCAGCGTAATATCTGGACATGATCACTCAAGCCATCTTTTATCATCTTTAGAATGCTTCATAACAAATGTTTCTGCCTTGCATTCAATATTGTTTACTAGAAAGATTCCAAGTCATAAATCACCATATAGGGAACCGCTACCAGAGCAGTTTCTCTATATCATCCAGCCCACCCAGGCCCTCTGATTCAAAATTGCGAGCATCTGCTTCAGCTGTAAGCTCGAAAGCTTTCTCTAAAACGATACCCCTCTCCTCTTCTTGATCTGCATCCATCTCCGTGTCTCTTAGCACTCCGTCAACGCTCCTTGGAACAATCCTGCTCGGCGCTTGTAAGAGTGCATCTGCCGCCTTTAGACGTATCATGTCGTACAATCGCCTATCATACGTTAAGAATGGCGAGATGATCTGGTACAAAGCATGTAGAAAATCAGCTGGGCCGCATTTCCAGCTCTCTCTATGCGTCGCAGAGTTTGGTTCGCGTCGAGAATTGTGAGTGCTAGGTAGAGAAGAATGGTTGTAGGTACTCGTAGTGCATAGTATCACATCTGCTAGCGTGTTTGTGACTTCAAAAGACTTAACCAACTATAGCTGCATTAGTTTGATGTCGATGTAATGTAACGATATTCTTTATAGATTCGTTTTGATAAGCCGTCACTTACCTGATCTCTTCCCAATGATGTCAATTGTTCCGTAGAATTCGTCGTGATAGATGCAAGAAATTCCTGAGCTATTTGGGACGGGAAGAGAAAAGTCATTGAGTCATGTTGAGCATGGGATGAAAGTAGACTCCGAGACATGGCTTGCTGCCAAAGCAGAATTCGCATCCAATGCCTTGTAATAGTATAATCCGCTTGTTGTACTAAGTCATACTCGGAAAGCTTTGGAGTAATCATCTTCAAAGACTGTTGAACTGTTATAAGACGATACATTTCAACATGAGGCTGAGATGTTTCATGCATGTAGCGAGTGGTACGGTAGAAGAAGGCGTCAAAGGCTACAAACAACGTAGCAAGTTCAATTAGCCCCTTTCCATATTTATCAAAATCATCCAACTTCGCAGATGGTATTTCGACTATATCGAGTATGGAGATGGGAAGGTCATGTTGGATAGCGTAGCCCCTTTATTCGTAGTTCAGAGCATTAGCTGTTGTACTTCTTCGTTTGTACCTCTTCGAACAAATATGGAGGTTATCATGCCAGAGTTATTTACCTTTCGCTCACCCACAAAAGGATGTATACTAGACGTTTCTGTGCAACTACAGTGGTTGGGTCATCATCCCAACCGTTTGGAAGCTGGTTGGGTTCAGATTCTATCCGATCCAGACGGAGAAGTCGAGCGATGGAGATGCCCTCTTGCAGGAACAGCATAGAAGCATTTCTGTTATCAGCCCTTGCGTGATAAACATGGAGAAAGAAGGAGGTGAGAGCCCCTTCCACCGATGGGTTCTCCCGGTAGCTTGTCAGGGCGCGAAGTCGGTTACACTCCTTCTCCAAGTATTCACTACTGATGTGGGAAGACATGTCCTCCATCTCGCCAAGATTCAGCTGGGCCATAGTGGCCGAACACAGAGCCAATGCCATGATGTAGACATCATCAATACACGGCAAGCTCGGCAGGCTCGCCAACGTGTTCGTTTCAACCTCCTCAAGTCTAGCGAGAAGACTTGATGCATAGAGGACTGGCCACACCGGATACAGCCGAGCACTGTAGCATTCGATTATCGGCTTGAGTCTTGACAGAGCCAGTCTTTCTATCTTCAAACATGAAGCCGAGACCTTTGCCGCGATCCCTACTGAATCTGAATTTAGGCAACTACTTGCGACCCGCGGCTGCTTCTCTCCGTCGGCCCTCCATTTCCAATTGGATTGCTGTGTGAGCTTTGAAGTCTTTGGGCCGCGCTTCAGCACCGGTCTCGAGTAAGTGCAATCAAGTGGAGGTTGTGCGTCAAGACATTTGCGGCATGGGCGGCCATTATCGCATCGCGTTTTGCGCTGGACACAGAAATCGCATGACCTCTTGGCCATGAGAGGTTGAGCGAATATGATGATGATCAAGTTCCAAAAGGATAACCGGCTCCGGAGTAATGACGGACGGGAAGTACCGCACGCGCCGGGCAAATGGCGGAGGTTGTCTCAAGATTCACGATGGAGAGAGAAATTGTCTACTTTCCGCCTGCAGCCGAGTGTGTCAGTTAAATCCTCTTACAGACTTATGTATGAAAAAGGAGTTAACTGTGAGCTTTACGGTGCTACCCCACGTACGGCTATCGAGCGGGGGACGGTTAGCGGAATAAGCGGGAGATGGCGGGAGGTAACGCGGGAAGATAAGCTGTAGACAAAGTAGGAGGAATTTGCGACGATCAGCAAAAGACAAGTTCTTCTGGCTGTGGTGCTCTGATAGCAATGCCAAAGCAGCCCATTGCAGTAACTAGGCAGGAAACAGGTTTGTTCTTGGAGCCTTGATTTGAAAACTTACAAACGCTTTTGACGATGTGGTAATGCAATGTGGTGATGCGGAATGAATCGAATCTAGGTGGGTTAACGTTGATACTACATGGATTTAGCATTTCACCAGGGTATATAGCACTCGAAATACCGTGCTTGAAGCGATATTACTACTGGGGAAACTGGAACTCTGCCACACGCCTTGGCTTCCGAAACTATCAAGTAATGCGTACTCACGTAAAATGCGACACTGTGGCCGAATGTAATTGATACTGCCGATCTGGACTTGCCTCGCCCGGACTAATGCTGGACAAACTTGGCGGGGAAAGTTGGGGAAACCTGATCCCACATGACGAAGCATACGTTATTCCGAGCGGGCAAAGAGATTATTGGGCTTTCGAGACGAAGGATGGTTTCAGACTCTTTAATCTTGAAATTTATAAATGATCAGTAATTGCCGGTCGCAAAACTAATGTAGCCGTCCAACAAGAACACAAACCAAGTACCTGTCTGTATATGCGCATTCTTTTATAAATTCACTTCATCTATCTACACCCAGTCAATATTTCACAACAATGGTTGCCATTCCCACGACCCAGACCGCGGCTACGGTTCCAAAGCTGGGCGGCGGCGTTGTCTTTAAGCACGACTATCCGGTTCCCCAGCCTGGCCAAAATGAAGTCTTGGCCAAAATTCTATATTCGGGAGTTTGTCAAAGCGGTGAGAATGAACCCATCTGAACATTTACTAAATTTCAGTAGCACGCATTCTTTGAGCAGCATTTTTAACATTGCAAGCAGATCTCCATACCCAAGCTGGCACAGCGATGAGAGCAGATGGATCGTACATCCTCGATGTTAAACTACCTCATGTAGGAGGGCACGAGGGTATTGGCCGCATTGTGGCTCTGGGCCCTGGAGTGCCTGAGGATATCAAAATTGGCAGCTATGTCGGCGTCCCGTTCATAGCTCGTGTTTGCCATCGGTGCAACTATTGCTTAGCTGCAAAAGAGCAATACTGCGCCAAGCAATTGAACCACTTGCATCATAGGGATGGAAGCTTCCAGGAATATATTGTCATAGGCGCTGATTATCTAGCGGTGCTGCCTGATGACATTGACCCAGTTCTGATGGGACCCATTCTCTGCGCGGGAGTGACTACTTATAAGGTAAGTCGCTGATTAAAATTCAGCCAAGATGGCGATTTTGCATCCATTAACAATAAGATTGAATAGGCAGTGAAGAATGCCAATGTCAAGGCAGGCGATTCTGTAGTAATTGTTGGTGCTGGCGGTGGATTGGGTCATCTAGCAGGTACATTGTGAACCAGAACCCTCCCTTCCACAGTCATAGTGACTAATCTTGAGCATCAGTACAATATGCATTGGCACAAGGAGCTATTGTCTATGGTGTAGACGGTGGCGCCGAGAAGGGAGAGTTCTTGAAACAATATGGCATCCACGGCTATATCGACTTTACAACTACGCCCGATGTTGTCGCAAAGGTCAAAGAGCTCACAAATGGCGGAGCAGACGCAGCCATAGTGGTAGCGAACAACCAAAAGGCTTATGCTCAGGCCGCAGAGATGCTTACTATCGGCGGAACGCTCAATTGTGTAGGCCTTCCCCCGGACAAAGTCTATCTCCAGACAACTGTCGCCACTATCGCGCTCAGGGCCCTCAACATTACAGGGAATCTGGTTGGATCGCTGAAGGAATGTCTAGAGGCGGTTGAGTTTGTAAGAAGAGGTGTTGTGAAGCCCAAAGTTGTCGTTCGACCATTTGAGGACTTGCCAAAGATTTACGAAGAGCTCGTTAGAGGCGAAGTTATGGGACGAATTGTCCTCAAAATTGCAAAGGACGAATAGACGAAACCTGCAATTATATATTTATACATGAAGAATTTTTTTTTATGATATGTCAAGTTTTGTTGCCTCATTTTGAATTGTAAGTTCATCTATATGCTGGGTGTAAGAAAATAGTTTCGGATACATGCTGTGAAGCATCTTTCCGACTTGATTGTTTCTGGATAGAACGGGGCACTAATAGGTGCGTATGCTTGGTTCTTCATTATACATGCAGTTCTCGTAGAACTTATACCGAGCATCAAGTTGTCTGCTGGAACCTCTCGACATAAACAATATACATAGCAAATTGATTGTTCAGAAGTAAACGCCAGGAACGTTTTACAACGTAAATCCTTAGGCGGATTACTTGTTAACTTACAAAGCAATATACATCACAACATACATTTTTATCCCAGCCAAGGAAAGTCTCCGCGAATACTTTATATACACAAAACGCAGATAACGTTTATTCATTCTGAATAGGCAATTTTCTGCGAATAATACAGAGCTGCTGCGTCGACATCTCGCACACATGAGGGGGCAATTGCTAATGCACCCACATTACGTCGGTTGCGTACAATAGCAGTGGTTTCTAACCCAAGTAAGCACCCGATGCCGCTAATCAAGTTACCCGACTCAGAACGCCAGACCGCGTAGCAGCTAATTGTGCTTGGATTAATGGGCCGCCATTGAAGACATGTGGGTCAAAAGGCGCGCCATTACAGACATCGGAGCGCAAAATCTTGGTGATTTTTAATCGACAGCGGCTTAGTACTTTTTGTAAGCAGTCATGAAAAAGAAAGCCTTTATAGTCTGAGGAAGTCGAAGCCAGTGAATTATATAAAGCAAGCCAGTGACACCTTCTCTCAATCCCTTGTCATACATGACAATGCCAAAGCCGGAAAGACAAGAATAATTGCAAACTCATACTACCTACCGTGTTACACGCATTATAAGCTTAAAATGTGTCTCACAACCGGCGATTCCTCATCCACTGAGCGGGCCACACTGACGGCCGCCGCCAGAGCTCTGGTCCCCGATCATCCCGCTGCGCACGAGGCTCTTGACGTTGCTCTCAAGTCCCTAGTGCCTTCGCTCTTCTATCACAGCTTTCGATTGTTTATCTATGCTCAAGCGCTATTGAAGACCCCATCTGCGGGATTGCCAGGTTCTTTCGAGACCTTCAAGGGAATCCCGCTTGAGCCACATGTGCTCTTCGTTGCGTGCATCTACCACGACCTGAGCACACTAGAGAAATATGACAGCAACCCCAAGCGCTTCGAAATTTGCGCTGGCGACGAAGCAGTTGCGGTGCTTCTCAAGCATGGTGTGAGCGAATCTGCTGCTCGGGAGGCCTGGCTCGCAATGTCACTTCACACAACGCCTCATATCCCGGAGAACTTGGGAGGCGCCGCGCAGGCTGTCCGGCTGGGCATCAGGGCCGAGTTTCGCGGATATCAGTTGGAAAAAGAGGCGCTGTCGGAGGAGCAGTGGAGAATTATCAACGAAGACCTGCCGCGTCTTGAGATTGAGAAGGATCTGGGAAATGCACTTGCGCATCAGGGACTTCGCAATGAAGAGAAGACACCCAGGTTGACATGGGCAGGCGAGCTTGTGAAGTATGCAAAGGCAAACCCAGGCTATGAAGGCGTCAACCAAAACTTCTAAGGTGAAATCCAGAAGATAATATTCGAAGGGCTTAATAAGCCTACAGAGCGCAGTGTCCAGGATTAGTTCTTGGCTACCTATAAATCCAAACTTGTATATAAAATAGATCTCATGGATCTATCTAATAAGAAGCCTCATGAACGATATAGTGCCCGATTGGGGAATACATAAACGGATGTTGCAGTCAGCTGCGAACCCGTCTCATCCAATTACATGGCTTGTAATTGGGGGAGCGCAATACTAAGTGAGTACATGCAAGTAACCGCAGGGCGGTTAATCTGTGGCACGTTTTGGTTTCATCATAATGCCAGCATACATATGTATCCTATGGTCGGACATAAAAGATTAATGATCTGTTTTTTCTTAAAGGCGCAGAAATCCAATGAGCCGTAGATCCCGCAAATAGGAAAAGGCTAAAACAGCACAGACAACGGCAAAGACCAAAATTACCGAGGCTAGCCGGCGTCGTCAAACTTACAAAGATAGGCCGAGAAAACTCTCCCTGCAGTACAGTCTCGTCATATAAGGAGCTGCATTGTGTCATTCTTTCGATATTCAAGGACATACCAAGACAAGATGAAGAGCGCGGTTGCGAAATTCAGCAGTTATGCCGCAACTCGGGCTACGCGACCGTTGTCAATTCGTTCCTTCATGACAACCGCTAAATTATCTGCAGCAACGCCGCCGCCACGAGCATCGGAAAATGGAGCGATCAATCCAAGATGGCTGTCAGAGTTACAGCACCGATTGAAAAAATCCCTTTCCCTTCAACTTGCACCTGAGAAAGCCGAAACTGTGAAAGATCGACTTGCGTACCTGGACAAGAACTGGCTTATGCTTTCTGCTGGTCGAGAAGGGTTCTTGGCCGAGCCTGAGAGGAGAGGAGTTGATGGCCACGCGATACAGTGGGGAGATATGGTGAGAATGTGCTATTCGTCCGATGATGTGTTATCCGAGAGCAGTACTGACTTGGTTCTCGTTATTCGTGAATAAAGGATTTGATGGTGAGTCTTTAATCATGTGATGAAATCATGAGACAAGTTCGTTTATTGCTTTAATCTGACTAATTATTTGAAACATAGGGTGAATTACAGCTAAAATTAGGCTTGTGCCTGTTTCAAATTGCTAACTTTGTAAAGGACATGTCAATAACGTCATCTACAACCGGTTTGCCGAATCTGGCCGTGTCAACTGGACACGAAAGCTTGCTCAGTTCACAGACCCCAAGTACGAGCAGGAATGGTTTGATCTTATGACACCAAAAGGCATCGGCCTCATACTAGCAAGTATTAGAACAGACTTTAAATTCGTAAGTCACGAATGATTCTTCGATCACAAGATAGTTCCGCTGCATTGCGCGCTATGATTAACATCAGAACAGCCCATGACTTTCCCGGATCGCATCACAGTTTTGCACAAACTCGTCACAAAGCCAGATTATAGCTCCGATCGCTTCTACCTGGACGTTGTCGTGTATTCAGAGCAGCAAAGGCGGCCGGCAGCCAAGTGCTTTGAGGACATTGTGGTGTACGATTACAAGGCTGCGAAAAAGGCTCCTTTAAAACCGTTCATGGTTGATGAGTTGCGAGCGACGTTTGACCTGCAAGAGCTGCGAAAACAAGATACTGAAAAGAAGATAGCTGAGCTACATGAGTTTCTTGAGCAAGTGGAGGGTAGCGCTGGTACAGTGCAGTAATTTATCATACGTTACATATATAGATGAGTTAGTATAGACCCAGTCGAAACAGAAAAAAGCCTCCAAGTGATGGAATGGAATGTTTGTTGCTACAGCCGCTGGGCGTTTTAAAGGAGAACACAATAATCCTCACTTATATATGGCAAAATAGGGACAGTTTGTGCGTATAAACATGAGTATCATCAATTCATAGGTATTGACTCATCCCCGCAGAGTAGGTTTCAATATATACATGGAGAAGAAGCTATATACATCATAAAAGGGCGTGTATGTGCGTAGTAACGAGTGGATATCGTTCCAGCTTCGTCACTGAGCCCAAGGAGAACTTGGGCATATATACTATAATATCGCATCTCTTAAAGAGATGCTATAAGATAGAAGCTCCTTTAAGTGGAGTACTGGGCGACGTAGCCAACCTCCATCATGCTGCCGTAGCCACCGAGGGTGTTGCCGTTGGTGTTTCCGGGCTGTTCTCGTGTTAGTAACTTGCACAGTAAAAGATGAATGGGTAGAGAAGGGGATACATACGAAGCTTCCGCCAACAGCGACGTTGAGAATGATGTACAGCGGGCTGTGAGCAAGGCTGTTCCAGACATTCTGGTTGTTGATGCGAGAACCAGCGACCTGGAAGTACTGGGCACCATCGAGGAAGAAGGTGATGGTCTCGGACTGCCAGTTGCTAGGCGTACGATCGATCTGGACACGCCAGGTGTGGAAGTTGGTGTTGGCGCCGTTGATGTTGGTGCTGCCTCCGATACCGTTACCCTCGTTGCAGATACCGCCGGGGTAGACATCGCAGTGGATGGTTCCGTGGCCAACAGACTGGTCGTTGACAACCTCCATGATATCAATCTCACCGCAAGCAGGCCAGCCGCCACCAGTACGGATGGAGTTACCCAGCATCCAGAAAGCGGGCCACATGCCCTGCTGGTTGCCCGGAGCGTTGTTACCGAAGCGAATGGAAGCCTCGACAGCGGTCACCTTGCCAGCACCAGGGGTGAAGGTGTAGGTGGACTCGAGACGACCAGATGTCCAGCTGCCGCCGTTGTTCCAGGGGACAATCTGGAGAGTGTTTCCACCACTGAGCTGAACATTCTGGGTGCTGGAGGAGTAGGTCTCCTGCTCGCCGTTGACGTTCAGGTAACCGGTGATGATGTTCCAGTTGCCAGTGTTGGGAGAAGAACCGCCATTACCAGCGAAGGAGTCGGACCAAACAAGGTTGTAACCGGAGTATGAGGGGGGAGCCCAAGCGTTGGAAGCTCCAACAAAGGCGAGAACAGCGGCAGCAATCTTAGGGGACCACATTTTGGCGTATGTAATGATGCTGTATATACAACTTGAGAACGGGGAATATGTACAGAAGACTGAGGCTTTTGATTGAAAGGAGAGACGATACTAGGCTCCTGAGCCAAGAATAAGCTGTGATATCCTCGAGATATTGGTGCTGGTGCCAGGAGATCTGGTAGATGAGAAGGCATCTGCTCCTATATATATATACGGCATCATATACATCGAAATTGAATGACAAAGCTCAGTCTGATCTATGTAAGTTACGCCGAATGACCCAAGTCATACCCAATGCCGTTTTGGAAGGTGAGAAGTCTCCAAGAGACTATGCAAGCAAACCACCAAGGAAAAGCATCCACACGCCATCGTCACCCGCGATAACAATGGAGGAGGCCGGGCCGATGATTGGACTGCAGCAGGGGTCTGTAGATGGGCTCGAGCCAGGGCCATTCGGAGCTCTAGTGTGTCTGGCCTCTGAACAAAACAAGCTTCGCAGTGGCCATGCTCCAGAAAGGGGGGGCCCATGTCCGGGAGACGGGCTCATCGGTGGAGAAGCGCCATGAGACTGGATTGGGAGATGGAGGGATATGCTGGGTGAGTAGAGATGCTATCTCGAAAAGGAATCTGCGTACGTCTTCTGACGGAAGGGCCGATAGGCTGGATGGAACACGTGGGACGAGATTTTGTTACAACTCAGGTAGACTTTTGTTAAATCTTTTCTCATGCGGCCAAGATACAAGACAATAGAGTTTGTGGATTAGAGATTGGGAGATGTTGATCGGGACAATCTCCCGCTCCATGCTCCGTTATTCACTTGCGGTTACGAGTAGCGATCTTCGTTGTCAGCCTCATGATGTGCACGAGGTACGGAGGATAGGTCGCGGATCTTAGTTCGACAAGAAACGGAGGAGATCTCCCTCGTGCTCACAGTTTTTGGCCTATCCTCTTGGGGAGACTCGGTAGAGAAGATAGGCAAATAGCCTCAAAAGGTGAGCAAGGCTCCTAAAGGAAGCTTGGCCCGGTTGGCGCCGTGCTCCATCCAGACAGGGGATTCTATTTGCTACCCATATTTTGATAATTTACAGAGCAGGGTGAGTGAAGAAGGGAATAAGGAGTACAACTGGTAGAATCAGAAAAGGCTGGTGCCTGACTATGGCTGTAGCCCTGTTGACCAGGGGTCGGCCGTCTGGGGTACAGAAGCTACATGTAAACTACGCGCGAACTCCTGCTAGGGGGCCAAAGACACCGGCGTTTGAGGCGGCATTAACATGATTCGATCGCGCATTGAGCTTGTGATGAAGGAAACACATCACAATGCGCGGCCGGCTACTGCAGATGTCGCAGCCATCTGATGGCCGATCACTGTGATCATCTCCTTCTTCACGTCTCTCGCGTGAGTGCCAGGTAGTCATCGTGGAAATGTCACGCTGCCTCTAACTAATAGAAAATCCGGGGTTGTTCATCAGCGTGACAGCGAGACATTGCCGCAAGACACCACTTGTTAGCAAGGAGTGCTGTTAGACTCCACACCATCTTTTCATTCCACACCACTCACACGCGGCGCCGCTACATTTGCCGCCAGCGCCATGGGTCCGGCGTGGCCTGGCGCCTCCCGCATTAAGATTAGTGGAGGAAGCGTCTGGCAATATCCAGCATGCGAGTGGAAGATTCTCCTGCTGTTCTGATATTACGGGGAGGCTGTTATGTGTAGCTGCCTTGTGGCTAGCTCGGCACGAGTCATCTCGCTGCATAGTTCAGGCTGCATGAGGACTTGACCAGATGAGCACGCTATGCACTAGGCCGGATGCTAAACAGACAGGCAACTTCCATGGCTGGAAATGGCCGGAAATGGCTCACATAGCCGCAGAGCTGGCGATAATAGCCGGCACTTGAGCCTTGGCCGTCTTTGTCTCCGACATATGGCCGTCAAGGCTAGGCGGCTTGTGTGATAGCAGGTCCTTGATATTTCCAGGCCTCAATGGAAGGATCGCGATGCTTGGTTGATGCTAGAAAGAATCCGTCGCTAGGACTGCCGCTACAAGACCAGGGCTCCATCCTCATGGACTTGTGTTGCAAGGGGCTGCTGGATTTGTATATGCCCCCCGGATTTAGTATTGCGTGTGCTTGCTTGTAATATGAGAATACTGCCCCCTTCTCCAGACTTCCTCGGCACTTTGAGCCCTCGCTCTCGGTTAAAATATCCCCGAATCTAGCGTCAATGCCGGGACAAAAACCAGACGTGAATGCAGGAGGCTGTTGACATCTACTTGCAGGTTCTACAAGTACAGCGTATCAGACTCTATTCGCGTACTGCATGTACAAGTATGTAAGCTGTCTGGGACCTGCAGATGACCATCATGCGCTAAGTTTAAAAGGAGAGCCGCCGGATGAACAAAGCGCTGCAAATCCCGAATTGTGGCGCCGCTGGATCGGTGGCCCATCGAAGAAGCTGCCACAACAAGCCTCGCATATCGCCTGCCTAGGTGGGCGAGCTGACTATTCCTATACGCTCTATTCTATACATTTGCTGCTCCTTGCGGAACGGTACGCGGACACATGCGGGATCCCGACGGTGTACTGCGTATTGCTACTAGTGCAGTGCAACACATGTTATTAGGTCTCCGCTCCCAGCATATGTGTCGGGATTGTAGTATTACATGTACATGTAGTTGTTAGCCAGCTTGTCAGCTTAGATGCTCTTTGCGGACAGAGACACAGCGCATGGCGCCGAAGCCAGAGCTCTCGGGAGAGTCTCGCTCCTTACAGAGGTTCCCAGCTGCTTGGCGGCTTATGAGCATCTGTGGCTTTTTCTTTTTTAAGCAGTTCTTCGCATAAGACGGATCGCAGCTTGGGTCCCTGGCCCCTGGGGCACCATTGCTGCTTACCACATGGTGAATGGGGTCGGGTTGCTTTATTCAAGGCCTGTTTAGATGATGATTAGTATTCAATCGTAGAATGCAGATCATTCAGCTACGGCTTTGATCCTTATCAAGGCTGAATAGAGTTTGCTTCAAAGATAAATATGCTGGCAGAGCTTAAAAGAAGGCTTGAAGTGTTCTAATATACTCTTAGGTTTCCCGTAGTTGAGGCTTTAAACGGCGTCTTATCGCCGAAGACAAATCGGCGTTTGTTCTCCACGAACCCCGCGTTTTCTATTTGACCTCCTCATTGACGCGGCCATTGTTTGCAGAATGAAGTCATGCGTTAGTTTTGCTTTGTAGCGGGCGTCAGACTTTGTATATGAGCACCTCGTAGATGTTAAATTTCTTACATATGGATATAATCCAGTCACAAGCTCCCTCAACTTTCACACCACTGCAATTCTAGTCTGGTATAGTATAATACCCGAAGGCATTTCACCGTCGCCTACCAGTCAAAGCTTCTATCATCGTTCATCCTTCCCGACCCCGTTTTTAGCAGCGTAAAATGTCCGCCGCAGCTGCCGTCTTCGCTCCGGGCTCAACCGCTCTGATTACCGGCGGGGCCTCCGGCGTTGGCCTTGCCATTGCCAAGCTCTGCCGCAGCAAGGGCATGAAGCTGCTGCTTGTAGACCGCAACGCCGAGGCTCTGGAAAAGGCAAAAGCTGAAGTTGGCTCATCCTCATCAGATGTGGCCACTTCGGTCCTTGATGTGAGCAAGCTTGAGGGCTGGGCGTCACTCCGCGACCAGGCTGCCAAGACGTTTGGTTCAATCGAGCTTCTTGTTTTGAATGCGGGCGTGGGCGCAAGAGGGACATGGGGAGATAACGACTACTTTAGAACCGTACGTGCCTGCAACTACCTACTACATACTAGAGGGCTCTAGATGAAGACAAAGCAGCAGAGTGGTGTTCTCAGCGCTAATATTTCCACCACTAACAATGACATGTGCCCTGCACACTATATAGGTCCTCGAGACGAATCTATTTGGCGTAATTAATGGTATCAACACCTTCCTCCCGGTGGTTCAAGAAGCTGCCAAAAGTCGACCCACCTCCATTGTCATCACGGGCAGCAAACAGGGCATCACCAACCCTCCAGGAAACGCTGCATACAATGCGTCTAAATCTGCTGTAAAGACTCTTGCAGAGCATCTCAGCTGGGACCTGCGAGACACCAAGACCAGTGTGCACCTTCTTGTCCCGGGCTGGACGTTCACAGGCATGGTGAGTAGCTCCTACTCAAACACACTTCCTTTTAATCTCTAGCGACCTATACATACACAAATCCTACCATTTTATACTAGTATTACTAAACATGAGGCTTACTTTTTACTTCCCTTTCTAGACTGGGGGTGGCCAGACCAAAGAGAAGCCGGCGGGTGCATGGGCGCCGGAGCAGGTCGCCGACTTCTTATATAAAAAGATGGAACAAGACAAATTCTACGTTATCTGCCCAGATAACGAAACTACCGAGGAGACAGACAAGAAGCGGATGTTATGGAGCACTGGAGACATCATCAAAGAGCGACCACCACTTACGCGCTGGCGACCAGAGTGGAAGGAGGAAGCAACAGAGACAATTGCAAAGACTAAAGTCTAAATGGCGGTTTGTCCGCTTGGCAGTTTTGAAATATTCTCTGAGTTGAACAAAGCGATATATCATCCAAGTTGCTCGCAGCTGACACCGAGGCCAGTCAGCCGCTTACACAGAGAGTCATTGGCGAAAACGCGCCATCAACCAGTCAAACAGTCAATACACAATATTCATCGTAGCATCTTAACACCAAACCAGTGTAACGTATTACTAGTATCAGCACTCATCTAAATTAAATTAGTTTAGTTAGTGATATATACCGTCAAAAGGTATGGCGTCTTGAGGTTCAGTGCCGGCGTCAATTCGGCGCAAGTGCGTTCCTACATGTAAGCTAGCCCCAGTCAGTTAACTGCTGGGAGATCAGAGCCCCTGGTGTGGCATCATCCATCATACGCACATCCTTGGCATAGCTGAATGCACTTTGGTACTTCTTCAGGGGTGGACGAAAAAGGTCATTACAAGGTACAGTGTTCCCCCTGCAATTTACTAGTTACTATATAGAGGAAACAGAAAAGTACCGGATCTCCCCGCTAGCTATCTGAAATAAACCGAGCCGCTTGGACTTTAGCCTAGAAAGCACAGCGGTAAAGCCTGACAATGGGTCGACGCTACAGTTCTGCTTCCAGGGCCCATGTCTGGGCAAACGACCGAGGTGTTCCGCTTAACTACAGCTTACCTAAGAGTGTGTCTCCTTCAGGCATTGTCTGATTCGTACGCATCATTCGGCATCTATACATTTTCGGAATTGATGAATTCTTCAATAATTCTTTCTGTCAAAGCACTCTGTTGCTTAGTTGTCTCTATATCAGTAACTCACGGGCACATTGCTATTGTTCATAGCCATGCGGCTTACTTGTATATAGAATTAGATGTCTATACGTGAGTGGCTGTGTGTATATTAGCTCATCGTATGCTCGCTCAAAAATGTCAGTAGTCTTTGATTGTAGGGTAAATGTAAACATATAGACTGTGCTGTGAAGCATTAGACGTCCTGGTGTCTGCTATACCACGAGCCTTGCGCCTGGACTATATGCCGTTTGTAAACATCGCTTGAACTGCGTAGTTTTCGCTTTTGGTTGCTAAAATGAAGAACTACAGACGTGACCGTACTTTCAAAGGGATAATGGGAGATTCATATTTAACATTGCAACGCTCGATTTAGCTTCAGATCTAAGGCGCCTTGGTTGTGCTTCAGTTGATTGCAAACATGGGTCGATTGCTTCAACATCACGGTTCAACTAGCCCTTTAAGATCTTGCCAATGCAGTAGAAATGAGTGCAGTTGGTTACTAGGATGTTTAGCGGAGTGATGTTTACTAGGTACGTGCAAGTGTTACGCTGAATGAAAGAGTAAGACACCTAGATACACCAGGTGCGTCCACTTGTTCGATCAATACAAGGACACCAGAAACTGCAAGTTGTGCCTAACATTAGTTTCCCCATACAATAATGTTTTTGTATTGCTGTATAGGTATGTATATGGATTATCTCAAATGGATGATTTGGGCTTGTTCAATGGTAAACACTACTGATGCGCGGTTGGTGAAATATACCAACAAGATCCACCATTTGAATAAGAAATGTCGAACCAAATATGGAAATTAATACGAGTTCTAGATTAGTGAAAAGGTTCTAGCTCTCCAGAAGCTCGATCTGATCTTTGTGCCGTGTTTGATTGCTACGTGGGGGCGTCGAAGTAAGCGGAAAGCGGAGATTTTATACGAGCATAACGATGTAACGCATGTATAAAGACTAAACAAGATAGTCTACAGAATCTAGATAGCTTAAAAAGCGACTATTATCGTCATTTAATTCTTTGTACACGCTACTTAGGCATATATCCACTAAGGCTCTTGGTGCCCGTTCTCGAATTTGCGTTAAAATATAAGGTTAGTACTTTACAGAATTGTAACTCAGATGCTTCAGGAGACAAATCTTATCCTTGATGCGCATTGGTTGCTGGGTGCTCAGAAGATCCTTTCAGCGTGTCGAAATTATTCCAATTCCACAACCCCAATTCCGAAGCACTGCTCAGGTCGATGCTAGACAAGGCGCCGACTGGAGTTTGTTGATCTTCAGCAGCACTGTGACTAACTAGGCCCTGAGGCTTAGAAGCCGGTGTTGTGGTATCGCTTGGCGTTGTTGTAATACTACTGCCATGTAGCTCCTGTATCGTATCGCAAGGTGGATCGCCAGCTAGTTCAGGTAAAATCGTAACAGCCATATTGTCGAGCTCAGGTTTCTGATAAGCTACGCCCTTTGGCCTAGAGATGGCGGCCGCAATACTGCCTGGTAGTTCCGCTTTCTGGCCTGACCCTGAGTTGCCTCCTTCGGCCAAAACTTCTTGATCTGATATCCGTTTTCGTAGTCTTTTCTTACGCCTTAGGAGATAGAAGGCCACCGTGCCTATTAGAATGACGGCTAAAGGAACAGCTACTCCAATTACAATCTCTTCTCCATTGTGAGAAGCTTTGCCCGATGACGGGTTGTTGGTCGATGAACTACTGAGAGACGATGTTGGATCACTTGACTTGACATTCTCAGGGCTTCGGCTGTGAGGGCGGTTGAACTTTGAGACGCCGTTGTGCCACTGAACATTGAGTAAGAGAAAAGTCGCGATGGCTAATATTCTCCGTAGTCGTAATAATCCATGGTTACTTGGTAGCTTGTTAGGTGAGTGCCAGGTAGATTGTCAGGTGGAGGTGACTGGCAAAATCTACCACCAGAATCCATTCCACTCATGTCAAGTGGGCACGGAGCTCCTCCATCTCGCTTGTTGGTGTCTTCGGCGGTGCATGGCCTAGTTGAAGTCTGAATGTCGTGGCAGCCATATCCAACAGCCGCGCCCATAAAGACAAACATTGTTATTGATGAATCGTAGCGAGGTGCAGCCACTGGGGGACTAAATGTTGTTGGTAGCGGACCTAGATTGAGCCGAGTTGCTGAAGCTGAATCTATTGAAGAGATGGTTTGCATGGCTGAACACTGCGTCGTTTCCTGGGTTGGCTTTGCAAGTTTTGGGTTTCTGTTGTAACGGCGGATTAGAAACTGAGACGATTTTGGACTTCAGTGACAGTTTTAAATATTGGGCGATGGAGCTTGTGAGTCTCTAATATTGAAGGATTGGTTGTAGTGGCTGCGCTGTGTGTCGCATCTCTTCCTTTCACGAATAAGTCCAAATATTTATTGTATTTTGTACAAAAATAGATGGCATGGCGTCTAGAGGGTGTCTGCCCGCGATTAAAGATGTATAATTTGCTGCTTTACAAGCACACCACGATAAGTGCGACATTTGATCGGATGAGTCTGCTTCAAAGAGGCTGTGGGATTCTATTCTCGGTCTCAGCTCGTGGCTGGGTTTGAACAACTGCAGATTTTAGCTTATGAAGCGAGGAATGTGGCACAAGAAACAGATAGCCGCTTAGGAGTAGACATATATTAAGGCCAAGGGTATAGATATTAATAGAATCGTGTAAGTTCGATTGTATATGAACGCGATTAGCTCAACGATTAAGACAACGTAAGAACAAACTGCTGCTAATCATTTGAACCGATAAGACGAAAGGCTGGGCCGACATTAGACAGCGCGGATGCTCTCGATCGCATTCTCTCAATTTGGGTTTCGACAGCTTCAAGGTCTTCCAGGTCCTCCTCATCCTCAGTGGTGTCGTTGCTGTGATCCTCCACATCATCAGTTACGTGGGATGATTCTGCTGTAGGAGTTCTTTGAGCGCGCTTTTCGCGACTTTCTTTCCTCGCTAAAGAGAGACGCCTGCGCTCTGCCTTGAGCGCTGCCTCTACTCGTAGTCGCATCGCCTCTTTGGTAGTCTCTTCCACTATCACAGCATTGTGACAACGTTTATATACGCCTATACTTGTCAAGATAAGGCCGAGGACTTCATATGCAAACAACACTGGTAGAGCGTAAGATAGATGCGGATTGCAGCCGTTGGACCAGATGTCGGTAAGGACTTCATAGGCTGCATGTGCAGGCAGGCCGTATCCCAAGCGATAAAAAGGCGACATTATGCTGAATGGAAACACGATTGAGGTGATGTTCATCACTATCCAAGTGACAAGGCACATTGACACAAACTGTGGAGGAATCCAAATGGTGAAAGTGTCGAACAGGAGAAAGTTGGCGTGGGCGAATAGCCACAAAGTCAGCCAACTTAGGGCCCATTGACCGGCTGTTACATCCCAGTTCGCCTTGAACGCCCAGATGGCAGCAGAATTCACCATTGCGCTGACCATGGTGAATGTAAGAGAGATGAGATCGCGAACAATGATGATTCGTTCTGGTCCTATTCGCAAAAAGATTTTGAATTGGTTGTATAACCCGTTGAATGTAGCAAGGAAGAAGAAGTCCTCAATGAGAACCAAGACAAAAGATATCGTGTTGTAGACCGCACGGGTGCCTTGGATTGTCGGCCTAATGTTGATAGAGTTCAAAGTCCATGGATTCGTAAAGGCAGATAGAGCAGCAGAGTTGTTGGGCGGAATTGTGAGAAAAGCAGATGAGCCATTGAGAGCGATATAAGAAACTCGTGCGGCATCAGCCAGCGTGTGAAGGTTCGTCGAGATGGCACCATCCATAATAGTAGGATATTTGGCTTCATTCCAGATGAATGTGAGCACGTCTGAGGTGTTATATACAGAGGTGTTAGTTCCAGCAATGGCTTGAGCCAGATTGACAGAAGCCCAAGGAGATGTATATAGGGCGGCCCAATAGTGCGATCTGCAAACAGCCTCTCTCAAGTCGCCCGGCGTTGGGAATTGCGAAGCGGTTTTCTCAATCAAAGAGGGAAATTGGAGTGACTGCAAAGAGCTGTACGCATTTCGCACAGCATCGCCGATAATTCCGCCATCATAATCGACCCATAAGATGTGAATGTTGTGTGTTCGAGGAACTTGTTGAAAGAGGGACCCATATAAATAGCAGAAGAGGCAGAAGAACAAAAGGATGTACAGAACAAAGTTCAGCAACGCTGCGCCAAAGAATTTGGGCCTTGCTACCGCAACTTCTGGGTGAGACAGAGGAAGTTTATTCTCGCCAGCGCGAGGATAGAACCTGTTCCTTACTGGTAGCGACATGTTGCACACAACATTCGATTGAAGAGAATACCAGAGCAACAATTCAATTGACCCCACACCGCAATGATGCTTCTACCTGATCGTTTATACGTGACGTTTCCGGAGAGTCCGGCTGGAGCTCGGCGGGCAACTGCCGCTAGATCGCAGAGCTATGATTCGTGAACTTGTTTTCATCGGGATGACAAGCGGGTTAGTCAGTCGGTTTAGGCTATTTTAGACGCTATAAATCGCGGAAAACGATTCTAATTGTACCGGGCAATGACAAGTGGCAGTCAGCTCGGCCCGTCTCCCGATGACTGATTTGCAATGCTATTTTCTGCTTAAATAAGCGTATGGTTGGTATTTAAGAACTCAAAAGTCCGTCGGGAGGTAATCAGGAAATACGACAATGGACACGCATCTGGAGCAACCTAGTTGTTTCACTCTGAGCCATAGTATAGGTTGCAATTAATCAAGACAACTTAACAGTGATCTGTGCCGAGCAAGTCGCTTATAAGGCGTGTAAACTCGCATGGGATTTTGTTAGAAGAAACAGTAAGCCCCGATTCGCAATAAAACATTACAAAAGCGAGAGATGAAGACTTGGGCCGACAGTGGGAGTATTCAATAGACAGTGGCAGAGTTGACGAGTTTCAAAAAAAAGAAAAATGGATAAACAAGAATGCATCTGGAGGATTTCGGCAAAAATGTAACTCTTCTCCGAAGAGAGTACTCTCCGGGGACGGAATCGAACCGCCGACTTTCTGATGAGATGTTTTCCATTACAGTCAGACGCCATGAACCAACTAGACCACCCAGAGGAAGAAGAGTTGACAACTTTGAGCTAATCAATCTTTATAAACTCTTTCCGAAAGCATTGATTACATCGGTCGTGATTGTTGCTAACCTTGAAATCGTAACTTCCATGGAGTGCTTTAGGCGTCGCTCGAATTTTCTCTTTTTTGTCTTGAGAATACATCTAAAATCTGTCAGCCTCTTTCTCTTCTAATCTGAGCATTTATTGATCAAAAATTTGAAGCCATGAAGAATCCACTCAGTAAAGAAGTCAGCGCCAAAAGAAAGATTAGTCTAAGCCATATTGGTTGATTACCATACCCCTATGCGTCAAATTGTTAATTGTGTCTCGTCTCTCAGAGATCTATTTTAATGAGCACTTGGGCTTATGTGTCGCTCCTTTTTTTTTTTCCTTTGCTTGTGGAGCTTTGCTCAGTTCCCTTCTTCTCTTTATCAAAATTCCAAAGATGTCGTACTTTCTTGATGATATTGATGATAGAGTATTCCTATAGATATTCTTCTTCAACCTCTTGCTGAAGCCATGGTTTATGCACACTACAAAGGATCGAATTATAGATAGTGAGCGGTATGCTAATTGTTTTGCTGTTACACGAAATACCATCATACCCTACTGGTGATGACTACTTTTTGTATTTTCATCCCTCTTCCTTCATCGATTTTCTATACCAGCTCCATTACACTTGGGAACTCCCAAACTTTTACCACATGCTCAACTACATGTATTAACTGCCATCACACCTACACTCTTCAACTCAAAATGAAATTGTTAGATATGCTTCCAAGGCAGCAAAGGTGAGCGATATGCGTATTTGATGTTGCCAAGGTCAGATGACATTGCCACGCGTCTGTTTCAGGTCGCGAAGCTTGATGTCTCGCCACATCCACGTACATCCCCAGCCAACCACGATGAAGCATACACTCGTAATCAGCATGAGGCGCTGAGACTCTCCGTATGCGATGGAAATGCCATGCCGGATTTCCGAACCAACAGGGTATCCTAGCTGGGTGTAGAGATTGCCGTAGATTGCGTCCACGGGAGCATCAGCCGGAAGATTCTTGATCAAGTTCTTCTTGAATGTGCCCGTCCAGATGGCGGCGGCAATTGTTGACCCGATGGCGCTACCAATGCTAGAAAAGAGGTCAAGAATGGCCATAATGACGGCGATATGCTGATGATCCGAAGGAGCCATCATAGCCATCTCTCCAGCGACAACCATGGGACCACCAGCGAAAGCAACAAAGATTTGAGTCATGACGACATAGCCAATCTTTGAATCAGGCTGTCGGAACTGTATCATGAGCCCAACACCAAGAAGTGTGAGAGGAAGCGCATACAGAGTCGCAGTCCACTTGAATCTCCCAGTGAGGCGGGTAAAGTAGGCAAGGACAAGAGCCGCGAAGCACGAGCCGACGCGGTAAATGTTACCGATGTAAGTAGCTTTGGTAATACCAGTGTTCCAGACAACAAGCAGCATGGAGCTGAAATAGCTGCCCCAGATTGACGAGTTGGCAAAGACGAAAAAGAACATCATGCCCGCGAAGAAGACGGTCCGATCCATCAGCAAGTTTACTGGGATGAACTTGACAGGCGCTAGATATGCCTCGTAGAACACAAATGCAATGATGAGAATGCCGCCAACGATGATGAAAGCAATGATGATTGGCGCACGCCACTGCTCAGCTTGGTACGAGTAGATGGAGAAGGAAAGCAAAAACAAGGCCATCCCCGTGGCAAGAATGAGAATGCCGATTATATCCACCTCGATAAAGTATTTCTTGACAGCGGAAAAGGTGAGTCGGCCGGATTTCGATGTAAGCAGCCCCTGCTTGCGAGCTTTGACGTGGTTCCAGATGAAGAGTGCACCTAGAGGACCGACAACAATGGGGGTTACGATGGACCAGATTCCAAAACCCCATCGCCAACCGATATGGGCAATGACGCTGTCTGCGATTGGACCACCCGCAAATGTGGT